TCCTCTGTTCCTCTAGTGGGTATTTGTCCTCCTTCTGAGATAGTGACCGCAAATTCTGTTTCTTCTCTAAGGAGTGCTGAGTCGTTGGATGGAAGAGCATTGATGCTTCTTCCTTCATTATCTGGTAATTCCTCGATTTCGCATTTTTGAATTCTTTTTGAGAAGTCTAAGGTGCCTTTGTTCCAGTTGATGGACGGGTTTCTTTCTTGTAACCAGTCCATGCCGAGGATGATGTCTTGTTTGCCTAATTGGGTAACTAACAACCTTTCTTTGGTAGGTTGGTTTCCCACGTTCATGTCGATTTCTACTTCGTTGCGAATGAACCCAAGTTTGCTCGGAGTTCCGTCGACATTGAATACTTTGATTGGTCTTTTTAAGGGTTTCTCTTGTAGTCCTAACTCCCGGACTGTTCTTCGATTGATGAATTTGCCTTGTGCTCCTGAGTCGACTAGTGCAAGGACTTTTCCAACGGTTTCTTTTGCTCTGATTTGGATGGGGATACGCATCGATTTTGATTGCATGTCGGCAATTAATACAGAGGAAATTGATATTCTAAGAGGCGTTGACGTTGGGGCAACCCTCAGACATGAAAATCCGGATTAGCTTCGAGATAACGGGCGAAGAGATCCTTAGCATCTTCTTGAGAGAGTTTGGTTACTTCTTTGACCAAATCTCTAGGTTCGTTGTCGAGATCAATGAGGTTGGGTTCCTCTCTGACCGTTGTAGTGCGGACATTGGTGGAATTTCCTTTATTCCATTGTCCTGATCTTTGGTTTGTCTGAGGACGGTTGCCTTGTTGCGAGCAATTGGGTTGGTATCTTCCTTGCTGGTCGCATTGCTGGGGTTTCTTGGGCGAAGGACAATTTCTGGCAATATGTCCCTTGCCTTCGCAATTGAAGCATCGTCCTTCTCGGCGTGTTTGGTCTCGGGAGACAGTGTCGATGTCCATGGCATCGGGGTCGCGTTCCTGAGTTCTTCCTCCTCCTCCATTTCCTCCGGAGTGAGAGGTAGTTTTGTCAATCCTTCCCCTTTGTCTTCCTCATCTGAGCTTGTCCCATTCTATTTCTGCGTTGTCCAGCTTGAGTGCTTCTTCTTGCCATCCTTGGAGTGTGGTTGGCTTCTTCTCTCGTTGGATGAGAGTCTTTGCAAGGACAGATTTGAGTCCTCCTGTATAGGTACGTTGGAGGTAGGTGTCTGTGCTCGGGTTGTTGTACTTGGCTTCCTTGACGAGTCGGTTAAATTCGACGTTGTAGTCATTGACTGAGTCGAAGTCTGACTGCATTATTCTGTCAAGTTTTACGATAGCGTCGACTTCGCTATTCACCTTCTGAAAGGCTTTGGCAAAGTCTTCCTTGAATTTGGTCCATGTGGGCCAAGTTGTGCTGGCTTCGTATTCGTCAAACTTGGTGCGACACCAGTCGTGTGGCTTCTTCTCGGTGTTGTTGAGTACAAAGAGAATTTTCTTTGCATCCTTGGTTGTGTCTTTGCCTTTAAAGTAGATGTCGCAGTCTTTCAGGAAGTCCTGAATTCGCTGCGTGCCATCGAACTTCTGGGGCTTCGGAGTAGAGGCATGTTCGTTTGCTTTTTGAAGTGCCTCGATCATTTCTCGCATGAGAGTATTTGTGTCTGCCATTGTGGAGGGTGTCTGAAGTTGTCTGGTAACTTCGTATATTTCTTCCTGTCGTTCAGGTGGGATAGGTACGTCGAGATTCGGGAAGGGAATATCGAATGGTTCGAGTCTGATTTCTGGTACCTGAAGTGATCCTTGTACTTCGGGTGTTTCGTCGTCTACTTTGATAGAGGTAGAGGTTTCTGCCCTGCTGGGTGCTTGGCTATGTCTGCGAGACTGATCATATGGGTGTGGTGTCTGTGGTCTGGATGGTGGTACGCTGGCGGATAGTTGAGTTACTTGTTGGGCTTGTTCTTCTCTAAGCCTGGCTTCTTCGTTAAGCCTGTCCCTTTCTCGGATGAATTCTTCTTGTGCTGGTTCGCAGAGGACGAGTCCTTGTGGTACTCGTACTGTTCCTTGGTATGCGTAGTATCGGTTGGGGCAGAGTTGTTGAAAACAATGTCTCCAATGTCTTTCGTCGTATCGGTTGTAGTCGTGCCTATTGTCAGGCCTAAGGTTATGTCTGTGTGCTGCTGTGGCGCAGTCGTTCACCCCAGTTGCTTGTGGAGTAGTCGTCTTGACTATTCTTCGTGGCGTAGACCTGTCTTAGGTCCGCCTTGTTGATAAGCTTTCAGCTAATGTTATGACAGAGGTTTCTTAGCAAGCCTGAAGCTTGTCTGATCGCCTTATCCGCAGATGAGGTTAGAGCAGAATAAAGAAACGTGAATATACGAAAGAGCTGAAAGCTGGGGTGCTACTGTACATGCGCGGGGTATTTATACTACTGCTCAGCCTAACCTAAGGACTAGTCTACTAGTCAAAGGGACTGCGGGTGAGTCAGTGAAGCTGCGCTCTATGAGTCGACGAAGGCAGTACTACTAAACTAGAGTCAGAGACGAAAAAAGGAAATGATATCCCACGCCACCATACCCATCATAACAATCCGCCCGAATTGCGTCCTTATGCTTGAGGAATTTCGCCTCCAAACCTTTCGTTCCACCCTCACCAGCTACCACGAGTCCACCAGTTAGAGATAGCAGGATACCGTAAGATAGAACTGTTGCTCACGATAGCGTCTGTTTCCGTTAGTGGCGTACTCAGTAAGAGTCATCAGTGCGCTGGTCTCGAACACGGCCACTGCACGCAAAGTCAGCCGACAAAAAAAACCCTCTATCTCAAGCATACTTACGGCGCACCGCCTCGAAAACCTTCGCCGGCTTCAATTCCATGTTGGACACTGCATCGTATATCTCACTGCCCGCTAAGCCGGCCACCAGGACCTAAGCTGTCAGTGCCAGGTCATGAACAGCGGAGGACCATATCACGTACGTCCATGGGGCGTAAAACCGGTATCAAAGAAAAGTGCACCCGGCTCGAAGTTGTCTAGGAAGCCGAGGTCGCCGGAGATGCATCCTACAACCTCGCAAGCAGTATTGCGGTGGTAATACTAATATCATCACCCACGACTCTCGTCAGCGAATTTCGTCCCGCGGAATATCAAAGTAGGAAGGCCACACACCGGCAGTCTCATCGTATTTTCGACGACGTCCCACTTTCCGCCGGCGTACACAAAATCAGCAAGCGCAACACCTGGGGTTTTCGAGCGTGCCGTGAGGACCGTCCAGATTGATGGATCAGTCTGGTCGCGATTAAGGCTGCCGAGGGAGAGGAAGAAGTCCAGATTATACTTGTACGGGACATAGCTAACGGCCAACAGCGACGATCAGCAATGGGGATGACCTGGTTGAGTTCAGCGTGACGTAATTGCCATGCCATGCTACAACGTCGAAGGGTGTGTGGTCCTGCTTGCAGGTAAAGAGCTGACCGCCGAGCTTGTAAATAACTGATAGATACATGCAACGCAGATATTCAACACTTCGCGAAGTCTGATCCAACAAGTCTACACACCTTCCCAATCGGTCTGGTCAATGTCGAAGCAGGCTACCGGGGTCTCGAAGTCACGAGGGTTCGCAAGCCCATGAGAACCAATGACACCCAAATCGGGGAGCTCATAGTGTGCCCCGAAGATCTCTTGGATATCTGCGCAAAGCGTGTCAGGAAGTAAACACAGCAAGGCGCGCTCAACAAGACTCACAGCCCGTTGCGCTACCATCTGGCAAAGTAACCTTCCACCTTAGCCCCCGCGGCATGACCACGATCTCACCCTGGAAGACCAACAACCTAAGCAAGTAAACAATGTTGGCAATTTTTCATGAAAGGGTGCGTATATCCTTTGCCAGCTCACCTGCCCAGCTCAGTTTGAATATCAAGTCGGCCCGTCACGGGCACGATAAGGAAGTCTCCGTCATTGTTCACAAATGCCTCCTTGCCCATATCCGCGTTACATGCATATGTATGAATGGCGACACCTTCATAAGACATCGGGCTGCCATTTCCCATCATTGTCTTGATGCCATAGACGAACTTAACCCTCTCGCTCGCCGGCGGGACGTCCGGGCTCCAAGAGACTCGTGCGGGCGAGATGCTTTGCTTAGGGTCACCAAGAGAGAACTCGGCAACGAGCTGTAAGGAAGCCGCGTTAGCAGAAGTTGTGGGAAAGCAGAAGAAGACGGACAAACGGATTCTGTTTCTCACGCTTGGAAAAACCCTGGTGAGCGACAGACGGACGGATACGGTACAGCATGCTGGACACAGTATAAGGTCATGCGCGCACATAGAATTGAGATCGACGAACGTGCTCTGATTCTGTGCCCTTGGAGTGGTGAACGGCGTGCCAGTGATCTATGGCCTTTGTCGGAAAAAAGAATTACACTGGGAGAGTGGATCTTACACATTCGGTGTACAGCTCATACTTGTTCTTCTGTGGCATGCTCTGGCCTATAGGCAGGACATTGGGACTATTGCACGAATCATCAGTGGGGTTATCCTAAGCACTTGCTGATATAGACTCTACATGGCTTCCGAGGTAAAGTGGTTTCCAAAACCAACTTGGTAGCAGTATGGATCGTCTCGGCGACGAGAAATGGAGTAGCCTGTCTGAGCGGATGTCTGAAGACATGTAGGTAAAGCACCATTTGAGGGTGATTGATAGGGCACATACCATGATAGCGAAGGTCAACGAGTATCAGCAAGTATCGCAACTCGGGCAGCGTCATGTTGCGAGTGCGCACGTTATATACTGGCTGCGGTCATAATTTTGGATGTGGAATGAATATGTGACGTACGACAGCATCAGCTCCGGCGCGCGTTTTGATTACCCGAGACCCGCGCTGAGATCTGAAATGCCGTGAGTCCTGGAGAAGCGCCACAATAGAACGGCTGGAAGTTTGGTGCTCAGATGCGGCATTTGTAGTTGCTGTTGAAGGGCTCATAGTATATGGTCGACAGGAGTAGGTTACACAGACAGCATCGAGATCTTCCAGAGGCGTCGGAAAGAGACAAAATCTGCCTGAGAAATTTCTAAAGCAAGAGCTCTTAAAAGCACAGAAGCACAATACGAGAGTCGTGGACATAGATTGTATCTCTGTTTCCGTAGTCTGGATGCCACGCTTCCATTTTCCAATATCATAGCCGGTTTTCTTCTTCCGTATCTTAGCGGGTGGTAGGCCTGCGGAGGGCCGAAGCATGAATGCAGGGTTGTATACGCGGCGAAGCGACGATGCAACGCATGTAGCAGACCGCCGTTCCTCAAATCCTCCGTTCAACGATGAGCGGTAGCCTCGGCACAACGAGGCCGAACCGATCCTCCAGGCCACTCTCCCATGCGACAGGGTCGAAGCCCTCCTCAAACCGCAGACGCAGACGCTGCAGCATGTGCGTCAGCACGACCTTCATCTCCACCATCGCCAGGTTCTTCCCAACGCAGTTCCGCGGGCCGTATGAGAACGGTACGAATGCGCGCATGTCGTGCGCGCCTCCCGGACTCGCAAGCCCGGTAGCGTCGCGGTCCTCAGGCGCAAGCCACCGCTCGGGGAGGAACGCGTCCGGCTGTGCAAAGTTGCGCGCGTCGCGGTGCAGGGACCACGTCGGCGCCCGGATCGACGTCCACTCTGGTATGAAACTGATATAAACAGGAGGCACGATCAGCGGCTGCGCTCTGTGATGCATGAGCGCGCCTTACTGTGGGCCTGCGACGAACCCGCCGGAGCCGCGCTCAGGCGCACGTTGGGTCCCGCTTGGGACAACGGGGTAAAGACGCATAGCCTCGTTGCTGCACCTCGCTTAGCGTTGCGGCATGCGTGAGAGGGTCAAGCGCACGTACATGACTGCTTCAAGGTAGGGCATGCTGGTGTGGTGCTTCTGATCAAGCGAATCTTCCTCTGGCGGGTAGAACTGGTCGACCTCGGTCTGCAGCCGCGCATACGCCTGCGGGTGGGTGAGCAGGCAGTACACGATGGTGCTGAGCGCTGCAGATGTCGGGTCGGACCCAGCGATGATAGCGAGCGTAGAGTCGACGATAACCGTTAGCTTCGGTGGGTCTTCCTTCTCGCTTCCATCTTCATTGTTCTGCGAATCATGCTCAGCTAGAGTGTATAGATAAGTGCGTAGCGACGGACCAGCCAGTAGAACAGATCTTTCGTGCTCGATGTCTTCGCGAGCCGTTCGACTCCGCGACTCCTGCACATAGTTATGAAGCCCTTGGCATTTCCGCCTGCAGATGGAAGATAGCGTGCGAGACGCCCGAGCCAGGGAATATTTTCATAAAATTGCAGCTCCCTAAAACGCTTAATCAGTGATCATGCCGCATAGGAAAATGACACCGCTCGCTTGAAGGCTATATGCATCGCACCGACCGCACCATCTTTGTCGTCGTCCTGCATGGCCTCCGACTCTCCGCCAAATAGAGCTTCAGAGATAAAATCAAATCTGGGGTAGACATCGACTTGTCAAATCGGCGCGAGTTCCCACAGACAAACAGAGTCGTACGTGAAGAGGTGCACGCGGCGTGCGAAGTCAATCTGCTTCTGCTTCTCGAGCAGCGCTACAAATTGGGATACACGCTTGACGATGACAGGCTCGTAATTCTTGAGCGCCGCGGAGCTGAACGCGCGATTCCAGGGCCTCCGACGGCGGGCGTGAGTCGCGTTATCTCTAAGGCCGATGAGAATACCTGATCCCTTCATTGATTTACCTCCTTTCAAGGATCGGCCGTCCCACACTAACTGAGGTTAGCCTTATGAGAAACGGATATGAAAAAATCAGCAGTTTGCCGCACGCACTAGGACCCTTCGGCATCCCTTTCAGGCCCATCATCGTCTGCAGCACAGATAGGTCCCGAAAGTGGACCTCATTTGGACCTGCACTTGTGCTTGTCAACGGGTGGCGTACTAAACGGCGGCTCATACACTGACCAACTCGGACAGCATCACCATATTGCTCGAAGAAGCGCCGCGTTACAACGTGCTGACGCCCCCCGACCGCAATAAACGTCAGATACCATCTGGTGACCTTTGCCAACAACGGGCCTGGGTAGCGTGCCAGTGGGTGGAACGGTGAGATGCGGTAGACGGTGATCGATGAGAGGAGAGAGGCGTGGTAGGTAAAGAAGGTGAGGGCAACTCCGTAGGTGACGCCGTGATGTTGGATGAGCAGTGTCGACGCCGCAGCGGGAGCGAGCAGCAATAAGATAAAGAGGGTCGGTATATCAGTTGGCTCCCAGCGATTGAAGATCCAGTGGGTCACCTTGCGAGGACTCCTCGTTAGGCATGTTTACGTGGTACCGACGTCGTCGGAGGACGTACCAGCGCGCATGCCGCCACCGCGAGCATGCATTGATTTGTGGTCAGACTATCCAGTAGCACGGACATGATACGTGCAGGATAGTATTCTTCCAGCTGCGAATCGAGTCGAGAGCCACTACGCACTGGGTATATATATGTCTTCGCACCCGGGAAAACGGGGCATAGCCTTCAGGGGCCAAAATGAAGTGTTTTGAGTCTTTTGGCCATTCTGCCGAGAAATTATGATGTGCGGCAGGCGATTATGAAATTGATGCCGTGCCATCTCGGTACTTGAAACTCGAAGTCTCAGCGTACACGCGCCGAGAAATGGTATTTGTGCTTCCCCAGAAGATAGGGCGGTAAGCAGAAGGGTATAAAGTCATTAAGGAGGGAAATTACACTGAGTCAATCCCCGACCCTGACCGGTCCTGACAGCATGGCGGGCCCTGGCCCGATGCCATACAGCGTCTCATACTCCCGCTATGATAGCAATGCACTCGAATTCTCTGCGTTAGATTTACTAAGAGGCTAGCTAGATAATATACATGAAGCCTTTTAAAGCTTCATGCAGCTGCTCATATGACTCTTCCTATCCTTTATTTGACGGATGATGATGCGAGCTACATCAGGCAAGTAGGTCGCCTTGGCGGCCCGCCTTCTCACAAATATGTAGTACAAATACAAGTGGCTATATGGTACTGTACGTGGGTATTCATCCCGGGTGTTTTGAAGCGACGGTTTCCCTTTAGGAAAGAGACAGGTCGCTTTTTGAGGAGAGAAAGGAAGGATATATCGGTACAGAGAGATCCAAGCATAGGGAAATACAGATCTGAGATGCTGGTACATAGGCATACAAAGAGGCGTAAAACGACGAAAAGATGAAACGGTATATACATGGTCCTACGAGCAGTTATGTCGACGTCGAAGTTGCAGCAAAAGGGGGGGGGAGGGAGGGGGGTAGCGTCTAACTTTCATACCACCGACTCTACACTCGCTCGTTCTCCATCTTCTCCAGCCGCTCCTCGAGGTCCTCAAGGAGAATGTCCAGCACATCATCCGCGACTTCCTCTCCACGTGCCTGCACTTCCTTCCAGCGCTCGACGACCTCACCGCCAGCGCGGCGGAGCATCCCACCGAGCGCGTTGACGGCGCTCTCCTGCGCATGGCGCAGCAGCAGCGCGTCGAACTTCGCAGCGCGCCGTGCCATGTCCGAGATCGCGAAGAACAAGTCGAGGTGCGCGCACGCGTTGACGGCGACGTGCCGGTCGATCTCCTGCGCCTTGCGGGATACGGACGAGAGGTACTGCTTGTGCGTCGGGGACATAAACGACGACGCGGGAGCGGAATTGTGTGCAGATATGGGCGGCGTCGCAAGCGCGTGGGTAGGCGGAGGGTTGGGTGCTGGAAGAGCGGGAGACGCGGACGCGCTCGGAGGGGGATGCGCCGAAGCTGAGATCTGGGCCCACGAGGGGAGCTGAGGAGTCTTGGGTTCTGGCGGAGCAGAAACGGAGCCCTGCATGATTGCGTCCTGCTCAGGCGTGCTTAGCGCAGGCTTGGGCAAACCAGCAGGTGTTGTGGGCGGAGTATGAATGGGAGCAGACATGCTAGAGCGAGGTGTGGGCAATAAGCGTGGGTCCGATGGTCGCTGAGGCGAGGCCTGCCTGGAGCAGCGCGACGCTTCATGTCGGACGGTTTCAGCACTGCCAGGTATAGGACTTCCGCCACTAATCGCAAACGGGGTCGTGGGGCTGACAGGTGTTGGAAGCCTCGTCGGCACCGAAGCGCGAGGTTGACAGGGAAGTTCTTCGATCTGCCGAGGTAGCTGTGACTTCACAAACGACAAACTTGCGAGAAGGTTTGCCGGGGTAGGCGTGGGTGGGGGTGGCTGTGAGGCACTATCGTCTGCGACGGGTGTGTGGTTTATGGAGTGAGGCGGAGTCGGCTGAGCGCCGGAGCTGCTTTGTGCAGCAGATGCAATTGTACTGTGGCTTGCAGGTAGGAATGCACTCTGGACCCTAGTGGTGGCAAGGCCCACAGCGTTGGTCTTCCGCTTTTTCCTCGTCTGCGTATCCATGTCCTCCGAAGGCCTCTTCACCGGGATTGTGCCGATTTGATCTCCATCTGCTCCGGGCGACACCGTTTTCGGCGTTCCAACCAACCTGCCGCGAGGTGAGGGCCTTGGCGTAGGTGTGGACTCAAAGGCAGGCTCCAGGGTTGTCGGTATCTCGACGCCGCCATAGCCGCTCAAGCCGTTCACCGGAGTAAAGCTGAAATGCGGAACCTCAGGCGGCTGGTTTTGTGGCGCGGGTACGGAAGGCGTAATTTGAGCCTGGGATCGCTGTGCGGTTGGTACCTGAGCTGCAGAAGCTCGTCGGCTCCGAGCACTCTCTGATCCGAGCCCGGATCCGGACGGTTTGACGGGGCGCTCCTGTTTACTCGCGGAGGTCGGTGCGGCAGATGGTATGACGGGAAACGTGGTAGATGCGCGGCCGCTACTCTGGCCGGGGCTATTGTTGGAGCGTTCGTTCTTGACGCCACCCGTAGACGAATGTGGCTTGACGGGCTGCAATGGCATGGAAAAAGGACCGGTGACCAGCATTGAGTCGGTGGCACGCTTCTCGTCAGGGGGGGTTGACTGCCTGACGGCTGGTGTAGAGGTCACAAATCCTTGTGAAGAGCGACCAGGACCAGGCTTTCGAAAAGCATTCAGAGAAGGTGCCGGTGAAGTCTTACCGTCGGGTGGCATGTTACTTGAGATTAATGGCTGCCGTTCGTTATCTGCAGGGCGTCGTGAGGGGCCTTGTGAGGGGTCTAGTGACTGCGTGGCTGTAGGCTCCGCTGGGACGGCCCCAGGCTTGGTCGCAGCTTTAGATGAAGAACTTTGGGAGGGACGGGCCTTATTGGCAGTCCCTGAGCGGACACTGGTTTGCTTCGAAGAGGAGGACGTGAATCGACTGACAGCAGGAGGTTCAGAGGAGGAGGAAGAGGAGGAAGAAGGCTCTTGAGTCCGGTTAGCAGGAAAGCTGCCAGAGAAAGGCGGCAATTTGGGGCACTCTAAGAACAAAAGAATCAGATAATTGCCACTGAATACACAGTAGAAACGCCTGCGCACCTGTGCTCATTGTCTGTCGCTTCTGAGTCTGCTTCTCTTCCCGTTTTTCTATCCTGTTGCAGCGTTCCTCAATGGACTTCTTTTTCCTCGGTGGCGACCATTTAGAGTCATTTTCTGGAAGAAGGGCTGCGTCAGATATGAACCTGAAACGGATGGAGGCTGTCATACCAGAATCCTCGTCCTCATTACGGATAGGCGTACATGGTCGATGCGCTTGGAAGCAAGGGTTGCACTTCTTGCTTGTTCTCTTTCCCCCCACAGCATGAACGCGATAACATTTCGTATCGTTTTGTCTGCAATGTGGGCAGGGAGGATCGAAAGTAGACAGTCGGCTGTAGTAAATGCGAGGTTGTTCAGTGTTGTTATTCGCAGCTAGCAGTATTTCTTCGACCTCGTCCAGGTGACGCCAGAACTGGACTTCGCTCTTTAGCTCAGCTTGGGCGTAAGCACTCCTGAAAGTTACGTCAAAGTTGCATGTACTGCAAGAGGGGTAAGCATCTTGAAAACGAATCAAGGCGTGGAGAAAGCGTACTTTTCCGCTGCGATAAAAGCGCATATACTCATGTAGCCGTCCGGTAGGGCCGTATCGTCTGCCCCTGGTCTAATTTTCTTCAAGTTCTTGTAGTACTTCCACGCTGTTAGTTTCGTGCCGTACACGGTGCAGAGACGGTCGAATGTGCCTTTGAGAGGACCTCTTGCGTCCATATTTGAGCTGAGGGTGCTTGATATTGCACAAAGAAGGAGATGCTTGTTGGCGGGAGGCGAGAATTGGAGTAGCGTGCGGTGAAGCAACCGGGTGGCTCCTTTGCACCAACAAAGCGGCTAGTGTGTTACTTCCGACAAGCCGCAGAATATTTGCTCGGGGCGGGAAGGGATGAGTATGCAGTGGACGACTGTCGATGCGGCGTGAAGCGGGATGGTGGGCCGTGGGTCGTAGATGGTCGTCGCCGTCGTCGGTGAGACTGGCGAGCCAGGGCCCAGAACACGCTTTGCCTTCAGCTGCTAGTGGCTAAGACGCGTCGCACGTGATGAGCACTTGCCACTTTGGGATTTGAGTCTGCAGCGCGCTTGACGCGGGCAGGCGACTCGACCCATTCCGACGTTGGAGAACCGAGCCCCGTTCTTGCTTCCACCTCCCCGATGGCGTCGGCAGCGATGTACGCAGCGCGATGGTCAGCGACCACAGTCTTACGTTCAGCGGGTTCGAGGAGATGTATGAGCGTTCCTATATCGCAGCCCGTGCGTCGTTGACGGACTCGTGCAGGCTTCCGGTCCTCTGCTTCACGGCAAGCCGTCTCACAGTTCGGGATGCCTGCTATGTCACCAACTATGACTGAGGGCGGAATTGCGTCGTGGAAGAAGAAGGAGGGCGAGTCTTTTTCAGCAGGAGATGTCCTGCTCGAGATTGTCAGTGAGCTCAGCATCCCAACAGTATTCTACTCACTTGGTATACGGTAGGAAACAGATAAGGCGACCATTGACGTCGAGGCTCAGGAAGACGGCATAGTGGGCAAGATTCTGGTGAGTGACTACGCTCAACGCTTCGTTGACTGCCAGCAATGCATCTGGAGCTCCGGAGCGCACTGTTGTTCCGCACCTTGACGTTGTGTCTCACGGTCGCGGCTGCCGCCCTTTTGTATCGTCCATGAAGCGAAGGCCGGCGACAGCTCGATCCAGTCTATTGTCCTGGTACGGCTTGAGTCACGTAGACTCTTGTTTGTTGCAGCCTGCCCCATTCCGGTCTTACGCCGCACCTTGCAAGCGCTCTTCGCGCGTGGCAGCAGAATGCACAGTACCTTTTACGTCGAGACACGTATGGCAGCCCGGTTTCTGACCATAGTCTACCTTAGATCCCAGACGGTACAAAGAACATCCCCGTTGGCAAAGTCATCGCCTTGCTTGCTGAAGAAGGCGACAACATCTCTAATCTCGAGGTTCCCCAAGAGCCTTCGCAACCAAAAGCGGAATCCTCTCCTGAGCCAGAATCCACTCCCACCTCTGCCTCTCCTTCGGCGACCCCTGACAAGTCTGGTGCGTCATCGGCACAGCGCCCCTCGCATGACGAGCCCTCGAGCTCGCGGCCACTCTTCCCGAGCGTGCTCCGCCTGCTGCAGGAGCACGGAATCAGCGACGCGAACAAGGTCAAGGGTACCGGCGTGCGCGGTATGATCACGAAAGGCGACGTTCTCGCATACCTTGGCAAGGCGAGCGGGCCTCTCGGCACTTGGAAGGCCGCGCTTGAGAAAGAAGAGGAGAAGCTTCATGCGGAGCGCAGGGGTGGCTCGGCAGGAGAGAAGAAGGAAGCTCCCGCTCCGCCACTGGACGGACCTGCACTCAAGCGGCTCATCGTCACAAACATGCTTGAAGCGTCGCAAAAGGCGTACAAGCCAGGTGTGTATCCCGGTGCATGCTGCGAGCGTTCATGACATTTCTGACTGGTCCTCACAGCTCCCGCGCCGGTCCCTACTTTCGACGACATCATCGCCGATTACTACCCACCGGCCCCCAAGGTCAGCTCGGCGCCCGCGCCTGCGGTGCCGCCAAAGAACGAGATGAAGAAGTCTGTGGATCTGTTCGAAGGCCTGATTTGAGTCGTTTATAGCGCATATCTCACCGGGTCCACCCTACCTGGCGCTTGCCTGTTCTGACCTCCGTCACGAGTCACCCTTGCTGTCTATCTACCATAGACCATCCTTCATAACCTACACGACGAAACTCGTGTGGGCATGCTTTGCGTATAGACTACACTACTTACGGATGAATACACTCAGCTTTCAATACGTGTAGCAGGCGCGATGAACGAACTACCGCGATCTTCTTACTCCGGCTTCTGTTCCTTTTATCGTGTGCATCAGAATTTAAGTCCTTCGGCATCTCTCGCCGCACGAAGATATAAAGGAAGAAAAGATGTATTCAAGACTACAAAACCAGAGATACTATCCACGTTCACGATTCTCTTTTTGTGTTTTTATGCTTTTCGAGTTCTTGTTTTCGGGGATTTTATCGAGCGATTTTTCTTGTGTTTTGTTGCTTTGATGGATTTTCTTGACCGTGGCCGGGACGAGGAATGGAGGCAGATATAGACAGGCGCCGGCGCGAGCGCAGCGAAAAGAGGAGGGAGACCAAGAGACCAAGAGACCAAGACCAAGACCAAGACCAAGACCAAACCTAGATGAAGACGCAGCGAGAACGCTGTATTTAAGTGTGAGTGAGATGTAGGAGATGGGTCGTCAGATATGCAGATGGTAAGGGGAGTGTCATAGGAGGTAGATACTGGCGTAGATGCTGTCGTAAATGCGAGGAAGAGGTGCCGACGAGCGCAAAGGACGAAGCCGAATGTCCAGGAAGCAGGCGAAGGTGATGTCCGGTAGTATGCAGGCGAGAGACGAATGATTATGAGCAAGTATACGGGAGGCGGCCAAGAAGGCGGCGGATCCGAAGGGAACAGGGAACAGGGAGGCAAGGATTGTATATGCAGCAAGTTGAATATCGTTGAGGACGATTAGGTGGTGACAAGTAAGTCAGTTAGGGCGATGAGCAGCGTTGGTAATGTTGGAGTTCGAGCGAGCTTGCACATTGGGATGTTGCCAGATAAGCCGAGGCGTTGAAACTGCAAGAGGCGACGTTGGCTGAGAGATATAGATATATGCATGAGAGACCAGGTAGACGAATAGTCGAGACCAAGAACCGAGACCAGGAACCAAGACTAGGAACCGAAAGTGAGGACATGTCGACCGCGGGACGAACACCTATGCAAGTGCGGGCGACGTAGGGGCAGAGGCGACACCATCAGCCAGAGGAGAGACCGCGACGGTGCGACCCATCTATTCAACAATGTCATCATCCGGCAGCTATTATGACACACGACAAGACTTACCATGCGCTTGAAGAAGCCACCAGAAGATGAAGCCGCGCGCTTGTGGACAGTCATGCCTGAAGAACCGGAAGAGTCAGAGGGAACGGAAGAGCCAGAGGGAACGGAAGAGCCAGAGGGAACGGAAGAGCCAGAGGGAACGGAAGAGCCAGAGAGACCGAAAGCGAAGGAAGAGAGGACGGACGGAGAAGTAACGAGGGCAGATGCAGGAGAGGCGTCAGCGGGGACGGGGGCATTCGGTACAGACGCCGGCACGAGGAGAGAGGTGTCCGAGGGGGTAGAAGCGAGCGACGGACTGGTTGGAAGAGCTGTCGTGTTGATCGCCTTCAGTGGCGTCTTCCGCGGAGTCTCGACGACGCGGCCGATCGAACCTCGAGCCTTCAGCGGCTTGCCCACTGTGACCCGCTCGCGATTCTCCTTCTCTGTGTCGAGCTCGTCCTTCAGGAAGCGGATTTCGGCGCTGGCGACGGCAACCCGGGTCTGCATGCTGTCGAATTCTTCGCGGAGGCCCGAGTGTGCTTCGGTTTCTGCGCTGAGCTGGGCCTTGAGCGCCTCATTCTGGTCTCGTTCAGTCTCGAGCTGTTGGCGGAGCTCGCTGTTCTGCTTCTCCTGCGCTTCCTTCTCGGCCTTGAGTGCGGCGAGCTCTTCGAGAACCACAGCAAGGATATGGGCTGTATTGTCTTGGCCCTTCTCCACGGCAACTTTGGCAAGCTTCTCGGCATCGAGTGCGGCAGTCGCCTGCTCAAGGGCAACCTGGAGCTGAGAGCGTTCACTCGAGAGAGAGTGGACCGTCTGCTGGGAGTCGGTAAGACGATCCTCGAGGTCAGCGGACTTCCTCTTCTCCGTCTCGAGCTGGTTCAGCGCGTCGCTCGCCCTAGCCTTCTCACTCATGAGTTCGCCTTCGGAAGTTTGCGCTTGCCGCTCGAGCTCAGCGCACTTGACCTCAAGCTCTTCTTCCTGTCCCAGGAGCATGTCGCGCTCGAGCTTCATCGCGTCGTAGTCCAAGGTGGCAGCTTCGGTGGCAGCCTCGAGCTCTTCGATCTGCTCCTCGAGCGACGCGGCCCTGTTGTTGGCCTGGGCGAGCTGGCCGGAGACGTTCTCGAGGCGGCTGGTGAGATTAACCGCCCTCTGCTTCTCTATATCGAGCTCAGCAGTCAGCTGGAGGACCTTGGCCTTCTCCTTCTCCAAGCGATCCTGGGACTCGGCCAACTGGGACTTCAGTTGGTCGCGTTCCTCGGTGAGGGAAGCTACCACAGAAGCCAGTTGCTGGACCTGAGCTTCGAGAGATGCGGCATTCTCCTCCGCAGCAGCTGTGCGATCGTGGGCCTCGGAGAGAGCAGCTTTGAGTTCTTCGACCTCGACGAGAGCACGGTCGCGAGCATGCCCCACATCCTGGGCGCGGCCCGAGAGAACGGCGGCTTCTGCGGCGACTGAATCAAGCTTCCGAGAGAGCTTATTGCGCTCCTCCCGTACTGTCGAGAGCGTCATGTCGACAGAGATGCGCTCAGCCAACTGGTCCGCGAATTCCAGAAGGGCGGTCTGATGCGCTGCTTTGAGCTGCTCATGTTCGTCCCGGATACCGACAAGCTCGCTGTGTTCAGCCTGGAGCTGTTTAAGCCCTTCCTGAACGCTCAACAGCTTCTGATGTTCGTCTTGAAGCTGGCTGAGCCGCGCCTCGACACCGGCGAAGTGATCGTGCTTCTGGCAAAGACCGGCCATATCGTTCTTCAGGACAGAGATTCGTTGCTCTGCGTCGTCGTAGAAGCTCTGGACCATCTTCCGTTCGCTCTCAGCTAGCTCATACTGACCTTGAACGATCTCGAAGCTGGCGCGAAGCCTCTGGAAGATCTCGACGCTGGTCGTGTACTCCTGTTGAACAAATGCGAACTCTTGAAGAGCAGCATCAAGCTGAGTGCGTGTCATCTCAAGGTCTTGATCCTTCTCCTGGAGCTGTTTCGTGTGGGCCGCGGCTATCTGCTCCTGCTTGCGCTGCACCTCCATCAGCCTATGTTCGGACGACCGCGATGTCATAAAGCTCACCACGAGTGCCATGTGGGAAGATGCAGTCCTCTGAATGAATGCCATGAGACCGTGTACGTCTTCGTCATCTTCGATGTCAAACCAAAGCGGGGGATCGTCGTCGAGACGAGCAGACATTGAAGGAGCGGAGATCTGCGCAAGAGACTGGAGATGGCTGGTCAGGGAGCGTCAACCACGCTTAGCTGCGACTCACCCCCATCGCCATTTCGCAGGCGGCCCTTCCTCCAACGTGGATGGTGTTGCAGATTTGGCTGATGACAGTGCTCATGTTGCTTGAAACTGGCGTAGTCGGAGGGCTGGGGGAGTAGCTTGAATAGTGGCGAGTGTGGTTGGATGGAAAGATGGTCAGATAGGAGTTCTACTGTCGGTTGCGCTAGTTCACCCAGTGTGGCTGACAGATCTAAGGCGAGCTTTCGTTTGACGTCGTCAGCCTCTTCCGCTCGGCGGAACTATTAGATGTGGGTCCTCGAAAATGAAAGGATGAGATATAGCTGCACAAGCTTTTAAAACAGTATCGAACATGGGGATGATCTGGAGTTTGCACAGGTCGCAGCGTGGCGGAGGCGAGAGTTGCCAAAATACATAACTCGCGCGCGTGTCGCAGATGCGCGAAGGCGCATCAGTTTGATAGACGCTTAAATCTAAGGCGCCATGAGGTTCGGGTTCGGTGTTGAGGTCGGTGTCGGCGTCGGGGAGCAGCTCAAAGGCTTTTTCCCTATCATACTGCTTACCGCCCTCTGGACGTTGCCGTCTTTTAGGAAAGTACAAATCGCGGCCTCGGAGCGTGTACAGCGCTGCACACGCGCCAGACGGCGATCTTCACGCGTAGACTCGGCTTGCGCCAAGATGGCACGGTACGTGACCAACCTCGCGTCGATGTTCATTCGTCGCTTGCACACGATTCCTCAACGATGCCGTCTAAAACATCTCGTTTCCGATACTCCAAAGGCCTTGTCTCGGGGTCCCATGCCCTCAGGCACGCGTAGTCTGACCACAAATCAATGGATGCTCGCGGTGGCGGCATGCGCGCTGGTACGTCCTCTGACGACGTCGGTACCACGTAAACATGCCTAACGAGTAGTCCTCGCAAGGTGACCCACTGGATCTTCAATCGCTGGGAGCCAACTGATATACCGACCCTCTTTATCTTATTGCTGCTCGCTCCCGCTGCGGCGTCGACACTGCTCATCCAACATCACGGCGTCACCTACGGAGTTGCCCTCACCTTCTTTACCTACCACGCCTCTCTCCTCTCATCGATCACCGTCTACCGCATCTCACCGTTCCACCCACTGGCACGCTACCCAGGCCCGTTGTTGGCAAAGGTCACCAGATGGTATCTGACGTTTATTGCGGTCGGGGGGCGTCAGCACGTTGTAACGCGGCGCCTCTTCGAGCAATATGGCGATGCTGTCCGAGTTGGTCAGTGTATGAGCCGCCGTTTAGTTCGTCACCTAATGACAGGCACGTGTGCAGGTCCAAACTAGATTCAGTTTCGGGATGCATCTGTGCTACAGACGATGATGGGCCCGAAAGGGATGCCGAAGGGTCTCAGTACGTGTAGCAAACCACTGATTTTCCGTGCCCGCTTCTCACAAGGCTGGCTTCACTCAGTGTGGCAGGTCAGGTCCTTGGAGGCAGCGAGCCCTGCTCTCATCGGCCTTAGAGATAACGCGGAGCATGCTCGCCGTCAGAGGCCTTGGAATCGCGCGTTCAGCACCGCGGCGCTCAAGAACTACGAGCCTGCCTTGATCAAGCGTGTCTCCCAGTTTGTGAGGTTGCTCGAGGAGCAAAAGCATGTCGACTTCGCGCACTGCGCGCACCTCTTCACGTAGGTCCTGCTGTCTGTTACTGTCAATACGCGTCTGTTTGACTGGTCGATGTTTGTCTCAGGTTCGACTTTATGTCTGATGCCCTGTTTGGTGGAGGGTCAGAGGTCATGCAGGACGACGACAAAGATGGCGAAGTCCATTTGACACACAGAGACTTCACGTGAGCGATGTTGTTTGCCTATGTGGAGTGATCGCTGAACAGGCATATCACATATATGCAGCTCTTTGAACACATTCCCTCGCTCGGACGTCTCGCAGGTCATCTTCCGCTCGTGGGCCGAAACACCAAGCGTTTCCTGACCATGTGCAGGAATCGCGGAGTTGCACGGCTCATGAAGGCTTCGAGCACGAAGGATCTATTCTACTGGCTGGTTCGTCGCTTCACCTTCGTCTCTGGGCTTTAGCTGAACAAAACCCGCAGAATAACGAGGACGGAAGCGAGGAGGAAGACCTACCGAAGGGGCTAGTCGCTGCCGACTCTGGGCTCGCTATGATTGCCGGGTCCGACACGACCGCTAGAACGCTGAGCACCATCGTGTACTGCTTGCTTGCCCACCCGGAGACGTATGTACGGCTGCAGACCGAGGTCGACCAGTTCTACCCACCAGAGGGGGACTCGCTCGACCCGAAGCACCACACCAGCATGCCCTACCTTGAAGCAGTCATGTACGTGCGCTTTACTCTCTCACGCATGCTGCAACGCTAAGCGAGGTGCAGCAACGAGGCCATGCGTCTTTACCCCATTGTCCCGAGCGGGACCCAACGTGCGCCTGAGCGCGACTCCGGCGGATTCGCCGCAGGTCCATGCAGCACCGCGCGCAGCCGCTGATTACGCCTTCTGTTCCTACCAGTTTCATACCCGAGTGGACATCGGTCCGGGCGCCGACGTGGTCTCTGCACCGCGACGCACGCAATTTTGCGCAGCCGGACGCGTTTCTCTCCGAGCGGTGGCTTGCGCCCGAGGACCGCGACACCACCGCACCAGCGGGCCCAGAAGGTGTGCACAACACGCGGGCGTTCGTGCCGTTCTCGTGCGGGCCGTGGAATTGCGTTGGGAAGAACCTGGCGATGGTGGAAATGAAGGTCGTGCTGACGCACATGCTGCAGCGTCTGCGGCTGCGATTTGAGGAGGGCTTCGACTGTGTCGCATAGGAGAGTAGCTTAGAGGACCAGTTCAACCTCATCATGCCGAGGTTGCCTCTCGTCATCGAACGGAGGATATGAGGCTTGATAACTTGTTGCACGCGTTTCTGTCTGCCGTGTATACAACCTTGTACGCACGCTTCATACCTCTGGTTTCCGCCAGGAGACTCATCACACAGTCGGACATAGGGGAAGAAAAAGAGGCGCAGTATTTGGAAGCGCGGCACCAATTCACAAAATCAGGGCTACTCAATCCCAGTCTACGGTCCTCTTTTTGTGGTCGTTGCGTTCATAATCCAAGTTCCCCCCTGTTCATCAGCTCTATTCCTGCGTTAAGAATTCAGCAACAAATCTCATGTACGCCTCGCGCTCCTCCCAGAATGGCATATGGCTGCTATTGGAGAACGTGTACCAGCGCGCATTAGGGATATTCCAGAACAACGCTTTGACGACCTCGTCTGTGGCCTCGTCGTCCTTCCCGTTTATCACGAGCGTTGGCACATTAATCTTGTGCAACTCCGGGGTGATGTCCCAGTGCTTAAGCGAACCTGTGATGTGGAACTCCGAGGGACCGACCCTGGCAATGCATCCATTAGCCACGGGGAGGACCGAAACTACGGTGAAACGAGAAAGCGTACATGGTGTGGTACACCGACGGTTCCTTCTCCGTCATCTCAAGGGCATGCAGGAACTCGGTTGGCCATGGTTCTAGCTGTAGCACATACGCCTTGAAAAACTTGACGATCGCGGCCTGATACTCCGGGCTACTAGTCGTTCCATACTTCTCATGCTTCTCCACGACGTCCTACGTATCTCAGTTAGCATTGGCAGCTTCATCATGAACTTGGGACCGGCTCTCACCTGGGTTTCTTTCGGCAGCTTTCCCAGGAGCTTGCGCGCCGACTCGGCCCACGTCTCCATACTCGCGAGCGAGTCTGTGAGAATAAGCCGGCGCAAGCCTTTGGGGCGCTTGCACGCGATGCGCTCTGCAAGCATGCCTCCCCAACAGTGCCCGAGCACATGGTACTGCTCAACGCCAAGGTGCCTGAGCAAATTGTAAAACTCGTCCTCGAAGAGCTGCTCCGTCCAAAACGCTTCGTCGCCGTTCTTCTCGGGGAGATGTGTACTGCGTCCGGCGCCAATGGGATCGTAGAATATAACGGTGAAGTTATAGGGTTCAGCAGCAAGGTCTCCGAGCGGGATTATGTAGTCGTGCGAGAAGCCAGGTCCGCCTTGCACCGCCACAAGCGGCGGCTTCTTGCTCGTCTTGAGATCCCCGACGATTTTGTACCATGTTATGCACGGCTTTTCGACGCCGGGCACGCGGAAGGGTACCTCGCCTTCTGTTACTGGGGCAGTCATCTCGCGGGTGGGGTGAGCTGAGGCGTCAGGTTACGGCGAGAATGAGAATATATACGCTTAGGCAACCACCCGCACGCCTCTCGAGGAAGAAGGGCGGCTTGATTTGCGATAGGGAACCGGCATCGCAAAATAATAATTCGCGTGCTGGCAGTTCATCTTCGGTGACCTCAGACAGTATACGATATGACCAAAAGTTCAGGTCACGGTCACGGGGCCTCTGAACAGGCCGAGGTTGAACTGGTGGTCACGGTCACGATAAGCCGATGAACCGGTTGCGAATTAGCGTGACTCGGGCGCTTTTCAATATATTCGGCATTTTTCCCCGAATTTTGATCGTCGCACAAGCTCAATGTTTTCTTCGGAGCACACAATTAGCCCGTGAACTACTACTCAACTAGAACCACATATATTGCAAGAAATATCCTCCCCCTCGTCAGTTTCGTGTGCACGGTCCGTGTTATCAGGCCAATCAACACCTAGGACGGCCTTGGCAAAGGCAACCAATGTGTCATCCACTGCACGAGGATATCCAGAGGGAGATACACTGTTAGAACGTGCTCCTTGGCAATATACACGGGGTAATGCTCGCATCAGAGCAGTAGTCCCGGCAGTCACAGATATCCGGATATACCGCTTCGTCCTCGCGCGGGCGAAGGTGCGAGAACCCTTCTTAAGCCCAAGAGTTCGGCCTAATACACACGTGCTCCCGACGGCGGCCTTGCCCAACGCGGCCTGCGCCCGCCTTAGTCGCGGTTGGGTCCCCATGGAGCGCAGCGACCGGACACAGCTGGCGAGCCCAGCACATCAAGCTATCCGGAGATGCGGGCGCATCAAGGGGCCAAGAGCGTATAAATATTATGGACGCCCATCGTAGACAAAGCTGGATGATGTTATGTGTCTTACATCACAGTCGCGCATGGTTATCCGTTCCCGGGTCTGAAGTACGGTCAATCGTCACCCCGGCGTATACTCTATATAGTCCATGCCAGCTCTAAGCAGTCTTATATCATTAGAAAGCGGGTTCATCACATTATATATAAATGCACTAACAGAAGTTGCGGGACAGCCTTGCAGAATGGACCTCCCGAGCAGATCTGTGACTTGCAGAGCGGCTCCCTACGACGAGAACTGGCCGTATGCTGTGCCGTCGGTTCTTTATTGGCGACCGTTGCTCCCGTCGTTCGGTCTCCCGGCGCCGTCGTTTGATCTCCCAAGATCGTCGTGCTCAATGATCGCTCATAGGGCCCTAGGGACTCAAGAGTTGCTGTATCGTCAAACCAGGACATTTAGTGGTCGTGCATATAGGGAAAAGATCGTTGCACGACCGTACCGCCCCGATGAAGTCATACCCGGTGAAGTAATCGCGTTATATACTATTCTGCCCTACGACTCTTCAACCTGCCGCTGTCGGCGGCGCATGTCTATCAAGGCTGGAGCATCGCCTGGTTCAGTTGGAAAGCACCTCTGGCCGAGCCCACGAACGATATGACAGCGCCTGACAGCAAGCGTCGTGCGGTCGCCACTTCTGGCGGCTCCCAACTTGAAAGGCCCCCCGTAGCCTCGCTCGCCGCTGTTTTCCAAAGCATTAGCGGTGGCACAAACCCAGAGAGCACCACCCCTGGCTCGAAACCCCAAGCCTCAACCGCACCCGCCCCCTCGCACGATGAACAGACGCACCTCGTCCTGGCCTACGAGAAAGCCAATGAGATCCTAAGCTACGTCGAGAAGCAGGTCTGCGAGGAGCTACGGCTTGAAATTCTCGTGCAAGAGATGGGAAGCTTTCTGCAGGAGCTCGGCTGCGGCAGTGAGCCGCTGGAGACCGTACTCGAAGTGGAACGATTCCGAGGATGATGTGCGCCGCCGTTGTGCGGAAGCCTGTCCAGGCTGCTGTTCCCGAGGTCGCGTCATACGACACATCGAAGCACAAAGATGTCCGGCTTCGGATTCTGATAAAAAGCCTTGGAAGTCGTCTGTCAAATCCCCTTGCGTTCGCATGAACAAATGCTTATACCATTATTGTTCGGTCGCATATTTCTCTTGTGTACCTGTGTCAATGTCAGAATCGTTCTTACTCTACGCGATAGCCTGTCTCGCAATCACGGACCGTACGATGGCGTAGTAAACTTGGCTTCTGTGAAAATAGTACATGCACACACGGAATGCTTCTCAATATGTCATGGTACGAAATGTGCAGCGGCCAGACGTGCAGAAGATTGCGTGTTACTCGCTCCTACGCGCTTTCCAGGGTTGCCGCCATGTCCCGCTCACCACTTCAAACGTTGAGTTGCTTGTCTTATATATACGCCACATAAGCTTAACAACATCGAGCATGTATGATCCGACGGCCCGTTATTCAAAGGCACATATAAGCGCACAATACAGTTTCAGATCGGGTTAGCCAGCATCAGCTCAGTGAGTAAACTCATGCCGTCCGCTCTGAAGGTGTCCTCCGTGATATTCAACGGGACTGGTCCGTCCAAGAAAGTGAGGAGCTGCGGGCTCGACGTGCTGTACGTGGGCCAGCTCAGCAGACCTGGCCCGTTCGGGTCGAGGTTGTTCACAAAGTTGACTAGGTAGTCCGTCATGTCCCCGTCGAAGTAGACGTTGAGGATGTCTGTCCCGTGCATCTTATTTGATGATCAGTTCCAAACGGACTGCCCAAAACGCTTTGTGACAATGCTTACGCTGCCGACTCCGGGGAGAGACTTGTATCTCTTGCTGACTACGAGACCATGAGACAGAAGGCTTCGGAGAATGGGACAGGTCGCTTACGGAAGGCATAAGTGGTCTGTTTGTCGGAACGGTTGGCCAGGAAGAACCGTCGAGGTGCTTGGAACACCATGTCACCCTGTATCGCGGCCAGGCGCTTGAACTGTGGGGAAAGCTGGTTAAGGTCACCCGTGTCGAACGGAGAGCCCTGCGCAGGATCTTGCGGGTAAACCTCCATGAGGGCATCGACCTGGGATGACGCAGTGTCTGGAAGGTAGTAGGTCGTCAGGTACTCCCGCACCTCATCGTCCGTCCTGCAATGTTTGTCCTCGGTGAGATTAAGTACATTAGTAATAAGACAGGAATTCGCACGTGACATTCAAAGAGTATAATGAGAAGGCGGTGCCTTCGTCATCAACATCCTGGCAATGAGATGGTCGGTGAGCCAGGGGCCTAGTAGAAGAAGATTCCGGTGCTCACCCCTGTCACGAACGGTATGCTGGCTACGCTCCCCTGAGTGACAAGAGCTTGGGGACCATATGGTAGGAATGCGCCATCAGCCCGAGGCATCCAAGCCAGGTCCAACGACTAAATACATGGGACACTGTAAACAGAAGCCGCTTCTGCATTGCGCGGATGAGCTTACCTGCAGCGAGTCGATTGAGGGTGACTGGTTCACAGCAGCCATCAAGGCATCGAACGGCACCTCGCGCAAGCATTGCAGAGTATCGGCGGCACCTGAACAGCCTGTCTCAGAGACCAAAGCGTCGTAGTATTTCTGTCCATGCGTGATGTCGCCGACGGGGATAGGCGAGCCTGACTCCATAAAGGCGCCATGGAATAGCCCTTCGGTGTCACCGCCGTTGGTCAGCATTTGCAGCGAAACAGAGATTGCGCCTGCAGACGCGCCCCATCTGCGGTCAGGCGGCTTCAGTACAGCCAACTTGTACTGCAAGCGTATACTCACATAGTCACCCTCGATGGGTCGCCGTTGAAGGCAGAGATGTACTTTTGGACCCACCGCAGAGCTTGACGCTCTGTAATACGGGAGAAAATGAGAGTGTCAGTGCCACTGCCTCGGTCACGAAATGGTGACTCACGGTCTCGCAGGCCGAGATTACCAACGCCAGCGTCTTTAACTTCTTGACTTGCTAGGAATCCAAAGGCTAGACACAATTATGCTCTTCATTGAGAAGCAACTAGGTCGAGAAGAGCTATGACTTACCCGTGTTCCTATATCTATTCAGCCTCTACCACTTTATCTTGCTATGAAGAAGCACTCACCGATAGTTAATGCTCACGTACACCACTGGTTGGTTCATCTCGACGGAGCGAGAGACAATGACACTGCCGTCGTACCTGTACAAATTGTTAATAGACTGGTGTTTGCAACCGTAAAGAGGCACCTCACGAATTTGGGCTATCGGCTTCAAATCCACCTATCATGAGTGGCACCCCACCGTGAGGATTGAGACAGCACGAGCGTGGCGGCAGAGGACTTACCACCAAATATCCACTGGCATGGCGCAGACATTAGTATTGAGTGCACCATCGCCAAGGACTGCGTCAACTTACGACGACCACTGGCAACTGAGTACCGGTGGTGATATTGGCAGGTGTCCAGACGTTCAAATTTAAGCCTGCGGGAAGTGATCAGCTATATCGCTGTGTATGCTGAAAAACGGACGAACAGTCCTCGCCGCTGGGCGTCGACGTATTACCGAAGGTCTCCAGAAGGAGCTCGGTGACGTTGTTGATTATGCTGCTGGGGAACGGTTGCTGAGGAGGAGGAGCGACTTGCTGAGGACAGGCAAGTCCAAAAGATGTCGCGTCGTAAGTGTCGTTGTATGGGTCGTTGGGTACAGGGAGACTGAAGCGAAGGTCCCCGATCCTACATACACGGCCCATCAGCGAGATTGAGCGTCCACAGAGTAATGTACCTACGGAGGTTGTGCGAAAGGCATCCCAAGGAACATATTCGTCACACCATCAGGAGCCCCGATAAAGGTTCCCTGGTCGAGTGTGACAGAAGGAGGACTCCTGGGGGCGGGAATAGCTGAGGCCAGAAGAGTATGCCCTCCAAGCAGTATGAAAGTGAAGCGAAGCGAGGGAAGCATTGTGGAGAAGGCAACACAGTGCTACTCTGCTATGTGCAACTGAGTACAGAATCATGGCTTTTATACCTGTTCTGAAAGCCCGGCCCATGATTTTGGCCGGCGACGGGCAAGCGGGAAACCGCACTTTAGGCGATTTGCACATTGACGCGGCGTCAAAAGATCGCGCATTGCTCAATCAGAACACCTGAACACTGCATGCTCGGCGAGCTGATTGAACCTTCATTCATGATTAGTAGAATTTGATGACGAGATGCGGATGTCCGAAGACTTAACTTACAATGAACTCAGCATCGGGTGCTGCCGCCGGATAGCGCCACTTCAAGTACGTGCGCAATGATTTGCAGGCTGAACAACACATCTTGAGCTGCTCATGTTCATTATGAACGAGTTGACAACCGATGCGTCAGTCTGTCGGCGACACTCATGAGAAAGCGATGCCAATCAAGTGCGCAGCACTGCAAGGCACCATGCCATTCCTTCGTAGCCTGCACAGCCAATAGGAGTAATAAGAAGATCAGAGCAATGACGGCAGTCGCCACATATATCTATCGTCTCATGTCGGTGTGGAGCAAATCTTCGGCGAGTCCGAACCACGGTTTGTTTTTCTGTCTTGTACTTGTCCGACCAAGGAGGCCAATTGTGCGTCACATGCCCGACGCAAGCCCCATGTCATGGCGGCCGCTTTGTGCGCAACACAGAAGCGACTACTGTAGGATGGGTGTCACAGGTCGTATCCTGGCAGACCTACGGGGTCGGACAAGTATAGCAATGTCACAGGGGATCTGGGACGTGCCTGGCAAGTGACTTGGCGACACGCATCGATATTTCCCATCGGACCTCGAACACCCAGCACGAGCGCGAGAGAAGCCGAGAGGCGTCGACATGGCGGAGCAAGTCACGGCGGAAGGGCTGAACCAATGCGCATCAAATAATAAGCGCCGAATCATCGGGAAGCGGCCTTCTGCCAGTGACTCTGAGATGCGAAAGGCAGAGAGACCATATATTGCGATAATTTGCGTTGAACACCACAAGGAGCATCAATGTTACGATAAAGATGCCCAGACCTTTACTTTATTTCCCTCCTCGTACGACCGGCCCTCGAATGACCGCGTGTGAAAGCTCCGCATCGATGTGTACGAACGAGGCGTACTTAATCGGTCAATGGAGTCTTCGCCATGAGAGCGAGCATCTCCCAGCCAATGTTCGCAGCGGCGATTTGCGTGATTTCGTCTGTCAGGCGCAAATCAGTGCGCCGGTCAAGCTACTTAACCGTATGCAAGCTTACCCTGTGTGTCGTAGCCTGATTGATGGAGGTGTTGATGTTACCACTATGCATCAATGTAGGGAAAGAGAAAGTACCTGGTGCGACTTCTACAATGTCGGCGCCGACGATCTTGAGGTCAGAGAGACCGTGTAGAATCTTCTTGATTTCCTAAAAGCATGTGTTAGCGGCAACGTTATCAGCGTCTCTGCATTCTGCGCCTACCCGAGTAGTGAAACCACCGATCTCGGGGCTGGGAAGTATAAGAGACCGTCAGCGGTGGCTCTATAAGCGCAAGCTCAACGGGTACGTACGTTCCAGTCCTACAAGTTTCTCATGATGGTCAGCTACAGCACATAGCTGTTCGTGGTAAGGGTGACGTACGCTGGCGCGAAGCTCGGGTCCAGAACGTCGATGTCGAGAGTAATATAGACGGGATTTTCACCAACAACCTCCTTGATGCGGTCGACTATCCCTTGGTAGCCCACCTCTTCGATGTCTTCAGCGTAAGAGATCTGGAATCCGACCTCGGCGTCGTTCTCCTCATCTTCCCAGCCATGAAGAGCGTTGCGGATACCGACATGCTGGTCAACGTTGAATATCCTCCCAAATGACACATGAACAATGGATCCACTTACGATATTGCTCTGATTCGCAGCCATGAGCCCTTCCTGGTATGCGTAATAGAAATAGCTGCCATGTGAGACAGGAATTTCCTCGTCGGGGAGCCAAGGGTTGTCAGGGCCATCCCAGGTACGAGGCTTCCATGTGTCTACCCTGGGACATGAGCAAGGATTTGTCAGGAATGGACGTGTATGCGAACCAAGATGACTATCGAAGTGAATGACGCTGTAGGGTGTATCAGACATCATGTACACGAAATGGCACCTTTCGGCGGATACCTAACAGGGCCGTACACTTCCGCTACACCACGAAGCAGAGGCAGAGTGATTGTGTGGTCGCCTCCCTGTTAAAATCCTTACTTAATACGCCGACCGAATATCTGTATGCTGTACACACAAGAGTGAGAACGCGTGGGTGAAACTTTCCATCTTTCGCGATGCTCTTTGCTCCCGAAGCTAGATAGGACGATGACCTCAGTGATTCGCGAGACAGAAGTGCGGAGTTTGCAATCTCTAGCTGACGCAGCGCGACTTTGTTGTCGACAAAGACCATTGCTATCGTGGGAAGGATCAGCAAATATGAGTCGGTCAGCGTGACGTTCGAACTCACGGACATCACCGCAGTCGACCACATCCAAGTGATCACTGATACGAAGCTTCATGGGGACATTGATGCCCTCTATTCTAATACGACGCGACCCCTGGCGGATGCCATTCGGTCCAAATCGCGCTCTGGCTGTGTATTAGAAGTAAACAAAGAGACGAAGGATCCAAGAATGCTAACCCAGGGCGGTAGCTGGTAGCAGTATCAAACGGAGCACCTATATTCCAGTCAATATCGCTATCACGCTGAGAGAGCAAGACTTACCAAGCACCGCAACATCATACGCGACATCTATATCATCTCCAAAGCATCTCAAGGGCTTCGCACCTGCATAGCTCGTGAGGCCGTTCCATGACTGCTTCGACCAGCCATGCATGGGTCCGGACTTCGAGTCGACGGGTGAGGCCGGCGCAAAGACGGAAGTGAAGTTCACCTCGTTGGCGAATGCTTGCTGAGCAGCACGACTGCTCGCCAGAGGGTGCTGTTGAGCCGAGGCATGCGCGAGCAGGAACGCGGGAAGCACAGCAAGGAGAGACGCGAGTGCTTTGTCGACCATGGCAAGGTGATTCTCAGTGTCGAGACGCAGTGTCTTACACACAACTCGGTATATATCGCCCGCCTTACCGAGCTTATCTACGGCATCCACGGCCTTCCCGCATGCAGACCGTTTGCACAAGCCTATGCGTAGATAAGCTGTGAAAGATATGCTAGAACCCAGCGGCTAACGTGATAACGGGATAGGAGGCGCACTGAAGAGCGGCCTGCACTACCAGAGGACGCGACATGGTATATAGATGCCGCCAGGCAGGACTCTTCGCAAGAGTTGAATGTAAAGGCCGCATCCGGCCGCGACACGCGCGCAACTGATAATGATACACGGAAAATTCCGATCAGTATCATTCCGTGCTCAGCCGTGTTCTCACCGAAAGTCTCCGACTCCCCGCGTCTGCAGGCCTAAGTTGATCGTCGAGAAATGCTTCACAATTCGGTATGTAGAGCAAGAGAAGTAGACTGTTACAAATATTCTGTTTTATGACCTTCATAGCCAAAGTTGATAACCGAACTTCGATCTGTAAGTTATCACACATGCTTACGATGAACATAAAAGCAAAAAGTCTTGACACGCGCTGTATCTGTGGCTACTAAGTGGTAGTATACTATACGCAACATATGATTCAGTATCTGAGAAGGGGTGTATCGTGGCATCTACCGTTGAGAGGAGCTGAAGAGCGATAGACGCTTGACGCCACGAAGTCCCCGAGAAGCGCCGGTATTCCACGCCGCACGACATCATCATAAAACTCCTTGATCAACAACCAACCATTCCTGTTGTGGGGGAGGCGTCGGAGTGTGCTTATCGGTCGAAGAGTTCTGTTCAGACCAAGTCGGTGAGCTTGAGAGGTCACGTCTCATGCAAATTCCGACTTACCCGGATAAAAATGAGCGACTCTTCCGTGGTTGCCACCTTATCAAATGTCTTCCAACGACGTCCCATCCACCACTTTTCTTTGTACTCCTCTGAATCCTCGTCGCCGTCCAGATCGATAGGCACATTAAAAGTCGAATTTAGAGGTTCACTGGTGCCGTCTTCTCGTAGGATGACTGCCAGCCTTCGGTGTTTTCGCACCACGAGTTTGCGAGAAACATTGAAGCGACTTCGTCGTTGATTGGAATGACGTCGCCCGTAAAGTCACGGTACGGGAACAGACTGACCTCGGGCATTCCCTGGCCCGTCAAATTGAGCCCGCGCATCCTCTTCTTTGTCCATGCAATACATGAGTTTTGCGTTGGCAAGCTTATGGCTGTAGAAACCTATAGTTGAGACCTTCTCACTATCCTGGTACTGCCTGTCGAACCCAAGATGTCGAACGCGGCTGCGGTAGGGAAGACTTGTAGGGACAGACGCATCCTCGTTCACGAAGTAGGCATTTGAGAAATAGTCGGGAAGAGTTGTGGGTTCAATGACATAGGTGTCGCCGTCGGCCAGCCCAGGACGGTAGGCTCCTCCTTCTTCCTTCGCCCAGACTGGCTGTGTGACATCTCCATCCCTAATGGCCCGCTCGATCTCATCAGCGTCCAAGTCAGAATCCAAGACTTCTACAGCGCCGGGGTATGCGTGCCTACGAAGATATTCACGTAGGTCATGTTGTTCGTCGTCCATCGTCTGAATGTCCTTTTCGAGGTAACTATAGCGGACAATGCGGGTGCCGTAGGTGTAAGGAGACCCGGCCTCATCATCGTCGCAGTACTCTGAGATGAAGATGCGCGCGGAGTGCGGAACCCAAGCAGCCCAGGGATAAACCCTTGGTTTTCCGTCCGTTCGCGCATCGTCGGCATCGACGTAAACTTTCGGTTAGGATACAAACCGTCACGATGCGTGTCGGCCGGTAGGAGAAAATGTCGTCTTCCCACCAAAAGTTCATCTGTAGAGAGATAACCCTGTCGGCATGCGGAGTGGATACGGTAGGCTGGGAAGCCAAGACAAAGTTTCTTATGCATGGCCCTCGGAGAGCAGGTAGAGTAAAAATCCAACACCGCGGAGGCTGCACTGTCCCGGCAAGCTCGATTACGGTTATGGCCGAGAACCGCGCTTCGTCGAAAGGTGGCACCAAGGGTCCCAGGAACGCGTATTTCTCTTCGAGAAGTGTAGATGCCAAGCAGTGTGCGTGCTTTTCTGACTGTGACACGCCATATCAGCTACGTTCTCTGTACCGTATGCAAGAGGACCCACATATATCTCGACACTTTGCTTCCAGTTCCAGACCGAGACGGTAGCCTGTTTGTCCTCTTCTCCTGCACGAATGCCCGAGGAAGATCCGCTGATGGCGACATCTTCAGGCCATGGATCCTCGGAAGCAACCCTGAGAGTTTAAAGTGCAGCAGATGTATGTACTTTGCCGGTGGACATGGAGAGCAAATTCAGCACACATCTGAGATAACGTAGAGCTGAGATATGCTGTACCGGTTGTTGTTTCAGGATACACGTACGTATTATCGCCATTTTCAGGTTCAGAGACGACCACCAGCAAGTCATGTGCGGGGTCGATTTTGTATGTGAATATCCTGTTAACTGGCACTGTCACTTGTCAGTCATGCTTGGGGAGGTTCAACAAGCCGGTACGCAAACTGGCATGGCGGAACATAAGCTGTTTTCGCCCTACTTGACGTGCCATATGCAACAATACCCCACCTCCAAAAGGAATAGTCCGGACAGGGCCAGCACGCGGCTCGAAGAGGGAAGGAAAGGAAACGGAGGTCGCCGTCGCGTTGCATCGACGTTGCAGGATTAGTGAGTGAACAGATGGTTTAGGCCTGTTATATAGGACTATAAATGACGGATTATTGAACGTCCGTCGCTGGGATCGCCATATTCGAACGGACGACGCTTAGGCTTACATGAACGAAAGGACGTTTCCCGAAGAGCATCGCGAACTGTGCACGAGAACGGTGTAAACAGCCTGTATACAGGTCGCCAGCGAGTATCATACCTCTCGTGAGCCTGCGCATCGATGCCCAACGCGATGTTCGAGCAGGATGTGGAAGAAGTTCGACTGCTCCCTGAGCTGCCTGAGGTCCAGCTCGCTTTCCAGTTCCCCGCTCGGTTCTGTGTTGGGTTAATTAGCGCCTTCTACTCCGCGGATTCTCTCCAAAGCAATTACGTCTTGTTATTGCTGATATCTCTCGCATCTAGCTTTGCAATACCATGTAATTAATTTCGCCCCTTGTTCATCGCGGCGAGGGCGAGAGCAAAGGCAGCGACCGTGAGAATTATGTTTTATATTCCATCAATATGATAAACGCCTTGAAACTTTATCCCCGCACTGTCCTGCGCACACAGTCCACGCTCTCGCTCCTCGGCACACCAACAAAAGTACAGGTAAGCCTCTTTGTTACCTGCGTAATGTCATAACGTTATGTTTGGAAGGATGAAACGCACTGGGCTCTGATCTTTCCAGATGTCATGCACTACGCTTTACAAAGCGGCGGCCTAGAAAACCGTTAACTGATCTACACCTTTTCCGCTTCATCTCTGCCGAGTGTACAACGAGGTCGTTGACGAGACTACTTTCAGATATACATTATCAGTAATATAACGTGTTCGTAAAGATGCAACAGGCACCGGGCGAAGACGATGCTCGAGTTCAAGACTACTGCAGCAGGTTGGACGAGATGAGGAAGAGCATGGCCTCGGTTAGAGAGGTTGTCAGGTCTTTGCAAGAAAAGTACGTCTATGTTCCGTACCAACAATGTCTGTTGCTTACCATCGGCTTGTAGAGTGAATTCAGACGAGTTCGACACGAAAGACGGCATTTCACTTCTCTCTGTCAAGTCTCAGCTCATGCTGTCATATCTTCAGTCGCTGGTCCTTCTCTCTGCTCATCGTGTCTTAGGCCATCCTTTGACCGAGCGCAGCCCCCCAAAGGAACCTTTTTCCTCCACATCACGCGCCGCACGCGGCCCTGGCGCCGGTGACAGAGTCGATTCAATGATTGAAGGACGGGTCGTCCTGGAGAAGATCAAGATCTTGGAGAACAAAATGCGCTATCAGATTGAGAAGCTCGTTCGTGTCGCTGAGGAATCGCCAGAGACTGCCAATAACATTGTCAACGGTAAGCCTCACTGCATCATTTACGATGTACCAAAGGTGACACCGGCATGCAGATCCTCTTGCGTTCAAGCCAAACCCCGCCGCACTCATGAACCAGGAGATGAGCGAGGAAGAAGAGGAGGTTGAACGCGAGGACAACGAACAACGTGATGGCATATATCGACCACCCAGGCTCGCGCCAATGCTATACACCGAGCCAATCAGGGGCAAGGACAAGAAACGCTCAGGTCCAGCTCCAGCCGCACTCTCCGCCCTTACGCGGCTGGACCCCGCGATGCCGCACCTGGAGTCGACATCCGGTCTGGGCAATACCCCAGCGCTGGCATCCAAGCGTGCGCAGGAGCTGCAGCGCATGGCCGAGTTCGAGGAGGAGAACTTCACGCGCCTGGTCATGAAGAAGAAGGACATGAAGCGCCGCAAACAGGACGAGGCCAACATCGCTCTGGGCGGCATCGGCGTGTCGGGGCGACACGGCCGCGGCGGCGGTCTCGAGGATGAGTTCAGTGATATCCTCCGGTCTGTCGGGCGCAGCCGCGCTGGCGTCGCCGGCGATGGCTATGAAGAACTCCGCCAGAAAGGGCGCAAGGAAAGTGTTCTCGCGCGCTCCCGCGCCAGAACCCGCGACGACATCGTAGACGAGCTGGCAGACGACGGACCCCGCCAGCGGAAGAAAGGTCGATTCGAGAAGGAGGTCAAGGCGACGAAGAAGAGGATCGCCAAGAGCAGGCGCTGAATACCTCACTTGTAGGCGTACTGTGCGTTGCAGACGAACGCACCCGTTCCACTTTTCATCGGACTGCAGGTAGTGAGAGAATTCACAGCTGCTCCCGGCGCGCATTCACAAGCATCCACTACGTAATTTCCTCTGCAATTATCCACGTCCCTCGGTGGGCTTTGAAGTTCCTCCGTGCCAGTGTCACTTATTTGCGATGAAGACCGGCTCTAACCCTTGGACACCTGTCGCCTTAGCTTTCTACATACGCATCTCCTGACCAAGTCTCTCACGGCACTATGCCGCGACGGGCGTGCACCACAGGAAGTGCCGTTTGCTGCTATTATGTTACCCGGCGATATACACCTACAAGTCCGGCTCCTCTTCACGCCATCAGTAGACTGCTGGAACGCCATGGCGCATCGGGGAATTCATTACTTGAATCAGTCGAGGTGGTTGTAATTTCATTATGATGGTAATCTGGGACATTTAGTCGTATCCCTCGGCCTTTGAAATACCTCCCTGTCAGCATCACTTATCCACGATGCACACCGGATTTAAGTGTTGACCACCAGCAACTTCAGCTTTCCCCGTGCCTATCCGCTGTCTACGCTTCTTACGGCACTACTCCGTGACAGACACGTGCCATAATAAGTGCCGTTTACTATCGCCATGATGTACGCATACTGATGGTGCTCTTCTTCGCCCGGTCGCTTGACTGTCGGAGCTCGACAATCCAACGGCATTCGTCGTATATAACCATGTCTGCGTCGAACTGAAGACAGTACAGAACTCGATCTGTCCCACCTCTCTCAAACATTCCAGCACATCATGGTCTCGAAACTCTTCTCCCTCGTTCTCCTTATGGCCACTATTGCTTATGCACGGGACTGCACCTGGTTCGGTAAGCGTCTTTACAGCAGTACATACTCTCAGTTCACCGACCACCATCCAGGCTCTGCACCGCTCTGTAACGGCCACTGCGAGTCCCCACACAGCTTTCAGGTCACCCGAGGCGAGGGTGGTGGCGGCAACGGTAAGCCACCATAGCAAGCAACATGTCCCCAGCTCTGGCTAACGCACACGCTTGATCCAGGCGCCATCTGTGCGTCGGGCCACAAAGTTTTCTGTTGCACTCAATCTGACGCGGGTGCCGGTTGTAAGCTCGCGCTTTCGCTATCGGGTGTGCTAGGCTGACACATATCCAATACAGGCTCGTGGCACGGTACAGCCCCATTGTGCGCTGGAAAGTGTCCCCCGGGCACGGAGCAGGTCACCACCGACGGCTCTGGCGATGGCGACACATGCCTTTCCGGCAACAAGGTCTACTGTTGCCCGAGTAAGTCTCTTTCATGACACGCTCCAATCACAAAGCTCACCGACGCTCCCCCGCCAGGTGGTACCGAGTTCGCGACGAACAGTAAGTGCGATATGTGCAGTTTCTTGCAAGATTTACTGACAAGACCGCTGCAGGCTCTGCTGTGCATCACAAAGAGGGCAAGGACTTTGGCGATGCCAGCCACCACGTCGCCGGCCAGGCAGTCATCGGCAAGGCTTCGGACCTGTAGGATGTCAACGGAGACGGCTCTTGCTACGAGATAGCGCGTCTGTATTTACGTTGTGTAATGGGCTATGCCTTCAATAGGGTAGTATCTCGCTTATATCGCCAGCGAGAGGTGAATTCGTGATCCAGTTCAGGGTTTCTTGTGACGTCTTTGACGAACCGATGGTGCTAGCTTACAGCGGGATTCTGTACAACGGCGGTCCCCGCTAGTGGAACTGTACGTTAGAACGGCCATTCGAGCCTATCCGGTGCCGTAAGGTAAATACTTCGTTGGCGATATCCAACATTCACTTTTGGGTACCTTCCATACTAGACTGCGCAGAGCATAAACGTGCACCGTAATTGGAGCGAACGAGGCGAAGGAATACCCTCGTGGTTAGGTATCTGAGAAGCGGTCATCGTGCTATCCGCAGGCTGTGATTGTCTCAGTAAGCATCCTTGCCGTTAGCACAAAACCTTTTGTCCACAGCCTGAGATTATTAACCAAATACTACGCCGTTCTGCAAAGTTCCTAGTCCGCAAAGTAGAAGAGGACCACAACTTCATATATACTCATATGCATCTGTCACGATACGAAGCCAGGGTTTCCAAATTTCGAATTCGCAGACATAGGCTATGACATTACATCTTTTCCGCATACGTGCGTCTAATCGTCTCATCTGCTCCGCCAATTTCTCTGATTCGACCCTCCGCCGGAGCCCCGCTGCGAAGGCACGCTGAAGAACGTCGGCGGGGACTGCGTGCCAGAGGGAAGCGACATCCCCATAGGACTGAATTGGCCCGTCATGAATGCTGACTGTAGGACATTCGATGGCACTTGTCCCGAAAATTGAGGCATGAGCATCCCCGCGTGCGGTGTCGTTGTGCCTGACGATGGGCCCACGGGTACACTCGATAGCTGTGCTTGTGTGGCTCCTGGCTGCGGTGGGGGCTTGTAATTCTACACAGCGTCGAGCGTAAGAGGATGGCCATGGAGAGCAGTTGCAGCACTCACGTATTGTTTACCTTCCCGGTATAGCTCCTCTAGTTTCTGGTCGAATGCATCCTCTTCCTCTAACCGTATATACGCCTTGTACAAACGCAGCGCTGACAATGCATCCTCGATAGAATCGTGCGTCTCAGTTTGAATGTTCTCCTTGAGAACAAACCACGCGAGGAAGCGAAGGGACAGTCGTCGTTGCCGGCTGCGTATAAAGTAGAGATCGACGGTGTCGATGACCTGATCTGGCGGGACAAAGATATCTGCGGCGGCCTTATGAGAGATAAGCGGACTAGGAAAGAGCATCAATAACGTACTGATGATACGGAAGTCCTTCGACAAGCCGTGTCCAATGAAGACGCATCCTTTATCGACCAGCAATCGGAGCTTCTTGTACACCACTTTAAGCGGCGTCAACGTGTACCTCGACGTATGAGGGTCAAGGTCTCCGTCTGCAACGACCAGCGGTGAACATACAAGTCAGCTGCATCAGAAATAGCACGTACACTTAATGCCAGAAAATTCCGTCAGGTAGTCTACAATGACCTCACTGGTGTGGATGTGGTCGTCAATAAAGGGCACACCCTCCTTCAAGCCATCCTCCAAACTATCTCCTCGAAGCACAGAGACGCGAGCAAGGCTCAACCGTGCAGGGCGCAGAACTTTCTTGGTCCCATCGGAACGGTACTCTGTCTCTTCCTGCAACCGTCATCAGAATGATACATACAAGATACTGCCTGTACACACCTGTTGCATTGATACAAACTCCGCGTCAATGGCAATCAGTGTCCCCGGTCGAGGAAGTTCATCCGGGGTCAGCAGCTCATGCTTGATCAAAGACGGGTCGCGGTTCCTGTGTCCTCCGTTGTCAGGGATACCAGCGAGAGCAGAAAATTGTTGACATACATGGTGATGTTGGTGTCCTGGCAGAGAATAGAGAGATCATTCTCCATATACAGAGGGCTGAGATCGAGATGCTCGACAGCGTCGACTCTTTCATAGTACACCACGGTCGGCACCTAATTGCCCAGTTCAATGGGGCCAGAAGGCGGAAAGGCAGAATTTTACCTTCCAATTGCCTTGGAAGCTGAGCGCATCGCCTTCGAGTACGGATCGGACGGTAAAGTCGTTGAAAAGGTACCAGGGCTGGTCCCTCTCCCATGGCTCGAGCTCTTCCTCAGGTAGCCGTATCAAAGCTATCAAATGAGACCGATCCTCCTTCGTCACAACTCGAATGACCATGCCCTGCAAGGATATCAGTCTTTCAAGTCGCATTACCGTGCTAAACCGCACTTACTCTGAGCCTATACGTCACAGTTTCTGGGTCGTCAGCTCCGTTCACCTGCCCGTTGAGCTCAATTGTAGACGTCAGAAAATGCTGGATTTGGGGCTGGCCCTGCGAGTCACGCGTTCGCCCGTCTTTCCAGTATCGCAGAGTGTCCTCGGAGAAGACTCCGGCGTTGAGTGCAAGGATCGGCGGCAGATCCTTGGTAGCTATCGAACGCTTGCTCTCGAATGTGGTGAACTGCCTGTCGCAGTTCGTGCATGTTGCCTTGTGGGTCGAGTGACGAAGCAGAGAAGAGCGAATGATGGAGACAAAGTCGGAGCCATAAGCAGGGTCGTTGGGCGGTGCCTTTCATACAAGAATCATTGTTAACGCCTTTAACAGTGGGTATGAGCAAAGTGTACCTTCTTAGGATATGTCAAGTCTACGACATGCACCATGTTCCCCTTCTCCCGCATAGCTCCACAATTCGTACAGGATATGACGTTTTTCGCATCTACGCCACATAATTGTGTGAGAAGGGGAGGGGCAGGCCCATTATTATTGTCGGACTTCCACCCCGGAAGTAGTCGGGGATTATTGGGAGAGATGTTCCATTCGGCAGACATCGTATCCATGAGGACTCGATGAAAAGACTGGATCATGTGTGCATAATTATGGTCTGGATTCTCAATGCCGTAGTCCATGAGTTCGATGAGGTTGTGTGCTGCAATTGATGAGCCGTTAATTGCTCCATTTTCTCCAGAAACAACTCGAACATACCCTGAGCAAGCACCTCGACAGTCTTGCAGAAATTGGTTGACTGACAGTTCGTGCCTTTCGCATCGTCGAGCATCTTAACTAGAAATCCAAGCTCGCAAAACAAACAGTGCTCGAGAGGGCAGTCTGTCGCTATATGCGCGTCGGCGAGTTTCCGGATGGGAAGCGTGTGGTGGAGCAGCTGTAGAAGAGCATTGGTATAAGAATTAGTGATGTGCGTTTCGAGTCCACTGTGGCCTGTGCGATTGTAAAAGCTGAGGAACGTTTTGTCAAGACTGTTGTTTTTCTGAAGCAAATAGAACTTACCCGAAGTCGAAGTCCTCAACGCCGAACTTTGAGTACTCTATCTCGACTTTGCGATACCACCTCGGGATGTCATCAGGATCGTGCTCCTGAATGGGAGTTTCGGGTTCTACCTAATAAAAAGAAGCTGTGTCCATTATGCTCCTGGAACGAGAGCCTCTGCGATACTTGCCTCGCTCCTACCCTTGCCACTTCGAAACCTAGCCTTGCTCTTAGGCTGAGAATGGACCATATTCCTGCGTCCTCTAAGCTCCTTTGGGAGTGACGCATATGCCACATTATCGTTGATTTTCATCGAGCTCAAGACTTGAGACGGGATCTTTGGTGGTGGTGGTGCCACGACACTCAACTTGGAAGACGGTAAGAATTTGCTGGTCCACGAAGATAGAAGCAAAGTATTATAGTACGGCATGCCGATCGTATTGAGAGGCCTGTAGGTGAGATCGACGTAAGCGAAAGCCAGACTGAGAGGATGGGAGCACCAACGTCGAGTCCGTCCATTCGATGTCAGGAAGTGGATCTGGAGGGTCGGCCCATTCTATAGGTTGTCCCTCAAAGCCATTCAGAGGTAGTATGGTAGTTTCATCAGCAGCCGTCAAGAGAGAGATGGCGCCATCCGCATCTCCGAATGCCATGTACGTTCCTGTAGGGGAGACAGCAGTAGACGTCACGTACGACGGAGTGTCAAGCTATTAGTTACTGATATTAGACTGGGTGGCATGTCCGATAAGTTAGAGCGGGTACCTGATAAAACTCAGTGTTGGTGACGTTTGAAACATCGACTATATTAACAAGGCCTCCCGCTGACGTAATGACAATCGTAGCAGTACGCTTTGGGAGAAGGTCGATGAACCCTGGACCGGAGGAGAAAGGCACTGGCGGTAAAGGTTTCAAGTTACGAGTGTCGTACACCTTCACCAGAGGATCTGGAAATGGACGACCCTGTCTGCGAGCAGCAGTCATTACAAATACGACAAACATTTACATTGAAGATTCTCTCACCTCAGACCGAGTCCGATGGTGTAGAAAAAAGTGCCAGTTGCCGCCAAGCCCTGGATGCCATGTGTATGTGCTTGTACAGCCGCGACAGTAACGTTCCCCGTCCTTGGGTCATGTCCTCGCACGTAGCCATCCGAGCCTCCAGAGAGCAAGATATTGGCACTATTGGCCAGATGCGAGTATATGGAGGTAGCTGAAGACCTGCGTACGACATCACCTGTCTGGGAGTTGAGAGCTACGAGTTCCTGTGCAGCTGTACAAGCGAAGAACACAGGCCCAGTAGTGGAGTTGCTCGAAAACGCAGTTATCGAACTCGGGGATCTAAGAGCTGTATGTTAGAATATGGGCGCAAGAGACGAGCATCTCTTCACCTTTGGCAAAGTTACTCTACTGACCTGAAGAACCATTTATTCGTCCCGCCCTTCGTCCATGCTCCTATCCCATTACTCGAGATGCCCGAAGCGCGTACCAGCGAGTCTCCAGCTACGATTCCCTTCACCGCAAGGTCCCCACCCACAGGATATGTCACTCCACTGTTCCCTTGCGCACTATAATATGCAGTCACTCTCCCTGAGTTGTTCCCTGACCATAGCGTGTCGGAAACTGGATCAAAGCATAATGCGGTGATAGGTTGAGGGAAGATGTCGCGCTGGTGCGTTATTGGATGGATTGGATGGTACGTCGCGGTCATGGCAAAGATGTGAAGCGTATATCACAGCTGTGTGAAACTATATAGCTGCAGACATCGGGAGGTGAGGTATACAGTAATGGCAGAGTGAAGGGCATTTCGGAAACGCGCTCATCTCGTGACGAAATTGATGCGCCTGATGCTCCTTAAAAATCAGCGCGACCTCTCCCACTCTGGTCCACCCCGCGCACCCGTAGAGCGATGAGTACTGATTCAAAAACGCGCTTCAATCTGCTTCCACCCGAACTAATCGCTAGCATCCTGGAGGAGCTCTCATGGCGCGATCTGCTAGCATGCAAGCAGGTGAGCACTATCGTAGCAATTACGGCTCTGCGATGCTGATCCTAACTTATACACGGCCAGGTTTGTCGCAGGCTGAACGGGATAATTGCAGGATCCTCCCCCCTTCTCTACAAGATTGACATCTCATGTGCGGGTCTGGAAGATAATCTTGAACACCCGCTTAGCAGGTCAAGAAAACGGCCTCTTTTGAACTCTTACCAAAAGGCATGGTCTCGCGTGCGAAGTTTGTCAGCACGCGAATCAAATAGCATTGTCTCGCGCGTCGAAGATGGGCCTGCATGGGAGCTTGCCGGAGGCGTCTTGGCGCAGTCAATGGGAACGGGAGAACTACGCTTCAGACGGACTCCGTCCAAGTTGCGTGACGTTCAGGAGAGCACATGGGACGTGGACTATGGCTTTCACGTCCGGGATTTCACCATGGACCCCGGCCAAGATCTGCTTGTTGCTTTGTGCGAACCACAGACTATTGCTGGCATGTGCGCTTCGACTATTATATCGCGTTGCGCGTAGATCTGGACTCCCCCTCCGTTGCAGGTACACTCTGAAGCTGATGCGTATGTCAAGCAGCAAACCTCATCCTTTGGCGCGAAACCCTATGCTGCCCCTTCCATTCTCCGAAGCAGAAAACTTCGAGATCCGTGTCAATGGTCCCTATGTCGGGCTACTGGCTATACACACGTTAGATGACGACATGGATCTGTGGTCCCCGCTTTTTGTCTGGAATTGGAAGATAGGAATCAAGATCCTTGTGAGTAGTTGCGTTCGGTGTGTTCCAATAACTCATCCTATGGGCCTTTCAGAACCAGATAGATGAGCGTGAACTCGTGTACTCCTTCGCATTCCTTTCCGATCAGTATGTTGTTTTGGCGCACATGACTCAGCCTCCGGAGAACGGTGCGTTGAGGGTGATCGAGCTCCCCGGTGAGTCAAGCTGCGCAACTGAACGATACTGGTCCTGACTGAGTTCGTACAGATGAGTCAGAAGACGAAGAAGCGTTACCAGACTGGTCTGACACTCATAGGTGTTGGACGTTCCTCCTGCCTGCATGTCAGACAAACTCTTCAGCCATCGAGTCAATGGAGCTGCTTTGCGACCCGGGCCCCGGATGGATGCCGAATGCACTTGAAGAACGCTCTATCGAGTCTCGTCCTGATAGCTCTGGGACGACACCCGGGCCAGTCATTCACACCGTCTCCCAACCTCCGTTTTTCCAAGCGCGCAACGACAGGATCATTGTCCTGATGATGACGGTCATGCATGCACCAAATCCTGGCATCAACCTGTACACCATCCGCTTCTCCATATCCCTCGTGCAACTACTCGCCTATGCCCGTGACACGTCGAGCCCCTTCACGCTTCCATGGGTAACCTGGGGCCCATCAAGCTGCCGCGCGGAGCCACAGAATGATATCTGGGACGGTAATTGGCCGTGCTGCGTCTACGGCACGCGCATTGTCGCCCAGTACTCGTGGGTCGTGCATACGGATGGGCGTGTGCGGCGCTACCGGCCGGCGAGCCTCGTCCCGAACAACTACGGGGTCTTCCCGCAATCCGTCGAGATCTGCGACTTCAACCAGCTCGCGATACGCAAGGCCCTCGCGGGCGCCGCGGTCGTGCCCGAAGGCCAGAGCATCGCCGAGTTCTTCAAGTCCAAAGACGCGGTTAGCTACCAGGACGTGGAGCCGCTTCAGGGCGTTGATGACGACTTTGAATACTATGTGCACCCAACACGGCTTCCGCCCGACTTTGCCAAGTTCTTTGACGACCCCGACTGCGTGCTGACGTGCCTGCCGTATCGGAAGAGTCACACGCGTATATCCACGAACAGATTCGACAACATCCAGTTGTATGGAGTGGAGGCTGAAGATCCTCCGGTAGATGTGGGTCTCACCAGTGCGGTCATGCTGAGTGAAGATGCAATTGTTATTGTTAGAGTGGGTACACGTGGCGCTGGTGTTATATTCAAGGGCTCATCTTCGTTTCAAACCAGGAATGGCCGGAAGCTGACCCCGATTTTCTCATCGTTAGCATCCAATAGTACATGTCTGAAGACGTGCTTGAATAATCGTGTCTCCCAGAAACCCTGCTGACGCAAGGAGTGTGAACACGGAGCCAGGTTGCAAGAAAATGTGTACTTCCATAATTAGGCGTGGATTATTACATTCATTAGACATCCTCATCCGACGGCTTCACAACCTGCAGGCTCTGCATCATGTCTCTAAGCTCCGTCTCCGCATGCGCCACCGACTCCTTCGCAAGTGCCAGCTCCCTCTCCAGTTCGTCCGCGGTCATGTCCCGCGCGACCTTGCCCTCAAAAACCTTACCGAGGTTTTCGAAGCGTGTTAGCGTGTCACCCATGCGCGGCATGAAGCCGTGCAAGTCCCAACCATTGTCGTTAAACGTGAGCACCGCCCGGACGGCCGCGTTGTTGATATCACGATGCAGTTCTTCGAGCTTTGAGAGCTGTACCTCCATCCAGCGGGCGCGTCGTTCAAGGGCCATGGTGAGCGCGGCCACCTCGTCTTCCTTGCCCTGCGGTGCAGGCTCTTCGCCACCATCCTCCAGAAAATCGTCACCCTTCAGCATGTCGCGTAACACACCGTCAAAAGAAGAGCTGTCGTCCCATGTGGTCCGAGGCAGAAGACGGAGAAGGTCGGAGATGGTCTGTGTCAGTGTCTCCAGAAGCTGCTGGAAGGAGGAGACAGCGTTGTCGATAGAGCCAGAGGGCATGGTATTCGCGAAGGAGCCCCCGCCCACGGAAAGAGCGGACAAGGCGTGGACGAGGGGGCCATATTCTAGTGGCAGCTTGGAAGCAGGATTGATCTTCGTTATGTCGAAGAACGGATGCCGCGCCAGACGTATCCATGGCACTTGAACGTCGATTTCGGCAAGAAACTCCTCGAGCGATCTCGGCTCGCTGTGCGTCCTGTCCTCAGAGTGCGCACGCGAGCTGCTGGAGCTCGACTCGTTTCGGACTTCGGGGAGCTGGGGTGCCTCGGACGCAGTTGCGGAAGCTATCGCGGAGGAGACATCGTTCAAGCTGTCCTCCTTCGGGATCTTGATGGGCTTTGCATTCGGCTTGGTCTTCTTGGGCAACCTGGCCAAGATGGGTGCCTGGACGACAGGCACAGCGGACGAGAGTACCGGGGTCGAGGGTTGCTTCGCGTTAGTGTCACGACGGCTAGGCGGCTTAGAGGCCTGAGCGGGCATAGAGGTTTGAGAGATGCTCTCGGCTTCAGCAAGTTTGCCAGTCTTTGCCGCTGCCTTCGCCGCCCCTGCTTTCTCCACTTTCTCCTTCTCGACCCTTTCCTTCTCCATCTTCTCTTTCTCGGCCTTCTCCACCTCGACCTTTTCGCGCTCAGCCTTCGCAGCGGTGGCTCTCTCAGCCACCCTCTCGGCTTTCTCTCGTTCAAGACGCTCCTTCTCTTCCCTCTCGGCCTTCTCCCTGGCTGCTTTCTCCCTCTCTGCTGCCTTCTGCAAAGCAGCGGCCTTTTCTTTGGCGGCCTTCTGCGAAGCGAGCCGCTCCTTTTCTGCAGCCTTTGCAGCGGCCTTCGTAGCAGACACCTCAGCGGCGGCTTTCTTCTTCGCTGCCGCGCGCTCCGCCCTGGACTGGGCCTTGGTTTCCGTGAGGGGTGTGGTAGGCTCCGAGCTATCGGCGGGCTGCTGTTGGTCGATATTGGGGGTGGATTCGGGAGCAGAGAGAGCAGGGAAGTCTGAAGACGAGAGAACGGGGGATGGAATGACGGGTGAAGGCGAAGCGGGGACTGTGTATAAGGCTGAGAGGGTAGCCGCGGGAGGAGCGTGACGAGTGATACGATAGAAGATAGAAGGGTTTGTTAGCGTCAGGGCTTACCGGAAGGGACGGTAGACAGATGCACAGTAGCGAGCGACAGCAGAATTTGATAAGATGGAGGGGTTATGGTATATGAGAGGACCTGGGCCGTCGCAGTGGCAGACATCACGGTCGATGATACAGTTTCCGCACTGAAAGCACGGCGCTCGGTACTCTGACCTGGGACTCCCTCCCCTGGAAATGAAGGAAATGGTACTCACCATGAGCAGATCCACCGGCTTGAGCCAGCTCTACAGCTGATGGTACAGCTCCAAGTCCTAGTCCGTGCCGCATGGTAGGGCCGGGCATGATACCTGGAGGATAGGCAAGACCAGGTGGTGGTCCGTAAGCTAACTGTTGCTGTTGCTGCTGATAACTCTCCATTGGAGGCTGGACGTTTGCGTAGCCGCTCTCGTGTATCGGCTGCGCCACCGCCGGAGAAGCTAGTCGAGCCGACATAATTGCAGGGTCGCTGAAAGACTGGCTGCCACTGAACTTGAAGCTATTTGGATCTAAGTAAGAGTGAGTCACTGCTAGTCTACATGAGCACCTAGAACACTTACCAACGGTGGCCGTGCGAGCTGCACGGTCGCGGCTCGAATTGATGAAGTCTCTAAGTTGGGCCTCGCTGACAGACGTGTCGAATCCCTGTTGATATCGTGCGGCCTGTTCGTATGGATGGTGCGCCTGAGCGTGCTGTGCAAGAGGGGAGCTCATTGCAGAAGCGGACTGGTTCAGATAGTCGTGATGTCGTGAAGTGTAGCTCCATTGCGATGGACTCGGGTGGGCGAGTGGGGGCGACATAACTTCCGAATGCGCAAAGTACGCCGCCTGCGAAAAGCTCTCCGAGTGATTCAGTGACGCCGAAGCGTGCAAAGGAGACGAGGCGCTTGTCGACGCAGCAGAGCCTTGACGCCCCCTGGCAAAGCCGAATCTGGACACTTTCCTCTCCTCGTCCAACGGCGGATATTGTTGAGATGGCTCCTCTGCCAGATCGTTACCGAACGGGTTGAACGAGCCGCTGTAGCTGGAACTAGGTGTGCCGATGCGATCTCTAGAACCTCCGAGCTGTGGGAAGCCAAGTCCAGGTGGTGGTGGCTGTCTGACGCCGGGGAAGGCATCGAAGAACGAACCGCCGAAGGGTTTCGCTCCCTCCGTCTGGAAGTCAGGGAGCGCCACATCCTCAGTGTCTGCAGCAAGTTTGGGATCTAGACTGAAACTGAAGCTGTTGTCCCCCGCCAAAGACTGCATCATACGATCAAATTCCGGGAACGGATTCGGCACATTTACGACCAATGTGTTTTCCCGACGAGCCCTAAGATCTTCTATGAGTGCTTGCGCGGCTGTGGACATCTGGTATGGCCCTTGCGGCATCTGCATGGGTATCTGCGGTGACGAATCCGTGGAGATGGGTGTATGCGATGGTGGTGGCAGGCCTGGGGGTGCAGACAACCCCGGAGGTAGAGTTGGGAGTCCTGGGGGTGCGGTCGGCAATGCAGACGTGGGCTCTGGTGATAACGGTTCCGACCCCGGTGGAGAGCTAGCTCTCGAAGGCTCTTCCGGTGAAGGCTTGCTTTCAGGTTCAGCAGTGGCAGGCGAGGCTGGACGCGCAGCGGCTGCAGTTGTCGAAGGTGTGTCCTTCTGTTTACTTGCCTTAATGCTTGCTGTAATACCCGGTAGGACGGGCGTCGCAGGTCGAGAGAACGAAGCTAGCGATGGGGACTTCGCAGCAACTGCCTTCTTCGTACTTGATATCGATGCATTGTTAGCGATGGAGCTAATTTTCTGCTGACGCGTAGCAGGAGTGGTAGTGGACGCTGCGCTAGTCGACCCAATTCGCCGTTGCTGACGGGCCGCCACGCTTTGCATTGCGTTGGTATGATTCTGTAACGCAGTATTTGCAACAGTCGTGGGAGGTTTGTTAGCCCATGACGCGGCGCGCGGGAGGCCTGAAGCGAAAATGGTTACATAAAGCCCAAGAGCCTCCGCATAGCACGCACCTTCCGCGTCTTCTCCCTTTTTGACAATTGTAATTGTCCGCGCCCTGCTCTCCGTGTCCTTCATGGTGTGTTTCCTGAAACGAAAGTTAGTAGGAGCCACGCTACGAAATAAAAACTACTGACAGCGTCGTAAGGTCTTCTTTCGTGAAACAATCGTTTTCGTCTCCCCACTCGTGAAGACTCATGCAGCTGTGGTCTGGGCAACTTGCGCCACGCAAGAAGGTCATGCAGTACTTTGTCGTTCCATAACTAGCTCGCATGACTTCCCCGCTTGCCCCAGGAGATGGCGCACCGTCTACAGCGGCAATGCAGCGCGCCGCGTCTTCTCGGCGATGGAACGTGATGTACAGCCCGACAACAGGCGCACGTCCACCAGGAGAGGTACGTTTGACAATGACGATCTTCGAGATCTTTCCATATTGGCCAAAGTATTCGTGTGAGCGGAGCGTTGGAATAAGCTGTGCCGAGATGGCGTAAGGATGACCGTAAGTTAGAGCGTTGGAAGCACAGCTCACCTCTTCTTTGGCAAAGCGCGGGCCGATCCCGACAACGTATACGACGTTTCTCTGAACAACTCGCACGTTCGCTAGATGGCGGCGGCCCAGCGCATCAAGCTCTTTCCGCTCCCTCTCCCGTTGTTTCTTCTGCTGCGTCAGGCGCTTATGACTAAATCCAGCGCAGCGGAGTCGGGGGACGCATAGCTCAGTCAGCATGGCTCGAAAAGCACACTAGGCGGCCTGTGCACTCACTCTTCCTTGTTGATCGGTTTGAACTGCACAGCGTCGTCGGTGTACTCACGTCGGCATGCTGGGCAACGCCCGTTCAGATTTTCCTTGATGTGGTGCCAGCAGAAACGGCATATCTAAGAGAGAACTATTCAAGACGAGGCATACAACGACCACAAGACCTCTTACCTGATAACCACAAGGGCAAGGCTTGAAGTTGACGTCTGAGATATCCATCTCTTCGAGGCACAGTGGGCACTCGGCATCCTCCTGTAACACGCATACACGTCATCGGACTGCTCGTCTATACATGCCTTGGGGGCTGCTTACTGCCTCATCGTCGCTCCAATACGCGTCTTGCACTCCGGCTAGGACATGCGACTTGGACTGTACTGATGGTGTGCTGGCCCGCATGGCGGGCGCTGGCAACGGGGAGTGAGGGTGAATTCGTGTGGCCATCGTTGTTGAGGATGCGCTTGTGGATGCGGCGAGGTGTGAGACGGAGGCGATGAGGAGATGAAAGAGCAGGACAGGCACAACAGGCGGGATGCGCGACAAGAGCTTCGTAAGCGCCCGAGAGGGCTGATAAATAAGGCCAAATAATTCAGACTATCATTAACAGTGGAATGTGTGGCGATACTCAACATAAAGAGGATGATATGTCCCCTTCCTAGATCACTCGTTATACTCCTTGGTCAGCATCTTGGTACCGATGTATCGTAGTCATCATGTCGGGCGAGTAGTATGAGCCATTTTAGATATCTTTTGGTTTGCGGCTATCTGGGCCGCGTATTGCTACTGAAAGCATTGATGTCAACTATTTCATAAGCTGTTATATTTTTCATGAGCTGTACTCGATTGGTTGATGGCGGGTGCAGTACTTTGCCCTATTCGCGCCTGTACCGCGTTCGTACGGCAGAGCAGTTTGACATATTCGCCCACGACAAAAGGTAAATGGTAAGTTTAAACATGAATCTAGATCGAGAAGTTTGTGCACGTGCGCACAACCTCTGCCAGGAACCCTTCAAGTTCGAGTCGATCTCCCCTCGCGATGTCCGGAAAATTTGATGCATACGAAAGGCTACCGGACACATTGATTGTATGCGCTGCCCCTCGACAATGAACAAACATACAACATTTTACACATTTAATAGGTTTAGAGTACAAGTTGTGCACGAGATAATATTATAATCCAAGCCCCTTCCTCCCAAGTCCCCCATAAAGTGCATAAATAATAACATCACGACGACGATCGACGCTCACACCAAAAACGGATATCAAGCCATGCCAATCAAAGGCGAAGGCTCGGGGTTCTTGTTAACACCCTGCGCAAACTGGAAATTTGTCTCAATGTCGCGCGTTGTCGCCATCGAGACTTGCATCGCGTCGCTGTCTAGGACCTCGACACCTGTCTGCGCGACAACCGCAACGAGCATTTTGTAGTAGCAGTCTGCGCAGCACGTCAATATCATCTGAGCGACTAGAGGAGCGGTGTGAAAGACATACATGCAAGTGGAACACGCTCGCCCGCCTTCATGAGTGTACCCCGTAGGAAGGAAATTTCGGCGCGCAGGGGGATGAGCTGTTCGTGCAGATTCTGGTCCTGCGCCGCCTTGAGAAATCTCACTAGAACTCGGCCGGCCATATACCAGCACAGCTAGGCAAAGCTCAGCACCACAGTGCCGGCTACAGGAAAAAGCGCTTACGTATGGCCAGGTATCTACAAGCGAGACGTCGTAGCTCGTCGACGTGACTATGTGGAGGAGATCGACGATTGCACGGGCTGCAGTAAGGATGGCGAACGCGGACGAGCAGGATCGGTACCCAGGCCTAGCGAACGGCTCATGGAGGTGAATTTGTGCCCTGCAAATCTGTTGTCAGTAACTGGGATGCCAGGGACGGGTGACGAAACCTTACAAGTGGATGATGTTCCACGCGCCATAAGTGTACAGATCGAGCTTGCCATCTGTTATTACGTTCTTCATCGACGCTGGGAACGACGCCTTCATGAGCTGTATTGTCTGGTTCAGCTCCACGAAAGCTTGCGAGTCCCTGATCGACCCCGAGTTTGGACCCGGGCCTGGTAACTCCGCTACGCCATCTGGCACACGCACAGACGCATCTCCCGAAAACTGCAGCGCGCGGTAGCGGAGACAGAAGTTCTTGACCTTGGACATCAGCATCGTTGCCTTGCAGAACATGATGAACGGGTCCGTCTGGTCGGAGGGGTAGACGGAGAGCGCGTTGCGCGCATGGGAGAACTGGCGATCGGGGGCGAGCACCATTACACCCTGTTCCCACTGGTCCTTGGGGAGAGGGAAGAGCTGGGAGACGTCTTGGTCGTCGATATTCATGGCCCAGGAGTGACCGGCGCCCGACTCACGATCAAGGCTGTATGCTAGAAAGGCATGTTAGCGGCCTTCCAACAGCGGCAGTGTGTGCAACGAACCGATCCAGAAGTTGTTCCGTCGCATCTCATCCTCGATCACACTCTTTGCAGGAGCCAATATTGACGGTGGTCGTTCCATAGGCTGAGTAGAGAGACCAATGAAAGGTATACAGGTGTTCAGACCCATCGTAGTGCAAGCCCTCAGAGACATGGCTGATGACAAGCAGCTGTCTATCCATCTATGAAAAAAATGGTTAGCGAGAAGTAGTGCAGCAGCTAATCGCAAAAGCGTACTTCGCTTGGGCAAAGTAGAACCAGGTGAGCATTATCCGCGCTAAAGGACGAATGAGTACGGTGCTTCAGTATGGGAAGAGCGGTCAGTATACCTTGCGAGTTCTCGAAAAGATTTGTGGCGGAATCCATATCCTCCTCATAGGCCTCTTTAGCAAACCGCGCCTGCTGGGCGGAAAAGGACGACATCTTGGGAGGAGAATGGCGTTTTCGTTTCAACACAGGATCGTCTGTAACAGAGCTCAGCAGTGTGCTCACGATTGGAACGATTAGCACTCACATCCATAGCTCTCGATAATGTGACCTGACGGGAAGTGCGACGTGAACATACTTCCTATTGCACACATGGCGTGCAATAGGGCCGGGCGAGGGAAGCCAGGGTCTGATGGGTGAAGGTTCAGAGAGGTGAAGAACTGTGGGGCGTGGAACATCCGTGTAGCGTGGATCCAGTGTGTGAAGAACGCTTCCACACTTTTTCGAAGGTCAGTCAAAAGCATGGGTAGTAAGATTGCGGACTTACAGGTGTTTCGTCGTCATTGGGTCTGGAAGATTAACGGGCCATGCGAGAAAGAGCAGGCTATGTTCTGCATCGCTCAGCGGGGAAGGCTCAGAGTAGCCGCTATCCGAGTTCGACTGCGGCGACATCGAGCTACCGATCTGCCCATCGGAGTTGGGCGATGGTACACTAGTTATGGTTGCTGTCTGCGGCGGGTCCTGTTCCATCATAGCAGCGAGCCCTGCAAGATCTTCCAACGAGCTCATGCCGGTGATCTGCGAAATATGATGGCCGGAATAAACAGGATTGGACTGATCGCCGATGAACACTTCAGCCCAGGAATTGGTTCCGCCCGTCTCCAAGGATGATACAGTGGTGTTGGCGGGAGGCACAGACGTGAACATGCCGAGGCCATCCGGGGATGTCAAAGACCTAGAATCGGCTACGTTGCTAGGGCGAGCTGACAGGCTTGACGGTGACGGCGTCGGTGACCTAGTAGCTCTCTCCTTCAAAAGAGACTCTAGCTCATCTATGTAGGTTGTCAGTTTTCATCACAAGATATATTAGGAGCTACATACTGATTCGACTTTCGAGCTTTTCATAACGAGTCTTCGGGGCAGGAGGTGTTTGTTCGGGTGGTTCGGCAGTTGACACTTAGTCAAATGTGAGATAAGGCGTTAAGACTGAGGAACGTCTCAACAATACCTTCATCGTAGGTGCACTCGGGTTTGGGGGGCAGAGAGCTTCGCTCACTCGGGGGTGCATGCGAGAGAGCATATGCGTGCGAACGCAGGCACGTAGAGCAAGGTCGTTTGGCATCGCTAGAACAGAGCCAGCATCAGTGAATCTGCAGCGGCCTCGGCGTTCGGTGTTCGGACACCATTGCTCACTCACCATTTCTGGACAACACCGGGTCAGTCGGTCTTCATAAGCAGCAACGGGTTCGGCAACCAGAGACATACCAGCTTTCTCTTGCGGCACTGATGACAGGCCTAAGAACGGTCATGTAAGTCGCGGTGCCTCGGATATCGGGGTCGGGGTGCATAAAACGTACCTGATTGCGCTTCAGGCTGTTCACATTTTGCTTAAAGGGGGCCGAATCACGAGTTACAGTGGTCTGAACCTTCGGCATACTTTCCGCTACTGGGACAGCAGAGAGCTGAGGTCGTTGTGGAGGTCGAGGGCGAAACCTCTATGCGACAGTTCGTTTAACTTCAGGGGCTAAGCGACGGAATTACTCACCCGAGGTACATGCCCGAGGTACAGAAAAGGGAAGCCCGAGGTAAGGGCCGAGTTTAGCGCTAGTGCCATGGGCTCGATGCTCGCCTGCCGGGGACCGCTCAGCGGTGCGAAACACAAGACTTGCGACTAGTCGCACGAGGGACTGTATCCTGTCTCACTATCAGGATGGGTCCGAGCGGAGACAGGCGGATTTAGAGCTGTGAACTCGGATGCCGATCTGGCAAGGGTGATGGAGACTGACTCCAGCCCGACTAGAGACCGGCTAGAGGCCTTGGAAAGGCAGGGCAGATCGTTGGGGGCACAAAACTTGAGAGAGCGTGTCGTACGCTCTTTTGTCATGTCTCCACGGGGGGACGGATGATAGCATGAAGAGGAGGACAGACTGGCGTGGACGGGTCGGAAATCATTGCCCCGCTGGCACGGAGACGTGAGTAACAGTTTGATTGACAAATGGTGATTTACACGGTTTCCAGCTGCTCGTCAGTGATTTTGGCGAATTTGAATGCAAAATGGTACACGGCAGCAGACGATTGGCGGAGGGGGACGGGACAAGTGAGGTGCCACAACGACGGAGTAACCCGAAATGGCAAGCCTCGCAAACAACGCTACGACAAGACACCAGGTACGTAGCGCATGATTCAGTCGTATTAGAGGGATGGCAGGCAACGACAGGGTAGAAGTTGCCTTCATGAGGCCACATGACAAGATATACAGAGACAGCATTACATACACTAGACAGCAGTATGACATTGATAGGTGAACCGGGATATACGTTGCAGGTTAAGTATTTCGTCACTGACGACAATCAGAAATCATCCTCGTCGTCGAAAACACCTTTTCTGCGCTGGAACTGGAGGGCGGGAGGCATCAGTCTGCCCCGTGACTCATTGCAAGCACGGTGCTCACCACTACTGTAGTCTTCTGAGGTTTGCCTTTTGATTGTGCATCGTCGGCCTGGGAGAAGGTCATAGTCAAGTCCAGGTGCAGAAGTTGTGTACACACCTTCTCGAGCAAATCAATGAGCTGCTCCTCAGTCACACGGCCCCGCAGCTGTCCTGTCTGTGCCATCCTGAGAAGGATGGCCTCGATTTGCCGAGCGCGGTCCTGACTAACTAATGCAATACGAGCCACTACAATAGAGTAATAAGCAGCTTAAAACAGGACTATAGATGGACAGATGTACATCGTTCTCGAGCTGCAGTGTCCAAGACAGTCGCAAGCAGGTTTCTGCGCATCTCTTCCTCTGCGGCACGCTGGGCAGCAGTTTCATCGTTGGCTGCTGCAGGCGGCGTAGTTCCTTGCTGAAGCTGGTCCATCCTCGCAGCACGAATCGCAGCCAGCTCTGGATCCTCCATTGGTCTTTGAATAATGTACAAGTCCAGCAAAAATGAGTACAAGGATAAAGGCGACCCTGCCCCAGATTGGGCACTTGGGCCTTTCGGAGACCGCCGACCATCATATATCATAGTTGGCGCTAAGCGCCATCCACTGCCTCCCGCACACGCGACCATGTCTCTCAAAGAACGTGCCTTTCTTCTGCCCACCATCCCCTCAAGGGCTACCTACATACGAAATGCACAGACGAAAAAGCGACCCTAGTGAGAAGAAGGGGCTTGTGGACGAGTTAATGGGTCGGCTTGGCCGCATGGTCCTCGGGAAGGAATCAAAGCACTCCAAGACTTCGAACCATCCTCAAGGCGCATTTGTTGGCGGATTCGGACCAGGAGATGGGTCGCAAAGACCTCATGTTTATCCTCAGCAGGGCTATACTTCGCCGTTTCCGCCACCTCTGCCTCCGAAACCTCAAATGGCTATGCCCGAGCCCATGTATTTTGACGCGGCGGGGCCAGGGCCCTCACTCACGACACAGTTCGCCCTGCAACAGCTCAACGGGCAGAGCGTACCAAATCTTCCGACACCTCCCGTTCTCCTACGTCCTCCTGCAGACGCTCCCCTACGCCCGCACTCCGACTCTGATGTCCCCAGGCCGCATGCGTCACCGCCCGAGACGCGTCCTAGCGCCTCTTCCCCCGCGACCCCTCCGAAGTCCACAGACAAACTCGATGTGTCTAGTTCGCCGACAAGCGGACGCGGTCGCAGAAAATCGTCACCGGGCTCTATGGACGGCACTGTGCTGTGCAGTGGGACGACCAAGGCCGGCGAGCGGTGCAAGAACTCCGCAAAGCGGCCGACGGCGCTGGGTCATCTCGACTCGGACGCAGACCAAGAGATCGAGCGATACTGTCATGTGCACATGAAAGAAGTTCTCAAGCCGAGCGGGTTCCAGTCGCCGTGCGTGAACGAGTGGGTGAGCTACGACGGTGCGTACCCTCCGCTTGAGACGCGTTTACGCGAGCTCACGATGCTTCGCTTTGATAGATTGGATACCGCTTTACCTGCAGGATGACACGCGCGCTGCACTGCGATTTGAGATGAACAAGCCTGCGTCTGCGTCAGACCGCGATGGGTACATCTACACATTCGAGATCCGCGGTGCGTGCAGCCCCGTCGATGGCGGCCGCCCACTGACACCAACGCAGACACGGCGAACCCCGACAGCGTGCATCTCAAAGTCGGGCGTACGGTGAACCTCGTCAAGCGCATCAACGAGTGGTCGAAGCAATGCGAATCTAAGGAGCAAGTCCTCCGCGGGTACTGGCCGGGCGACGGCACCGACGACGCCAGCAATCTCATGAAGGGTCGCGTCAAGGTCGGCGACCCCGGGAAGTACTGCTATCGCCTCGAGCGACTCATCCACCTCGAACTTGCAGATTTGATCGTTAACCGGCCGTATCTCTTATCCGGGTATCCCAAGTTGACTGAGGCTCCCGAGCGCAATGCGAAACCTCCGCCGAAGAGAAAGTGTCCTGATTGTAAGTTTTGTTCCATATATGCGCCTTGTTGTGAAGCTGATAGCGTCGATAGGCGGGAAAATGCATAAGGAAATTTTCACCTTCTCGCGAATTACCAATGGGAAACGCAAGGGGCGAGAGTACGAAACGATCGTCAAGCCAGTAGTTGAGAAGTGGGGAAGATATGTTGAGAAGTACGTTGACAGGCCGTCGACGACTTAGAGCGAATGGCGCATCTCATTTATCTACGAATCATCATCGTTGTATCTCATGTTTCAGGCTGTATATTATCACCACAGCATATACTGGCACACTATCATGTATCAGCTCGCATAGGTTGTATGTATAACGACAGGATAAAATATCACACATCCCTGACTCTGCACCGCCGCTCTGGGAGAGCGCGCAGGCCAAGCCTATTGTTCCCTTAGGTGCGTCATTTTTCCGCGTTCGTACAGCTTCTTCTCAGGGTTTCCCAGATTAATCTCAGGTAGACAGGCGTGCTCAATTCTACATGGATGGGATGGGATGGGATGGTTTCGAGCCAGCACATGGTGGCTGTGGCTTTCCCGTTGATGGCATAGATTAGCCGTGAGACATGAATCAGAAATAGATCTGTTCCTAACCCGCCATCCCGCCCTCGAGTCCCGCCTGCTTCCAAAACAAGTAAGTCTATTTGTACGAAACAAATAGGGACCGTTCACAATGACTGTGAGGTAGAGGGGATAGTTCGCGCAACGCACTGTCCAGTATGCAATGGAGAGAGAGGAATCGGGACAATATCACAGAGTGGTGCCTGGAAGAGGTTCCATAATGCCGACATATGCCTATAGACCATGACAGGCTGCGGGCACCGCGACAAGCACATCGCGCGAAGGGCTCGTGACGACAGCAGTGATTTCAAGAACCTCGAGTGTTGACCCCAATAACATTCAAGCCTTCATACGAAATCATGTAACTCTTCAGCTCACTTGCTAATAAGTATCATGGCCTTACAACCACATGCTGAATACATCAATTAGTTCGGGAAGATATTTGCTTGGCTCAACAGAAATTTTTGGCACAGGTCCCAGTATATGGCCCGTATCCTAGCACACTCTACGCTGGAGACAGGGCCGGGCGCTGTACCAGGGAGTTGGCCACCAGGTGCTCGACCAGCAGGTCAGCGTGCATCTGCTTTCGCAAGTGCAGTGCAGACACTCCTGACGCGACTCACTAATTTTGCATAGCTCCCATGGCATAACTTGACTCTGAGCATATTACTTGGATTTTGCGGAACATGGGGTTGTTGTTTGCTTGCGGGATAACAGCTTTGAGAGGCTCACTCGGTCAAAGTCTACAACCGCACTGGAGTGGTCGATGGCGCCTGAGTATTGCGCAGCGAAAAGAAGCATTGGCTTGCTGTGGTGTATACCTGCCTCAAGAAATCCACTTTCTTCTCTCTCCGTTGCAGAATATACAGCGCCTTGAGCAAACTGCCCCCCGTCCTCTATTTGTCTCGTACAAATAGACTTACTTGTTTTGGAAGCAGGCGGGACTCGAGGGCGGGATGGCGGGTTAGGAACAGATCTATTTCTGATTCATGTCTCACGGCTAATCTACGCCATCAACGGGAAAGCCACAGCCACCGTGTGCTGGCTCGAAACCATCCCATCCCATCCCATCCATGTAGAATTGAGCACGCCTGACGAGTCAGTTTGCGCTTCTCGCCAGCGCGGCTCCGCGAGTCGCCCGCAACAGGATGAGACACAGGCACGAGGGACGCCGCCACGCGACCACGCAATGATGCCTATATATACGTGAGTCCCGGGAGGTTGCGCTGTATCTTTCGCTATCAATTGTTCCCTCATCAGCGATGCCGAGGACGCGTTCGTCGAGGGCCTCGTCTGCGGCGAGCGCACAGCACGACGTGGAGAATCTCGCGCACGAGTTCGAGGCGTTGAGCCTGGCATCGCCGCTCGGGAAGCAGTACCGCGTGTCCGGCTCGCCTGCGGCGAGCGCCGCATCAGCACCTAGCAACAGCGCAAAGCACAAGAACTCTACATCACATACCTATGACGAGGGTAGCAGCGACGAAGACGAGACCCCCACAGCGAGTTCCCAGAGCACCGTCACACAACGAGTGCCATCGGCGCGCAGAAGACACTCGGCCCCCGGGCAGCAGGACGAATCCGCCTCGTGTGCCCCGCGTGCACCGCCGCCTCCTGACAGCCGTTCCGCCACGCAGTCCGCACCGCCGAACATCGAGAAGAACGCATCCGTGACCTGTAGCGCGATAACCAAGGAGAATAAGCCATGTCGGAACAAGACCACCAAGGGCGCGCTCTGCCACAAGCACCGGGCCAATGATAGTCCTTCTGCGGCGCCGAGGGTCGAGCGAACGGCCAATGCATTCTTGAAGAGTACGTCTCTGGTCCTGACAGTGGCTGGCCCAAACGGCTGACCGGTCGAGCAGGGTGGGAGCTGGGCTGGCTGCAGGCCGAGACGTGGAACACGCTCGCGGAGCTGCTGAACGCGCCGCCGGATGCGACGGACAATAAGGGTTACATCTACTCTGCGTTGGTGATGGGTACGCTCCCGCCGAACGAAATGCACATCAAGATCGGGCGCACGACGGACCTCGTCCGGCGCATGGGCCAGTGGCGGAGGAGCTGCCCCTCGCACCCGTTGTGCCTCGACTATTCGCGCAGCACGCGCTACTACGTGCGCCTCGAGAAGATCGTGCTCCTCGTGCTCCGCGATCTTGTCGACCATCAGGCATACCTCACGCCCGAATTCCCGGACGTCGCCCCGCCGGAGCGCCGACGCGACAGCTGGGGCTGCAGTGCGACGATGAAGCCGAAGGCAGAGGTCTGTGAGGATTGTAAGTGACTCTGAACCAAGGACGACGGTCTCTGGTTGATTGCTTTGACAGGCGAGAGCATACATATTGAGGTATTTAGGTTCGACACGCGCCTTGTTGGTGGAGGAAAGTTGGACGGAGCCTACCTGTGCAGTTTCGTCTCGACGCTCTGCGAGTCCATCTGCGCGTTGTTGAATCGCGACTGCCCGGAGAGCTCGAGCGAGGAAGAGTAGGCCGACACCTAACGGATTATCTATGTCATATATCCATGCGCACACTTGTACATCGCGGACTGCACAATCCAGAAGGGACTTTTATATCCGTCGTTTATGACTACAGTATAGGACTGATCAATATTCACTTCCCATTCGTACATCTCTCATATATAATCAATACGAAATTTAAAATATATTACTTTAACATATGAAATTCCTTCGTGCGAAGCTGCAAAGCAAAAAGACCAAATTTGAGGTCAAGGGGAACTGAGGTGGTCCAGGACAGCGGCCACCACTAGTTGGGACACGTGACCGACGTGACTGACGTGACAAAATGTGACGTACACTTGTCATGTCCCGGTCACGCCCAAGCTCGGTAGAATCGTGTCCGATGCATTCCAGCTCGACACTCAACATTTGAGCACTGAACGCAATTTTTACATAGATAAAGCACACCGCTAAGTATTAATGAGTGCTCATATGAATTTTAAGCTCACCATGCGACTCCAGTGACGGTCTCAGCATTGCTCAAACCGGCGCGCTTGAAGATTTTCGAGGCTTTTTGCTCCCCCCACCCATGCTACAATCACCGGAGGACTCTGATTTTTTAAAATATCACATAGATGGAGATGTATTATATACAGGAAACCGGTAGCTACAAGCTTGAGAGGATGTGCTCTGGCAGGAAGTGGCGTGTCCCAAGGAGTGGTCCTTCACCGTATTGGACGTGGATCTTTCAGCTTTGACAAGGGGTGCTTATCGGCCGCACGTACGATGCAATAATGTAGACAAATTCAGACGCGTCCCATGTAGCCTGGCGGCTTGGGAGCCTAACTTGGACACATCACATCAAGGCACCCACAGTCTTTGTTCATGGCTATCTCCAACCATCCGCTCTGACAGCCTTACCAACGAACTGTTCAGGAAGCACCGGTTTTGCTTTTGTCTTGTCTCGTCCTACTGATTACGAGGATGCGAGAGACAATGTCGTGGTGGGCCGCTCTGCTTCGTTCTACAGCACCTTCTATTCCGGGCGTCTCGCTGAAATATAAACGCTCATTAATGGGGGTTTTCCTCTCCTCGCGTATAAAGATGCACCCCATCTTCCCGGAAATGATGGAGTTCTCTCGCTTCCGCGCATATTCCCGTCAAAAATATTGACATATCTGGTCCCTAGCACCCGAGGCTGCGCCTCATGCTAGCAGACCGTCCACGATCCTCACGACCACCACGACACTAGGTCCTCGCCACTCGCAATGCTCTACATAATCCCTAATCTTCACCTGATTCTTGGTATATTTGTGCTAGCTGTGCAGGCCACAGAGTTTCAGGTGGTGGTGGGTGGGCCGGGGAAGCTGCGGTTCGATCCGCAGACAGTGGTCAGCGGCGCGTTGTTTCTCCTTTTAGTGCTCGCCCTCCTCATTCCAATTCACAGAATGCCTCGCCTGGCGATGTCGTGACATTTGTCTTTAAGCAAAGCAATCATACGGCGACCGAGTCCACATTCGAAAGCCCATGCGAAATGGCCCCCGGCGGATTTGATTCCGGATTGTGAGCACTCATCCTCGTGTCCAGGACCTGATATCAAAACCTGGTAGTCTTCCAGTTGCCGACAACAACACCGATGGACCGTTCCCCGCCGCGCAGCTTACCGTAAGCAGCACTGACCCTGTGTGGGTCTACTGCCGCCAGACAAACCATTGCCAGCAGGGCATGGTCTTTGCCATCAACCCCGGCGACCAGTTTCCTGCATTCCAGATGGCCGCCACGGGCGGCATCCTGAGCACGTCCCCTGTGGTGTCTTCAAGTTCAAGCCTGCCCCCAGAGACGCCAACACCTTCCTCAAGCGCAACAGGACAGCCTGCCGAGCCGACATCCACTTTTGTGACGATCACCAAGACCAGCACCACCTCGTTGCCCATAACATCTTCGAGCATCCCAACAACTTCGTCTTCGTCCACAGGCTCTGCGAGCCCAACGTCACTCTCTTCAGATCACATCGTTGTAGTCGGCGGGCCGGACATCCTCGCATTTAGTCCGTCGAACATCACCGCCCAGATTGGCGACACGGTCACGTTCCAGTTCCGGCAGAAGAACCATACCGTGACGCAGAGCACGTTCGCGGCGCCTTGCGTCGCTCTTGCGGACACGAGCACGAGCGGGCAAAGCGGGTTCGACTCGGGATTGTGAGTGTCACTAAGAGCTATCCAGGGCAACTTTGTGCCGACTGAAATGTTCGCAGCATGCCCATTGCAGATAATGCGACGTCGTTCCCAACGTACACCATCCAGGTCAACGATGTAAGCTTTTACTGACGGCTCTTTCTGTACTCGTTGTGACGAATTACGCTTTGCAGACCTCTCCCATCTGGGCCTTCTGCAGACAAGTCAGCCACTGCGGTGAAGGCATGGTCTTCTCCGTCAATTCTCCGCTGTCGGGCTCAAGTAGCTTCGCCGCGTTCCAAGCGCACGCGAAGCAGCTCAATGGGACTTCGGCTTCCAATACGACTAATGCTACTACTAGTACATCCTCGGCCGGTCTGGGGGCTACTGTGCGCTGGTCCGTTGGACGCTACGCTGGCGTGGCTACGACTACCGTTACTTTACTTCTCGGATTGATGATTTAATACCGCGTCTATCCAGACTTGCATCAGTTGATTTTCGCCCATAGATGGTGCTGTACAGCCTGTAATGTAGCTCAAATAATCATGTATCGATGTAATGTTACAAGTGACTAGTTGGGTATCGTGATGTTTGTACTGAGTGTCTTGTACACTTGCCCGTGCGTGTATGCATACTGTACGAGTTTGAATGGGAGCAACCAACCCCGGGGTGTGACATCCAAGCCAGCATCTGCGCGAGCAACGGCGGGCGCCAAATTGCCAAGAACAGTAATTTTGGGGATTTATGGAGATTTTTCGTTGGATTTATCTCGATTTTGGCCCAGATTTGGTGCAAAGTTCCGTGACATCGAGTTTAAAGGAAGTTTACGAGGAGCTGATTCGAGACCCAAAAATTACAACCCTGGAGAGGCTTGTGACGCGTGACGTTTCTCCCATTCAAATTCGTACGGTACCTCCTTGTTTTGATCTCGTTGTAGTTGCTCGGCCTACTGAGTCGCTTCTAGACTGTCTTGGCACAAGCAAGCTCTGAAAGTATATATTTACCGGCCGTCTCAAGCCATTTCATGCGCGCATATGCCGTACTTGAGCTTGCACATGTGCATGAACATCCATCGCGGTCTTTGTTTGGCGCGCCAAACACGCCCACGTGCTCGCTAATGAGTGCAAGTTCCCCGCGGGGTGGGAACGTCTCGCCTGGCCGTCGCTGGCAAACCGACGGCCATCCCAATGCGAAAGGCCGAGTCATGGCGCAGCAGAACAACTTCGAGGTACGCCATCAACCCTTTCGGTGACGATAGGTGGGACTTAACCTCGGCTCGCGAAAGCCTGACCCCGCGCATCTCGTGTGCAATAATGAGGGCGTGTCTGTGCTGCCCAAGGCCGTGATTGATGGAGCACAGGTGCTGCTGGATATGATGCGTGACAATATGGACTTTAGGAGGTTTGTTCTCCAGAATATCCAGGTGGGTCCTGTGCCTTTTGCATACTTTTCCCACAGGCATAGCACAATATTGAACAAATGGATGTCATAGAAAATAGACATAGGTGTACAGACGGTTCAGGATGGACTCTCGGTGGAAGATGAGCTCATATCGACTAAAGAGGAGCTAGTCAAGATAAAATGCCGTGAAGAAATCTGGCTCTTGGAGAAGGCTGCGCTAGAGCACAAGGTCTGCACCCTGGAGTCTGATCTCAAGAGCATACGAGCACATTCGGAAACTGTGCGCTCGGAAACTATGAGCTCACAGTCAACAGAAACGATACGATCACCCAGTCTCACCCCAACGGAGCCTGAGACAATCCATTCCGCACTCTCCGCCGATACCGTGTGCACGACATCCGCGGTCGACAGAAGTCTCGTGAGTCTCTTGGTCGCCCTCCCTGCCGCCACGCTTACAGCTCCTAGCTCCTGCTCAACAGTCCTATCGTCAGCTTTGGCGCAAGTGCCTCATCACACCTAGACGAGGACATGCACATGTCGCCGAGCGTCGACCTCTACCCGCAGGCTGCAGAGGAAGAGGACGCCGCAATTACGTTCACAAACCTGGCCGGCGCGCCGCTCGAGCTCGAGGACCTCGCTGTGCGCGAGGCAAGCAGCCCGGCGCATATCATATGGCTTGAGGAGTCGAGCATGTCCGTGACACCTACGTCGTCGCCGTCGCCGCCGCCACCGCCGCCGGGACACGGGTCGCGCAGCTCGGACATGGTTGTCAGCGAGCAACACGTGCATGGCGACGACGACGGCGACATGAACATGCTGTTTTCTCCGCAACAACCCCCGACGTCCGAGCACGATGTTGACATGGAGCTCGAGAGTCGCGCGTCTTCGCCCTACGACGAGAACGGCTTCCCGCTTCCCCAGCACGTTACCCAGTACGAGGAACGCGTCGTGCGGCGTGGCGACGTGCGTGCGCCACCACTCACTGATGAAGAGCGGAACAACGTGTGGGTATACCCCGAGCTTGATACGTTGTCGTCCGAGGATGAGAGCGACGATTCGGCGTAGTCTTGGGTATGTTATGCTGCTGCATTAGTGCCTGCTTTCTTGAAGTTTCTTGTCAAACTCTCGCTATTGCTTTCTTGGTTTTCACATGCTATGCTTGTATATATGGACAGTCTAACAGTCTCGTGCTTCTTGCAGTTGCTTTGTTGATGTTGCATGTCTTGTAATAGCATATATTGATCTAATTTCATTGTATCATGATGTATGGGTCTATAATTGAGTGGCGCCAGGATAGAAAGCGAAAGCTTTGCATGGTTAAGCATAAAGCAAACATAGGGATTCCATACTCAAAACTTAGCCTGGATACAGTGCCTAGTCATCATCATCAACCATCATGCGCCGACTCGGACTCTCCGTGGACAACTGCCTCGGACTGGAGCTCTCTGTCGGCGGAGCAGCTGGCGATGACTCCTTGCCTGCATTTGGCGAGCTTTCTGGTGACACAGCACGCTTCTGTGGCGGCCTCGCTCTCGCAGCTTGAACGAGTTTTGCAAACATTGACTTGTTTTCCCTCTGTGTGCCAGTATCAGAAGTCAGAATTGCCTCCAAGAGAACGTCTAATGAAGCCCGCACCTGGTACTCCTCTGGATCGAAATCTTTCGCGTCCACCTTCTTCCTCGTCTTCTTCTTCTCCTCCGCCTCATCCCATCTTCTCATCTCAACCTGCAGCTGCTTCACGCTTTTGCGCTGCGCCGGCGACGCATCGAGATTCGCATTGACCGTGTTAACGTACCTAATCAGAACGAAGCTCCAGTTCAACATATACTATGTGAAGGAGCAGAAGCGCGACGTACCGCGAATGTCGCGCCGCCATCATATTCTTGTCTCCTGCGGTAGACAGCCCATACTCTTCGAGTATCTCCCGTAGCCGTTTCTGCGTCACGGTATCGTACGCAACTTTGGGCAGCGGCTCAGTGTACTCGTTGTTGAGTTCAGGCGCGCGCGCCTTGCCTCTGCCTTTCTTCGCGCTGGGCCTCGCACCAGCACCGTCGAAGAACTGCGACCACTCCTGTTTTTGCTTGCCCTTGTCTTTCGAAGGCGTGGGTGGTGAGATGAGCCCGGATGACGACGGTGGCGGGCAGCCTGCGTCGAGATGATTGTTGATCTCCTTCATGGGCACATTTTTGTTACATGCCGGACACGAAACGAGGGACAAGGCTTCAGAGCGCTGAGTCAGCGCGTGGTGATGATGTAGGGGGAAGGACGTACAAGAGGCTTTGCCAGCTGATGAGGGTGCCAGTCGTTCTGGTGGTGCGCCGTGAAATGGACGTACTAACGAAACATGACAGGGCGTACCTACCTTCAATCTCAACAATCTCGTTGTCCGAGTCTGACTGTGGGGTAATTTTCCGTTTCTTTGATTTCGTATTCCCTATTATTTGTGTCGCTTTGGCTGGAGCAGCAGCTGTTGCCTCCGCGTCGGCTCGTTCCTTGAGAATCTGGAGGACGAAGGGTCTGTCGCCATGTCGGTGAGCACCCGGCAGGAGTGTAATGAGCTCTCTGCACGCACCTGGCTATACCCCATGCTCTCACAGCATCCTCCATCGCAGGGTTCTTCCGTATATGCACCTCGTTGATCTGACCTCGACATAGTGGGCACTCCTCTTTTGTCATCATCGCGTTGCGTATACACTGTTGATTGAGTCAGCGACGAGATGCGCGAAGAGCCAAGGATAGAGCACACATAGGAACAGAAGCAATGTCCATGCGGACAGTTCACCGTCACAGGTGCCTGGAACAGCTCGCGGCACATCGTGCAGCGCAGAGCCTGGTCAAGCTGGCGCAAGCCGGGGGCGTCCGTTTTGAAGTCGGTCGGGTCTGGTATATCAGCGTCAAGATATTTTTCTGCATCGTTTGTCATGTGATTTGTTGCGGTTCTTATGAATTCAGAGAGTGAATCCGAAGGTGAGGTTTAGATTCCGATGAGAGTTAGAATCAAGACGCGAGCCTCGCATATGGCGCCTACGCGCTAATTCGTCGCGGTCACGTGTACGCAGACAATCAGTGTCGGGCGTTGCTCTCGACTTCCACCTCGCAGATTTCAGCGCAAGCTAATTGCAATACGGTGAATCGCGTATCCCAATGATTCGCTTGGGAGTCATATAGATGCTCCGTCCAAACTTTGTAGCTTACTTGAAAAAAGTTTGCTGCGAAGAATTTGATACACTCGCATACTACCAGTATCTTTCAAGTTCTCCTATTCTGACCATTGACACAAAGCCATGATTCTTAGATCTCTAGAGACGTCACACCTTGTTACCTGTGAAACCGGGCTGCCTTACATACACTCCGCGTCGATCCCGAATATTGTACAGGATTTTACCGGCCCAGATTGGCAGATTCCGAACAGCGAAGTAGAGCATGCAGGCAAGAACGAGTACCAAGCGCAGAGAAGTTCAGACTCGCCAACAGTTCGCCAACACTCGAATCACGGGCCGTATTGAGCGCCGGGACCCTTTCCTGATGATCTTCTGTCGCGCATTCTTCGGTAAGCTATCATTTCTCTGTACCTGAGCAAGTTCTCAACGCATCAGTTCACGTCCGGCTCATGCTGCTCAGCTGGTATGCTGACTGCATTCTTTTCAGAGGAGAGACCAAGGATAGGTGGGCTCAGACACGAGTCGAGCCATTGAGGCGGCGTTCGTATGAGCTTTTCAAGTCGCAATCTCACGAAGCTAACTTCTGGTATCCTCGCACATAGATTTTCGCAGGATGCGCGGCTTCTTGTGACATCTCTAGGACGCCCTGTGTCCATATAAAACCCGCAGCACGACCGAGGGCATCATCTCCCGACTTCCACTCCTCGTATTACCGACGAGCGAGCCGCATCCATACGGTCCAATACAGTCTCGGCCTCCGACGTCGTCACCATTTGTGGAGGCCCGGCACGCAACACCCGCTCAGCGGTGCTGTTGCTGCTCTTTAAAGAGCCTAACCTGGTCAAAGGTCTACACGTAGTCGTTCGGGCCGTGAAGGTCGGTCGTCAATGACTCAAAAAGCGGGTAAAGCGCGTCTTAGACTTGTGTCTCTTCGGGCTATTACGATGACTCTCTGCGTCACAGGACGCATGACTTATACGTCGCTGCTCGGGCAACAGAGCGTTGATGGTCACAATCGTCCCTCAAACCATCCATATGCTGTCAGCTTGCCCGTAAGTGGAGAGTCGAACCATCCACAAATTTGCCTTTCATGTTCTTCAAAGCCACCGAAACACATCCCAGTGAGCACCAGCACGTCCTACTACGGCATGAGTTGGGCGTACATGCACTCTGTGAGATTTGTACTGGTTCCTCGGTGCTCTTAACGCTAACTTCTGGCATCTGTTGCTTAGGAGATCGCTCGGACTAGGACCAAGGTCAGACAAACGAGGACCAGGAGCTTTGTCATGATCATAGAAGGAATACGTTACACGCATTCGTGTGAAGACGCGCCATGGGAACAAAGCATGGACGATACCCTGCTCATCATCCCTCGCTTCGTTGGCCAGAGGATACCGGCGACCATAGCGAACCCTCTGATCAATATGAGCACCAATGGCAAAAACACTCAGACTCCGGGTGGCCTTATACGCTCACCAAGTACGGACCGCCTGAGGTTGTGGGGGGTGGTGAAGATGGCGCAACACTACGTTATTCCCGAGGAGTTGCTCTTCATGTCTTCTGGCCCAGGTCAGGTCTTTATCTTGAGGCCGGAGCCCCGCTCGATGATACCACTTCAACGGGTTCATGTCGGTCCCTGGCTATCCCCGACGGTCTCGCGGACATCCCAAGTGTTGTGATGACCAACGCAAGCTTGCTCAGTACTCTCAATTCGGTCCTTGGGACAGAATATCAGCTGGACATGCCCGGCCTTCGAGACTGTCTCAAGTATGTATTAGCGAGAACACGCGATTTCGGACAGGCGTACGGGCTGCTACGTCCCTGGTGGCCCGACCCCACTCTCGACACGGGCCAGTACTTTGCTACTGTGCGCAGAAAAATGCAGGATCGCAAGAAAGAACTACGTAAACTTCGCAACAATGCAATTCAAGGCTCTTGTATCACCGACTCTCGCTTACCTCCACGAAGAATCTGGGACCTCTTCAGCAACCGTGTCCTCCATCTTCATGCCCTACCGCGTTCCCCGGGCAAGCCCATAGGCTATATCCCTCCTGAAGTCTGGTGTATCTCGCACGGCTGGGTCGATGAAAAATCCAGGATAGAGGTTATCACGAAGGTTAATGGGGAGGAGTGGCGAGTGCCTATACCTCGCGCAACGTCTTTGGCGCATGTCCGTGTCGAGCTTCTGAACATGGGTGCGCAGTACGTCTGGCTCGACATTCTCTGTTTACGCCAGGTCAACAACAAACCGGAATGGCACATGGCAGAGGAAAGGCGGAGAGAGGAGTGGAAGACAGATCTGCCCACCATAGGGTGCATCTACCAGAGACAGACGGTGGCAGAAGAAGAACGCGCTGGATATTCATCCGGAGCCTCTCGTGGCTCACATATATACAAAGACGTGAAGGAAGCTCCTCAAATCATCGATGAAGTCCCCTGCGTCACGTATTTCAACGGCCTCGGGCTACCTTTCGACATATCATCGGCCACTCTGAATTCTGATCGTCATTGGTGCCATCGTGTTTGGACTGTGCAGGAGACGTGCGACAGTTGGCTTCCGGGAGGGATGACCGGCGACCTGGTCGTTGGCATGCCAGAGTTTTTCGCAGAGGTCCACGGTATCGTCGCGTCCACTACGAACGAGAGAGAGGTTATGCGGGTCATCGCAGACCCCCACGCTCGCCGCTGCGGCAAGGAGCACGACAGAATCAATGGCCTCGCCCATCTGCTCGGATGCGATACCCTACCTTTCTACGTTGATTACGTCCACGAAGAGATGGCATGGTCGACGATGATCAAGCATCTCCCTCCACGAATACGCACAGAGATCTTCATTCAATACGCAGTTGACGAGCCGTTCGCTCTCCACGTCTCATGGCGCCAGTTCCTGAAGACCAGCCCGAAGTTTCTCAGCGTGGACTTGGTATCTGGGGCCGTCATGTTAGCCGAGGAACATCGGAAGTATCGAGAATCCCGGGAACTAGTCCACTTGCTCGATCGGTCCGCGCTATACAAGATGGATCCGGCGGAATACTGGCAAGTAGGACGTGCCATTGGTCCATGTCGCGCCTCCCGGACCGCGTGTAACAGAGCTTCCGAGAATGCCAAGCTGAAGCACATAGACATCTATCTCCACAACAAGCACAGCTCTCACAGAGAGGTTTTGAAGTTCGCTGGTATGCAAGGAGTGCTCATGCCCGACGTAGACTACACCTTGCTAGGCTTCTACTCGAAGTGGTACGACGAGTGGAGGAAATGGTGGGTTGCTGTAGAGGTGGTGGGGGAACGAAATATCGCGGACCAACCCGTACTCGAAGGACTGAAGTGGGCTGTGCTGCTTATGGATGAGAAGGAGGCGATGAGAATATCGTCGATGCCCATCAGACGTCGAAGTAGGCGCGTGATCTACGTCACTGGACAGCGGGCAATCGACAAGAGCCGGCGCGGCCACGACTACCTGAAGGTGTTTCATGAAGGGGTTCAGAGCGGTGAAGGTGCGATGGGATAGATGGCCTTACCGTCGACGTCTTGGCGCATGGAACGATGTCAAGTCGTTTGATTAATCAATTTGCCCATGCACTCTTTAATTTGAAGGATTGTACATGTGCCAGCAAGCACTCTCGTCGCCTGAACATAAAGACGCAGTGCTCGAGGCTTGTCAGTTGCAAATCTCCCTCAGGACACGGGAAAGGTATTGCTGATCGCAGCCATAATCCGAGGGGTAGTGAACTTGGGCTTCATCGTGTACTTTCACCTGCCGTCGCGGGCCTATACATAACCACGCACCGCTGCGGCATGCCATTCATACATAACAGCACACTTAGCCTGATTGCATCCGTATGGTACCTTAACGGTGACGCCAGGATTAGGTTCTTTGTGAACGTCGTTCACAGAGAAGCGCTACACCTACGCATGTATCCTGTTAGTGGATCCCATGAATTACCACTGAAGAAACATACCATGTCGCGCCTTTTCAGTAGCGACTTGAGCTTGCCTGAAAGCAGAAAGCATCCATCTGTCGTAAATCGATGAGTTGGCGAGATTCTTAGTAAGATATGAGGTAGGCAAGGGTGCATGACCCGGCGATCTTAGCTAGTATGATAACTTTCATGCTGATGCACGGAATGTTGTATACTCAGATTATACTCCAAAGAGATACATTGGTGAAAGTACAACAACGGTAACGCTCACAGAGAAATGCCATGAGGTTTCTATTCCGTATTTTTACACTTGTCCTTGTTCTATGTGCTCCGTGTAGCGGTTGAGAGACATTGCTCAAGGACTTCGACCAGCGCGGGATTCTCGAGGGCTGCGGCAACGCGCTCTTTGTCGTTAAGCTGCTTGTTCACTAAGAAAGCAGAGGTCAGCGGCAAAACAGAGGTGCGATGAGGATAAGCGTACAAGCATGTTCGCTTTGATGTGACCCTGGCTTCACTCTGATATCAATCTTGTACCGCTCGGGGAGACTCCGCAAAAGCCGTACACGAATGGAGAGACCTACGTACCAGCGTACTGTCAGCGGCCAGAAATTTCGTACACTGATAGAACACACCAATGAACGTGCTCATACCACAGTGAGGCACAGTCGGTGTGAACTCAACGGTGACTCGGTCAGAAAATTTCGGGTCAAAAATGATCTGTGGTGCAGATACGACAGCCAACTGCTCTAGAGACATGCTCCTGTGCTCGGGGTCGGATATTGACCTGATGAGGTCTACATGGACATTAGCCTGCTTTGGAACACTGAGTAACATGCATACCAAATATTTCGTCCTGGTCTATTGCCTCTACCTCGTTTGACTCGTCTTCCTGCTCGCGCTCACTGTCGGTGGTATCGTCTTCGAGCCAAAGCGAGTGTGGCTTGGCGAATTGCGCTGCCCGAGGAGCCTTTGCGGTTGCAAAGACCGTTGGGTTTGGGTTGAATATTTCCATGCTCATAGTTAGAAATCGTCGGGATCGAGGAGGTACAGGCAATGTGGAGGGGAAAAGTAAGGATGCGAACCATCCGGCGCTTGCTGCATGCGGACCCTGACTGTACTGAGTTTGGTAAGCGACAATTGGGTGGCGCGTCCAAACGTGAAGGCTCCTCGGTCTCTCGCTAGTGAGCAGAGCAGTAAGTTCGTGCCTTTCTGTCAATTTTTGCATATATATACTGATTCCACAATTGATGCACCTTAAAAGACGGGTTTTACTAACGCGGATATCCCCGCTTGTCACAACGCCCACAAACGAGCGTCTGGGGCCACCTATCCCTTCCTTCCGACACTCATTAACGACGCGTTTTCACATCTTCCCCTCACGTCGAAAATAACCAGGACATGGCTCCCAAGGTGTGTATATCCACAAGGTGTATTCTTTATTCTGCTGAAATCACGGGATTTAGCGCAAGAGAGCTGAAGAAACTGCCATCAAGCCAGCCAGCAAGTCTACGCGTAGTTCTACGCGCAATAAGACCCTGGAAGACGATGCGGAGACCAATTCTACGGCTGGTATATCTGTGGACGATGTGACAGCCCCCGAGGTGCGTTCTTCCGACATTTCGGTCCGTGTATGCGTAGTGACAGGAAATCTCATAGGATCCACCTCTGAAAAAGACTAAAAGAACTCCTGCAAAGACGTCGAAAGCCTCAAAATCAAGTTCCTCCAGGAGTAAAGCCAAGCAACCTACGTGCGTGCGGACTGCTGCCCCGGCTTCGCATGTAGACCCTAACCCTAATCTTCGCCTGCAGGGTGGATGAGGTAAGCGCCCTTATGCGCCTGGACGTGGCTGGGGTCAAGTTTAAATTGCATTTGCCCAGGCGGCTGTCGGAGGTATTAACACGAACCCAAAGTGAGCTCTCCTTCTCTCGCGCAACCTCTCTTAGGGTTCTCCATCGCCTGAGTGGTGTACATCGTATCCGCCTCTATTCGTTTTCGCCCCTAGTTGCTGTGCACGATCGGGTACGGAGCTGCCAAGGCCGGCGTCAGTGCCTCCCTCCTGCTTTCCTTCCCCCCTCCTCTACCCATCGCTCATGAAACTGACGAGTCTTTTGTGCTGTACCACCCACGCTGCGGATTTCAGTGAAGACGATACCCACGCACGACCCCACGCTAATGGAAACGCAGGCAGCAACGTGTCCCTCGATTCAACAACCGCTAAAGCGAAAAGTGTGAAGAGCACGTCATCCAGAGACCTCGAACTGGAACTCTATACACCCTCTCGTGCGACTGCGTTGTTCACCGCTTATGCAGACGAAGAAGATTCGACAACTATTGGTCCGGAAGGCTTCGAACGACTCTGCAACGATGCGGATATCCCGTTGGAGGGCGCGAAGCCGTTGATACTTGCATGGCTCCTGAGGGCGGCTGAGATGGCGAAGGTATCCAAGACGGAATGGGAAGCGGGCATGGCAGAATTGCAGTGCGTATCTAGCTCTGGAGACCCGGGGTGCCGCTTGACATCGTCTCCATAGGATAGGCAACACTGCCGCGCTCTCGACAGCTTTGAACGACTTTGACGATCTCTTGCTTACGAGCAAGCCCGTGCTGAAACCCACCCACGCCAGCCCTGCCAAGGGCAAGAAGCCCGCGTCGGAACCTTATAACAGATCACGTTATCATGAGTCTGCCAAGGACAGGCGTAAGGCATTCAGCGAACTCTACATGTTCTGCTTCAACCTTGCGAAACCACCGTGAGTGACATGCACGCTGAACTGGGCTATTTCTGTCTCACATCGCATAGACAAGCTCGGCTTATCGACATGGAGGTGTGTGTCTGCTGCTACTGGCGGATTCCTGAACTAAGACAGCATGCAGACTGGCTCCGCGTTCTGGTCCGTTCTCCTTGCCCCCCAGTACCCCATCATGAATGAAATTCTCGCGTTTGTCACGGTACGCAGCCCGGCCCTACCCTGCTTATCTGCGGCCCTACCCTGCTTATCTGTCCTGCTGACCTACATTCTTGATTGATAGGAGAAGGGAACGTACAAGGGCGTCAACAAGGACCTATGGCAGATGGTTCGTGACGTAGCTGGCGAACTATGTCCATAGATGTTGCTCACTCGTTCTTCGCACAGACGCATGAGTTCTGCCGTACCGTCTCGCCCAACCTCGAGGGTTACGACGCAGATGGCGTATGTGCCCAAATAGCTTCCTCGTTTGTACCCCCAACTCATCACACCTCAGGCGTGGCCGACAATGATTGACGAGTTCGTCGCCTGGAAAAAGGGCAAGCTCGGCGCCGCTTAAAAGCCGCACATCGTGAGGCGCACTTCCCTGTACTTCCTCCACCGTACTTCGCCTCCTGCTGCGTGCGTTGCAATGCTACGTCACTCTAAGGTTCAAGCACGAACATGCTCGTGCCATATACACCCTCCATATACGTTACCCACGTGCAAATCCCATGTAGCTAATAGCTAATGTCTAGTAGGTTGCCTTCGAATGCTATAGCGTCTCCTATATTAAACGCCCGGAGCTCGTCGATCCGTTCGTGCGTTCGATACGAAGGCGTACCTTCAAGTGTTTTCTGGAGCGGACTTTACACAAGCCGAGTGAGAGACGCGCGCGCACGAGGTGCTCACCAACGTTAACTATGCTATGTTCGCCGTGCTCGACTTCGGGAGACTCATGGCCTTCCGTTCACCTGCTCGCAGCAGGATGGGTTCGTCGGCAGACGAAGGTGGACAGGTACATCTTCAATGCCTGTTCAGCAACAGATGTGTCCAACTAGGATCACCACAGCCGCGGACAGTACACTTGCGCAGTCGCAAGAGACAAGAAGATTCTCACCTCGGTATCCCGTCTGACCATCACCCGCGTCAGGCCCTTTGTGATCGTGGCACTCTTTTGGTGCCCCTCTTTGATATTCCGTCTGACCTTTGTCTACGTTAGGCATCGAGCTTGCCAGCACTTGGTAATGGGTCCTTCGAGCGACTCGCATGCCCGGAGTCCCCCCTGGCGAAAGAGTCCATTCTATGATTCGTACCACGCACACAGACGTACATACATTAGTAATATCTACAGAAGGTTCAAATCCCAAAAATGCACGTCGCCTGTGTGTCGCCTGCATGTTACGGTGTGTGGACTGTTGAGAAGGGCATGACCACTCTGTCTCGGAAGGCGGCGTGAGAACTGATGCGTACGTCCCTAAATTTAGACGTTCCCGCCTTCGACTCTTGATTATAAACACTCATCGTCCTCAACGCGGCTAATGGCTACTGGAGGTATGTGTATGAATTGCTCCGACATAAACAGAGCTTACGCATGGAATAACGGTAGTACGGTAACATAATACTATCCAGTGTACAAGACAGTAAGTAGTGCTATGGCTACATAGGGGTAGGTGTGCGAGAATAACGGGCGAGGACTGTTCTATGGGATGCTTGATGATACAGATATGCAGCAGGTATATGCGGGGAATGCAGGGTTGAGCGAGAAGGAGCGACAGCATGACGACAGCAAGTCCGGAGGAGTCGACGGGAGCGTGGGCGGGAGCAGAAAGAGAGAGAGATGGGGGGAACAAGGGCTACTACTGGTCATCGAGCAGGAAGTCCCAGTCGATGGCGACCTCTGGCGTGCGCTTCGCGCACCAGCCGAAGCCGAACATCCGCTTGCACGCCTCCTTCGCCCGCACCTCGGGCTCGCCGCGGTCGATGTCCCACATGCGGAACGTCACGTGGCCCGAGGTGTGGACGACGACCTCGTCTTCCTCGACGGCGCCGCCGTACCACTTGTCCTCGTCGTGGTACGGCTCCGAGTTGCTGATGTAGATGTCCGAGTAGGGCTGGTCTGGGCTCGCGAGCCCGGACACGATCGACGGGCGGCGGGACTGCGTGAGCTGCACGTTGCCCATGATGCGGTTCGTGAAGCCGGCCGAGAAGCGGACGCGCTTGCAGTTGGCGGAGCGGTGGATGTGCCCCTTGAAGTCGGACGGCAGCCAGACGGTGATGTCGGCGCTCGAGGACGAGTAGACCTCGAGGTGGAACCGCGTCGACCGCGCCGTCGTGAAGTTCCTGCACTGCACCCGAGGTCGGTTTCCTTTTTTTTCCATGGGAGAGCGCGTGACAGAAGGCAGGACTTACGACTTTGGCTTTGATAGGATCGGGCCCGTGGTTTGCCACGAGCATGCTGAGCCTGTGGTCGAGCGGCTGATTGCGTGCTCGGAAGTGGGGCAGGACGAGCGAGACGTCAACGTTTTGCCGGGTCGTCTCGAGCGCAAAGTCGTAGGACGAGAGCGGCCCTGCCCCACGGTATCTCACGCGGTGTGAGCCATTGGAGTGCTCCAGCAGGCTCTCTGTGCTCGATGGCGTGGACGGCGGACTCTATTCGGTATGTCGGTGAGCTAGACGCTTGCCGCAAATGTCGGAGAAACTCACCAACTTCATGTACGAATGAGTCATGGCGTGGTAAGAGTGGCAAGCAGTGGTCGGCGGGAAGAAGAAATATTTAAGGTGTAAGTAATCGAAGGAAAGCCGTGCCACCAAGGGCTGGGCGGACAGAATGCGAAGGGCAAAGGCCTGACGGAGAATGTGCTGGGCTTATATCGCGGGCAGGCCTTGTCCGGATTGGGCAGGCGGAGGGGAAAGTACAAGACATACCAAAGCGGGCGAGTCGCCGGGCAAACAATAAGAGGGGTGTTTACAGTCGGCGAGCTTCTGTACAGCACGCGGACGCGAGGCCCGGGGGAATCGTAGAAACAGCCCATGGAATCCGCGCGTGTCGAAGAAGAAGAACAACGGGTCATCCGAAACGAGTCTGCGACGCCCATCACCCCCCATCAGCAGTGTTCCTCCCGTGGCGCGGACGGCTCCGACTTGCTTCACGGCGGCTCACGGCGGCGTCTGACGCAGCCTGCACGACGGCAGACGACGGCGCACGGTCGCCGGGTGTCGGAGCCTCGGGCCTGTGTCTGGGTCCCTTTTTTTGCTGTATGAGCAGCCCCCGAACGCTGATGCACTGATGCGCCGTTCACCAGCGCACGTCACGTGGGGAGGGCCCTCTGCGGGCAGCGCGGGCATACGGACCTCGCGTGCCCTTGTGGGCTTCGCGGCACAAGGGGCGAGGACAACCGCACTGTTGGTCCCGCCGCGTTGCTTTGACCCTTGTCCCACGCCCGTCCTCTCCCACGCGCACAATACCCGACAAGCAGCCATCGTCCCAATCAGGCAGGTCTAAAGAAACGCACGCTTTCTGCCCAACAAGAGCTCTTGTCAGGCGCTTCGCCATTCCAGCATGTGCATTAACCTTTGCAGCAGGCGAGTCACGCTTGCAAACCCCTGTTGGTCGTCGCCCCCACCATGGCCATCTGTCATGTTCGCCGTCCGAACCTCACGCGCTCACTCTCCATTCCCGGTGCTTATTGCGACTCCTCACCACGGAGTAACTGTGCAGCTGGCGATGTTCACCCCGAGGTGGCCCGTGTGGACGCTCTGTGCCTTTGTGCGTGCGTTGTTCTCGGCTGCAGAGGCGCGCGTAGTGCGGTCGTCCGTGCCACTGAACTGCCGACGACTCCAGGGGGCGGCCGATGCGCGCGTAAGATACGGCTTTCGAAGGGCATCTGAGTTCCACACTGAAACGCCGCTGGGTGTGCTCCTGGGACGCGTTCAACTCCTGGTATGTAAACAGTCACTCACCGGTGTTCTATCATAAGCATGGCGCGCGACCAGTGGCTTCAGCGCAGAATTGAGTGGCATGTTCGTTCTTTGGCTGGATCTCTTCGCCCTCCATACCTCGAGGGCGTCCCGACGAAATGCAGAAACCAAGTTGCAGTGGGCAATGCATTTCGTGCTAAATGGAGGCTCGAAGAGTGTTCAGCTGTGATTGGTCCGGCTGGTCGCCGCGGCTTTCGGAGACGAGCAGACGGGCTATGCCTTGTAACGCGTTCGTGCAAGAACGGGCAGTGTGACTCCTGCAGGTCAGCGACGAAACAGTCGTGCGCGGCGCCGACCAAGAGCGGGGATGCTCTGCTGGCCACGGGAACGGCTCCCAAAACAGGTATGTCATGCGAGGCGCTGTGCGCCACTCGCGGAACGACGTCAGACAGTCCGTGCCAATCGTCGTTGTCTCACCTGGGAGAACTCGCGCTGCGAGTGTGAACGCAGGTTACGAGTCCGAAACAACTCGGCAGGGCGAACGGCGCATGGAGACGAATGTGGGCTCCCGCTGGCAGCCGCAGCACTGCTTAGGTGCGTGAACCGACGCAGCCACTGATGTCTGAACGAGACCGCACACCCAGATTTCACTCAGGAAAGGGCATCACGGGAGACTTCATCACGCGCCAGCATATCGTGTGCTGTAATAGGAGGCCTCAAAACGCAGAGAACACGGAACGCCACCGGGAATATGACGCTCTGGCGCGACACTGCCAGCACCGCTCGAGGTCGTGTAACTAGTCTACATGGTCACTGGTACACACATTTTCTGTCACATGTACAGTCTGGGACCCTCACGCGGTCGATTTCGCCCTGCCGAAGCGCGGCTCGATCTTCCGGTGTGGGTCCATGAACGCCTTGACCACCTCATCGGTGACTTTTGCCTTGTTCTACAATTGGAGCAGGACATCAGTTTTCGCCAGGGGAGAAAAGTGACAGCAGAGCAGACGCAACAGACCTCTTGGAACGTCTTGACGTATTCTTGGAGCACCTCGATACATTTCTTCTTCATCTCGCCGGTCAACAGCCGGCCAGCGCGGTAGTCCTGCAGGAAACGCATCAGGTCAGCGCGCCGTCACGGCACCGGCGGCTCAGGGCACGCACCGCGCCCATCGCAGCCCACTCCTCGTCGTCGTCGAGGAAGAAGCCGAGGTACTGGTACGCGACGTCGACGTCGGGGTTGCCGCCGAGCCGGCGGTGCTCCTCCTCGGTCTCGCGGCCGCCCGAGAAGCCGTGCTTGTTGACCTTGTTCTTGATCTGGTTCGGCGTGTCGGACATGTAGATGCTCGAGTTCACGTCCGACGCGCTCATCTTCGTCTGCGGGCCCTGCAGCGCCGGGAAGAACTTGGAGTGGATGAGCGTCGGCTTCTGGTACTTGAGCTTCGCGGCGACGTCGCGCGTCAGGCGGAAGTACGGGTCCTGGTCGATCGCGCACGGGATCAGGCACGGCACGTCCGTCTTGGTCCCGAAGATGTTCGGGAACGAGTTGGAGAAGGACGGCGCGGCTTGGATGGCGGCGAAGTGGATCTTGCCGATGTTGTCCCTGCGAGGACATCTCAGGTGTGCACACCGAGGGTGTGAAACGCAAGAGCTTACGAATCGTTGAAGCCGAACGTCGCCTTGGCCTGGTTTATCGTGATTTGACGCGAGACCTTGGTAACGTTCCGGTAGAAGGCACCGCCCATGAAGTCGTAATTGCTAAATATGAAGGTTTTGCTCATATCAAAACCAACGGCGATGATATCCCTTGCATTACGGTACGCGAAATCATGCGTTTGTTCAGGTTTTAGTTCGTGCTTGAAGAGGAACTTTTCGTCGTCTGGAAGAGCGTCAGCGTCTGCTTGCAGATGATGACATGTTGCGTACCGGTGAGCTGGACGACCAGGGGGACATCAAACACATCCTGCAACCATCTTCTCCGTGTGAGTTGGGGTGCGAGATGTGCATCAAACCGATACCCACTTCGTGAAACTGAATGGAATCATGTGTCCCAAGTGCATGCTGTCGCTACTTGGTCCACGGCCGGTGTACAAGAACCAAGGTTTGCCCTGCTCGTAACGATCCAGGATCTTGTCAAACTCCCTGTCGCACGCAGTGTCAGGAAGCTACTCGATCAACCTCCGCACGCTACGGAGCGGACAAGGTCTGCTCACCTGTGCGAGAAGAACATCCCCCGCCTCATCAGCACATGCGGCTTGTGGCCCGTCAGCCTCTCGAATCTCTGCAGCATCGCCTCATCAATCCTGCGGGTGCCAAACTGCTCGAGCAGCTTGTCGTAGTCGATGGCGAGTTGCTGGCCGTCTTCAGAGACACCGCCTTGGACGTCCCAGGGCGTGACGACCTGCCCGTGCGCCTCGGCGTCGGCGACGGGTTTGATCGCGGGTGCCGCAGACGACGAGGGGTGCGTTTCGGTGCGTTCGGCCTGTGTCTCCACGGGGTCTGTCGCTACGTTCCTAGGGCGAGGATCAGCAAAAGCGCATCACGAGACAGTGTCGGAGACGCCGCGCACCCGCTCAGAGACATGTTAGCGACGCCCTCAGCAACCTCAGAAACAGCCGCAGGAGCAGTGGGATCAGCGGACATCTCTTCCGGGGCGACGAGGGGCTGAGACGCGATGGACATGCGGGAAGTGAGGATCGGGAATATTTCCAGGCTGGAGTCACCGAGCAAAGCGTCGCGGGAATCTCGGCTCGATCAGTATAATCTAAGCGCCAGGCGCTAAGATTGCGATCCTCGAAACGCCACAACGGAACCTCGGACAAACTCGCAGAGGGAGACTCTCAGCGCGCCTCGGCTCTTGATATCGTTCATGTTAAAGAGTTTTGCCAATTTTTTTACATTGCCGTAGCGTACGAACACATATCAGAAGGCAGCAGCAGGAATACAAGGCCGCGATTCTTGATCGAGATCCCCGACCGTGGCCGGAGATGAACAGTCGGGGGAACGCGCAAAGATTGCGGCATACTTCTCAGCATTCGCACGAGACAAAAGTCGGGCGAACAGTGGCGTTGACTCCCACAGGCATCATGTCCCCTGTGGACGGAGACAGTAGGTACTAGGCAACGGCTGCTTCCATGCGAAATTTCAGCATGCTTTCCTCGTGTTACCAACGGACACTAACGTTCGACTCCTCAGATGTGTGGTGCCGACCACGAAACAAGGATAACGAGAGCCTTCTTTGGTAGACAAGCGGAGGAAAGTTAATTTCATTCTCAAATGATGTGAAAGCCAATTCTAAATGAAGAGAGCAACATCGCCCACGGTAGCGTCCTAAAGGGTCTACAGCAACGCCAATCTACTGTTTCAAGTCGTAAAATTAAATCAGATGCAGCTGCACGTTCTCCGTGAGGAAGCAACTCTCGCGCGCTGTGCTCCACACGGGCCGTGTTCCTACTTACCTGCCTTTCCTGAATTTGCAGGCGCATCAAAATGCTTGAGCCGAAAGCGCGGTCAAAATGTGACTTGCCCTTCTTCCCCTCTCCTACCACCTAGTTTGCGGTGAGGGATTATTCCATGGGCATCTAAACCGCGCTGGTTGCCGAGTTACTGCCTAACATGGATGCCACTCCGAGGGCTAATAGAGATGCAGCCGCACGACAGCATCCAGGTGCGGTAGCTCGTCACTTGAGTATGTCCGACGACTCTGGCATTCACTATATGCCTAGCGGGGGATAAGGGGACACTTGCAGCTGAATCTAACGGCATAAATGATGGTTCCGTCTCTGCAGGTGAAGCCAGACGGGCCGTTCGTGCAATAGTAAGCGTAGCCTCAGCAGCAACGGCAAACCGCGAGCTAATTCCAATCCCGAGGCTCTTCGCAAGGGATCTGCCCTGTTCTGGTACTATGCGGTCACTGACTGGAGTCTGAGACTGTTTGTGAGTAGACATATTTTCTCGGCCTATCTTCAAGACCGAATCACTTCGTCAGGATTGGACCTGTTCGGGAATGCATGGGCGCTGCAAATTCGTTGTCCGAGAGACACAGCTTCGACAAGCCTGCAGTGTAAAGCTGCACCACGGACGTACAGTCGTGAGGAAATTACAATTCCCCCCGAAACGCGACGAAGCGAGGAATGGCGGCTCGATATACCTATCATTGGAAAAATCTATCAGCGACACGATGTACCCTGTATTACCTTCTTCAATCGGTTATGATTACCACTTGACTGCTCACCGGCCGTGCTCAGATCTCCACGACACTGGTATAACCGCGTCTGGACAACACAAGAAGCTTGTCGCGGCAGGCTGCCCGGAGGCCTGATCCCTGGTCGACCTTTCACTCATACGTTTCTCGTCAGGTTCGGGATGACCGCACCGCCTCCTGGCCTCACGGGTCACATCAAGGTGGACGTCGGCGATCTCAAACGTCGTTCCTGTACCACGGAACTCGACCGGATTGCCGGTCTTGCATATCTGCTGGGCTGTGGAACACTGCCGACGTACAACGAGCAAACCTCAGTGGAGTCCGCATGGCAACTGCTGCTCAAGCACATTCCCGACAGCGTACGCACGTTCATCTTCTTCCACTTTGCGCTCGCCACGCCATTCACCCTTTGGGTTTCGTGGGCTCGATTCATGGCTGGAAATCTCAAAATGGCCAGCGAGCCCTTTGAACATCGTAAACCCAACGACGTGGACATGCTGCGGCTCCTAGACGAATCGCAGCTCTATTCAGACAACTTCCATCCGCGTTATTACCACGAGGGATAATCCATTGGCCCGTGTCATGTGGTCCAAGTCACTTACCTTGACAAAAGCAACGCACGAGAGGGCGTTCGGTTTCGCATTCTTGGGCGATCCGATGAGCCTCTTCTGATCGAGCTTAAAGGCATGCATGGCCTCCTGCTGCCGGAGGTAGACTACGCCCTCGTAGGGTTTCATTTTCAGACCTACTGGGGATGATGTCTGAAGGGTTGGGTTGCGATCGTAGTATCGGAGGAGACGGTCAATGGGAAGTTGACGGTGGAAGCTGTCAGATGGGGTGTCCTCTCTGCGGACGATGTCCAAATCATTGGGCTATCTACGTTGGAGAAGGAGGGTCTCTTGAGGCTTACCCGAGTAGCTTATCTTTCCGGCGAGGAGGCACTAGAAAAAACGCAGTATAGGGAGAAATATCTAAGAGCTCAGACTGTTGAGCGCAACACTGCTTCCGCGGCTTTGGGTTACATTCCATTCCCGAGGGTCGAAAGCACTCACTCACCTCGCTTGAATTCGTATCTTCGTGCTTAGCTTCACTATGTATTAGAGCTCCAAGACAACTGATCCCCTCCTGTTCTGTTACGACATTCCGAGTAATTAATCCTGCGAATTCCCGCCGGGTGGGTTTGCATAGTATTGGGGCGATGGACGGACATAAGGTAATTGGGAGTAATGATACTGCCTGTATTTCTTCGAGGGTTGATACCAAGCTGTTAATCTTGTATGCACTGCATAGTGCGATATGACGTGGGGGCATTGAGATGCGGGCGAGCAGGCGGGATGTTCGCCAAGGGCGCATCATTCCTCCCGGGCGATGCCGACACAGCACCGACCCTCGTGCCACCTTGGCGGCAACGATGCAGCCTCGCTTAGCACTTTCCCTCCTGCTGTGGCTCCAGCTATCTCATCTACTGGATAATCACTATCATATTGCAGGGCTTCCTGCTTGCCGCCTACCTGTGGTACCAGGATGGGTGTTCGAAGCAAGAGAGCGCGGGTTGGCATTGCTAACTTGCAGAAAGCACGGCTCGCGCGACGGAGGCCGGTGAAGGCAACTGGGGGTGAGGACGCAGAACAGACCGACGTATGTGTTACAGTATTATAATTTACGCGTGATCTTGACTGGCGAGCATCGCTCAGGCATCTAGTGCTCCCCCAGACCCTGCGCAGAAAGCTCAAGAGGCGCAGAAGCACATGTGGCAGACCTTCGAAGAGATTACAAAGGCGACTTGGACTGTGAAGGATACTCCTGGTAAGGCTTCCATGCTTCCTGCACTCAGTTAACTATGGCCTTCATTGGAACTGGCCAGAAGGCAAAACGCCGTCGCATCCCGCCAGCACAAGCGCATTCTCTGAGCAAGCAGCGGAACCACCTGTGCGTCTTTCTCAACCCGTCCGTCTATCTCCTCATTCAACTAACTACTGTTTAGATTTTATAGATGTACATGAGACGCTTTTGACTCGACACTGTCTCATTGAGATTCTGTTGTCTTGGTAACCTCTCCTTTAATCGCTTTCGACTTGGCTTAAACTAGACATCTCTCTCTCGCTCTCTTTGGAGATATCTAGCTTTATTTCTCGGTACGCTACGGAAATGGTTATGCTATCAATGAACTATCAGCGAGGACTTGTTCACGAGATGGTGATCTTCTGCGGTGTCTGCTCGGGCGTGGTTTTCGGGAAGGTCACAGTGAGCACGCCGTTCTCCATCGACGCCTTGATCTCGTCGGGCTGCGAAACTAGTGGTCAGCACATAGCTCAGCGAAACGAGTGCAGAAGAGAATCGACATACCTTGGCTCCCTGAGGGAGCGGGATCGAACGCGAGAACCTGCCGAAACGGCGCTCGCGCACGGCCCACCCGTTCTCGTCCTTCTCCTGCTCGAACTTTGATTCGCCCGAGACGGTGAGCGTGTTCTGGCGCACGTCGATGTTGACATTCTCCTTCACGAGGCCAGGCAGCTCGAAGGTCGCGGTAACGAGATTGTTCTGGGTGTCTTCGTGCACGTCCATCCTGTGAAGAGTCCGTCAATACCCGAGTCCATGAACCTAGGGGGGACACTCTCGAGACCTACCTTGGCCTTAGGACGCGCGAGCCATTGTCAGTACCATCGCGGCGCTGGACCTGGTTGTTTCCCTGGCCCTGACCGCCGATGCGATTGTTGAAGGCCTCGTCGAAGAGGCGGTCGAACTGGGAGAGTGTGTAGAAGGGCTCATAGAAGTAGGACGCCATTACGAGGACAGTATGTTGAGCGTAGTATAGAGCGTTTGGTTGTTGAGTGTCTGCGGTGCTGAGACTACTTGTTGTTTCTGCTGCTGGGCCGGCTTGCCTGCAGCTGTCCTTTTATCCTTGTCGGCTTGGTTGAAATCACACGGGTCAGACTTAGCTGGAACTTTCTCTAGTCTACGTCAATGGCTACGCCCCACAGTCTCGAAACTACGAAGGAATTTCCTGGCTACTAACGCAGAAAACGGACCGAACATTCCAGAACAGGCCCACGACTTCGTGGCGTTTAGAAGCGATCCAGCATATGCTTTGATGGGATCTTTCTGCCTTTTCTAACGCTCCTCCTCGAGATGGTTAGCTCCCAGTCCGCTCGATGGACTCCTGAGTTGTCGTTAAAGCAACAGACGTCGAGTGATCACATTTCTCCCATTTTCGTCCCTGTGGCAGAGGCGAGCTGAGGACGAAAACGAAAACGACAGCGTCTATCTAGGACCACTCACCATTCCGAAGGTAATTAATGCAGCATTAATAAAATAAAATAAAACAGGACACAGTGCTGCCATTGGTCCAGGACGCTCTGGCATGTCTGGACGACATGAGCGTCATCGTGCCCTTAATCTGCGAAGCTTCGTCGAGTCGGAAGGTCCACGTATATGAGCACGGAAGTCAGTTCCAAACGAAGATAGTAGCATCTGCGGCAACAGCTTAACGCGTCTACGACTTCGATGATCTGTCAATAAGCTGCGGGGGGAAAAGAATGCGTAAGTGCACATTCACCACGCAAAACGATTTATGTGTGATATCGTTGCAAAACGTGGCCTGCCTTTCCCCCTTACCCTGCCGTCTAGTATGATACACACCACTCAACACACATAAGCATATTTCAAGCACCTGCTTCCTGTCCGACCTGTCGAGATCATCATAAAAAAAGAGGACGAGGTTCCCACCCCATTTCCGCTCTGCCCCCGTCGATTCCTTCACACCCGGTATTGTAAACAGTTGGCGCACACATTCAGCAGCCAGCCGAGGCTGGTCATATCGATGATGGAACTAACTACAAGTTCAAGTTTCCAACAAGCCTTAACTGGGGAGATTAGCGGTGGATGTACGCATCAATTCCTGCGCCTTTTACGAGGCGGCTATCCGCAAAAGCGTTTTGCAACGAGCATCACTGCATACGACACAGCATTCATATTGTCAAAGGTTGGTTGTCCTCCTTCTCCCACCTTCTGCCCAATTTGCTGAAAGGCATATGTTATTTTACAAGATATTGAGCCGTAGATATTCACAAGCGATTGTCAGACGCGCTAATCCGTGGGCCGATAGAGACATGAGTGTGCAGGTTGGCACTAGTGCGGTATCACAGCCGAGGAACGTAAATGCTAGTTCTACCCCGACAGACGCAGTGATTCTGAGTCGTGGGACAGTAAGCGTAGCCTTACTGGTAGTGACGAGTCACTAACTAACCCTTTCTCCTCAGATCCATCTCCATTTTGGATCCCAGTGATCTTTATCTCGATGCTCATCGTGAGTAAGCATTGTCTTTCAGCCTGTTTCCAAGATCAAACCATCTGTCAGGGTCTCTACTCCGTGATAGTACGCCTTCTGATACACCCGCACTGGCGACACCGCAAGTTTGTGCTACAAGAATCACCTTCGACAGACTCGAAATGCGATATTGAACCATTGGTACGGGGTAGTAGCAGAAAAATCATGATTACCCAGTTCATTGGGCAAAGAGTTCCTCCATCGGACAACTTAATGTCTCACGAACAACGCACACTGCTATGGGGCGTCGTCCAGATGGCCCAGAGCGGGTAGGTTTCCGCAGAAGTGCTCTTTCGTTCCTCAGGCCCCGACCAGTCCTTCACCCTCACTCCTTACCCTTGCTCGCCCGTACCCATGCAATGGACACATATAGGGCCTGGAGCAATTCCCGATGACCGAGCTGACACGCCGTGTAGGGATATGAGCGTAGATGAGCTGCTGGCCAGGCTCAACTGAGTGGGGCGAGGCCGCACTCTTGGCCATTCAGATAGCCTAGCCTTTCCTGCACCCGGCAAATTGAAAGTGTCCTGGTAAGATAATTATTGGTTGGAACTGTGACATTTGCTACCATATTTCTATCTTGAATGTAGATGTGGGTGAAGATTAGGAGGAAGATGCGTTTCTGGCCGTCAGACGCGGCGCGGCGCGGCTGAGATGCTTCAGGCGCTCGCTGAGCGTATCCACCTCTCGCCGTTGTTACTGTTACTTACGCTATGAGCTCAACTGCGCTCTTTGTTCTTAGATTTTTCCGTGGTGCACTATAGAGCGTCTTAGCTACACCTACGTGTCTCTATTATAGTGTTCGTAGGGGCAGGGCAAAAGGTCAGGCAAAAATTTCAAGTGAATCTGGACCCCGTATACCGCTCAGGCGTATGAAATATCGATTTGTGAGAGCCAATATTCTCCTACCCGCTTGTAAGTGTTTCAAATGCGCGTGATCTTGATGTTATCCCGAATTGATAGCGCAAGTCGCAAAAATTGTCACTTCAGGCTACGCGTCTAGATATCATTATCGATGCATAAAGCGGCGGGATCAACGGTTGGGACGCGAAGTTAGTCCGACCGCCTTTGAGACAGCAGTCGCACGCATCAGTGACTCCTAATGCACCATGACCTTGAACCACGCCGCTTGGAAACTACGGACCATAGGAGCGGCAAAGGCACGATATATCGGACCCGTCGCGATTCCGACAGACATCGTAAAGGAGGCCGTCCACAACTTGGGTACTCGGCACCACTAGACGACAGCTCAATGACAGGACGCCATCATTTCTCTGGGCATTATGATACTGCAGATTGATTTCCGACCGTCCGGCGGGGACGGGGCACCACCCAGGGGTAATGATCTACCATCTCATGACCTCGCGAGCCTGTAGGACCCCTGACATTAGCTGGGCCTGATCCTAATTTTCGCCTGACCTATCCGGACAAAATTTTGGCCCTCTGGCTCAAAAAGGTGTACAATAAACTGAGTTCCGCGCCATCCGCTGCCGCCGCCCTTCTCCCCTGGCTTCCGGGACGTGTCGAGGGCCTTCATGGCAGCTTCAATGATCCTGGAAAGGGAGAGGGTGTCGTTTAGCTCACAGAACACTTTGTATGTGATGTTGACTTCACCGGGGAGGGTGCGCAACAAGTGATCGGATGGGGCGTGAAAGAATAAGAGCGTCCGCGAAGACACGACGCGTCGATGAATGGCACGAGGCCGAGGGCTTGTTCATGCACCTGCACAACCATATAGGACGATATACCACGGTAGCATACAAGTGTACAGACACAGGAATAATATATTTTATTTGCTCCCTTGCTTGCACCCTTCATTCTTACTTGCCGATATCGTAGACAAACGCTGACAGCGGTGCGGTCTGAATAGCTATGAGAACGACTTCCGATTGAGACACACTTTATATTAAATACCGCACTAGAGATGGAAAGGCTACCAATATTGACAAGGAAGAGGTCTCAAAAGATTTTAGACCTCGGGTATCGGCCAAATGGGGCTACCAACATGCCCCAAAAATCCGTATACGGACGGTCCTTAGGCCTCGTAGAGTGGCCGCTGGCGTTATTCCTCCGGCACTCCCGGGCCAGCCTAGTTTTGGATGCGGATTGTCCTCAGGCCCCTCTGCATAATGTCAGGGGTCCCGAGCTTGTTAGACCCCTTTACCAAAGTCAGCAGGCTAGCTTCGGAATCCGCGACTCGCAGCGACTGTGAGCGGCGCAGATACATATAGAATGTAACACTATGCTCTCTCGCTGCTCGAGGCTGCATTTCTCTCTATCATGGCTGCTGCTGCTGCTGCTGCTCAAACACCGACTCTCATTTCCCCTACCGTCGACCTCCCGCACCAGAAGGCCCTCGGCGTTTCCACGTCGCAGATATTGCAGGCCGATGCCGAACAGGTTGCGGCGGCCTGGCTGAAGGTGTTCGCATCGAAGGTGTCCAAGAACGACGTCGATGGCATCCTCTCCCTCCTCGCGCCCGACGCATGGTGGCGCGACCTTCTCGCGATGACCTGGGACCTGCGCACGTTCCAGGGGCAGGCGAGCATCAAGCAGTTCCTCAGCGACCGGCTCGCGCAGAGCGAGCTGTCGGACTTTCAGCTCACGAGCGCGGCCGTCGACAAGCTCTACGACGACCTCGCGTGGGTCCGGTTGCATTTCACCTTCGAGACCAAGGCCGGCAGTGGCGTCGGCGTCGTGCGCCTCGTGCCCGTCAGGACGGGGAACGCGGCGGAGTGGAAGGCGCATCATGTGTGTACGAACCTCGAGGAGCTGCGTGGATTCCCCGAGCGCACCGGCCCCCTGCGCGACTTTGCGCCGAATCACGGCAAGTGGGTCGAGAAGCGCGACAAGGAGAAGGCGTTAGACACCGAGGACCCCCAGGTGCTCGTCGTGGGCGGCGGACACAGCGGGCTCGACATCGCTGCGCGGCTGAAGCTACTGGGTGTTAGGGTATTGATCTGTGAGAAGAACCCCCGCATTGGCGATAACTGGAGGCACAGGTACTCCGCCCTTTGCCTACACGATGTCGTCTGTCAGTGTCCTTTATAGTTTAGCGATGCCCTCGCGCTGACAAGACTGACTTTCAGGGTATGACCACATGCCTTACCTTCCGTGCGTTCGCCTCGTCTGCGTTTTGCCTTTCTTCAGCAGCTTACCTTATCCGCCAGATTCCCTCCGTCCTGGCCGGTCTACACCCCCGCGATGAAAGTACGCATGCCAATTTCTCATTCTGAACATCCACCCACCTTGGAACGTAGATTGCAGGCTGGCTCGAGCAATACGCTGATTCGATGGAGCTCGATTACTGGACGGAGGCCAAGGTTGTCAACGCGCGCCGAGTCCCGAACGCAAATGAAGGTAACAAGGAGAAGTGGGAGGTTACCGTCCGCCGTGGCGATGTGGACAAGGTCTTCCACGTCGACCACGTCGTCTTCGCTGTCGGGTTCGGCGGCTATACGCCGAACATGCCGAAGATCCCGGGCATGGTGGGCTCCTTTCATGAATTGTGTTAGTTCAGCTAGCTGATAGATCGGTTTTGCGCAGGACGAGTTCGAGGGCCAGATCCTTCACTCGACGCAGCACAAGAACGCGCTCGACCATAAGGGAAAGAAGGTCGCTGTTGTTGGCGCTTGCACTTCCGGTACGCCATGTTCACCAGCGCCGTCCGGGCTCTGACGCTGAATCCTTCTTGCCATGCAGCCCACGACATCGCAGCCGACTACTATGACCACGGAGTCGGTATGTGTTATTGTCTTCTGCCGATCTGAGACTGCTGATGTCTCTTCAGATGTGACCATGGTGCAGCGCAGCTCGACTTACATCATGACCAACGAGAAGGGATGGCCGATCCTCATGAAGGGTTTGTCTGCTTGTCCCTGGCACGGTGGATCATGACTGACAGGCACAATCCAGGAACATACTGGGAGGGCGGCCCGCCAGTCGAGCAGTGCGATCTTATCGACTTGTCTATGCCCATCCTCTACAGGAAAATGATACACAAGCGCATCACGCAGGACATTGCCAAGGCCGACAAGTGAGTTATTCCGAACCACAGCATGGGAGGACAGTCGCTGATGCATAGACAAAGGGAGATTCTCGACGGCCTGCACAACCGTGGGTTTAAGACCAACATGGGACCTGAGGGATCTGGACATTCTATTATGGCCATGATCAAGGGCGGCGGCTACTACTTAGGTTTGTCGTGCCCATGCTCGTTCTGCGCTGCCTGCTGACCTCGCACAGATGTTGGTGCGTCGCAGATGATCGTCGACGGCAAGATCAAAGTCAAGTCCTCCGGGCCAATCAAGCGCTTCACGAAGAACACGCTCGTCTTCGAGGACGGTTCCGAGCTGGCTGTCGACGTCGTCGTCTTTGCGAGCGGCTTCGGCGACTCGCGCGTGCCGATGCGCGAGATCGTCGAGCCAGATGTTGGCAAGAGACTGCACCCGATCTGGAACCTCGACCACGAAGGCGAGACGCGCGGCGCGTGGAAGGAGATTGGCGTGGAGAATCTGTGGTGTATGATGGGTACGCTCACCCGCGTACGCAGATGGCCAAGTGCTTACCTTGTATTGCCTAGGCAACTTTGCTTGGTGCCGCTTCTATTCGAAGCGCCTGGCTCTGCGTACGTCTGCAGTCTGCTTGACTTTCCTCGGCGTGCTGACCTGTCTGGCAATCTGCAGAGATCAAGGCGAAGCTCGAAGGTATACTCAAGAGCGAAGACAGATATTCTGCTCCCATAAAATGGGAGGACGAAGAGATGAACCTTATCCCTATCGTGTGAGTGCCAGGCTTCGAAAGGATTTTGGACAAAGAATTGTATCGATAGTGTATTATACAAGGATTTGGTCTGTAGAACAATGCTGTATACTATGGAGATGAACACTTTATGGAAGAGACATTACTGACTTATCAGGGGTTTTACAACTCGACGCCGGCCCCTTGCTCCATGAGATAGTCGCGAAGATAGAGATTCACAATTTCTCGCGATACTGTCCCTGGCTTTCAGCCAAACATTGTGGCGACGCCACAATGTGATGCAGCAAACACGCGCAAACAGGCTGGCTGGTGACTTGCCGCAGCATGCTCCACGTCTGCAACCACCACCTCTGCTCTCGCCCATATCGCTATTCGTCGTCTCTCTTTCTTTCTGCTCTCTGTGTGCGTCCCTTATACACGGAGAAAACACTTTAAACGGGTCCATTCTCCACAAGCTGGCGAGATTTTGTTCTGGAAATGCGACGCATCACGGTTGTCAACCGCTCTCAGGATATTGTGACTTGTCGCGCTGAGCTTGCCTCGGCTAAGGGCGCAGGATTCGAATACTACACTGTGCTGCCGAATGACACGGAGACTCTCGAACTTCCTAGTTTCCGGGCCGGTCTCGTCCTGGCTCCGCAGTCGCTAGCGGAGAAGGCGGCCTTGCTGGACGAGAGGGAGGTTGCTGCCCCAGATGGTTTCACAATACGAGTTCCACTATCTTTCGGTGCGCTGTGGAAGGCGGTACCTGTGGCAGAGGAGTGTCCATGGCTTGTTTACAGGGTCAAGGTGCGTCGCAACGGTCTAAGCTGTCGGTGCTATTCAGACCTTACTGTAGCACTAGGTCACCAAACGACATCACCAACTACTCATAATACCTCGCCGCGACACGAACTCCTTTCTGAGTCAAATTCCAGACAGCGTACCCTTGTCTTGCGTGACTCTTCCTGGGACACATGATACGTACGTGTACGTGCCCAAGAACCCGTCCAGTGGCTCATACCGTGAACAGCATGGCATTTTATGGATGGCCCATATCCCAATGCCAATCCTTTGATACTCCATTGGCGACTCAGCTAGCGTCTGGCATTCGTGTCCTTGATATTCGTCTGGCCGTGATCAAGGACCGGCTGATAGCCTACCATGGGTTATATCCCCAACGCATGCCGTTCCAAGAAATTTTGACGATCATACACGCTTTCCTTACGGCCAACAAGACCAAGCATGAGACTGTCGTCATGTCCATCAAGCAGGAAGACTTCAGGACGGTTTCCGGCATGCTCTTCTCGAAGCTCGTTCACGACGAGATCATAAATGGCCCCGGAGGGCGCGACATGTGGTTCCTGGACAACCGCATCCCATTGCTGGGCGAAGTGCGAGGGAAGATCATCATGTTCAGCAGGTTTGGTGGCGATGGCGAGGGATGGGATGACGGACGGGAGGGCATCGGTATCCACCCGACTGCCTGGCCGGACAGCGAGAGGAGGGGCTTCACGTGGGACTGCAAGAACACGGTGGTGCGCACACACGACTGGTAAGCCCGTCTCTTCTCGCACACCACCATGGCCTCCGCCGAACCAAACACCCTCCAGGTACAACATCCCGTCCTTCTTGTCGATCCCTGAGAAGACGCAGCTCTCAACGCAGATTCTGCTCCCTCCCGCTGCCGACCCGCCGACGCCCTCGCTCGCGATCACCTTCTTCTCCGCGGCGTCCTCACTCGCGTTCCCGCCGATCGTCGCGCGCGGCTTCGGCTGGCCCAAGTTCGGACTCGGCGTCGAGGGCGTCAACGCGCGCGTCGCGCGTTGGCTCATGAGCATGCTCTGCGAGGCCGACGCCGCGGGTGCCCTGCAGGAGCCGCGCATACGCGGATGGACACTCGCGGACTTCTATGCGGACCCTGAGCCGGCGCTTGTGCCGCTTCTCGTGGAGTGCAACTTCAGAGGGCGTGTGCATGGCGAGGAAGGCTGGTAGGCGCTGCTCGCCGGGGACGTATTTTCGTAATTATGATACTTGGAAAGAATAGAAATACACGCTGCGTATGTTGTACTTCGTCGGACGTTTTATGCCGCGTTTTCCGGGATCTAACTGCATCGGGGCTCGGACTATGAGGATCTTAGATCCCCGTCCAATCGCATAAAGTCCCATAAACGAGCCCGCAGTCCCCATATCTCTTCTCTTCAACACTAGTTCTTCCATGTCCGACCAGCATTATTTCGACTGCACTGTGTATGACAGGAAGGAGTTGAACAGCCTGCCGCCTCGAGGCCTCAAGCACCGCATGAAGCCCAAATGTGCGCTCCCACACGAGAATAAATCAAAAGATGGTACGCCCTGAGTCCCGACCTCAAGCATCCTTGCGTCTGATCCGGTCGAGCGGATCCGCGTGCAGACCGTGTTATGCTCAGGGTGAACGACCCGTGCTGCGCACAATGCAAGAAGCGCGGCCTGCCCTGCACGACGCGTATGGGCACGCGACGGGTCTGGTGTGATCAGTGCGTCGCGGAGCACTGTGCCTGTTCTCTATCGTTGAAGCGCAAAGGTGAGATATGCAGACACCTCTATGTCGTACGAAACCACTCACACTCATGTGACAGCTGAGGAGATCGAAAGCAGCGAAGCTGGAGACGTACCGCTCAATAAAGCCGCGAGGCTCGCGTTCGGCTCTAGGCCGGGACACAAGGAGCGCGACGCAGGCGACGACGACGAGAACGAAGACAAGCTCGTGTCTGGGTCGAGGAAGGCCGCGAATCCAGTCGCGAGCTCGAGCTCAAAGCAGCCGTCTGTGCGCAAGCACGGCCAGGCGGACCTGTTAGGCTGGATACGCAACCCATAGTCCACTATCGACGGCGGCGGCGGGTCCGTTGGTCTCGCTTCCACGCAGCCCATAGCAATCTTGTCTAGCACGCTTGCTGACCCAAAACCGTCCATGGCGACCACCGGTGGTTCTGCAGGCAAGGAGATGACGGAGACCGCCGTGGAGCGGGATGATGACCGGTTGCAGGGCGATGCAGGCAAAAACGCTGCCCGCTTTAAGCGTCTGCAAGGCGCGCGGGAGATGTTTCTTGATCGGCTGAAAAGCGCGACCGCTGAGGATATCACGTCCGACACGCTTGATTCGCTCTACGTGCTTGCCATGATGTGGAAGTCACACGAGGACCTTCTCTGGCCTTCCAAGTCGCAATGAACAAGACCGGCGAGGGATGTAGGGAATTAGTACAGTAGTATGATAGTAAGCAGATCGAATTCTTGCTCCTGTAGTTTATACCTGTACATATATCCAAGTAGGGGAGCTTAGCTTACTCCCGAAGGTGTCATCTGCGGTACCGAACCGCGCTCTGTGCGCGGAAGTGGACATTGCGTCCCTTGGTGGCTCTCAGGCTGTGATCTAACCGCATATGTCGAGTTGATGGGGATCTGAGATCAACTCACGGATTTCGAACGTTCAAAGTCCCCGTGCACCTGGTGTCTCTTCAACACGCTCTCTCATGGCCTACTCTGGTGCGAAAAAGACACCATATGGCTTGGTGTCTAACCAACTGTCCAAGCACTCCAAGACTGAATCCCAGCTGTCCTCGTCCTCCGCGCCATCGCGTTCGGTGGCACCCAACATGGCAAGCAAGGCTGGCGAGAAGGCTAACGAGCCTGCGCGCAAGATGATGCCCAAAGAGTCTTCGTCCAAGTCTGGTACGTCCTAGTCGCGCGCTCCAGAGCATGTTTGCGTAGCGGGCGACCCCAGACAAACAAACAGCCACGATGAGCGGTATGAACGTGAATAATCCTGGCTGCGCGGAATGCGTGAAGCGTGGCCAAGCGTGCACTAAAAGCACTAAAAAAAGCACGTGCGACCAATGCATCATAGGGCATCGCGCCTGTCCGTTCGTGTCGTTTAAGCGCAAAGGTGCTGTGCTCAGACACACATCTTCTGTGTCCGAGGTCTGACTGACGCCTGTGTACCCGCAGCCGTGGAGCTCGAGAGCAGCGACGAGGACGAATACGTGCCTGACAAAGCGGCAAAGCAAAACAGCGACGACTCCGAAAGTGATGACGAAAGCGACGGCAACGACGGGCCCCAGCCGAGGAGGTCGTCAAGAACACTCGCCTCCGGCACGAAACAGAAGTCCACGACGCGTAGAAACAGCCAGAAGATCCTGCCACGCCAGATACGCAGCCCGCAGACCACCGCTAAAGGCAGCAGCGGCGCGTCCACAAGCTCTGCCTCTACGGGAGCGCGACCCAAAGCAGTTTCATTCGGCACATTGGATATCGGCGAGCTCATGCGTGTGGACGTTGACCCACAACCGCCCAAGGAGACTACGGGCAATATCTCTGGCAAGAAGCTGGTGGATACAATCGTGAAGCAAGGCAACAGCCAGTCGCGGGGCAACGCAGAGAAGGACACCGCCCGCTTCGAGCGTCTGCGCGGCGCACGAAACGCGTTCCTGGAGAGACTGAAGAGTGTAACTGCTGAGGGCGCCACGTCGTCAGACGCGCTTGATGAGTTGTACGTGCTTGCAATGGCGTGGAGGACACATGAGGATCTTGTCTGGCCGAACGAGCTGCGGTGAGGGATTCTTTGGGCAGCGTTACGGAGTAATGTAGGGAATCCATAGTACTTAGACTTGCAAGCGCAAACGCTGATTTCTCTTGAGAGAAGAGGGCGCCTTCACGCACATAGTAGAGTACAAAACAGCGATATGATATCTGCAGCTATCCTACGATTCATGACGCGAGAGAGTTTAGTGGACAGACTGACGCCGCAGGTGGGCACTCACGCTCACGTGACAGCTGAGGAGAGCAAAAGTAGTGAATCGCATGCGTGCAGTCTAACAGTAATCCAGCACAAGCACGATGACGCAGAAGATCACGACGAGACGACGAGTTCGTGAAATCCTGAGAGCCCAAGCATCATGATGAATGGAAGATTAATATTGTTTTGTAGCTATTAGATCCGATAGACGCCAGCATGTTACTTACTCGGGAAGTAACTATCCACGCTAATCAAGGTACTACCCTCAGTCACTAACCTCTCCGCCATGGACCACCCCGACACTACAGCAGAAGTGAGGAAGACGCCATACGGCTTGGTGTCCAAACAGTCCCATAAGCATTCCAAACTCAAAATTCGGCTGTCCCCGTCCTCCTCGCCACCACAGTCGGCGGTATCCAAGACGGCGAGCAAGGCTGGAGACAAAACCTCCAAAGCCGCGCGCAAGACGGTGCACAATAAGCCTCCGTCTCAGCCTAGTACGTCACAGCTACACGTGCCTCAGGGCGTGTCTGCGCAAATGCCTGACGTCGGGCGGACCGGCAGACATGGTAGGCGGGCAGAACGTGAACGGTCCTGGCTGCGCAGAATGCACGACGCGCGGCCAGACGTGCACGCGCAGGAGGAACCATGTGCGACCAGTGTACCCGGCGACACCGCTCTTGTCCGTTCGTGACAGTGAAGCGCAAAGGTGCCCGTACCCGGACACATGTCTCCCTTTGTCCGAGAACTGACTGATGTATGTGTGCCTGCAGCCGCAGAGCTCGAGGATGACGAGAGCGACGACGCTCCCCTGCAGAGAAGATTATCAAAAACGCTCGTCCCTGACACGAAGCAGGGGCCCACGAAGCAGAAGCCCATGAGACAGAAGCATACGAGGCAAGAGCCTGACAAGGTGAACCTGTCGCGCCGGGTACGTAGCTCGCAGACCACCGCCAATCGCAGCGGCACTGCGCTTACAAATCCCGGTTCTGGAAAAGGAACGGACTAAACACGCTGCGTCTGGCACGTCTATAACTGTCGGTGACGACCCACAACCGTCAGTGTCAGGTGCTAGCGGCATTGAGAGTGCGAAGGATGTGCAGAAGCTTGAGCAGCAGGATACGGCAGGGAGGGATACCCGCTTCAAACGTCTGCGAAGAGCGCGGGAGGTGTTCTTTGAACAGCTGAAGAGCACGATGGACAAGAGTGTCATGTCTGATGAGCTCGACCAGCTGTACGTGGTCGCGATGACATGGAGGTCATACGAAGATCTTCTCTGGCCATCTGAGCTGCAATGAGCGGCGTCGCCGGAACTGCTGAAGCGAACGAGAATTTATACGTATAGACTGATGCACGATAACTTAGATACACTGTCTGAACGAAAATGTACAATATATACGCGTTTGATCCGCGCATTTTCGAACATCCAACGTCTTCCAAACTCAGCGCGTCCTTCACGAAAGCATCAGCGACCCGAACAACACAACTCCACTGATCACACTTAACACGAACATGTCCAACGCCGCATCCGCTCGCGCGGCACCCGCCTGCACGCCCCCCGTGTTCGTCGCCGCGGGACTGGATACCGAGGATGTCGAAGACGTCGAGGACGGCGCTGACGGGAGCGTGCCCGTGAGGGAGCCGTTGCACGTCGCGACGCCGAGGTCGACGAGGTCGTTGGCGTTCTTGACGAAGTAGTAGTCGCCGTACACGATCCCCGTCAGGTTGTTCGCCTCCGGGTTGTTCACCGTCCCGTTCGCGAGCAGGCTCTGCCAGCTCGGGCGCCACGCGAGCGCGGTGTTGTTTGCGATGATCTGCGAAGGTGTGTGTGCGGTCAGACGAAACACTGTGGAGGCATGCAGCGGATAGGCGGGACGTTACCTGGATCGCGGTGTCGACGTAGAAGTCCGAGCCTGTCTTGTTTGGCGGAGACAGTGAGAGCTCGCCTTGCGAGAGGAGGATGAGTCCGTTCGCCGCGATCATCGCCGCGGACGAATCCGCGGGACGTGGTGGGACGAGCGGAGCGTTGAAGTCCCAGGGAACGACGCCGTCATCTGGAAGATTGTTGATGAAGTACGCGGCCATGCGCCGTGACGTCTCGAGGTAGCTTGTGTTCTGCGTGTGCTTGAACACTAGAAGCGAAGAGGTGGAAATTAAAAAGTGTCTCATAGGGAGAACATGCTTACTGTTTGCAAAACCGTAGATACCCCAAGCCTGGCCACGACTCCACGTGCTATTGTTGGCATATCCTTGTGCAGTGAATTTGCTGACGACGACTCCGGTTGTCGCGTTGTACTCCACGACGTGGAATGAAGACCCGTCGGGTCTGACATGGTTGATCGCCGTGTGATCGGCGTGCGAGGTTGCGATGTCGATGAGTGTGTGGTTGCCCGTGAGATTCGCGGATACAAACAGAACCTCCAGGTTCATCATGTTGTCGATAATGACCTTACGGTATGCGCGTCAGTGATAATAGGCGCATGGAAGATATCAGATCCGTACCTCAAAATCTGTGGGATCTGGTGTGTCCCAACTCCTCGTACATCCCACAGCCGGGTCGAACCGACCAGCGAGGTGGTTTGCGAAATCGTTCACAGCAGTGATCGCAGACTGGTTTTCCGGATGCCTACAATGCTGTCAGATCTCGCCAAAAGCCTGTGCACGCAGTGTATACTCACAGCTGGAGTTCGTCCACGAACGGGAAGCTCAAGAACCCGACGTCATGTCCAACGCCGGTGTTGGTCTCCGACGGGACCTCTCCCGCACTCCACGTCTGCCCGAGCAGAACCCAGTCCGTGCCATTCAGCCCCTGGGCACTCACGTCCGCGGCGCACAGCGTCGTCCGGCGGTTCAGCTCGTACAGCGTGGCAGGGAAGAATCCGCTCGTCCAGGTGTCGGGGACGAAGTACTGCCAGACGCCCTGCACGCGGTCCGTGTACTGTGGGTACTTGGTGGGGTTTTGGACTGTGTTTGCGGTCGCAAGGATCTTCTGTGCGACGAGCGGCGAAAAGAGCTCGACGGGGAGCGAGAGGTCGGCGGCGAGTGCGCACGGCGCGGCAAGCAGCAGCACGAGGCTCTTCAAGGCTTTGGACACCATCGTCGGAAGAGCGTGTAGATGGTGAGCTGGGACCGGACGTCTTCGAGGCTGGCCTTTATACGCCGTCGGCAAACAGCTCTAGGCGAGTGTAGGCCGGAGCGGACAGCTGACTGAATCACGCTTACTGCGTTGCATACGCTCTACGGACCGCACCAAGGCTCAGAAGGTGACGGAGAGGACAGCAGCAATGCACACATCCGCATGGTCGAGAGGGAAAAGCTCGTCGTCGGCGCGCCAATCGGAGCGCGGGGAAATGCCCCAGGAAAGAGCGGGAAATCCGGGGATTGCGTTATACCCCGACTCTTCACCTCGCTCACGTAGTCTTCCTCACTTTCTCTCTCGTTCGCCACCATTTTGTACTTGGCTTTCTAAGAGGAGAACGTACACATATTGCGGTTCCTAGCTCGACAGGCTACTGCGAACAAGAACGACGCCGTCTAGGCTGCCATCGTACCCCTTTTGCATATCAATCCTCCACGGCCCAGACTTGCCCTCAAACCAGCACTCTATCGAGCCTGCCTGTCGTTCCTGAGGACATCCTCGATCTTGTCGGTTCATCCGATGAGCTGGGCGGGCCAGACCTGTTCTCGAGAGGCGGTTGTGCATTGAGGATGCGGGCTGACCTTTACGACGCGGAACCAATACCTGGCTAGTCTCAATCTACTCTAAAAAAGTCTAGACTGTCCCGAATTCCAGCGGCACCCCCCGCTTGCCATCGTAAACTCCTGGCATGTCAGCCCTGCGCGCATATAGTCACGCTAGTCTCGCTTCGAACGCCACACCCCGCCTTCCTCAGCACCCCGCCCCTTCCACGTCACCACTTCCTGGCCCCCGCCTCCGTGCAGCGCACAGCGATGAACCTGTACCTGATCCCGAACGACCCCGAGCAGACGACACTGGTGTCGGCGAACGGCGTCGCGCAGTACCGGGTGCTGACCTCGAAGGCGGGCGCGCTCCGGAGCCCGGCCGTGACGCGGATCACGCGCCCCGCCGACAGCGCCGCGAACGCCGGCGTCGCCGAGGTCGAGTGGCGGCGCTGGGGCGCGCACCCCGTCGTGCGCACCCACGTCTTCGACGGCGAGGCGCAGACGCTCGAGGTCCGCGAGCTGCTGTACAAGCTCGGGAGCACGTTCAGCACGTGCGTAGCCCGTCCCCCCCTTCTTGCCGTGTGCCTTCCTCTGCTGCGTGGGTGTGGAGCTGACGTAGGCCCGGTGCATGCCCCAGGGCGAGGTACTTTCTCGGAAACGACAACGAAGAGTACCGCTGGAAGTACGCCAAGGGTAGTGGTTACGTCGTGAGTCCCAACTTAGCCCACCCGCGCGCCTGCTCTCTCTTACTTCCGAGTTCCCTCGTTCTGCGCACACGTGCAGCTGTCGCTGCGCAGCACAGGCGAGGAGGTCGCACGGCACACGGCGGAGCTCGTCAAGGAGGGCTATTTCAAGGGCGAACGTCAGTGGGTGCTGAAGATCAGACCAGGCTGCGATCTGGACATCGATATCATCGTGCTCACGTTCGTCATCCTCGAGAAGCGGCGCCGGGATAAGCTCGCGAAGCAATCATCTGAAGAGCACGGCGAGGAGCCGTGCGAAGGCGGCATTGAGATGAGCTCGTAGCCATGTTAAGCCATGATAGCGTCAGGTGCTGGGTCTGTCTGCTATTGTCTGGATCCTCTCTTCTTTGGGTCTTATGGTGTATCTCGTATAATGGGCTCTGAGCTGGGCTAATTGTTTTGGTGAAGTGGGCTTGTATTAGTAGCACCTAATGTACACTTCTCAGGGATGACAAGATTTCCAGAAAGCAGTCCAGGATGACACCGACAACATGCATTGCCACGGACTTCTGGAACTACTCCCGCTTTTCATGTCGATAGATGTCTACGACCGATGACGTGGCATGATGGTGTGTACTGGCCAAAGAACGGGAACCTTACAAAAGCTAGCCAGGGTGTGGGCGCATGCTTGCCACGTACCTCAATCACGCGCTACACGCCACTTGCCACTCATCAAATACAGCCACTGCGCGCCCTCTAATGTCCCTGGAGGGCCTCCCGGCAGTCGGAGTCGTACGACAGGCCGTATCATAGGAGGCAATGGGCGTGGGAGCGCGAAGCCGGATAGCAGGGCGCCAGAAGTCGCGGGGTGAAGCCTGCCAGCAGGACAGCGCAGCAGCACGCCGGCCAAGGGGACTCCGGCGATAGGCGGTGGCGGAGACATACCGCAGTTGAGGCAAAGGGGACGTCGACCGATAACAAAAAGGTTTGCGTGCGCGGGCAGCGGGAGCAAAGTGGCGGGAGCGTGCTTGAGGATTCCGCTGCAGGTCCGAAGCGCACGCTGCGCGCACAAGGTGCGCACGACAGCGCGCGATGGGCGTGGGACGCACCTCTCGTGCAAAAGAGAGAAATTTTTGTGCAGACGGCCTCGGTAACGAGGTGGTCGCAAGCAGAATTTGACAGAGGACAAGAAGACAAGCGGATGGCCAAACGCGGAGGACGGCCACGGTCGCCACAGAGATGGGCGCGGCGCTTGTTGAGTGACTCCTGTTGGAGATCCTTCCAGAGCCGGCAAACGAAGCGCCCTAGATAACGGGAATCCTAGGACATGTCGACGTCGATTCCAACGTTTTTCTCCACTTTCTTCGTGTCGCGAAACTCGGGTGCTCGTCAGAGAGCAGCCATCTCGAAAAAGTCTCAGGTCGATGATGAGCAGGCGATGCGAGACGATGAATCGGGAGCGCGATGGGCGACGAGATGGTGGTTGGCAGACGGAATCAGGTTTGATGTGGATGATTGATAAGCAGCCGAAAGTTTTTGTTTCGGAGTTTGAAATTGGTGAGGTATATAACGACCCCAGCTCGCGTTCTCGTGCACGCTCTTCCCCCCTCGCAACTTTCCCACGGTTGCTGCATTCTCGAATTTTAGATCTTTTTACGACCGCCTCGAGCTCTCGCGCTCTTTGTTTGTTCACGACATTCACCTGATTACATTCCAATATCATCTTCCAGTTGACGCGTCGTAATGTCGTTTGCGCTCCCCGCTCGTCAAGTCACCTTCGGCCGTTCGGCTCCCGTGCCACCTCAGCAGCAGCAGTACCAGCAGTCACAACCACAACCCTACGCTCAACAGCCACAGCCGCAGACGAATGGCCTGGCACTGCCGTACCCCACCTACTCTAGTCTTCCGGGACCGTCAACGGGTCTTGCGCTCCCTGGCCCCGCGCCCGCCGCGTACCAGTCGCAGCCCCAACCGGCGCAACCGCCACAAGCTCAGGTCCAGACGCAGCAACCACAGCAGAGCCAGCAGCAGCCCCAGAAGCAAGCGTCACCCGGAGCGAGCGGAAGTCACACCCCCGCGATCGCCGGCCCATCTACGCCAGCGCCGACAACGATCCCTTCAACTCCAGTGCCACTGACGCTCGAACAGCAGCACATCACTGCCGTCGAGGGCATCGTGCCGACGCTGCAGAACATCGTCGCGACCGTCAACCTGGACTGCCGTCTCGACCTGAAGACGATCGCGCTGCACGCGCGCAACGCGGAGTACAACCCGAAGGTTTGTACACCCTTCCCGTCTGCTGATCCAAGACCGTGGGTGACTATCTGTCAGTCCCTGTTCTGTTAGCGTTTTGCCGCGGTGATCATGCGCATCCGCGACCCGAAGACGACCGCGCTCATCTTCGCGTCGGGCAAGATGGTCGTCACCGGCGCCAAGTCTGAGGACGACTCGCGCCTCGCGTCGCGCAAGTACGCGCGCATCGTGCAGAAGCTCGGCTTCGACGCCAAGTTTTCCGAGTTCAAGATCCAGAACATCGTCGGCTCGTGCGACGTCAAGTTCCCGATTCGTCTCGAGGGTCTTGCGTACAGCCATGGACAGTTCAGTTCATATGAACCTGAGGTGCGTCGGTTTTTTTGCCTTATGTTGGTTGCAAAAACTAATGTTGCTGCAGCTCTTCCCTGGCCTGATCTACAGGATGATCAAGCCCAAGGTTGTCTTGCTCATTTTCGTGTCTGGCAAGATTGTCCTCACGGGTGCAAAGGTAACTACTCGTCCACCTTAGACCGAGTTTGTCCTTCGGGACATTTTATATTCGGAATGCTGACGCTGTCTGCGCCGACCAATAGGTCAGGGAGGAAATCTACACAGCGTTCAACACTATTTACACGGTGCTATGCGAGTTCCGTAAGCCGTGAATGCGCCCTCCTCTACCAATGCCCTACCGGCGCCCGACGTGTTCATTGCCAGCCTTGACGCATGGCACGATTACTGTTGGTGCGCGGTTCCTATATACGAAAAACGTGATCAGGGGTTCCTTTGGCAGAGGAGCGGACGTAGTGCACGTGAGATGTTTCTCTCCCTCCCCCCTTCGATATTCACAGTATACCTTCCTGGACTTTGCCCTTCGTCGTTCGTTGTTCCGGTGCATCACAAGACATAAACTTCACGCAATTAGGGTAGTCAGCCTACAGTAGCCGTTCTATATTAGTGTGTGTCATTATTGTGCTCGTAGTCAATGTATTGTACTTTCACCAACTGTGTCCTGTGTGATTAGTGTGTGGTATTCCGTATGGTGGTGTGAGTTGGTTTTTCTTCTCGAGCTCACCTTGCGATTGCGCTGAATTGTGGTGCCGGCGATGATCGACCTGGCAGTGTCGTTCCCTTCGATAGGCGCTGCCCTCGTGGCGTCGCCTAGAGTGAAGGTTCGAGAACACTCGTATGTTTTTCCGTCTCGTCGGATGCTGTTCGAGAAGGTTCGAAGGAACCCATAGGGACTCACTAGATGTGTGTCACGCCACATAGCCGCGAGCTTTCTAGCAACGCTCCTCCCCACGGGGCCACACTGGCAAACCCGGGCAGGGGGATATAAGCCCCCTCCTACTACCCGTCTCGGTCCTCAGCAAGAACACCAGCAGCACAACAAACTCGACTCTCGGATACCTCGTGCTTCTCCACCCAAGATGTCAAACTTCTTCTACGAACCTTTCGTCTCCCTCTCCGAATTCGACCGCCTCTTTGACGAGGCGTTCAACAACCGCGCCGGCAGCGGCAACAGCCGCGGCCAGGGCGGCAGCAACACCAGCCAGCTCCAGCGCCGCACCGGCGCAGACGACGCCTCGCGCGTTCTGAGGCCACGGTGAGTCCCGTCGTCGTTTTGCACCTCTCCCGGCTATGGAACACGAACACTGACAACTCGGACGGCAGGATGGACGTGCACGAGGACGCGCAGAACAACGTCGTCACCGCGACGTTCGAGCTGCCGGGGCTCGCGAAGGAAGACGTGCAGCTCGACGTGCACCAGAACACGCTCACCATCTCGGGCGCGACGCGTGTCGCGCAGGACAGGGACGAGCACGGCTGGGCCGTGCGCGAGCGCCGCTTCGGCCGGTTCGCGCGGTCTGTGCCGCTCCCGCAGGGCATCAAGGTATGAGGTTTTTGCGTTTTGCACGCGGTGGCTGGTTTGGCTTGTGTGCTGACGAGTGATGTCTGCAGCCCGAGGAGATCAAGGCGTCGATGGAGAACGGCGTGCTCACTGTTACCTTCCCGAAGACCTCGCCTGAGCAGGCGCCCCAGAGGATCGCCATCTCGTAAGAAGGCGACAACGGCGGTAAAATCCTCGGTGTATCATTTTCTGTATCCTTCTTGTAAGCTATGCATTCCCAGCAATTGATTGAAAGGTTTTGGATCGCAGCTACTGCGGGTTCTTGGAGGCTTTCGAGTGATCATCTGGACGAGAGCAAGAGTAACCTCTGAATCCCTAACACATTTTCAAGTCATGCTGAAATCGAAGGTAGCTCTAAGATAGAATACAGATCCAATAGGTAAGCGTATTACATGTACTACATGTGGTACATGGATAGCCGGCCGCAATTCAACAATTACATGTGGGTATATGCGCTAGATTCACATCTAAAAACTCTATTCAGGCCAATCAGCACGAAGACGGAGTGGTTGGGCCAACTGTATATCGTCTGAACAGCGTCCCTCGCCGTTGAATGGCTTGCTGGGGACCGGATACCCACGAGTCGACTCAGCGACGCTGCTCGTGGTTCTTCCTCGGCTGGAAACAAATGTGCAATCACCAGCGAATCATCGCCGAATCCTGCGACGCTTGGTGCGCTGTTCTTCCACCTTGTCTGAAGTGTCTGCACAGGCTCCGGATCGTTTCATGCGCTGTTCCGGAGCCAGCGACGGCTCCCTCATGGCGAGGACACCCGGCGTGCGACCAGCTGTCAGGCTCTCCGCGCGCTGCCGAGCAGAAGCTTTCCTCGCGGCAGGTGTGGCCGAACGGCTCCTCCGTGCCTGCGGAGCGCTCTGTCTCCCAGGCCCCACAGCCGGCGGCCTCGGAGCGCGCGTACGAGGGCGCTTCTCAGGGCGCCTGTCCCCGCCGTCGTCGTTGGCAGGCCGCTTCCGGGTCCGTGCGCTGTGATCAGCAGCGGGCCCTAGAGGCACCTCTGGTGCTGCACGAGGGAATATATTCAGACCAAAACCACATGAACAGGTCTGTCAGACGTGACTCACAAGGGTCCCGCCCGAAGCGCACAGGCAGACAGCCGTTCGCCGTGAAGTCGTCCACGGAACAGAGGACACACGTCGCGCCCTCACGCCGCGTCCCTCGGCGCGCGACGCACGGCACGCCCTCAAGCCGACATCGCGCGCACGGCGTCTGCCGCGGCAGGAGCCACTCGACGTCCTGCGACACGGCGGTCCGCGGTGCAGCGTCAACTCTGAGGCGCGCCGCCTCTGTGGCCCGCTTCGCTGCCGCTTCGTTCTTTCTCTTGCGCTCCTCGGTCTGTCTTCCGGGTGTCACTAGGGGGTGGTCGGAGTAGTAGAGTGGGCCTTCAGGGAGCGGTGGAAGCTCGGAAATGAGAGGGGGTGTTATGAGAGGGAGGGGCGGTGCCTTCGGCGACGGCGTGCTGAGGTCGTGGGAGGTGGTGTCGCACGCAGCAGCTGGTGCGAGCAATGGACAGGTCGTAGATGTATCGGAATTCTTAGCAAAATCGGCACATTCGGCAGCCCGTGGTAGCTGTAGCCACTGCTGGCAGCTGTTCCATAAAGCGTCACCGGCCAGAGGAGAAACGATCGGCTCCTCGTCCGACAAGTCGCCCGCATCCGATATACTGGCGCAGGCGGAAGGCTCCAAGATGATAGCCGGACAAGAGAACGCGGGGCGTAGCGTCCTGACACGGCGGTGCGGCAGCATATCCACGTCTGTTAGGTCGCTGCTCGACGGAGCACTCGAGCTGTCCGCTGTGAGCGCCGGCAGCGAGCTGGCCTCGGACAAGGGAGAGCCAGCTAACAACAGTGAAGGTGGCACTGAAGCGACAGGATCTGCCTCGATAACGTGTTCTTGCGCGTGGTGGGTGGCGTATCCAGACGTCTTGCCGAGTGTCTCAGCATAGGGTCCCGGCAAGTCGCTCAGATCGGTGAGCGGAGAACAGGATAACGAGCGTGGCGCGGCCGGTGGCGCCTGAATGTGGCACCGACCCTGGGGCGGCTCGCCGCCAGACGCAGCCACGGGGCCGCAAACGTCGCCGCCCGGTGCGCAGTAGTCCTGCGTCAAGTATCGGAGGATGCCTCGGACCTTGAGGGCACCAAACAGGCCTTTGTAGCGTGGCCTCGGCGGTTCGATGTCCGGGGAGCCACTCACATCCTCGACTACGGTGCTATCAGACCCAGCTCAGATGCAGGAGCGGTAGTACTGACCATCGTCGTTGAAAGATACGCGTCTGGAGGCCAAGGGTGTATGTCCGTTTAAGAACCGGAGCCATTTGCTCGTGCGCGCGAGTTTCGCGTCTGGTTCGCCTATTCGCTGTTCGGGGGCAGGCGAGGATGTCGCGGAGACGGGGCTACATGCGCATTCGGAAGCCTCTGAGCTGGCAGACCTCGTCCTCATAGCTCTCGATGCTTTCTACGTGGGGGCGTGCACGGGCAAAGGCAAAGCCGCAGCCGACAAAGTCAGTACACGAAGCAAACGACGCGCGAAGATGTCCTGTGTGGCGGTGACGATCGAGGATGGAGATCGCTGGGGATTGTGGTAGGTCGCGTTCGTAGACGACGCCGAGCGCGTCGATGTTGGGGTTCAAGGACGGTGGAGGAAGGGCAGGAGCGTGCAAGCTCAGAGGCGCCGAGAAGCAACTGTCGGAGGACGGGGCCGGGTGGCCTCATGCATTCGCGGATGTCGGAGCTGGAGTGGCCTCAGAGCCTGCTGCCGTGGTGGCTTATATACAGAACGCGAACGGACGACGCCGAATGCGGCTATACGTCGAGAAGTTGCGCGACGGAGAGCCCGACGCAACTCCGCCGCAGGTCGGTCGAACTGCCGGTGTGTAAGCTGGGTGCTGTTGCCGCGGTATGCCGCGCTTGGAATGCAAGTGGCTGCCCTAGCTCATGCTCACTCCTCGAACTGTCAGGTCGTCGTCAAGAGTCCCGCAGTCGCGGAGACGGGCAAGTCAGCGAGGCAGCGGTGTAATCCTGCAGAAGCGACGCACCAAGGTTTCCCTCCTACATCTCCATCTACTTTTCCCCCGAGGGCATTCGAATGTGCCTCGCACCCATCCCCTCGACATCCTTCTGGCTCGTTCGTCTTGCTCTGGCTGGGCGTGCGAGCTGCCATGGTCGTGGACCCGGTTGCAAGACGGACTCGCCGCGACATGATTTTAGAGGAAGAAAGGCGCTTATCATTTGATGCGCTTCTGACTCGGCGACCATTCTCCCTCGACCGACGCTATCTTGGTACTCGTTAACTTCTGTCGTACGTCGCGCCTGCAGGTCGTGATATCGGAACTAATGTTTGTAGCGGCATGCAATTGGTGAAGCCGACAAAGTCCGCCTCAGCGTGCCTTGTCCCTGGTAGTCTGTTCTTTTCTTTTCCTTCGGTGGTTGGCTGGGAGTGTAAGGAGGACAGTACAGGCGACGACACCTGTCCAAGATTTCAGGTCTGCCCATGTTAAAGTATGTATACTCCTGGAATGGACGTGAGGCGCTCGTTGCTCCCGGCAGCACCGGTACGTCTGCAGGACATGGCCGTCGTTGCGATCTCTAACGATCCGTCAAGAGGGACGACGGACGGCGAGGGATCCCCCGCGCGCTCTGCGCCAGAGACGACATGACCGACCGATGGTAGCGCCACCCCAACGTCCCCATACCAGCACAGCACAAGACAGACCATAGGATGGAGGCTAGAGTGCCTCGTAGAGGAATTCAGGACAACTGTCTGGCCTGGGCGACTAACAGCAAGCTTATAGCACCTTCGCGCCCGTTATCTGCATATCAGGCGAGCAAGTTTGCTTCTCCTCTTGTTAGTGGATGTGAACTTTTACGGTGGTCGTTATATTTCGCCCAACGGAATAGGTAAGCCGCTGCATGATTTGTGACTGCGTCATTTGAAAAGTGCATTCCTTCCATGCAGGCGTATTGTATTTGCGAATAGGCCGAGCAGCGTATGGCTGTGCTCAAGGCCGGATACTCCAAGTCTCCAAGTGTCGTCTACGTTCCTTCGGATTGTAGGATCCACTCTCGCCATATGCAGCAACGCGTCCAGCCAAGTATCTTTGTGATACCTTTCAAGTCGGTTCAGTTCCTGAACTCGCGGCCATTTTCTGAGCCCGAGTGTTCTTTTCCATGCCTGTATACCTGCTGAGTCCCTCATGACCTTATTCCTGTGCAAACACGCCATGCCATATGCAGGGAGGTACGTTCGCATAGACTCGGAGCCTTTATGAGACCCTTTCTGTAAATTCGCACGCCGATGCCTGATGTTCGGGACCCTTTCTGGATAGTCAAACGAGCCAGCTATGGAAAGATTCACCATTCACATCTGCATTCTCTTCCCATATGATGGAGCGAGGCGATAGATGACCTTAATCCTCCCGGGGTGTATATAACGATGTCCATCGTGCAAAGGAAAATGCCCCATCCCTCGACAACGCAATGATTCGCACAACCTTTCTCATTATCTTCGCTGCTGCCGTCATGGTAGCTCACGCAAGGGACTGCAAGTGGTCCGGTGAGCACCTCGATCATAGCACAGATGGAAGTACCACTGACCGAACATCGTTCTGGAGGCACTGCGCCTTTCTGCTCCGGCACGTGCACCGACGAGCCATACCTCTATGAAGTCACCAAAGGTTGCGGAGGCGGCGACAGCGGCAAGCTATCCACACAAGTGACCTGATGATGCCTCAATCTGATGACTCATCCGTGTCCTCCTAGGCTCCGAGTGCTGGTCAGGTTATAAGGCCTTTTGTTGTACTGAGCGCGACGACTGCGAAAATTGCAAGTTCATGGTTTACTCTTAGATGCGCCTGGCTAACGTATGAGCGACGCAGGCTATTGGGACGGCACTGCCCCTGCCTGCGACGGCAGCTGCCCTCATGGCAAACAGCTCGCCACTGATCTCTGCGGCGATGGTGCGAGGTGTGCTGTTGGACTCAAGGCCTACTGCGCCCCAAGTAAGTCCACTCTGAAATGATTAGCCAAGCTAACCTTTCCTTGTAGACAACGAGGCAAGCAAAACGAGCAGTAAGTGTCCGCCGCGCAGTTTTCCAGTCGGTCGCCTGCTAACGATATCGCTGTAGGTCCCGCTACCCATCAGACACATATTGAGGCTGCCGGCAAGAGCGAGGCTGCTGGCAGAAGTGGCCATTACATCACCGGACATGTTGCTATTGGCAAGGTACCCGATCTCTAGGGGTCCAGAACTCGGAGGCCTGCCCTGACAAGCAGAGCTACAAGCATGTACGACATTAAAGACAGATGCTTTGTAAATTTGGAATATACTGTAAACCTGACTGGCCGTGAGCCAGCGCGGCGAATCACTCGAAGACGACGAACAGAGCAGGTGTGGTGACATTATGGAGTGTCATGATCGCAACAGTGAACGACTGACTCCGACATATAGCTTTGCATGGAAATTGAGTTGTGGAACAGGGAAAATTTTGATTATGCTCAGTTGTCTCAGTTAAGGCCAACAGGCATGAGTCTGCACCATCTCTGCTTTTCACTCGTGTTCAGCAGCCATTATCCTGCGGATGGTGCCAGAATAGCGGCAAGGGTCGCAAAATACTGTGACAAAGCGGCCTTACATACCTCGTAGTAAGCGATACGGCGGCCCTCTTGAGGTGCTCGAAGACTCAGATCTGTACGCATTGATAAGCGGCTAGGTAATATATTCACTTGAAGTGCACACGACGGGGCACTCCGAGTCCGAGCGCCTGCGCTTGACTCCGAAGGTACGACAAGTATTTTTCCATTAGCGACCGTATACAAGCGAATCAACGACGGTCGGGACTTGCGCCGTGTGCATACATGGTGAGCTTCAGCCCCGAATCCCAGTAATATAAGGCATGTACCTAATTCTCGACGCAGCCCTTAGATACGCCTCCCTATGTCGAGTTCTTTCTAACGCCTCCTCACCAGAAAGATAGATAACCCGGGTACGTCTCATAATGCGCTCATCCTGCAACGCAAATAGTCTGGTGGTTTGGTGATCGTCGACTCGGACGGAGAGGACGCCCCATCTGATATGGTCCCCACCAGGTCCAAAAAATAAACCCCACGAGAACGTAGTCCACTTGCGGTAGTAAGAGACCGTGTGCGCCCGTGAACTCGACTGGAAAAAGCCCGTCAGGACGGCGGAACCGAATGCTCTCTTGTGCTCTGCCCACGCCAAGGCGAGTGGTTTGAACTGCGCGACACGGGCCAATGGAATCTCCTCCGTGGTAGTAGCGCGGCTGCGGGTTGTCTGGGCAGAGCTCCGACTTGTCCAAGAGCCGTAACATGGTCACGTCAGCGGGTCTGAAATGCTCGAAGGCCCCCCGATCCGCGGCTTCCCGCCATATATGCCAGCGGGATCCACAGCACCCAAAGAGCGAACGGTGTGGACGGCGCGAAGCTAAAGAAAATGCTCGTGCGGATATCGTCAGGAATATGTTTGAGCAGCACTGGCGTTTGGTTGTTGTATACTGGCAGCGTTACGCAACCCAACAGATGAGCGAGCCCAGCAATTATGTCAAGCTCCGTGGTACAGAGTCGACTCTTGAGAAGGCTTGCCAGCTCTGAGTGTCTCATGGCAACGATAGATTCGAGGTTTGTGAAAAATGGGTGATTCGAGTAACTCCGAGTGTTGAAGATAGATCGGAGGTGTTCGAAGACTGAGTGATGAGAAAGTCGATTGGGAACAGGGCCACCGGGAAACCAGCCATCGCAGGCCTCTTGCAGCGCCCAGACCCGATTGTACCAGTGTCGTGAGGACCTGATGGCTGCAGGTGAGAGATCGAGAGGCAGCCCTAACCCATTGAATCAAGTGATACCGCTGTGCGCGTTGCACTGGTAGATGTTTCCGATGGTAGGTATGTCCAATCGCCACTCGTCGCTTTGTTGCGCCTCAGCTACGTCTAGTGATGATTCTGACCCCGCATTCATGGGAACCTCACCCCCTTCTGCCGGAGACATAGAACGTCGAGCCATACGTACTCCGCGCCCGAGTTCAGGAGGTCGACACGACATGCGTCAGAGTCTCCATAAGAGGCGTCAGTAGTACCGGCCACTGTTGCTCATTGATAGCTGTCCAAACGTCATGGCGATCTTCCGGTTCGACCCAGCTGTGCGAGATACTCCAAATGCTGTCTCTCTTAGTGTTGATGTCTTCTAAGGTTCTTTGGAGGTTTGGAGGTGGGAAGCTTTGATGATCTCGAGACATATGAAGCTCAGTAAGTACGGCGGACCGAAAGATCTATATCGTAGCATGAGCATCGTAAGTCAAAAGCCTCATTCTTAAACACACCAGAGGTACGGCGGCGCGTTTCGCAGGAGGTAGCTTGCCGCAAGGTCGTCTGCAGCACCATCCCCAATCTGGTTATCGTCATTCGGATCCCGTACGACTCGATCAGCTGCTGCTTGCGGCTGGCTGCTAACGCCGCGTGTTCTTAAGATGTGAGACTCAGGCTTGATTGCTTGCGGTTGCCGACGACGACGGGCCCGGCTGTCTCGACTCTGCAAGTGCGAATCGGACGGCCATGTTTTCGGTGCACATACTGAGTAGAATACATGTTCGTGTCTCGTTCATCCGAAGACCATATCAGTCCATGCACGACTCTACGACCTCCCTCAACCTGGGGATCCGCGGGGTGAAGACCGCCTTAAACGGCCGAACATGCACGTTTGCGGCGTCTGTGAAGCCCATCGTGTCAATCGGCTGGGCGGAATCTTCTTTGATGTCGAATGCCCAAAGGATGAGCGCCGTGTTCATGAACAGGGAGCTACAGAAACGTCAGCGGCGTCCAGCTGAACCATAAACGTTTGCGCTCACTTGTTCGCCACATGTTGTCCAACACATACCCTGCGTTAAGCGTTAGCGCAAAGTCTGGCGGAGTCTCGAGATCCGCGCACCGTCGGCCGAAGCCAAAATTGAAAGAGCTGATGTCTTCCCTGAGCCTGCCGGATTCGTCAAGCCACCTGCTGGGTCTAAACTCTTCTGGGTCTGGGAAGACGTCCGGATCGCGCGCGATGGCCCTTGGAAGAATTTCAGCACAAGCCGGGCGATCATAAAGTGATACGAACCACTGATTTCCGATGACAGTTGCACCCGCAGGGATCACATAATTGCCCTAGGAGATAAGAGTCAGCTCGCGAACAGACGCCGTATTCCTGAGGCATACCCATCGTATATCAGCTGTGGCACGATGGGCGAAGCCTGCGGAAAATTATACCCATGAGAGCCGATCGGAGCATCGGGTTACGTAGTGCGTACCTCCATAAGTGACCGGACGCCATCGATAGACCTCGAGATAGAACGCAGTCACGAATGGAAGAAGGCCCTCGTCATCGAATGTCGGCACTGGGGGTGGCGATAAGTACCACAACAGCGAAATTGATTCAGCCCTTACGCCTATCCCTGCCAATCACGCTGTCTACCTGTGCCTGAACTTCTGCCTGAGCCTTGGGGTGAGTAGCCGCCGCCATGATCATAAATGCAATAGCATTGGCGCTCTACATATGAGCAACTATCGTCAGTAGAAGTCTAAGGGAGTACGAGCAGGACATCAGCCACTCACTGTGTCTGAGCCTGCTCCGAACATGGATCCTGCGAGATAGGCGACCTCAGCATCCGACAAGTCGAGCTCTTGCTGCTGGTCTATCAGATATGTAGCGAACGACGGGGGACCGCCGTCCTTCTGTGCTCGCGGGTTTATTAGCGACCGTGCGATTGGGAGATATATTTACGCACTAGCCGGGCTCGTGCACCATCCACAAGACTGGAGAAGAGGCCAAGCTCTTCTTTGTGCCATTGGCGAAGAGTGGACGTGACAAAAGGTACGTGCTTAAAAATAGGGAATCTGTCGACTATATGAGAGTCTAAGCGAACTACGCTGCCGAACCGGGCTGCATATGTGATCATTTTTTGCACCTCAGGATCTGTGTAGTAGGTGGGTTCTGTCTTGCCATACGTCATGTCCATAACTACACTCGCAGCATATCTGCGTAATTTTCAGCATGTATTGATGCTGAAGGAATCCAGCACTTTACCTCCGCGCATGGTCGACGTGGTGCTCCGGATCTCGTAGTATGTCCAAAAGAACGTTCGTCGCGTGTATTGCTTGCATTGGTCTATATTTCACGGCGATAGAAGGCTGCAAATGCGAGTGCAGAGCCCTGAAGAAGGACATCAATAAAACAGAAATGTAAACAATGGTGCCATCCAACTTACTTTCGTAGTTTCCGGAGCCGGTCACCCGCTCCCACAAGCAGAATTCGCTTGTCACCAGAGAACAGTTCACCCGCAGCAATAGACCTGGGGCGGTCTGCCAGGTAGGCACCGTGTTTCTGCATGATGTCGATCGCCGCCTGTGGGTGCGGCATGTGTGAGTAGTGTCGCAGTTTCCGTTCCGCCAACGGCCACCAGAGACGCACCTGGTACCTCCCCACGACACAGACGATGCGCGTGCCCTGCTTGAATGAGAAGACGGGTCCATACGTTTCTGTCAGCTGTGCGAATTTGAACGGAAGACTGGCGCAGAAGACATTAGATGTACTGGATGAAGAACGATGCACGTCGTGGGCAACTTACCGACCCCCTGGGGAGAACCATCGCGCATTGGGTCCCGGTGGGAGTGGAAGCAACAATCGCCTAGTTTTGCCATTCATCCATGACTTCAATAGAGTTAAGACCACGAGACATCCCAGCGCTATCCCGACAGGTTGCAAAACGGGGAGCAGGTCGGTGGGTCGCTGCCACATCACGGTAGGTGTAAGGAGGGTGGTTCGGATGAGAAATCCGCTGCACTGTCGCTTATAAGGGTGTTGTTTATTAGGGTTGTCGCAAGAAACATGAACCATCAGTGAGCGCTGTGTAGATGTCCCATGACTGCGACAGAATAACAAGCAGAGCGCCGTTAGATGTTGGCTCTCAAGGTCGCTCAGTCGTCAGAGCCACAGGAACAGGAGATCCGCGGAGTGTGAAGCAATCATGGAGCAACTTTGCCTTCCCCAGTGACCAAAGTGGCTGTGAACAACTTGTCAGCTATCAGCTTCCGTTATCTCAGAGGCTTCTGTTGGGCTTCTGGTTCGTTGTTGTGTTACGTTAACGCTGTAGCGTCTGCCATAAGCACCTGGCCAGGATTTTCAACTTGAAGCGTCCCTTGTTTGAGGCGGTCGGTCCTCATCCGCGAAACGGCAACGATGGTCCACGAGATACGCATCGCCAGAGTTCATGCTACTGCCAGGCGGCTTGCGCTCGCAGAGCGACTCAAGCCTGCAGCGACAGAGGTTTTGTCCACACCGTATCTGAAGGAGTTGAAGGCAGGGTTCGATTTGCAGCTCGACAACGCCTCAGCTTGGCGGAGAACTGTCAGAGTTTCTAGGCACACGTGTCCGCGCCTGGCTTTTTGCATTCACGTTCCCACGATTTACACCTATGCTTGCATGCAACTACCCCGGCTTACGAGTTTACGCGTTTGCACCCCTCGCGGGCGTGCAATAAATTGCTTTTGTTATTGTACGCTCCCGCTACCTGACTTCCCGTGTTACTTTGACAACAACTGGGCTGAATGACGAGGATGAACAATTCTGGTGGTGGCATGAGGCCATCTCAGCACCTCAACGCATCAGCCCGCGTTACAGAAAAGACCGAGAGTAAAAAAATCCAGACGGTGGGAACGTACTCCCAGCAATCGCTGGCGGCCTAGAGGCGTTGCAAATCGTTCCAAAGTGAGCATCCGGTTCGTTAAAAAACACTGTCGAAATATGTATATTACAAGGTATTCGCTAAAATCTACAATTACTAACATGATACACTGCAGTAGTCTAGGCTTGAGCGACGTCCGAGAAAGGGAGGACAAATAACAATACGAAGGAAGGCACGGCTCAAAAACCCGAGTCGGCAAGGTAGAATAGTGGGTGCAAAGCGATCTCTCAATGAGCGGACAGCGAGCCCATGAAGCTCTCGAGGTCCAAGCCCGCGTACTCCTCTTCGGGCGGCAGGTCCTCCAGCCCTTTGAGCACGTTCTTCTGGGCAAACGCCGTGGCGTCTTTCTCCTTCTTCTTTGCGGCGGCCGCGTCTTCCTCCTCGGTCGTACGCCGGAACAGGTCCAGGACGAGATCCGTGTCCATCGACGACAGCCCGGAGTTCTGTTGGGTCACGACAGAGTTGGCGATGTTCAGCTTGAAACGCTGAAGACTATGCAGTGGAGGTTCATTAGCATTCTGATGGAGAGAGGACGAGCGGAGACGTACCCCATGATCTTCTCCTCTAGGGTGCCCTTCGTGATCAGCCGGTACACGTTCACAACTTTCTTTTGTCCGATACGGTGTGCGCGATCCATGGCCTGCAGGTCCTTCATCGGATTCCAGTCGTGTTCGACGAAGATGACCGTATCCGCCCCCGTCAGGGTGAGGCCCAAACCACCGACATGCGTCGTCAGCAGCAAGCAGTCGATGCTGGGGTCAGAGTTGAATGTCTGCACGATGGCGTGCCGCTTATTCGCATCGACGCTACCATCTAGACGCATGTACGTCACGCACGGCATGTGCTGCTTGAAGAGGTCGTTCTCGATGATATTAATCATCTGTTTCATCTGGCAGAAGATGAGGACACGGTGTTGCGAGAAGGCGCCGCCGGTCGAGCCCGAGTCGGTGTCGAGAAGCTCGGTCTTGGCTGTCTCACCAGAGAGCGATGTAGAAGTGCCGATGCCACAGTCATTCAGCAGCTGCCTGAAAGTTCAGTCAGCACAGCGCTCGCCATCAGTCCGATGAAGGACATACCGAAGAGCAAGCAGCTTGGGGGCATGCTGAATGTCGCTGAGATCTGTCGAGCTGCCCTTGTAGCCAGCATTCTCGAACGTCTCCTTGATAGCCTGCGAGTCCTTGAGCACAAGGGCCGGATGGTTGCACAACTTCCTGAGGTACTGTAGAGACTGGAATACGTGCTGCTGACCCTTTCCACCAGCGCCTCCATCTGCGGAGCGAACGACGTCCGCTGCTGACGTCCGAGCGTTCGACTTGGAAAAGTCATCGTACATGTACTTCTGGAGTTCAGACAGCTCGCAATAGTAGTCCTGAATGATCTTGGGCGGGAGGTCGTTGAGGACATCCTCCTTCAATCGGCGCAGAAGGAAGGGCAGGACCTGCTTATGGAGAGCCTCAAGTGCGAGCGCAGCTACAGAGACTGTCAGCAAAAGCCACTGACGCAAGTTTACAGAGCTGCTTACCAGCTTCACCGCTCTTGCTCTTGCCATCTCGGTTGGACAGGATAGGCTTGCTGAACCGCTCGTTGAAGCTCGACTCAGTTCCAAGGAAGCCCGGCATCAAGAAGTCGAAGAGTGACCACAGCTCGAGTACGTTATTCTGGATTGGCGTCCCAGAGAGGATCAGCCGATGGTTCGCCCGGATGCTCTTTACTGCCTTTGTGAGCTTTGTCTTTGCATTCTTGATGATATGGCCCTCGTCAAGAATGCAGTAGTGCCAATTCATGTCCTGAAGACTGGCGACGTCGTTACGAACGACCTCGTACGACGTGATCACGATGTCATGTTTCTTGAGCTTCGGGATCAACTTGCATCGCTCACGCGAGTTGCCCGTATACATGATCGGCTTCAGATTATCCGTGTACTTGAGGACCTCGTAGTACCAGTGGCCAGTGAGCGTCGGCGGGCAGACTATGAGCGACGGGAAGTGCACCGAGTCGGGCGACTGCGTCTCCTCGTACCGTTTGGCGCGCTCATGGTGCTTGCTCGCGAGGATACAGATCGACTGAAGCGTCTTGCCGAGACCCATATCGTCGCAGAGAATACCGTGCAATTGGTACTTCGCCAGGAACGCGAGCCAATTGACACCCTCCTGCTGGTACTTGCGCAGCTCGGCGTTGATCTTGACAGGAATATCGAACTGCTGCACCTTGCTACCATCGAGAAGTTGAGTAAGGAACTGTCGCTCAGTCTCGCGACGGCGGAGTAAGTCCTCAGAGAAGTCTGGTGGATCGGGAAGGCCAGCTTCTAGGGGCACCATCTTGACAAGCGATGCGAACGTGTTCGTGGCGGTCGACCGGATATCATCGTCCGAGTCACTCATACGACCGAGCACGGGAACGATCATGAAAATGACGTATGGCAGTGCCTTGATATCTAGCTTCTGCACGATATCTAAAGAGAGGTCAGTATCACCTCGGACCGGCAGTTTGTCAGAAAATGCGTACGGTAAATGAGCTCAGTTGCGCCCTGTCTGTTCGTGATGTTCGGCGCGTCTCCGAGGTAAGGTACCATCTTCTCGATTACGAAGCGCATCGCAGTCAAGGTGATGACATCGCAGATCGTCGCAAAGCAACGGGCTGCGCATTGGCGGATGATCGCAAACTTGCTGCGCAGCGCGAGACTGATCATGGAGAACAGTTCGTGGAACTTGGGGTGGAGGCCAGAGTGGAAGGTGGGGACGATAGCGTCGAGGACGCTCAACGAATCGATTACGTCTTGGCCGAAACGCGAATCGATGAGCGAGTCCATCTTCTTCGACTCATCTGAGAGGCAGTTGAGCATCATATTTCAATATATTGGGGGAATAGCTTACCACCAACGCACGCACTCAGCAGTCCGCCAGCCATAGACTGCCACATGTTCGGAACAAGATCGAGCAACTTGTCCCCAAACTTCTCCGACAGTTGCACAAATGCCAAACTTGCTCCACGCCGCGAGAGGCGCGCTTTCGCAGCAGCTTCCGGGGTTGGAGGTTCCTCTTTGCCGTTCGACTTCTCTGTGGCCTGTGGGGTTTTGAAGGAGAGGATGCCGCGCGTGTATTTGCGACTATAGGCAAAAGTCGGCGTCTGTTCGACGTCCTGGCAAAGGAATGTGCAGAGGTTCTTGACGATTTTCTCCGGCGGCTGGTTGAGCTCGCTCTGGACGCAGAAGTCGACAAAGGCGGCAACGGCGACAGCAGAACGTGTCTGGAGCTGGATGTTCTCTTCGCTCTGTGATCAAAATGTAAGTATGAAAGATGATATATAGCACAGCAATACTAACTTTGATACCGTTCATGATGCCCTTCACGATCGGGCTGACCTTGTCTGGAGTCGCCTTGAGGGCAACGAACGCCGCCGCAAACGCCGCTGAGACACGGACGTCGTACTGCGCCTTGACCTCCGCGTAGCGCTCGATGTTCGCCGCGACGTGGGTACGCTTCTCCTTGATGATCGCGAGCTCCTTCTTCTTCGTCCGGCCAAGCGTGTCCTTGAGCACGTCGAACATCTCGCCAACGGCCTTCTCGGCGGTCGAGATCGTGAACGCGTCGGTGCGCGTGCCCGTGATGTCGATGTCGTCGCCGAGGTTCGGGATCGCCGACGCCGGCAGCTTGCAGTCGAGGTGGAACGCGTGCAGCAGGGCGTAGCACTCGCTGTGCAGCCGCGCGAGCGTGTACATCATCTCGTGGTATGACGCCGGCGGATCGTTCTTCAGGAAGAGGAGCGTCTTCGCGGCCAATTCCTTCGCAAGCGGCGAGCGATCGATGAGGAGCGCGTCGTCAGGCTTCGCGCTGGTCTCATATTCTCGCGCCCACTCTTCCGTGACAATTGCGGCGAGGAACTTCTGCAGCATAGATGGCGAGTCGATGTAGTGGATGAGGATAGGACGGAACATGGCGTCGTGACTCTCGTCCTAAAGGGCGGTCAGCAGAAATACATCAAGATAGATAACGAAACATACCAAGTTAGGCCAAACAGCCGTCACATACGCCATCGACGTAGCAGCTGCAACACGCGCAGCAATGACAGTCTCCATCGAGACCAACGACAGGTCCTGTGCAATCATGTTCCTGTCGACGTTGTGTCGCTCTGTGCCCTGGTCCATCGCCCGCGCGAGCGCAGGGTCGTAGAAGGCGGAGACGTCGATCGGCGTGCCAAGCGGCGTCATCATCGCGCCGTACCACTGCAGAAGCCGGGCTTGCGGGACGAGCGATTCGAGCCACCCAGGCGCCGCGCTGAGGATGGACAGCACGAGGCGCCATACCGCGAGCGTCGCATCGCGAATGTCTTCCCGCTCCTCGACAATCATGTTCTGAAAGAGTAGCTGCAGGAATTGGACGCTGAGCCAGTCCCGCGGGAGTGACGGCACCGACATGAACGAGTGCAATGTCTTGACGACCGCAAGGCGCACATTCGGGATGGTGTGTCTGAAGAAGGGGAAGAGCGTTGGTGCGAGCGTCGAGAGTGGCTGCGATTGCGCCGGATCGGCGATGATGTCGATGACCTTGTCGTACGCGACGAGCTTGCCGAGGAGCTCCATGACGGCGCCTACGGAGGAGCTGAGGTCGTCCTTCATGTTACTCAAGCAGCTCCAGAGAACTGCAAGCACGCGAGGAAGCTCTTCCGGGAGCTGATTAACAAGATATTCTGCTACCGGAGACAAACACGACGCCGCGACGGAACGAACGTCGTCATCTCGATCGCCAAGTCTGGGGAAATAGTCAGATATATCCACATCAGAGCCGCATACGCTTACTTACCCCAGCACAGCGGCGTCGACAACACCGCGCAGGACCTCCTCCCCGCCTTCTGCAGCCACGAGGTCACTTCTCACCGCAACTTCATACTTGATTCCGAGCAACCCAGCATGGCGCACCTCCCATACGTGGCCCTTCTCGCTCTGCCTGCCCTTCTGGGTACCGTTGGCGGGCTTCTGGGGAATGGGGAAGTCTTGCCGGATCATCTCGAGCAGGATGGCATGCACTCGCAGAGCCGATCGTCGTGGCATGTGCAGCAAAAGAGACGCGAGCGTCTGCGAAACCGTCTCGCGCACGGGCGCGACGACCTGGTCGGTGACAAAATCGCCGAAGCGGTCGAGCACAAAGACGCAGAGGAACTTGACGGCGAGATCGTTGCACCATTTTTCGTGTGCGATCTCGTTCTCTTCCCATGACAAGCCGGCTGTGTAGACAGATGTCAACACGGGGACCGGCGATTACTGGGAAATAGAAGCTTACCTTTCATGCCACCGAACTTTCCCTGGCTCTTGAGCAGCTCGCGGAGGGCCATCGCAGCACCGTGCCGCACCTCCCAAGCGGGGCTGAACAGGTCGACCTCGAGCATCTTGACGAGACCATCCCACACCCATCGCCCTTGTTCGACGTCAAGCGCCTTTGACTGCTTCTCTGCTTTTGGAGAGACCGCACCGCCCTTTGACGGATCGATAACGACCTTCTCGCCGCCTTCGACGGGTGATTTCGGGCTGGCTGCGCGGCTTGATGGCGAGTTGCGGTCCTCACCAACGAGGCGGACTCTGCGGTCACGATTAGAGTGGGTGTATGCGCATGAAAGACGAACGTACTTGTTTGGTGGTGCAACGGCAGCCCCGTTATACTTGGTGCTCGTGCTTGGTGCCGTTGCAACAACGAAAGCACTCTGTCCACCCTTCCGTTTCCGCTTCAGGCGATTGCGCTCACGTGCCGAGAGGTTGCTGGTGTCCTCGATTGGCGGCGGGCCGTTGGATGGCGCTGGAGAGAGCGCGGGGGTCGGCGACTGGGACGGACCTGCCTGAGGAGTCTCGAACTTCTCAATTTTGATAGGCTCAGGCTGGATAATGAGCTTCACGTCTTCCTCCGTCTTGACTCCCTCTTCGACTTTGACTCCGTTCTCGCTGTCTATGGTCATCTCCTCCTCGTCCCCAGCCAGCTCCTTCTCCAAGTCAATATCATCTGCGCCGCCGACGGTGTCGAGGAAGTCGAGGCCCAGGCGACTCATCGCGTCTTTTCGCGCCTTCTTGACCTCGGACGAGCTGGCGAGGATGCCCGTCGGCTTTGTGAACTCTTTGCCGGACGATGCAAGGAGCAGTGTACCCTTCTCCATGAGTTCTTGAACCGAGAAGTGGGGAAACTCCGGAACGGATAGGCCCTCGGCCTCTCCGGGAGTCTTGACATCCTCTTCAGCACCAGGATGCCAGAGGGGAACGAGAGTGAATATTTGAGATAACGCGACAGACACGGCTGTGCGGGTCTCGTGGGATTTTGAATGCAGGTATGGCAGGATCTAAGGAAGACGTGAGCGGTAGCTTTCGAAAGAAATGATACTAAACTTGACCCTTGCCACCACAGACATTAACTCAGACCACGCTGCCGAGTCGCTCATGGCGGTGGCATGCTGGCGAGTAGATTTGATATCGTCTTCGACTATAGTTACATCGCTTATTACACTCTTTACAGCGAGCTGGGCGAGCTGCTTTGCAGCTGTAGTCCTTACAGAGGTTGACGACCCAGTGTCGAGGAGGAGGAGGAGTCGGTCCAACCTGCGGCGAGAGTCAGGAACGACAGAAGATGCCAAATCGGGGTGGCGCACCTCGAAGTCATGGTTGAGCGGAACGGGACAGCCCGGGCCGAGCGGCGCCGCGTGGAGGTCTTGTGAAGGAACTGGGGGAAATTCTCACGCTCCCCGACCTCCCATGCACCTTTTATCATTTCCTCACTCTGTGACAGAAAATTGACGTAGTCACGCGTTACACAGCTTTCGCCGCATTTGGTAGTTACGCGTTCTATTGCGTGCATGCCTCACAAAGAGGCCGGTCACAAGCAAAGCGCGTGAAGCTGTACGGACAAGGAATGAGGAACTGGAGAATTGTATACAAGGAGCCAGGGAGAGCCATCCGTGAAGGCGGAAAGTGGAGGAAGGCAGGCCCTCGTCGGTTCCCCACCATCGGCGCTCGCAGGTCTCTCACGCTCCCCACGGCGGGATCTAGGATCGAGCGGCGATGACGCAGCGACGCGGATGTTGGCGACAATCCGAACAGACACCTGGCGGCATCGCACGCAACGTTGTCTCTCGCCGTGATCGGGCTGAGGAGTGCATCGAGCCCACCTTTCGAAACATCGCGGTGTGCCAGTCAGTGAGCTTTGACAAAGCAGCTCCACACTATACACTGCCAACAAGGAGCACCTGTCGCGCCTCCATTGTCTCTGGATGTTCTTCTTGGGGTTATTAATTGTTCGTGACCGTGCAGGAGGACATATTCGGGCCAAAACAATTGCTCGAAAGGGATGATTCGGAGCTCGGAGAGCGCCCAAATGGCATTTTCGTCAGATTTAAACCCTTAGTCGTCAATAAAATTGCAACTATCGAAAGCATTTGTCAGGTTTGAGCCTCGATTCGGGGATGTCGGGTGTAGTGGGGAAAGAAGACCTGCGCCCAACTGTCACAGTCAATATCCAAGGAACTGCGGGCCTATGGGAAGATGTAAGTGGGCAACTCTAGATCTGCTCGCTCGCAGTGTTAACCTATGATCATACGTGATCGACGCTACAATGATCAGAAATCATGCGGTGTTCCTCAACCAGCATACTCTCATCATAACACGCGACCCTGTGGATTGGAGTTCGGATCCTCGGAAAGGATGAGTGCGTCTGCAAAACAAGTACGTCGTCTGCAACAACGGTACTACAACTTGCTGAAGCCCATGCACAGCTACCTGAGGAGCTCAGAGCTTGGGCTTTGCAGCTATGGGAATACATTACCCACGGACTCCAAGACGAGAACAATACTGCTGCTCGAGGTGGAAGTCTCACGGACGGACTTCTCAGATCTCAGGGTTTAACCTCCGTAACTAGAGCTGATGCATTGCGGGGAAACACACACTCAGACGCTCCGGATTGACTTGGGAACTGAGGAAGCCCCTACCAGTCTCGATGGGCTGATTTCGATTGCGCACGAGAAGTTATCGCACGCTTACCGGCTGTCGCAGCCAACGCTCTGCTGGCGGAGGTTGTATACAGACGCTTGTATTCTGCGAAGTTTGGCATGCATTCTTGGACGGCAAACAGAGGCCTTCGCCGCCGAATCCGTGGCGCGCCTCGACCAAGCCATCATCGTGGCCGGGCCAGCGGGAGAAGGAAGGCTCGAGTTGATTCATGAGTTCATATCCAGACTTCAAGTCATGCTACCACCGACAACTAGGATCTCGCGTTTGCTAACATCCAATGCCACTCCATCGCCGCCGCCACCCAACACTTTCTCCGACCCCATACTACGACTTGATACCTCTCCATCTCTCGCCTCCTTCCTGAACAAATGCTCCCGTGCGCCTTTCGTCCTGTCCGGTTTCATTCGCGACTGGCCAGCTCTCAGCGAGCATCCCTGGCACTCCCTCGACTATCTGCACTCCGTAGCAGGCCCGGCGCGCATCGTCCCCGTTGAGGTCGGCCATGACTACCGGAGCGACGACTGGACGCAGAAGCTCATGCCCTGGGAGGACTTCCTCGACGCTTTGGTGCCTGCGCGGGACGGCACGCGGCCGGCGCTCTACCTGGCGCAGCACAACCTCTTCAACCAGTTCCCCGCGTTACGCGACGACATCGTCATCCCAGACTACGCGTACGCGGCACCCCGGCCGCCGGCGGACTACCCTGATTACCGCCCGCCGCCGAACGAAGACCAGCTGGTCATCAACGTCTGGCTGGGCCCTGCCGGCACAGTCTCGCCTGCGCACACCGTGAGTCTGACGCAGCCGTTTTCTTACGTTCGCTCTCGGCATCTCACACAGGGCTGCAGGACCCCTTCTTCAATTTGTACGGTAAGTCACGTCTTGAGGTGACAGGTATCATCATTTTTTGTTGAGAGCACACCCCAAAGCCCAAGTCGTCGGCCGCAAAACCGTCTGGCTCGCCCCGCCTGAGGCAGCACCACACATGCGCGCCTACGCGCCTGCACCCGACGCGCCCAGCACGCAGCCGCACAATCCCGCGGCGAACACGACGGAGCCGCTGCTCAGCAACACGTCCAGCCTCGATGTGTTTGTACCGGATGCGGACGCGCTGCCGGTGGCGTTCAAGGAGCATGTCGTGCCGCGCGCGATGTGTGCGACGCTCGAGCCGGGCGACTTGCTATTCTTCCCGCCCGGCTGGTGGCATGCGATGCGCAGCGAGGAGACGAGCTTCTCCGTGTCGATGTGGTTCTAGTGTAAACATACAATGGTCCTGTTGACCTCTATGAGATCTACCCAAGATGATTGACCAGCAGGTATGACGAATTCTAGTCCGCGCGAACCTCTGCGACGATTTGGGGGAACTAATTAGCGCAACTATAGGTGGCCATTGAATATGGAGTTTCCTGAGTTTAACTGTGATATTGGAGACCACTAGGCTTGCTGAGTGGCTGCGTGTAGCTCTGGTTGCACGCCACTATTCGAGGAAGCTCTGAGCAAGAATGAAATTGTTCATTTGGGTCACAGTCAACATGATATCTCATGTACTCCTATCCCTGTAACCAACGACCATCCCAAACCACCTCGACGTCCTGCCTGAGAGCCTCCAACTCCGACCCTTTAACGCCCATGCAGTCCGATAATACGAGTTTCTCCAAACGGTGCCCAATCTCTGCACGGCGTTGCAGCACGCGAGACAGAGGCAGACCCGATTCGGCGAGGCCGAACTTGAAAGTCTGGATATGTAACGTCTTTACCGAGGGAAGCATCAATTCTCCTGTGTTCGCCGGATTCATGGCGTCCAGCACGTTCCTTGCGAGCCATCCTTTGACCGACAGAGTGCGGACGTTGCTCAGAAGACCAAATACCGAGTGTACTGGCAGGTTGGCAATACCCGCACGGACGCGCTGCATCGGTCCGCTCGTGAGCTTCAGGGCCTCCACATGTCTGAAAGCGTCCAACTCGTCGAAGTGCGCAAATATGCTATCCACGCACGATTGAAGCGTGATCGCTGGCGGCGGCGAAGAGCTTGGCAAGGACTTCCAGTCTGCAAATGCGAAGGGGCCCGATCGGCACAGAATGTCTGGTGGACATAGAGCTTCCCATCCCTCGACGTTACAGATGCCATCGATGTGGTCGTCAGCCAAGATGTGTAGTGTCTGGATGGACAGTGCGTCAGTCCGGGATTGAGAGCGACGAGAGAGCTTGGATGACAACGTGCGAGAGAGAGCAGATCGCTCTTCACTCGCACTATGCCCCCTGACCATGCTTTCTGCAGCGGCCACCTGATTATAACTGATATGGAGCCTTGTGTGTGTCGGGAAATCGAGGTTATTCAGCAGTAGGGCAGTTTTCCAGCCGACTTCACCGCAGTCAGTACGCAAGAAGCGCAGTTTGGGAAGCCCAACAGGATGATCTAACACTGCGTCCGTGCAGTGTCGTACACCGTTGGGTATGTCTTGGAATTTACTTTCTATCATAAGGCTCTCCAGACATGCCAGCTGTGCCAGGGCTTCCAGCAGATCTCGCCATATTGAAGCCGAACCAGTGAAAGCCTTAAGGTGCAAAGTCTTTAGTAAAGGCCGAAAGAAGGAACGAGCATGTAGTAGAATGAGTCCGTTGGTGGTGAGATTCAGAAGCCGCGGAAATGAGTTATGGCTTGCAATACATGGTGGATCGTGGGCCTCCGATGGACGACTATGAACGGTCAATTCAGTCATTACAATCTTTCCAAGTCGTCGATACAAACGGTATAAGTACCTGGAAGGCTCGGGAGCTTCAAGAAGGAGGCTTTCCAGCGTAGAGAACGTTTGATCTTCTTGATCCAAAGACGGCAATAGTAGTCGTGACAGGACGTTTGGCAGGGGGAAGGGAACCATAAGTGTTTGTACTCGAGAGGAGACACTTGAGATATGCCTCCAGAACGTCTCCACGTCTTGCCTGCGAACAATAGAGGTCCTGCCCTCTACTAGAAGGGGCACTTCTCCCGACCTGGACACCAAAGTGGCTACACATTCCGCGGCATCTGTCCTGATATCGATGTAGGCCCAGAGAGTGCGTCTGCGAAGCGCAACAGTTCGCCAGTGGTGACATACGTGTGCAATCTTTACCCAGGTTCGGAGAGGCGAAGGCAGCCTGCAGTACCAGCTCGAATTGTGGTAGCTGCAGTCGGAGTCCATATAGTGGCTGCGCTGGGCAGCGCGATAGAGTTGGAAAATGTCGCCCAAGATTTCGTCTGGAAGACGCATCACAGGTGCACCTGCGCTAAGTAACACCCTCAGCCGCACAATTTCGGCTTCGTGCTGCTTGATCTCTTCCTCGATCCGCAGACGACCCTCTGCCGAGAGACAGTCATACGCTCCAGTAGCGATTTCTCCTGAGGTCTGTCTCAATGAGTGGACATCGCAAAAAAAAGAATACATGCCCTTCCGACCTACCATACTCGTTGACAGAAAATAATACGAACAAGTTGTATGAAGGTGAAGATTGGTTACACGTCAACGCGCCGGTTGTGTCGCGGCGTCTCACGTCACTCATTGTTTGTGCCCCTTGTTTGTGCCTCTTGTTTGTCCCTGGGCCTGAACTCTAAGCCAAACATGCCTCTCATACCAATCGTGAATCGTGCCGCTTGTAAATATTATTTCTCTGAATAACCACTTTGGATGCTAAACCAAAACCACGCTTGCCAGCTGTAGCATTTGTTTGCAGACTATCCTAGAGACCACACATTCCTACAGATCGATCATCCAAATGATGTTGCGCAGCGGAGCATACTTCCTACGATCTGGATGCCTCTACGATCTCCTCAAGGTGCTCAATCCTGGGCGAAAATTTTACCTGGAACGGCAATACGCGTACTGTACTTGAGTCCGTGAAGCCCATCGTGTCAATCGGCGCCGCAGAATCTTCGCGAATGTCGAAGGCCCATAGTAGAAGGGCCGTGTTAATGAATAGCGACCTACGGAAAGTCTTCAGTGTGGTCATACGACACGGAACGACACAGTACACACTTGTTGGCGACATTTTGCCCTACACATACCCTGATGTTGCAGAGATTCATACGTGGGAGAAATCACGACTACTCAGAGACATGGCTGCTTACCTCCTACCAAAGCCGTACGCAACTGGTTTGATGTCGTCACGGAGGTTGCCTGTCGCATCCAGCCATCGACTTGGCCTGAATTCGTCTGGGTCGGGGAAGACAGCTGGATCGTGCCCGATAGCCCTAAGTCATTTGGTCAGCGCCAGTGAACTTTGCGTATGTTCACGTGCTTTACCAGTGATTGCCGAAGACTGTAGCACCCGCAGGGATGACATACTGATTCTGCAGGGGATAAAAATTATTAAAAAAGTATCATCGCGACCAGAGCCTCACATACCCAGATGACGTCGCTGGTAGCACGATGTGCAGCCCCTGGTGAAGCAGATCTATGCGGGGTTGAGGTAGAGAGTCCCGAGATAATGCTCACCTCCCCAGCTGATTGGCCTCCAACGGAAGGTCTCAAGGTAAAAAGCGGTCACTAGCGGCAGTAGCTTCTCGTCGTTGAACGTAGGAACTGCCGCAATCGTAAGATTCACTACACAAGCCAAGACGCAGCACCCAGATATTTACCTCTGTCTTTGCCAACCACGCCATTCAGTTGTGCCTGTACTTCTGCCTGAATTTTCGGGTGAGTCGCTGCAGCCATAAGCACGAAGGAGATAGCAGTTGCGGTCTGAGTGAATTGTAAACATTGAGCGCAGATGAGCAAACAGAATGACTGACTGATTCTGCCCCGGCCCCAAACATTGATCCAGCTAGATACGCCAGCTCATTGTCCGAGAGTCCATACTGCTCTTGGTGTTCCAGGAGATAGGTCGTGAACGAGGGCCGTGCCTTGTGCTCGCTCTAGACACTTGCATCAGCATCAAGTGGACCCACTCACACCTCGATAAGCTCAGATAAACTCACAACCTGTGCTTTCACGCCCTCGACCATCTTCAAAAATAGCGCGAGCTCTTCTTCGTGCCATTTGCGCAGCGTCGCTGTCACGAACGGTACGTGCCTGAGCAAAGGGTACCGGTCTACGACATGCCGACCCGCGGGAATGAGTGCCCTGAGGCGTCTCGTGTGCACACTCCTCTCCACCACTTCGGGGTCGCTGTACTTCGTCGGCGTCGTTTTGCCGTACGTCATTGTCAGGATCAGACTCGCGGCGAATCTGCAGAGTGTCAGCTAAGCGTCGCGAAGAGGGCTGCGGGCATACCGCTTTGCGTGATTCATGTGGTCCTTGGGGTCCTGAAGGATATCCAGGATCAGGTCCAGCGCGCTCTTGAATTGGATAGGTCTGTGCTGCACGGCGGCCATAGGCTGCAGCTGCGAGTGCAGCGCTCTGTGTGAACTCGATCGTCAAGCGCTTCTCGTCAACGAATTGACTGAAAACGTCGCACCTCCTCAGCTTTCTCAACCTTTCTCCTGCATCAGTGAGCAGCGTGCGCATACCACCCGAAACTATGTCGCCGGCAGCGATGTGCTGCGGGCGGCCGGTAAGGTCCGCGCCATGCTTCTGCATGATCTCGATTACGTCCTGGTTGCACACTTTGTGAGAAGATGAGCCAAAGGTAGCATAAAACGAATGACCTTGTAGCTGTTGATAATGCATACGACCTGATTGCCTCGCTTGTATGAGAAAACGGGGCCGTACGTCTTCGCCATCTCCGTATATTTCAAAGGCACCCTCAACACCCCCATCAACTAGGCTATCTTAGAGCAGCTTGGAGGCAAGACCACTCACTTTGGCCCAGGCTCAAACCAGCTTACATCAGGGCCTGGCGGAAGCGGAACGGCCTTCTTCGTGCTCTGCACGATGCGAGACGCCACGCGAATGACCAACAGTACACAGATTAGCACGAGTCCCGGTGTCTGGGCAATCTTCAGAGCATTCACGAGGAAATCTGCCATGGCGACGCAAGCCTGGGGTCGAGGGTCATGTTCAGGATGCCTGCGTGAAGCGTGGGATATATACCCTTCAGCCCTTCTCACTAGACCGTGTGATCACCACGGGGACACGCCCCATGACGGAAGACGGCACCCGCTTACATACCTCACGAAGGTTACCCTGGGAAGCACTCTGCATCCCCCGTGAGGTGAGTGGAACCCCAAAATGAACTGAGTACAAACCTAGTGTTTGATTAGGACATGGGACGATCCTGTTCTTAGACACTGCGGTGACAACTTTCCATTACATTTTGTCCTGAGCAACGAGTTATGCACAGGATCCGCTGTATTCAACACCACCTCGCACGGATATCGCAGTGGTACGCCGTGGTGCCAAGATGAGAAGAGAAGAGAAGAGCAAATAATGCAACAGGGTGTACCCAACATGTTTAGTAGACACGCTTGAACGGCGGAACAGCCTTGCACTCGTTCTCGTCGAGCGTTTTGTCGATAACGCCACGGTACTTGATGTCGACGTCGGGTGTCGAGGGGTCGTGCTGCCAGGTGAGCGTATGCTTCATCCAGTTCTCGTCGTCACGCTGTTGGGAAACGATGTGAGGGTGTGTGGAGACGCTGAGAAGAGTCTTTCACATACCTCAGGGAAGTCCTCACGGGCGTGGGCACCACGGGACTCCTTGCGGGCGGCAGCGGCAGTGATAGTCTGAACGGCGCACTGAAGGAGGTTGCGGAGCTCAAGAGTCTCAACAAGGTCGGAGTTCCAGATCATGCTCCTGTCCTTGATGCCAACTTGGTCGTAACTCTTGTAGATCTGGCCGATCTTTTGAACACCCTCGTCCAAGGACTCCTGAGTACTATATATACCGTCAACGAACGTGTGCAATCGATGACCCACAATATACGCACCGGAAGACAGCAGCATCAGCCTGCATAGCCTTCTGCATGTCAAGACGGATCTTAGCAGTAGGATTAGGGCCATCGGCGTTCCTGATCTTATCGAGGTACTCGACGCTTTGGAGACCAGCCTCGTCGGAGATCTTCTTGTGGGGTTTGCCAGGAGTCAAGGTTTCCTTGATGTGGTGAGCGCAAGCACGACCGAAGACGACGATGTCGAGGAGCGAGTTGGCGCCGAGGCGGTTCGCACCGTGGACAGATACACATGCAGCCTCACCAGCGGCGTAAAGACCGGGAACGACTTTGTCTTTGCCGTTCTCGTCAGTGGTGACGACTTCACCAGTGTAGCGGGTAGGAATACCACCCACTGAACAAGATGATCAGCAGCGACACAAGACCGAAATGCGCCGACTTACTGTTGTAGTGCACAGTCGGCAGAACGGGAATGGGCTCCTTGGTGACATCAACACCGGAGAAGATGGCAGCCGTCTCAGAGATACCAGGGAGCCGCTCGTGGAGAATCTCTGGCGGTAGATGGCTGAGTTGCAGGTAGAGGTGGTCCTTCTCCGGACCAATACCACGACCTTCGCGGATCTCAATTGTCATACTACGGGAGACGACATCACGAGAAGCAAGATCCTTCGCGGTGGGGGCGTAACGCTCCATGAAACGTTCACCCTCAGAGTTGAGAAGATAGCCTCCTTCCCCACGAGAACCTAATGACGAGTGAGATTTGACTGGGGTATATGCGCATATACCGCACTATACCTTCGGTAATGAGACAGCCAGCACCATAGATACCGGTTGGGTGGAACTGTACGAACTCAAGATCTTGCAGAGGAAGGCCAGCACGAGCAACCATAGCGTTACCATCACCAGAACATGTGTGTGCACTCGTGCAGCTGAAGTAGGTACGTCCGTAACCACCAGTCGCTAAAACCGTCTTGTGCGCACGGAAGCGGTGGAGGGTGCCATCCTCCATGTTCAGGGCAATGACACCGACACACTCGCCATCTTGCATGATCAGGTCAAGGGCGAAGTATTCGATGAAGAAGTTGGTGTTGTGACGGAGGGACTGGCCGTACAGAGTGTGGAGAAGAGCGTGACCGGTACGGTCAGCAGCGGCAGCGCAACGGTACGCCTGGCCACCTTTGCCGAACTTCAACGATTGACCACCGAAGGCCCGTTGGTAGATTTTGCCTTCCTTCGTTCGCGAGAATGGTACACCGAAGTGCTCAAGCTGATGGGGGTTGAGCACGCGAATTTGCGAGAAGTGGATCCAGTCCATACCTCGATAACAGTGCTAGGAGCTTCACGACACATATAGTGGATGGCATCCTGGTCACCCAACCAGTCTGACCCTTTGACCTGCAGAGAAAATTAGTCGCAATTCGGGGAGCTTCGAAGTAACGCGTACAGTATCGTACATGTGCCACCTCCAGTCGTCCTCAGTCATGTTCTACGCATCTCATTAGTTTGATTCACGCATCGAGTGCACAATTAACTCACTCCGAGAGCCGCATTAATACCACCCTGCAGGGATAGGTCAGACGAGCATTACACGGAGCGCACAGCAAGGGGAAGCTTGCCTGGGCAGCGACGGTATGAGACCGCGTGGGGAAGAGTTTGGTGATACAAGCGGTATTGAAGCCGGCCTCCGCGAGACCGAATGCTGCTCGCAGACCTGCACCTCCGGCACCGCTGCATGAAGGGTTAGACGACGTCGCGGAAAAACAGCCATGGTACGCACACAACGATAGCATCGTATTCATGTTCAATGAGAGGATATTTTCCTGAATCCCATGACTGCAAAGCGCCTTAAGCACGAAACATCACGAACCGAACACTCGAGCACGCACTTGTACTTCCTGCGCTTTCACCGGGTTGGTCGCGACGACCTTGCGAGCAGGCGCAGAGCTGGAGAAAGACCTCTGCGCGCCAACAACGGCCTTTCGTAGTTGCTTTCTGAGCATTGTCGCGAGCAGGAACGGCGAGGGTAATGGCTGTCGAGAGGAAGGATAACCGCCTGTCCTCGCTACCTTGACGTCCTCGGACAAGCGCTCGGCCGAACCGTCAAATCCCGAACGAGCCCATCTAATCACAAATTGAGCATTTCCCGAAAATCACCTGTTTATTACCATCGGACACTCGTCGGACGCGACACAACGGGACAAGATGGGTATTCCGTGCGGACAAACTGTAAATAGGCAGTCTAGGTATCCAGTAATCTACACAATCACAGCAACAATCCGATCTTCAACAAGGGTAGTCCCAAGGGAGAGATATTCGTCACCGCAGGACACCAAGCGGGTCCTGTTGCCTCGTCGGAGACTGTTCATGCAGAGATGTGTCATCGCTTGCCGGCTGTGATGGGGGATATGGACGCGCAGCGGGTCTCACAGAGGCGACAGCAGGCGGTCGCGAAGGCAAACGGGGTGACGAAGGCGAAACCGGCGTGTCCCGTGGTGAGAACACAGACCGCGAGCGGTTCCACGGTGCGAGCGGCACTGCGTTCGCGTTCGGCGTGAGCATAGACACCGTCGGTGTCGGAGAAGCCGCTCGCGCGCGTGTTCTCTCAGGCGATGCCGCCTTCGTTGGCGGGAGGTTACGCGAGGGTCCCGCCGTAAAGTAGTCCTGCGACCGCCGCGTCGCTAAAGGCTGTGACTGGCTCGACGGTGGTGCTGTTGCAGCAGGCTGTGGCACGGTGAGACCGATTGATGGATATTCCGTGTCGGGTCTCGCCAGCAATGCCGCTGCATGCCGTTCGAGCTCCCTCGCTTTGCGCGCCTTAAGCTCTTCCTCGCCGATGAGCCGGTCCTCCTCGACTTGCGACGGAATGATGGAACCCTTCAGCACGTCTCGCACGTATGACAGACACTCCACTGCCTCGCGTTTCCGTTCTTTGATCGACTGGCCACCGCCATCATCGAGAAGTAGCGTGTCGACGATCCAGCCCACAGAGTCTCCTAGCCGATGCTGCAGTGTCTTCAGCTCCGCGATCTCTCTCTCCATCTCGAACCGCGTGCGTGGCTCCCATGGCGGTCGTGCCGCAGGATGTCGCTCGTCTGAGAGTGGATATGACGGATGTTGAGAGCTGGGTGACAGCGGCAGCCGCGGTAGTGAGCTCGCAAGGTCGGGTAGATTTCGCTACAAGCATCAATTAGATTTCATCTCGCCGATTCGACAATGCTACGTGCCTTGAGCTCCGAGACAGCGTTCATCACCGTTTTGTTGATTCCTAAGCTCTCTCCCCTCTCCAACAGTCCCCTGGCGATCATCTCCGGCAGTGCCATCGGGTTTGAGCCTTGCCTGATATGAGCCTTCCCGCCCTCCTCGCGCAGGGCAATGTGCGACGACGACGTCCCACGTTCGGTCAGGCGTGGACGCCGGCGAGTGGGAGGCGGCGGGGGGTCAGGCACCTCGGTTGGAATCCCGAGCAAGTTTAGGTTTTCATGCACAACAGAGACACCAGTCGCAGCTGTCGGCGACATCTGTAGCGTGAGAGCCTGGCGCAGGAGCAGGCTGCATGGTTGGAGGGACGGCAGTGAGGCTGACCGGTGTTCCAGAGCCGGGTATCGCAGCAGATATGTCAGTTGGGTACTATAGTCGGCGGGTATCACTGGAGAGATGTCAGCTACGTCCCGGCAGAAAGCAATAGATCACACACGTTGATTCCGGATTCGTATGAGCATGGCGACGCATAACCAGGGTGCAAGGTCGAACGATGGATCGCAGGCGAACAACCCATCCCATAGCACCATTGCGTCTTCCATACTAAATTCTCTAGTAAATAGCATTCGTAGCCATCGTCTATGCTGCGTTAGCATATAGCCCATACCACGGCAGGAGAGTACTTACATCCCATAGATCTGAGGCTCGATGCCCGAAGTCTGCAGGCTCCGCCATAGCTGTGAGTCGGCGCTTTTCAGCAGAATGTTCTGCACCTTGTTGCACGCCTGGACAATGGGAGAGACGTAGGGCTTGATGCCGCCATCGGCGGCGCTCGCGGATAGGTGGACATGTGACGCGAAAGCAGGCTTCCCGACGGTGGTACACTTGGATTCGCGCCACTCGTACCAACGACCGACACCGCGCATGACCGAGTCAAAAAGAGCCCACGCGTCTGCAGCAATCCAGAGTCGGGAACAGATCTCTCTTAGCGGGTGGTCCCCGAGACTCGTATCTTCCTCCGGAATGGAGTCGTAGTCTACAACATAGTAGAGCGGTGCCAGCAGCTCGTGCATTCCTTGGCGATAACCGATGTCGGGGTGCATAACAGAGTAGACGAAGAGAATGTTCGTGAGCTGTGCTTGGACGTCTTGGTCTCGGAAGTATTCGATGTCAGGAAATCTAGAGCCTCATCAGTCTCGCTGGACTGGTGCTGCCGCAAGACGCACGCACGTCCGCTCGACATCCTGCAGGATCGTCTTGCGTAGCTCCATAGCCGCAAACCACGCCGTCCAAGGGTTCTGTATTCGCCTTAGCCCGGCCGCACTTTCGCCGCCAAGTACGACACACCTCATTGTGCAGACTGAGCGGATTGTTTAGATCGAGGTTTCCACCCGTCCTCTCCGTGCGTGGGGGCGACGTCTGGGTGCCCGGAATGATCACGCCGTCTTCGTAGCCCCCGTCTGGTGCGCGCATCTTATCGAGGAAAAGCTTCTGATACTGTATGCGCGCAACCTTGACCGCGTCCAATGGTATGCGGGCCTGTTCATCTGGCTGGGGCTGCAGCGGCCCTGCCTCCACCAGGAACAGCTACGCCTATGAGTACCTATCGCGAGCACAGAGATGAGAGACATACCTTCCACGCAAGACTTCGCCCGGCGACTCCCATGGACGCGCCATCAGGCGCAACAAGCAGTCGTCCGCCGAGGGCCGCATCCTTCACCTTGTTGAGCGACGTGGAAGGGTTGAAGAGAGCATCGTAGGCGTTTCTAATGCACCAAAACGCTGTTACATGCTCGAATCTGGAGTCAAGTTTCAAATAGAGCGACAGACTTCATATCAATTGCATCTGGCCGGGCTCCTCGTTCGATCATCGGGCAGGTCACGGTGTGTTACAACTCGGTCTGTGTTGGATTGTGTCGCAGTTGGTGTACGTGTGCGGGGGCAAAGAAGAGTCTGAGATTGCAACAGTGATGATGACGGTGAGATGCACTGCTAGTACCTGGGTCTCATACGCACAGGATGTAATCATAGACGCTGAATTCGTCGGTGTAAGAATTGGCGGATAGAGCACTAGATACAATACGTTCGCCGACACAGCTATAACTACAGGGGCACATCCAGAGCGTATTGCTGAAATAGATTCTCGGAGAAGTACCGAGCACGAACGGTGCGTCCTCCGAAGTACCTTCCGTCCAACTCACGAACAGTCTTCCATGCGCCAACCGGACCAGCAAATAGTACGAAGATGCGCACTGCTAGATCTTCTGTCGGAGGCGGCGGGTTGACGAGGTGTACAATGACCCGCTCTACGGTGCCGTTCTTAGAGCATTCATCGCCTATACTACGGTGAGGTCGGGCAGCGTAATCAAGCGGGCAGTGACATACCGATTTCTTCTCTTAGATCCTCATCATCCGCGTCGTCAGGACCAACCATGTTGGTTAAGACCACCACTCTACTAGGCTCTCCAAAGCGTTCGCGGTCTTCGCGCGCCTTCGCATCCTCATTCTTGTTGACAATCTTCCCCATCTTAGATGCGACAGACGGGCCCTTGCCCTTCTCGCCTTTGCCCTTTCCAGTTTGCACCTGCTCCATCGAAAGAGCATGCACAATGCCACTGCCATCTGCACCAAGGCCTTGCCCTTCTTTATGACCCCACTTTGCCATGAAACGAGCGGCAAAGCCAGCAGGATCGGGTCTAAAAAGGAACGACGAATAATGAGAAACAGATGTTTCGAAGAATGCAAGGTACGCCATACCTTTTAGGTGCATCAGTTGACTGCTCTACATCAGCTGTGGGCGTGCTAGCGCCTGAGCCTGCCATGTCCGACTCGGGGGGCTTCAGGGCGCGCAGCTTCGCGGCAATGGCAGCAGCCGCTTCCTTGCTGCTACGAACTTTCTCCTCGGACAACGCATTGCCTGAGAGCGGTAGGCCAGCTGCAGATGGAGGAGGCACTGAAGCAGACGGTTCGAAAGGGTTGTATGCGAGGGCAGGTGAATCCGGCTCCGGCGTCTTTGCTGCAGCTCGGGGCACAGGCTGCAGCTGTGACATCGCCAGACGACGAAGATACACTTCTTCCCCTGTCTCGTCCACCAGAGCGCGAGTAGGAAGTGCATCGGGCATCTCGTCGTCTCGGTCACTGCTTGCTGGGAGGCCGACATCAGACGACACTGAAGGCACCCCTGCGGCTGTGAAAGAAGGCACAGGTGAGGTGGCCGGCTGGACGCTTCGGGACATGGCAAGGCGACGTTGGTATGCTTCATCTCCAGTGAGATTGACGTCGATCGGGACAACACGGCTTGGTGCGACATCTAGGCCGCGCGGGCGGTCAAAATCGTCTTCTTCGCGGCCATTATCTTGCGTGGAGTCGTCGTCGTATCGGCCTGGTAAGGACATAAGGACAGCGCCATGGGGATGAGATACGCTAAGCCCACCAGCCTTCCGAGGTCTTTCATCTTCGGAGCCGCTAGCCTGGCTGTCCTCGGAGTAGCTCGAGCTTCTGTGCCGCTTACGGTCTTCCATGCGCCTCCTTTCTTCAATTATGCGGATACGTCTTTCCTCTGCATCCTTGCGCTTCCATATCTTGTATTCATTGTAGTCGCTCGGTCTCATCGGGTCGTACATTTCGTTTGGATCCCACGTCAGCAGAGCCGGTACATGCTTGTTCTGTGAACAGGAGCCATAAACGCGTCATTTTGCATCGTGCAGCAGTATTTCTCACCTTCTTGTGCTTCTTGCCGCCGCCGCTCTTTTTGCCTCCACGCTGCGTTGCCTTAAACCCATTGACGTCCTCATCGAGCACCATCGACGGCGGTTTGACTTTCTTGCCCCATCCCTGAGTTTGGGGAAGAATACCTGCTGTCTCTTGGGCGACAGATCCAGGCGCAGGTGCTGCTTCAACCAGGGATGGAGGAGCGAATACCACGGCCGTGCTCGAGATGGTCGAAGTGGACATCGTTGGTACAGCAGTGGTAATGGTTGCAGCCACTGCAGCGCCGGCAGGAAGCCTGGGTGCCGCAGGCTTTGCCTTCTGAGCTGGGTTGCGGCGTATTGGCGCGAATGCGAGGCTGGCGGACCATCCTGAGGATTGACCGGCAAGGGTTCGCGGAGCATGGACGGACGATAGTGTGAATAACACGCTTTACGATACGCAAGCTTTGAAGAAGGAAGAGATACCGGCTGAAGCCTTCACAGAGGCGCCTAAATCATTTGTCGCATTGCTCGCTGTTGCTGCTGCTGCCACTGCAGGTGCGGAAGGAGGTGCAGCTGTCGTAGGCTGCTCTGCAGTTGCTGGTGCAGTAACCGGTTGAATGGGTGGAGATGAGACCTGGGAGACTGACGAGGAGATGAATGGCTTAGAGGATGAAAATTGGATACCGCCGTACAAGCCACCAGCTCGACCCGACATGTCGTGAGATGGTAGTTTCGGTGTAAGCGGTGGATGCGATGAGAGGACGCTGTAGGCGCGAGCGCTGGGCAAACACCCAAATACAGAACGACACCGCCGGAGCATCAACCTATTTACGCCCGACTTGAACGTGGACCACCATATTGGCCTTGCCTCTCAACGGAAGAATCGCTAGGTAGGCTTACAGTATATCTTGTATCGTTGGCAGTTTGAGTCTAATTAATTTTCAGTGTAATCATGACAGGATCCTATAGCCCGCTGTCTCGAGAAGATCGCATACAAATTGAAGAACAAATTGTATCCTACAAAGGCGAGATAGCTCGATTAAATAGACGACTCAATGCGGACGCAAACATAATGCGCCTACCGGACGAATTGTTGACAGAAATCTTTGTGCACTACGTTTGTGCATGGCAAACCCTCCCACCCAGGAACCGGGGCCATGTCATGCAACCCTTGGGCTGGCTCCAGATAACCCACATTTGTCACCACTGGAGGGAGATTGCGCTGTGCTCGTCTGTTCTCTGGACGTCTATCAGCGTCGGTAACTCGACGGAGCTCACCTCTACGCTCATTGAAAGGTCCTCCCAGGCGGATCTACACATCCAGGGTTGCTTGACTTACCCCGAGCTCGACGGATTCACGGACGGTTACCATGAGTGGAGGCCTCTCGGTCAAGTCTCACATCGGATTCGTTCGCTTCGCCTCGACATTGTTGCAGAGACGCCCCCGTTTCTGCCCGCCAACAGTGGCATACCTCCTCTCTCGGGTTTGAAAACCCTCGTTCTTGACGTGCCTCTGTATTTCAGAGCAGTGCAGCAACTTCCTTCCTTCCTCGTATCGGACACCATCTCCCTCAATTACCTCAAGACCCACACGTTCGCATTTACAGCTATCCAACCTTTACTTAGCTCATCTTTGAGAGCTCTCTCCCTGCGCCGATTCTGTATGTCGAGAACACCGTGGGGGACAGTTTTTGACACGCTCAGGAACCTCACCAACCTCGAGCAATTGGACTTGGAAGATAGTTTCATGCCGCTGCCGACAAATTTCACAGAGCTTCCCTTCATCGCGGGTCGAGTCGTCACGCTTCCGTCCCTGCGATCTCTGTCCCTGTCGGCCGAAGTGGCAGCCCCGGCCGGTCTGGTGTTACGCCAGCTGCGTTTTCCCGGACAAGCCACACTAACGATCAAGTATGGAGACCAGTTCCAGGAAGACGGGCCTACCGTAGAATTTGACGAGAGCCAAGATTTGGCGTGTCTTGCAATTGCAACATCTCTCAGACTATCGGGAGAGACAGCCACATCACCTCCGCCCCCTATCCTTGCTCTTCGCCTAGACAGCGGCGGGCAGATGAAACACCTGCACCTCAACGGCATACCTCGCATTGTAGGATGGCCACATACCATACCATTAGATCGCCCGATATCCGCTCACACAACGAACCCGATCCTTTCCATAGAAGCGGGATATCGTTTTCCAGATCTCTTGTCTCAGTTATGCATAACACCACCTCTCCGTCAAGTGCAGTCGCTCGACATCACCAGCTGCCATGTCTTGACGAGCTTCTCAGACGCATTGCAAAAAGCATTTGCCCATCTCCCTTTCTTATCGACAATTCGGGTGGCGGACAACTCTGTCCTCCCGCTGCTCATAGCAATGCTGCCAGGCGAACACAACGGGGATGGCTCCCCCATTCCTTTCCCGGCCCTGAAGACGCTCTATATCCGCGACTTCCTGTTCCTCTTACCCGACGGCTGGGACGGAGAATCCGACGAAAACGTTTGTGCGCTCGATCTGATGCTCAGCCAGCGCGCGCTGCGAGGGCGCCGCCTCGACCAGTTGTTTATAACAGAGTGCAGCCGCGTTCTTCCAGAAGATATCAGGAGGCTTGAGGTGCATGTTGGGCTATTGACTTGGGATGGAGTTTCCTACCCGTCTGATGTGTGGTAGAACAACCAGAAATGCTGGAAAGTATGTTGAGACCCTGAACCTTTAATTGAGGGCTGTATCCTAATCACCCTTCTTCACGCTCGAGCGGGACACCTTTTGAATTTGGTGTACATATCGACCCCTAGCAACGGGCCGTGTACGCAGGTGGTGACCTCGGTCGCTGGCGACGGGTCACCAGCGAGGTGACCAGGGCCAAGTGGCACCCCGGCGTATACTCTATATACACGTTCGGAGCATACAATTTTCAGTCGGCTACGGAACTGACACTACAAGTTCATAAGCCACTCGCTTGTATATATAACTCTATCCTTTGGTATATAACGTTAACCATAGATCTCCCACCTATTATATGATGGAGCACTGTCTCAGCGTTTTAGCGCCTCCGAGTCTGTTGGTGGCAAGCTTCCTCGTCCGCTCTTCTATGTGCTCATCTCCTGCGTAACCAGCCGCACAAAAACAGCCATGAACTGTCAAAGTACAATAAAAGGATGTCCATACTTCCGTCAAGTTGGCTATCTAGGTCTGTGCTGCGCCGCAGGGTCGCAGCGACGGGGAAATGCATCAGTTGGGCAAACTTTTGAGGCTCAACTTGAAGCTCAAACCTCGACCTTTGGTGCATTTCCCGCATCTGCCTTTTCCACCCTGAGTTGAATGATTCCACCTTTCCGACCACTTCCGCATATCTCGAAGGCCCTCTTCCTACGCTTGATGCCACTGCCGACCGATTTTGCTGAAGAGGATAGCGGGCATCAAATTACAGACGCACTCTCATTGGCCAGTGAACTCTCTCACGGGCGCCGCACGCCCAGCCAATGCATTGATTAATTGGCTCTCATTGATTTCTCTTCTCGACTTTCTTCTCGACTCTCTTTACCCGTGCCTAGCACGGTCAACCTCTCGTATGTGCATATACGAGCATAACTTGGGGCAGGTATCGCTCAAGCTCGTGGGAAGTTGTTCAATCTGTACAACCATTCGCTATCAAAGATGCTGAATCGAGACCGTCCCACATGCTCCCGCATTCATGGGGCCACTGCGGGCGGGATGCCGCCCACGCTGTAATCGCGGAGGAACTGACACGACATAACGTCACGGAGAGAAAGGGCGATAGTTATGCACAGGTGTGACTAGGCACATTGGGTATATAGGCAGTGCCTAAGCGGGCGTCCTGGGCACGGTATTGATGCTACCATGCAGAACGATGCTTCCGAGCTTCCAGCGTACTCTCCGCCAGAGGGCTCTCCCTCGACGCCTCAGGTCCCCAGAGAGCTCGTTACGCACACATATCCGCTGTCTACTAAGCAGAGGAAACCATGGGCCGAGCTAGTTGTTCAGAGCAAGGCTCCATCTTCCCAACAACTTCCTCGGTTGCTCGAGGGCGAGCCAGTATCAGGCTGGGTTAAAATCGATTTGTCAGAAGAGATGTCGATGAAATCTGTGACTGTGACTGTGAGTGTACTCCTCCCACTATGGGAGAATATAATTCTTACCCTTACCGTAGGTCATGGGCGAACTGATCAGCGACGCGAATGCGAGATATGTGTTCGCTGAAGATAGCCGCGTGCTATGGGTGGCCCCGGCACAGAGCGAGAGACGGTCCATTACACCCAGATCCTTATTCTACAAGGGAAAGCTCAAGGGTAGCTTTACCTGGCCTTTTACACTGGGGTTGCCGCGTACTGTGGTGCTTCCGGATGGCAAAGGGCCTTCCAGGATCTTCACCCTTCCTTGTTCCTTTTCCACGCGGTATGTTAACGTGACAATCCTTTATCGTATAGTGGTCATCATCGACCACGGCTCAATGTTGAAAGCTGATCGCATGTGAGCACCAGATCTGTGTTCGCGTCGCATCGTGCTCATTGGCGTTATAGTCTTGGCACGAATTGCTCGTATACAGCGAAGACTCAACCAAGTCCACCATCCATTGCACGTCAGCTTGCTTATCAGGAACAGTCACCGCTCATGGGCCCGGACGGCGACCCAGAAGGCTGGCGCACTTCCCCTCCCGTCGTAGTTCGTGGTACAGCCTTCAACACACGAAAAGTTGAGATTGTTTACACAGTAAGCATTTTCAAAATTATCCCCTGGTATCTCATTAAGACGTTCTAACTGATCGTTCAACAGCTCTCGCTCGCTAACCCGGTACGTCTTCGAACGAAAGGTTTTGCTGAAGCTAACCCCTCTAATACTAGCTTTCATATGCGCGAGGGAGTGTCATACCTCTCCATTTAAAAATTGAATGCTCAGATATGCAAGTTCTCTTCCTCGTGACATCGCCAAACGCACCCGTTGTATATTTGATGCGCACATTATCGTCAGGCTACGACCCGGTCGGCGGTAATTTTAGTGCAGGCCCGCAGGCAGAGGGCAAGATATACCTCTCTAGGGCGAAGACGATATCGACGACCACTCCGATAAGGATGACAGAGCGTGTACAGAAGGCCGGCTGGTGGTCGCTTCCGACGTACGGGGACAGTATGGCTTGCATAGACCGCGTGCTGCAGGGCGAGATACACCTGCCCGGGAATCTCCATGCCACTGCGCACCTCGGCCGCTACGACTACTTCGTACGTGCTCCTCGTGGTGGATTGTGATATGCACCCTGAGGCCCGAGGCATCTCCGCAGTACGAAGTCGCAATGTATCCCCCGGAAATTGCGGGCTTCACCGCGACCGCGAGCAGCAGGCTGCAGACTACTCCTGTCGACATCTGCACGATGTACGCAGACGGGCCGCGTCCTGTTGCATGCTCACCTCCAGTATATGATGAGATTGTACGGGTCGTTGAGGAACCTGGAGCCTGATACCACGAGTGGTACGATTGATCCTCTCGTCTTGCTGCTCAGGGTGCTGACGGATGCCTTGTGTCAAGGTTCGTTACGCCAAACCAAGTGTCCACATGTACATGCCGCTCTCCGATAGTATTTCTCTCCTTATCTCATTATATTTCCGCATGCGTACACCGATCTCGTCTCAGACTGTAGTGCGGCGACCATGTGTCACCGGCACATGTCACCCTTAGTGCTCATATATCATATGGGATATCGAGCAGGTTTGATTAGATGAGACAGCTGGATCCATACAGCCGGGATTTTCTTGAGCTCCGCGGGCGCTAGTAAAAGCAGCGTCGGAGGCGCCGCGTTCCGAATGGTCACGTCCGAGCTTACTACTAGAACTTCATTAATAAAGCTCCAAGCCCTCTGGTACTTCGGTACGTACCTGCGCCTGCTGTATACAATGCCCTGAGAACTACGCATGATCTATCCAAGCTGATTTAGCATGCATGAGCTCAATCGCATGGCGTCTAGATTATCGAGGTCAGCCCGACCCCGATCACACCCATCGTGGTCCCGTCTGCTGCGAAGTTTTCGAACTCCGAGTGCTGAAAATTTCGCCGAGGGGTTGTCCTAGCTGTTCCAATAACGATAGACACCCCCGAGCAAATTTTCGAAACTCGGAATTCGAAAACTCCGCAGACGCTAGAGCGAGTGAAGGAGACGCGCCTGCCGCGTTTGGCAATCCCGCCGTTACCTGAGGTGCCTTGACCCGCCCGACGCTCCTCCGCCTTGCATTTCGCGATCATACAGGGCACAACATCCACGGTCAGTATTTAATTACTGCACAGGCATGCGCCATCCCTGTTCATTATCCTTCACTACAGTCACTGCGATGATATATAGAGGACAGTGCCAAATGAAACTTCTCTTTTGGCTTACAAAGCACAATAATACATCCTGCCTCTCTCTATATTTTGCATGCGTGCCTGGGTCTGCAAAGAGTCTCATGATAGCGTCGGGCGGGTCAAGGCACCTCAGGTGACGGCGGGATTGCCAAACACGGCGCGTCTCCTTCACTCGCTCTAGCGCCTGCGGAGTTTTCGATCTCCGAGTTTTGAAAATCTGCCCGGGGGTATCTATCGTTCTTGGAACAGTTGTCAATATACTACCGGTTATCGATACCGTTTAGGTCCGGCAGCAACTCCAGAAATGTGGGCAGCTAGGCACAGTGCGCAAACCTTAATAGCATGCATCAATATAAGGTCGGTACAAGCATCAAACCTCTACACTCCCGCGCAGACCCAACAGACCCATGGATAACAATCTCGAGACTTCCCATCCGTCGGCCTCGTCCAATCCGCCTGCTGCTCTCCTCCATGGAGAGCCTGTCACTCACTCCTTCCCACTAGCAGATAAACATGGGCGCACCTTAGCCACCCTGAATGTCACCTGCCTCGAGCGTCCAGACCTCGGAAACAAGCATCTTCCTTACCTTCTGGAAGGCGAGATCCTAACGGGCTCTCTCGATCTTGACTTGCCAGAGGAGACAACCGTCAAGTCCGTCAAGGTCTCTGTGAGTTGACTTACCTCCTCCATGCGACGCAATATCTTATCTGTCCGTGCAGCTAATCGGCGAACAACCGACAAACCTCGACCTCGAGGCTTCAGAGTTTGTCAAGGTCACACAGGTCCTGTGGCCTGCGGAAGGCTCTGATGGGGCTTCCAGCCACTCGAGCGTCAGCGACGTGGCTCACCACAAGCTGAAAGGCAGCTTCCACTGGCCTTTTTCACTTACCCTGCCGACCACGGCAGAATTCATGCTGGAGAATGGAACGAAGCAGACGCGCCGCCTTCCGAGCTCATCACACGCCTCTGACCCAAAGGTCCATGTCAATTACCGCATCGAGGCCAAGATCCACCATGGTACTCTTCTCCACTTTACAGACCATCTGTGAGCGATACCATCCAGTATTGCTCAGCTGCACCTACTGATCCGCGTATAGCATTGACTCTACCATAATATATTTTGCCGGCCAGTCACAGTAGCTCCCGGAGTACGTGAGGTTCTTTGTTCGAGATTCAAGGTGCATGTACTTCAACGAGCTATATCAGATGGCAATCTACTTCCCATTAGGCCACAGCTGTTTCTTGTAGCGCTTCCTGACCATAGCGCTCCGTGAAAGCTTGCGAAGTCGATGTCCTCACGAATGAAATCGAGGGCTTCGCCAGATCACCTTGCCTAGATCACCATCTTGCACGTATCACACGGTGCTACCGATCTTCTCTACAGAATGTATCATGGTATTTGAGGCCCATCTGCAGCTGCGTGATAAACTCACAATTCAATACCACTTGTTCTAAGTACACTAACATCCACGGCAGCTATAAACGTTAGTTTCCTTAGTTGCAAAGTCAGCAAACGACTTGTCTGATGTGTGTGTGGCATAAGACTCCTGTAAGGTCGGCGAACAGGTAGGATAACGGTCTTGAGAAAGACAGGTGGCCTACTAAGTTTCAATGAGTCGACCTATCGCAAGTGGACAAATAAAGTACTTTACAGTGGCGTTCAGCTTCCTCTCAATCATTGCGGATACCCACGCTTTGAAGCTTGACTGTTCAACAATCCACGGTGATTGATTGAAGCGATGAACCTTGTGTTCGAGGCTCCTAGATAAAGGCTGGTCTGAATATCGCAAACTGGTCGACGTGACCATGGAGGACCCCGCCCTTGAACCACAGGCGTGTGACTACCACGCTTCCAAGGGAGCCGCTCCTAGCGGACGTGCAGGCGCTCCACCCTACCCCGAGCCCGTCGTTCATTGTTACCCGCTGACACACAAGGATGGCAAGACATGGGCAACTCTGCGTGTCCACAGCAGGGCTTCCTCGGCGGAGTTGCTCCCTCGTTTGGTCCAAGGGGAGCCGATACAAGGTTCTCTGGATCTTGAGCTTCCTAAGGAGACCTCAATAAAGTCTATTAGCGTCAGCGTGAGTACTCACCGCCTTCATAGTGATGGTATCATGAGGATCTTATCTCCTCGAATAGATCGTAGGCAACCTCGTCAGCAACGCAAACACCCGCTATGAATTCGCGCATGAATCCTGTACTCTTTGGTCCACACAGGAAGGGGAATCTCTTCCTGAGGGTGGCGAGCAGCTGCATCGCGGCAAGCTCGAAGGAACCTTCAGCTGGCCATTTTCCTTGGAACTGCCACAGACAGTTGACCTCCACGAGAGCGAAGGGAGGACAGCGACCTATCCCCTGCCGAGCTTTATATCCAGCGCCTGGAGTCTCGTGAATGTTGCCTACACCCTTCAAGCTACGATCAAGCATGGCTCCTTCCTTCACCCCGATCATATGTAGGGCCCCTCATATCTGAAGGCCACTGCCAGTGCGTGCGCTGACGGAATCACCGCTAGTATTAGTACTAGCGTTATGTATACCACGAAAACTCGACCAGAACCGCCCTCTCCTGCACGACAGCTTGCATATGAGGGAGGTGCACCGCTCTTGGGTCCGGAGCAAGACCCCTCTGGTTGGCAGGTTGCGCCTCCTGTCACGTTCCACGGTAACAACTCCGGCGGTCAAGATGCTGAGGTGACTTATACAGTGCGTGGAGGTACATGCCAGACATAAATCACGTACTAACACTGACCCGGAAGCTTGCGCTTGCCAAACCAGTACGCCATTAGACCAACAGCGTAGTCTGAATCTCTGAAGTCCGATAACTTTCAACAGCTGTCGTACACTCGCGGAAGCGTGATCCCACTTCACGTCATCGTCGCATGCTCAAACGAGCAAGTCTTGGGAGCTCTTTCGGCGCCAGAGGCTCTCAACGTCTGTCTCCTCCGCACCTGCAAGTCCGGATACGACGTGCTCGGCGGAGACTTCTCTGTCGGCGCAGGCTCGCGCCAACCCTTGGCGGCGGCAAGGCATACGGATCAGCGCCGCTTTCTGTATGAGCGAGTGCAGAAAGCAGTGTGGTGGCTCGAGCCATCCATAGACGCGGCGAAGTGCATGTTGCAAGGAGAGATTCATCTCTCTCCCCATCTGGACCCTACGACACACCTCGGAATGTATGACCACACTGTGAGTGGCATTGGTTGACTTAAGACTGTGTCGATGCAGATCACTGAATTATCCTGCCAGTATGATGTGGTCTTGTACCCACCTGACGTATCTGCCTTCTCTTTCAGCAGGGATACAGCATCGCAAGTCCATCCAGTTGAGATCTGCACCATGTACGCAGCAGGCCCGCGTCCGGCAGCGCGTTTGCCACCTACCTACGACGAAATTAAACGAATGAATGGGCGGCCGTTCGGTATGCAGGCTGCCTGGGGTAGGTATTTCGTTCCATGGATCTTGTAGGCAGTGTAGCTGATTACCCGCCTGCAGCCAACTTCTGACGACGCAGACTGTCAATAATCTGTCGGATACAGCGAGTATTATACGTAACATTGACTTACTTTGTCCTGTTCTGTTGCATATAACTGTCCTCGCATGCGCGGCGTCGGTCTCTGCTGTATTCTGGTACATGTAATCTTCAAGATGGCAGTAAACACATTCAGATGTTCAGAAATGCCACGCAACTATGATGAGCTTCTGCAGTAAGAGCGGGAGACCCATGGCCCCTTGAGTGAAATTAAATCTGGAGATAACTGTATGCCGGCACGCTGAGAGTGGACGCTCACTTCCGTCAATCACTGTCATAAGCAAATGCATTATTACGTAGTAGGATGCGAGATGTAGAGTATGTTCGAGTATTCAAGATGAGGATGTACTTTTGGCAATCTCCTTCAACTTATCCAAGACGTGATCTTCCGAGAGATCCGATCGTTTGAGGGCTTGCTGTATCAGCTTCAACGCGTTCTGAGCGCTAATTCAAAAGTGAGTTAATTGTCCAGAACGCGTATCGCAAGCGACTTACGCATTCTTTCTGCCTTTCCCTCGCACATCATTTTCCATCTTGTCCCTCTTCAGCGCCGCACACCGCAGGATCTGCTCGTCTAGACCGGCGAGCCTCGCGCACTCGACGCCGAAGCTGTTCTGCGTGAGCCCGTCCGAGAGCTTGTACAAGAACGTCACCTGGCGCGTGCCGTCGAGTCGCGTGTCTTCGGTGTAAGCCATATGCATGTTCTGCACGTCTTGCGGGAATCTGTGTTCGAGATCACGCGCGACAGTAGGGTAATGTGTAATGAACAGAGTCTTGCATCCTTTGACGGTGACCAGGTGCTCCAAAACGGCATGGGCGATGGCCATCTGTAAGATGAATGAGTGCACGATACTCGAGAATAGGATAAGCATCTTACGCCGTCAAATGTGCTTGTCCCGCGTCCGAGCTCATCGAGAACGACTAAACTGCGAGGTGTTACGAGCTGAAGGATCGAACTCGTCTCTTGTAACTCGACCATGAACGTGCTTCGTCCGCGAACAATATCATCGGAAGCTGTCAGTCGACGTTAGCAATGAGAGACGAGCACAATTGTCTGTATATGCACCTCCCATCCGTATAAAAATACCATCAAGCGCGCTCAGCCGCATACTTGTCACAGGCACATAACTCCCGATCTGCGCCATGATTGCACAGAGAGCTACCATCCGCACGACGCTACTCTTTCCGCCCATGTTTGGGCCTGTGATAACTTTGTGCCGTCGGCCCATATCGACGCTATTCGGTACGAACGGGTCATCGCGGAGCTTCTCGATCATTGGATGTCGGCCATCCTCGACCACGAGTATATTATCGCCTTCAACGAACTCGGGACGGACATACCCTTCCTGCACACCGACGACTGCGAGACTACAGAGGCAGTCGAACACAGCTAGCCGCTGCACTGCGTCGCGCAGCACGGCATAATGTTCCTCCGCGATCTCGGCAAGCAGGCCTCGGTAGGCGGCGTTGGCAGCCAGCGCAAGTGCCTCGAGCGCTTGTGCGCGGCGTCGCAGAAGGTCAGCCATTATTGGCGTGCGGAGACGGCGAAGAGTCTTTGTCGCTGAGATGACGAGCCAGTCAGCCGGGAGGTCGCGAAACTCTGCCTTCTTGATTTCTATGAGATACTGGTGTGTATGGTTAGATACGTTCGGGAAAGCGAACACGAGTGAAGGTATACCTCCTCGCCGGCTGCTGTGGTGTATTGCAAGGCGGGTCGATGCAATTGTTTTCTCACTATGAAGATAAACAGGGGTTGGATGGCGGGGAGGTGAGAACATACCATTTCGCAGCTCCGTCATTAGCTCGCTTTCAGTGATCTCAACAGCCTGAAGCTAAGGTGAACATCCGAATCAAGATTCGAAGGGAAAGCTACGCACAACGTTCATTCTATCCACCTCTGGTGCACTGCTCTCCACGTCCTTCCACATCTTCTCCTTTTGGCCCTCCTTGAGCTTCGCCAAATCCACTCTTGTCAGAACGCCCTGTACCGGTGCCTTTACCCTGGGCAGAGCATCGACTACACCATTGAGGATAGCTGAGTCGAAAGGCGATGTGCTGGCCGGTATCCTGTCAAGCGCAGTTCCGACGCGTTGAAACGCAGGTAAAAGTATGGCAAGCTCTTGCGGCGTGCACTTGCCATATTGTATGCGAGATAGCCCGCGTGCAAGGTCGGGGAGGCCGTGCAGGAGCTGGCGGAGGACAGTCAGACGAGGTGACAGAGTCGAGAGGATCTCTTCAACCGCGTCTATACGGGCTACGAGTGCGCTAGAGAGGCATTCTCGTTAGCTTCGCATTGTCCAACGTCCTGACGGAGACCTACGCTCGGTCTGTTAGCGGTCGGCCGACCCACTCGCGGAGCATCCGCGCACCGAACTTGGTTGTGGTATGATCAAGCACCCAGAGGAGCGATCCTCGCTTTGCAAAGTCGGTCTCGTTTCGATAAATCTCGCTACAAACGATGTTCAGCATTCCAAGCACATAATTTTGGGAAAACTACTTGCAGATTCGTAAGCGTATTCCCATTGAGCAACATGTGCGTCCGCTCTGCGAAGCGCGCAAAGAATCGCGTCTCGAGTAAGGCATCAGCCACATCAAAACCGCTCAGGTACTTGACGAGATGTGCCAGGGCTACAACAACTCCCTTCGGAAATATCGTGACTGCGGCCGTGAGCTCACCTATGTATAGTCGTTAGCAAGCGTGTTCAAATGCATATGAGAAGCAAAAGTCTCCTGGCGTAGGAAAATTAGACACACCAGACCTGAACCCGTCACTCGCTTTCGCGTTCTCCCTACGATTCTTGTCCGCGTAGAACCCGGCGACGAAGGTGAACGCATCGGAAGAGCTCATAGTAGAAGCGAAATGCTCAATGCGAGCGGTGAATTCATTGTGACCATGTCTTTAGTGCATTAGTGCAGGGTGACAAGTGAGGATTATCCGAACGTACGTAGCAAAATGTGATAGAATCTTCTGCGTTGGCCTAGTCAAAGCTTCTTCGGGCAGGAGAAGCTCCGCAGGGGAGAGGTGCACGAGCCTGGTCTGGAGATGCATCATTTGTCAAGTTCATCTTAACAATCAATAAGGTACATACCTCGAGCTCAGTGCGCATCCCATTGTCTGGATAATATTTATAATTGACAACAGTTCCAAGCTAACATTTACAACAATATCTTACCTTCAAACTGATCCCATACAACATCACCTGTGCTCGCGCACACGCTTACTATGCTGACATTTACCTTCTCCCCATCTTTATCCACCGGGCTCTCAACAATACACAGCAGCGGTGGTACGCGCCCGCCAAAGGACAGTGTATCTGGAGAGTCCAGAGAGTCCACATATGTTGCCGCAGTATATAGGTGCGTTAACTTGCGCTCGAAGACTTCGTTGCGTGTGTCGCCCGCCTTCTTGAGCGCGGCGGTCTCGGTTTGCTCAATAATGCCGACTTTAAGGCCGCGTGCAAGAAGCCTGGGGAAAGTCTGCATCAGTACCTAGTCTATGAGAGATCGTTCATATCATCATGCCACACTCTGAATACGCACTTCTTTAGATGGACTTCTCTTCTATGTACGGGTATGCTCGCACGTAAAAAGTTGCGACTTGGGTAGCAGACAATCCCCAGATGCTTTGCAGCTACCTAACGACACAAACGAGGTATGAGGCTAGGGTCACATACGACCAACCGATGGAAGGTAGAGAACCAACCTGAGCATCTTCGCCATAGAAATAGTCTTTATAGCCAACCTCGAACATAAGCAGAGTTCCAGGGTGTTTCTTCTTCAGCCCGAGCACCTACAAGGCACATCAATGGATAAACAAACCGATAGTCAATATGAAGCGTACCTGTAGCTCCAATGGCGTGTAGGTCTTTCCACTGGGCCCGACCTCAGTCTTCTTCTGTGCTGCAATCCTTTGGCTGGCAGCAGACGTCTTAGGTTTTGCTTTACCCTTCCCTTTACCCCTCCCTTTCCCTATTTGAGCCATAAACTCCTCAAAGTCGATCTTAGTTTCTTCTGCTTCAGGTTCATCTTCCTCCCCTTCGTCGCTACTTGGAGTACCCTCTCTACTGCCTGATGCTTCCGCCGAGTTGGATACTTCGAGGGTCCGAGCAAATATATTGTTGTCTCCTAGCAGGATGCTCTTTGCGCGTTCGCGAACCCGTGTTCTGTTCTCTGCTTCCGGTCCACCAACTTGACTCGCCGAAAGAGCTAGCGCGTTCGAGGATGACGATGGGTCAAAGCGAAACTGGCGAATGGCAGAAGTAGAGGCATCCTGTGGCTGGTTCTGTACATTGACTGATGGACTTTGCATAGCAAGTGAGGTGCTCGGAGCAGTCGCTTTCACAGGCGAACTGACCTTGCGCCTCTTCGCCGGCGGTTGGCCCTCTATTTTGCGCCATAAATCCGCGTCAGAGTCGTCGTCAGACACTGTCAAGTCAATTTCTGCTCTCCCAGCAGCATTACGGTCTTTCGGGTCGGTTTCTCGCTGCCTCCGCTCCTCTTGTTGCTGTGGCGAGTTCCTGGTCGGGGATGAGAAATACGTTGATAAGACGGCCTGCGTCGATGTTTTATTGGTGTGGGTCTGGATTAGCTTGCTCTGAGGCATGCTGCCTCTCAGCAAGAGATGTCACAAGGGGGCAAACGGAAGCAATTCGAACGGCGACGCCCTCATTTACAAGCGCGTAAACTGCGCGCCTTGACGCGTTTACGTGGGGTTAGGGGTTTCTCTCCTTCTTCTCTCGTCCACTTCCGACGGTCATCCTCGCATCTCTCTTGCTTTGTGTGTCTAAGTAAGATGTTATTGGGTCTTGCTAAGCAATTCTCTTTTGGAAATATCATATTAAGGGGTGCCAGGACTCAGGCAACGATAGCGACGAGTGGGCCAGCCGTTACAGCTACAAACCGTACGTTCTCCTCAAGTACATCACCCACACTGACCGACAAAGCTATTTTTCATGTATTGTATCGGAATGCAGGTGCCCAAGCGACACTGAAACGTTTCTGGAAAGATGTCGGTATCGAAGTGCAACCGGGTCTGTCTGCTGCCTCTACATCTACCACACCGGCCTCGGACGCCAGCAAAAACCACCTGACCGTCACTCTCGACAAGCGTCCTCTAAAAACTCCATCCGGGGATCAACTGCTACTTCCAAAACATAAGGCTCTTGCTGTAACGCTTATTGCAGCGGAATGGGATAATCAAGAAACACTGCTCAAGCAGCATTCGCTTCCTATGGTGCGCCTGCCTCCGGCGTGCTCCGTTCGAAGTCTTGAGGATGAAGCTGAGGGAACTTGTAGACAAGCCTTGCATCGCGAGCAATCGACGCATTCCGGAACTCGAAGGCGGATACACGCGTCCAAGTATATGACCAGCTGCTGAAGTACTTCGAGACGGACGCGATCTGCTTCCATGCTTCCGAGCCGGCGTCGCTCGTCTCCCTACAGAAGCGACACTGGGAGCCATTACTTACGTGGGCACGTGAATCGTTCACTGTTGAAGTGAATGTCACGACTGGTTTCTCCGTCCCAAGGCAGCCCGCGGAGACGCTTGCTGCCTTCCGTAAGGTGCTCGAACAAATGGACGAGTGGGAAATGGCCGGTACGTGCTATTCAATGCACCTGTAGAGCACAGTTTAAAAATATTTGCTCAGCCATGGAGCGCGCAACATATACCACCAAGTCCTTCTTGATCGCTCTGGCACTCGTCAAGAGACGAGTTACCGCTGAGCAGGCTGCGCAAGCTTCGCATGTCGAAGTCAACAGTCAAATTGAAAAGTGGGGCGAAGTCGAGGACTGTAAGCGCACTTTCGTTGATCAGGACGCGTGCAGTTTATATGAGAATACTTGCAGCGCATGACGTCGACTACCACGACGTCCGCCGGCAGCTTGGAAGCGCATCATGTCTTCTGGCCAACCACCAGCTCTGATCAGGCTTTACCCTTCATGGTGTAGCTGCCCGCGATCATATATTTGAGATCAAGCCTGGGCCAGAGAAAGCCAATATATTGATTACCAGTAGGTTTGTTTCAGGTCGTAACTAGTCTTCCATAAGTGGGATTAGGAAGCGTACCGATGAAGATATATGGGGCTACACACAAACTTGTGGCACGGGCCCGAATATAAGCTAGTAGCGTTGGGAGGGTACGCGATACTGTAATGGCACGTAGAAGATCACATGTGTGGGCGTAGCATCTACATTCGCGTGCTAAATTGCCGCTTCTTTCTGAAGGTACCAAATCTGACACGACATAATACCCTGTGGCTCATACTTCCTCTGAGCAGAAACTGATTCTCACTTTTGACCCACCGATGTCCGCACAAACGCTTTCATTGAAACTAAGTTCTACAGAGGCTCTCGCATCTTTTCTACATACAACAATTACACAGTGTGGCAGCCAACGCACTTTCATTTTTTCAGACATGAGCACAGGTTCCAATCTTCCCTCCGCGGGCTTCAGTCAGGGGTATTGACACATCTATCCTTGGACATTAAGACCAGAGCGCGGCAGGCGGGGCTCATCCTCCTTGTACGGTTCGCCCGTCTCGGTGCGCAGCATGTCGTTGAGCCACGCGCCCTTGGGCTGGAGGCGAACGCCGCGCGAGCAGTACATGACAGCGAGGTACATCCACGCGGCGGCGTTGCCGACAGTGCCGACCTCATCACTGACGTGCGTGCGCGCATACTCGCACATGTTGTCGTACAAGTCGTCATCCGTATGCAGGTTGAACATGTGCTTCGCGACCGTGTCGTTGTCGCCGACGTCGACGAGGTAGCCGCTCTTGCCGTGCACGATCTGCAGCGGGATGCCGCCCGTGCGCGACGCGATCACGGGCTTGCCCGCGTGCAGCGCCTCCGAGACCTTTACTTCGAAGCCCTCGCGGGTCGACAGCTGCAGCGCGAACTTGGAATTCGCCATCAGCACGTTCAGCACTAAGCACGAACTGTTAGCGGAGATGAAGGAGAAGATTGTATTGTACTTACACTGGTCACTCGGGGGACACCTCATATATACGATATCCTTTGCGTACTGGACATACTTGCTGTGCACAAGGTTCGCGACTTGGTCGTAAATGATGGTGGCGTCAGGGTCGTCGACGGCGCCGTGTCCACAGATTAACAGCTGCGGGATCTCGTCTTCCGTAACCTTGCCGTCGAGCAGCTTCCGGAACCGCGCATACGAATCAATGACGTTCGGAATACCCTTCGACGGATCGAATCGCGCAATTTGCACAATGTACTCGCGAGCGGGCCAGCCGAGCTCGTTCATCTTTTCCTTGACGCACAAGTTGCGGAACTCGCCCATATAGTACTGAGAATCCCAAGGCGACAGCTCCTTGTTCAGACCGTCAAGCCTAGGAACCAGTCAGCATCGACTTGTGCCTCCGAAGTATGCTACCTACCAATCGGTCGCAGCGCCGAGCAGCGTGAGCTTCTCCGGCGGGACATCGCTGGGGACAAACTTGTTCACAGGGTGTGAAATGAACAGGTCTGCGTGCTGGATGTTGTTCCATAGGTACTGCCAGACTTCCTGCTGCGGAGAGCGCTCGAGGTGCACGAGGTCGCTGCGAATTTCGATGTGCGAGCGATAGATGATAGGCAAGTCCGGGCGGACCTTCTTGATCAGCGGGATGAGACCTGGCATCTGAGGGTCATCTGAACAATGCCGTCAGCACGTAACTTCAAGCTCAGCACTTCTTCGACGCACCGATGAACGCGATATCGACACCACCGGGCGCAAGGGGACCACCTTCAGCCGTCCAGCGGAGACCATTCTTGAGAATCCACGCGTCAAAGTTCTCCTTCTGCTCCTTGGTCAGGCGCAGGCTCGGGTCTGCCACTCCTTGCAAGATGTTGTGGTTGTTCTTGGTCGTCCGGAAAACACTTGGCGACGGGTTGGGAACATACCTGCGCATTCAGGTTAGAGGCAAGTTGGGATTTTCTCATGCTAGGCCGGCACCTCGCGCGGCTCTCGCGCCGATACTCACCAGGCACAGTCAACATCGAGGGCGGTGAAGAACCGGATGAGCGCGTGACGCATCTGTCAGGACGCCAACGTCAGTTCCCAGACATGGATCCGGCCAGATCGAGTGGGAGGACTTACAAGGGCGACACCACCTGCATCCGCCGATCAAAAGAAAGAGGCCAGAGAATGCGATCAATCTCCGTTCAATGCTAGGTTCGTTACCCCGCACTCACCGCCTTGTGGGGTAGACGAGAAGAATCCCAGCTTTATCTTCTTCTCACGGAGCTCATCCGCCAGCTTGTTCACGGCACTCCAGGTGCCTGGGCCAACCGACTTGCGATATTCTTCGAGGTCATCGAGTAGGTGGATCTTTCCCGCCGCGTCGACTGCAACTTGATTACGCGGGCCAATCGACAGCCGCGGGTTGTTGTTCGGGCCAAAGTACATGATGCACTTGCGTGCCGCAGAATCAGCCTGTTCGTCGACTGTGCGCGAGATCGGGAGCTTCTGGCCCACGCCAGACGAGAGCTTGCCGCCGTCTCCGAGCTGGGGCGAGTCGACGTAGACAGTGGGAGTCTCAGCACCGGAGGGCACATACGAGCCAGTGGTCGATGAAATCCTATGTTTGATGTTGCGACTCGTGAGAGAGTCAGTGTGGAATGGCTTAATGTTGAACACAATGGGGACGATATCCAAATCGAGCCAGAGACGTGTGCACAGGTTCGGAGCCTATTAATGTGATGTTACGATTAGAGCCCTGTATGCGAGATGTCGCGATATCAAACCCCAGCGCACCTCTTTGAGCAGACTGAGTGTGATACCGGCACCGAGGAACTTGCAGAGGTGCTCCTGGGAGAACTTGCGGAGGGAGTCGAGGACATGCTTCTCGATGGTCTCAGCTTGGGAATCAGGCTCGGTGGGATCGTACGGAACGACGCTTGAAGCGAAATCGGTGTTGTAGACAGAGTCGTGAATTGAGATGGCTACCTCGTAGCCAGTATTGTTGTTGATGGGGGTACCGGCGATACCAGCCCACATGGGCTACAAGTGCGCGACGTGCGGTAAGCAAAGTATGATGCACGTAGCGGGAAAGTGCAGCGTACGGTAAGGTGGGAGTAGCTGGTGACATTGGGCCTCTTAGCCGAGACTACACTCGAGAGCCTGCGGCGGAGGACCTCAGAGGGCACGGACTGGAACTTGTGAGAAGGAGCCATGGTTGGGGAAGGATGGCAAGTGGGAAAGATTGGGCTTAGATGAGATTTATATCACTTCTGGGCGTCCGGTAGAGGTGATGCCCTGAAGAGGAAGGAGAGAAGGGGAAGAAGAACAAAGATGCGCGTGTGCTGAGCGTGCGAGAATGGAGGGGAGGTCGAGGTCGAGCTGTAGTTTCCCGCCCTAATCAGTCTGGCCAATCTGGGCGCCTAGACCGAAACTGCATCATCCCACGTGACACTAATGCGGGGAAGCGCCACGGCCAACGCCACTTTTCCCGCTCCCGCTCTGCACATTCAACCTCAGCTTGCGTGGAAACCAGATATTGCGCAGCAGCCCGCCTTCATGCCGTAGGACTCATAGAACGCCCATAGCTCGGCGCAGAGGAACATGCGGCGATACCAGGGTAAACCTAACGTCAAGAAACAAGTCAGAAGGCCTTCATATCTCCAATGCAATCAGACGAGCGGGGCTCATGGCGTGTATCTTTGGACCCGGGAACGGAAAGCGTCATGCGCTTGGGAGAGCCTGAAGCTGGAACCCTTTCGGCAGCGAAGACGAGCTAGGCGTTTTGCTTACCGGGAAGCTCCAAGGTGAAATGACTGGTCTGGCTCGTGCCTCTCGGGAATCAGCATCTGGATCATCTCCCGGATGTCGAACAGCGTGCCCCCTCCGATTGTCGCGTGCACTGTCTTGGAAGGTCACTTGGCTGAACCTCATCTTCAGTCGTACGGTTCGATGTGATACCAGACTCGTGGGAGCATGTATCAGGGTAATCGGCCTCCACGCGAGGGCGTCATGGCCTAGATGGTCAAACTCCATGTTCGTAAGACATTCTGTATGACCTCGAACGACTCACGATCACCTTTGCTGAATGCTACGACGGCCAGCACATGACTCAATCGAATGTATGCGTCCTCAACTTCTTCATCGCTGTTCTCTATTGTGGTTCAGAAGACGACATCGTGTACCACACGAGGTTTCGGGAATGCAGCTCAGTGGTCAAAGGCTTTTTGCTACTCGTTCGAATCCCGCGCCTAGCTGGAGCTCTGATCAGGAGCTCCCCCAATATTAACGCCTCCCTATAAGTGAACGATAGATTAGCTGGCTAACCAAGCAAAAAAATTTGCAGAAAGAAGTTTCATGTCCTCACGAATACTTAAAAATGGTTCCGAAGAAGTCTGCATGGTCAACGTTCTTTACACTTGAAATAACCAGACAGGGAGCAGATGAAATTGAGCGGGCGTAGATGCGTGCCGAGCATTTAATGAATGCAGGTAGACGACGTGGAGGTATTGAGACGGTATGCTCTGCAAATTCCAGCTACTGGAGGACTGAACAATGGGAACAGCCAGAATACCTGAGTGAGGAGCAGACATGTAAAGGCGCGCAGAAACCGCGTCGCGAGACGCGTTCGTCACACTCGTCACGAGTAACGTAAACGATTTGTCACAGAGAGTCACGTCACAGCGACTTAGAAGCTTTGAAGTTTGACCTCGACGTCGCTCACAACCTGCTCGCTATCATCGTCGTTGACAAAAGCGTCCAAAACTCCGGCTATAAAATCTGGACTAGGGCGTCAACGACCCCCTTCTCCGTACCTGTGCTAGCAGCGGCTAGACCCGCGAAGCCCACTCTTGGCCGTGACTGACGTCGACAAAAGACCCTCGTCTACACCTTGTTGGTACCCTTCATCCCTCCTTGCGTATTCTGGGCTACCCCCTACACTCAAGTCTGGCCGGATGAGTGAGGGCGTATGTGTGGAATGCGGCGAATCAACCGTCTATGAAGAGGAGCTGGGCTCTGCCGTCTGCGCGAACTGCGGTACACTCACAAATCCCTCGCAGAATGTCCTTGCATCTCATTTGGAGCACGTGGACACGTCTGGATATGAACGTACTTCATTTGTTAATACTGTCCAGGGCTCCACTCTGAAGGGTCGACACGGCTGGGCTCTTGCTGGACAAGAAAAGGATGCTAGGGATAGACGGAACATGGTGCGTGCAGAGGTACCGACAAAGTACTACGCGCTGATATAACGTCTACTGTAAGGTTGCAATGCACGAAGCCATAAGGTCTATAGCCGGTAGCCTCTCAAGCACGAGTTCTGCAACACGCGCGCAGGCTATATTCGATCAAGCAATGAGAAAGGGTCGTTACAGATGGGGTCGCAAGGCCAAGTTGATAGCAGGTGCATCGCTTGCGATCGCCCTACGCGAAGCAAATAAGAGCGACTCTTTACGAGACATTGCAGTGAGTAGCCTCGCTTCTTCATAACGTCATGTCGCCTAGACCCATCCTTTTCTGCCTCATTCTATAGGACATGCGTTGACTTCTGTTCCGCTTTTTTGCTAGTATCTCCTTGAAGAACCGCTGCCGTCGCTTTCGAAAGTGTTTACCGCGACGACTCTGCTGCTGCAACTCAGATTGATCTCGGCGGATCCCGCTCAGCACCTGTCAGTGTTGCAGGCGCATCTCCTCACGCTTATCCGACAGCCTGCGTCTCTCCCACATCAACTGTCTACAGCGCTCACGCCTCTGGAAGGAAGGATATCGACAGTTCAGCATACCGCTATCGCACTTGCCAGTCTAGTTTCGCGCGTGCCTTCACTAGCAGCACTGCCAACAGCATCGACGGCGTGTGCAGTTCTCATACTTTCACTCGAAGGCGAGTTGTCTGCTTCTCTACCCCAGGCTGGTGCGTTGGCACAAGCCTTCGGTGCACGTGTTGGCGCAAGCAAAGCAATTGTCATGCAGCGATATAAGGCCATTTACGATCTCGTAGAGGAATACGTTCGTGACGTGCCCTGGCTCGACGCACACGAGAAGAGCGGTCGAGGCAGGTCAAAGGTCGCAAAGCGCGTTGTCGTTGCACGCGGACTCAAAGACGTCGTACAGTTCCAAGGAGATATCTGGCACAGGAAGCTTGAGGCGCAGGCAAAACCCGGATTCGATATCGAGGTCGATAGCAGCGCAGATGGAGACGATGAGGATAGTCTAAGCGCTTCCGAACAGCCCGAGGGCGCGTTGGAAATATCGAAACCCAGCGGCACACCGGACGACAACGCCATCTGCGGTTCTTCGCGGCGTAAGAAGACCAGGAGGACTCCACACGAGCGGGCCGTGGAGCAGGCCTCGCAGTTCTTATTAAACCCACTTGCGAAAACTGCCTCAGCCTTGACAGCGAAGAGTAGCGGCAGGCGGTCAGAGACAGGGGAGTTACTCGAGCATTTTCTCACTGCAGACGACTCTGCCCTGACTCACGCGTTCGTGCACCCGCCTACTCGACTGCAGCTGCTCGCGGCATCGCGTGGAGAAGAGGCTGTCCTCGACGAGGAACTGTTCGATGAAGGCGAGCTGGAAGGGCTCCTCAGATCTCAAGAGGAAGTTGAGGTCTTGCGCCAGACATTCGAATGGGACCCTGCGGATGGCGGGGACGCCGAGACCACTGATACCCCGAGGAAGCCCAAGAAACGGAAGCGCGAAGACACTGGTTACCAGAGCGACAACGCTCAAGACAGCGGAGGCAAGCGTACGAAGAGAGTGGACATGGACGCCCTAGCCCGACTGCTGGACCCAGAGACTAACTTGAACGATATTGATGACGACGAAGACTTTGATGCGCTTGGGCTGGGCATTGGGCTCGGCGAGAAGAGCGATGACGTGGAAGAGCTCTCCTCATATACAATTGAGGGGGGAGAGGACGAGGAGGTGGGAGAGTGGAGACCTCTTTCGCCTGGAGGCGCGACGTTCGACGAGGATAGGTACGAGGTCTGAGGAAGTCGAATCGTCTGCCGGCTTCAGCTCATCACATCTCGGCGCATACTATCTTGAGACGTATAGCATCGGACTCTGTAGTTCTACTTTTGCATAATCATTTTACATACTCTGTAATACACTTGCGGTTGGGTTATCTCACGCCTTATGCTGCATTGCCTCCAGCCGTCTGCGCCTCTGACACTTAGAGCTCGCCCCCCGCGCCTGCGCCGCATTGCTCGAGCGTCTATTCAACTCTGCTCCGATGTCTCGCCACTACGCCTCGCACGGTACCCCAGGGTATGGCTCGCACGCAACAGACCCATTCACATCGAGGTCATCGTATCCAACGTTCTTGACGCCACAGGAAACAGTACTGTTACAGCTGAAGGCAGCGGGGAGAGGGCTATTCGATGCGTTCAGGTGGGATGCGGTCATACGGCTCGTGTCGAGGTGCGTGCGCTCCCGTACAACGTCGACGTGGACTCACCGAAACCCACGTATATCGATAGCGACGCAGAGGTGCGCTCGAACATTCTCAAGTCGCTCCTCCTCAACTGTGTCTCGCTCGCATCGATCTACTTCTTCGACCTGCTCCTGCAGCCGCTCACGCACGGACACACGCATTGGCTCCGGCGGAACGTCGGCTGGGTGTACCAAGTGCTTTGGCTCCTGCCTGTTGTTGGCGTGTCGCTCTACCTCAACGTATGTGCCATCCTTCTCTCCGCTCGATCCCGCGCACTCACCCCGCGCAGAGCTCATGGACGGCGCACCTCGCGCGGCGTACCTACACCCTCCAGCATGGCGCACGCGCAGCGGCAGACGCCACGACCGGGACGTACCTCGGGCTACTGAACAGCGTAGCAACGTCAGCGTATCGCGGCGTGATGATCTTCACGTCTGTCGCCGTTTCATTCATGCTCCGTTATGTGCCCTATGCGGGCCCTGCTCTCGGTTTCGTATTTCTCTGCTGGGTTGACGCGTGAGTCCCGTCATCCTTGTTCTCGGACTGTTTGGCTGACAGTATGCAGGTATTATTGCTTCGAGTGAGTGTGACTAATGTTGCACGGGACGGCGAGGACTGACGATAATAGATTTATATGGATCGCGAGAGGGTACTCGCTTTCGCGTAGGATGAGGTACCTTGAGGAACGATGGGCGTACTACTTTGCATTTGGTGCGTGCTCTATCTGTACGCAGAATAGTTTGCGTACTGAGCCTGTCGTAGGCCTCCCACCCACCGCACTCTGCATGTTCGGCAGCACGCTCGCTAACGCTGCGATCTTCGCGCTCATATTCCCTGCCGTACGCTAACCTCGTTACCATCTCCCGCTCTCCTCGCTAATCAGATGGCCAGTACATCATTATGGCGATGCATGCACGCCCGCAGCCAGGAGACCCATACAACCCGACGCAGAGCGAGACGGTCCGGCACCCGTCTCCGTTCGTGCCCATCCGTATCCCCATCTTCACGCCCGTCGTCTGGCTTAACGATGCCATCATTCGCGTACTCAGCGTCTTTGGCTCCTTGGGCGCGCCACGGCCAAGCCCGGATGTGCTGGGCCCGCGCTCACATCGACGCGTGCCGAGCGAGAGCGTCGAGAGCGTCGAGGAGGGTGAGGCAGGGAGCATCGAGCTCGGTGAGATTAAGCCGGCGCCGCCGATAGGCACGGGAGCAACAAGGGTCAGGGTGCGTAGAGGGAGTCGAAGTGGGGCCCAGAGACGCAAATTCGACTGAACGTGTTCTACTTTCTTTTTCTTTTTCTTTTTCTTTTTCTTCTTCTTCTTCTTCTTCTTCTAATTTTGACTGCATTGGCTTTTGGATAACCACACACTGGCAATATGTACCACATACAGCACATCATCCGTACATTCAACCGCATACGTTTATCCGTGCGCATGTATCTATTCAACCGAAACCGGCCCACTCAATAGAATAATATGATACCTCCTGCTTCTGCTCATCCCACCCGCACAGGAGATGCGCCTTTTTTGTTGCAGTGCCCAATCGCCCGTGGGCGACTATCTCCATCGGCCGTAGAGTCGATACTGGCGACTCGTGCACGGTCGCGGTGAAGTGCGAATGATACCTCAGAGGGTCACCTACAGCGTCCGCTTGTCAGTCATGCCATTAGCTGAGAAACAAAGAAAGTCCGCACCGGGATACACAAGAAAGTCTCCACCAAATCTGATGCCTCCACCCATAAAATGTCCCTTCTCCCACAAATCACAGAACACCGCACACTTTGCGCGCTCGAACAGCGTCGAGGGGTACGTCCACACTCCGGCCGCTCTGGCATCCTCAAGCGTCGCATACGTCACCGGCTCGGGTGTGTACCATGGCAACTCTGCGACCGAACTCGCAGGAACAGTCACGGTGTACACTGTGTTAGCATTCGCACTCGCATTTAGAGTCGCGGAAGGTGCGTCAGAGTGTCCTTGCGTGGGTGCAGGTGATGAAACGGGCAGAGTCGCGCTGTTCGGGTCCACGCCCTCCGCCATGGCCTTCGCGCGTGCCGCGGCTGCACGTTTTTCTTCACGCTCCTTACGCTTGCGCCGCGCCTCCTCGCTCATCGTGTGCGCCGCCGTACCGCGCTCGGCGGCCTCCTTCGCCTCCGCGGCCGCGAGCTGGGCGCGAACGGACGCGATGCGCTTGCTGTTCCATTGCGCGAGCTCGGTGTGCGAGGGCAAACGGTGCGCAGCAGAATCGTCGACGAACACTGCCAATTCTACGATGAATGAATGAGCAGAGTTTGGTGGGGAAGAGGAAGGACGCATACGCTTCGAGACGAGGAGGACAACCTCCTCCGGAAGAAGCACGAGCGGAACACCAAGAAAAACGTTTTGTTGCGAGAGGTGCGGAAGCGTGCCGGTCAGGACGCCGCAGATGTGGTGGTCGGCACGCAGGGCAGCAAGGTCTGTTCTTCACCTCCGATATGAGTCTTTCTGTGTGCAGATGGGAGGAGCATTACCTTCACTATCCCATACGTATGCCTTTTGATTTGATACTCTCAGCTGAACTTTTCGAGCCGTTTTGCCCAACATCAGACGTGTGCTTGCGCGGTGCAGGTGTTGTAAACTTGTATGCAGTAGAGCCAAAGCTGAGACTCAGTGGGCGAAAGAGGAAGCTGGCACGTGACCTCTTAGGCAGGAGCTCGTGACGCGACGCGTGATCGCTCCGTCATAGCGGAGTCTAGACGCGTCTCCTGAGTCCTGCTAACAAGGAGAGCGAGAGGCATACATTCGCCTCTCTAACTTATAATTTACAAGTACAGATATGAGAGAAAAAACGGATCCCAGACTAGGAGAAGACTAGCAAACACTACGCCGTTCTTCCTTCCCTCCCAACCTCCATAGTCCGAGTGCATGAGTAGTGCTGAGCTTGACACCTACACCAGAAATCGAGGAGCGACGGCACCTAGGAATACATAACTAATATGTTATGTCCGCATCTGAGATCGAGATCATTCGTGGCAGCGGAGGGGTGTGGCACGGGGCGAAAGAAGAGGCTACGCGATTCGGAATAGTCGAGACTGCTGTAAGATTCGGAAGCGGGTACAGAGATAGATCAAGAAAAATGATTATGATGATGCGCTTATGCCCGCTTAGCAGCCTGCGAGTTCAAAGCGAGTCAGCCACGCTCAACGTCGATTAGTTGAGCGTACTAACCCGCGCGCTTCGTGCGCTCGTCGCCGCCTTGGTGGTAACCTTTGCCTTCGCAGGCGCCTTGGTGGTAGAACCCTTCTTTGCAGATGCCTTGGCCTTGCTGGCGGCAGTGGTACCGGTGACAACCTATGGCAAGCTATCAGAAAAGCTGCGGACCACCACAGCACTAATCGATCATCACCTTCTTAGTGGTGTCCCTCTTGCTCGAGGAAGTGGTCTTCTTCGCAGGCGCCGCCTTCTTAGCAGGAGCTGCCTTCGCCTTTGTGGTGGTCTTAGAGACAGCCTTCGCAGGCGCTGCCTTCTTAGGAGCTGCCTTGGTGGTGGCCGCCTTCTTCGTGTCGGCTTTCGCGGCCTTGGTCGAAGGCCTTTCCTTTACAACCTTCTTGGGCTCGGCCTTTGGCGCAGCCTTAGTGGCGATAACCTTCTTTGCAGGCTTTGCAGCAGGCTTAGCGGCGGGCTTAGAAGCAGACTTGGATGCGGGCTTCGCGGCCTTGGACTCTGGCTTGTTCTGCATGATTAGGTAAGCGTTCACTTTGGTGCCAGGCAACCAGCAAGATTTCCTACCTCTTTGGCAGCAGCATCAGTGGGCTTGGTCTTGGGGCTAAGCTTGACACGTCCCGAGAGTCCTATGATATGTGCGTAAGTGTTTGTGGCTGTGTAGCAAAGTCTCAGAGAAGCTTACCCTTTGGGAGCACGAAGACGCCCTTTTCCGCTCCGGAAGTAATGGCCTTGCTGAGCTGGGTGATCTGAGCATTGCCAATGTCGAGCTTGTAGTTCTCCTCAACAAACCTGCCAGTCATATGAGCATCGCATTCAATTTTTATGAAGAGGGGAAAGACCTACTTCTTGATCTGAGGGCGGGAGACTCCGGAGCGGGCATCGTCAGGGTGAGCGGCGATACACTCCTGTGGAATTCAACACGCAGTCAGTAAACGATATTTACATGTCGCAAGCTAGTACCCAAAGCGTGCTAAAGACAGCCACAGACAAGAGGGTACATGTGCAGACACGATGACGAAGGACGGTGGCGCGGCAGCGGGCCACGCCTGCGCCCTGCCCCTTTTGGGGTGGTCATGAAGAACAGCCGCTCCCCGCCGCCGCATGCCCGCCGTCGCCATCTAGAGCGCACAGGCATGCTGTATAATTGACGTGAGTGCCTACCTTGATCATGTCGACCCATGAGGGGTGCGCGAGAGCAGGACGGGCAGCAGCCTTCTTTGCGGCGGAGGTCTGCGCAGACTTGGCGGATTTGGTGGTCGCTTTGGTTGAGCGGGCCATTTCTAGTGTGTCGAGTAGCTTATTGAGGAATTTGGATGGTGAACGGAAGCGCAAGAGGGAAGCAGACGAGGGGGACTATGCCGGGTGGGGAGCGGGAAGGGGGATGGTGGTGGTCGAGGGAAGAGTGTGTGTTGAAACTCCGAGGCGCGTCGAGCCAGTCAACAAACCGTATTCCGGCGTCACGTGAGACGTTAAACAAGGGTGCGCGTAGGGTCATATAGCGAGCACTCCCGCCGTCTCTGATACTCCTAAATACACGTATGTTCTAGGTACGGGAGGTGCGTATACGCCCTAGACACACATGATGCTCGGACGTCGTCCGAGATGCTTTGCCAACGTCGTCAACGTTTAACAGCACGTTCCGACACCATTTTCCAAGCAGTAAAATATGCTTTTAGTACCAAAACATCTGCTAACATGCGCACCATCTACTCCAAGTTGTCCCCTATTGATTCGGACATTCTCTGAACAACGGGAACAAGTTTGGTGACGGACGTCGAGCGAGCAAGCTATAACACGCTTTCCTAATGCGGACGCGTTCTCTGTCCCATCATAAGCAAATCTCGCGTTAGATCTGATGGCTCCAACGGATTCTTCCGAGCGCTCTCCCGTGAGCTTGGCTGGCGAATGTTCGCATAGAGAATCCTCAGCGCCACGACCTACGCCGGCTGCATCATGTCCCTCTCTCCGTCGTTGCGTGCGTCCGCCAGGGCAGCATACAGGGACTTTCTCAGGGCTTGCAATGTTACCTTTACTGGAGATGTCCCGGTGAAGAATGGTAAGTGAATAACTCGAACATTGCCTGATGCAACAGATTGACATTTCCTTCGCACAGCGTTCAGAGCGAAAGTGCGCAACGACATCTTGCTCACTACCCCGGCGGTCGACCAGAAGACCTGGGAAGAAAAGATTGCCCTTACAAGAGAGATCTCCGACGTGCTAAGGAAGAACGTCGCTCAAGTGCGCAAGATCGAGGACGTTTCAGAGGAGAAATGGAGTATGTCTCGCTCGTACCCCCAGCTCTATGGACGCTGACTGTTGAGTTCGCAGAACTTAGAATCACTGAACACACCGAGCTCGGCAACAATAGCACTATTAAGAACCCGCCGCTAATAGAGTCCAGTCGTAGGGCGCGGAGACGAGTCAAGTACGTCTTCATTCTTGTTCTTGTCTTCGGCTCACTAATATGTGCCAGGTGCTGCTCTGAATGAATTTGTAGTGAATTAGATTCTAATGATAGCACATCCCCCACACCATCTTCCCTGTCTGTGCCACGATATTATTCCCAGCTTAGAAAGGCGGCCAAAGAGCGGAAGATTCCTGAGCTTAAAGAAGAAGACATAGAGGAGACGTTTGTTAGAGGTGCGCTTTCGCATGCTGCCGATGGCCGAAAGGTCCATCTGAATATTTGTCTATGGTTAGGAAGTGGACCTGGTGGCCAGTCCATCAACAAAACCGAGAACAACGTGCAGCTGGTTCACAAACCCTCTGGCATTCGTGTGACCTGTCAGGAAACACGTTCCTTGACTCAGAACCGGAAGATTGCGCGCAAGATTTTGCTGGACAAGGTTGGGTCAACTTGCTGTCCCATGTTAACTGTACTCATGCCGTTAAACAATGTGTCACGCAGTTGGACCAGATATATAATCCTGGGCTCTCGAAGCAGGAGATGCTTAAGGCTAAACAGCAGGAGCGAGAGCGGAGGCGCAAGAAGAAGGCACGAAAGAGGGTAAAGGCAAAGGCTGCTAAAGAAGAGAACGAGAATGAGGACGATACTAGTGGCTGCTGAGATGGCTTTGTCGACAACGACGAGTAGCCTCTCAAATCTTTCACAGCAGCATCGTGATCGAGACTGGCTTGTTTATATAGTCGTCGATTTCTTCTAAATCTTGCCTTTCTTTCTGCACATACGCTATCGCGCGGTTACACCGTATGTGCCGCTACAGAGAGCTGTTGCATTGCGTTCCCGCTGCTTTCCTCCTTCGAATTTCCTCAACGATACCGTACGGCATACATTAAATGTGCAGTGTTTTGGAGACTGGACCATGCGTCGGACGTCCGGATCAGCGAGCCAGAGGCTCGGCGCAGCATACAGGCAGCATGCGTCGAGCGTCGGGTTGCTACACAGACGTTGACGACGACAACTTGCTACAGACTACCACCTCTCCTTTCTCTGTCGTACCTGCGCAATACCCGGTGATTCATCAGCAGTTTGACATTACATCCAGAGAGTTGGATTAGCCACTAGAAGCCTGCGAAAGTCAGATAAGGTGCACTGAGTTCCAGAATGGCGTCCACGCAAGGTCTTCACTCGCTTGCGACTATCATCAAGAGGTATGGCTTGGACTGTGATGAGGGTACGCTAGTTTTCTTAGCATCTTGCGCAGGCTAGAGGCCGCGACATCGCGTCTCGAAGATCTCGCTGCCCTCGGCGCACCACCCCCCACCGCTGCCGCCCCCTCAGCAGCATCGCTCGCATCCACCGAGCCGACGCCTGTTCCCCCACCGCCCCCGCCCCCACCAGCTCCTGCCACCATCCCCCCCGTCGCGCCGGGGGAGGTACCGAAGGCGGTGCGGGTGTATGATGAGGTTATCATCGATGGCAAGCTCAAGCTGTTTGTTGAGCTTACGAAGAGCTTTGCGAGTCAAAGCGTTATCGAGCAGGCGAGTCTTAGTCTTTCTAATCTGGGAGAGGGCGAAACGCTTACAGGGACGCCATTAGGTCGGGCTTGTAGGGAAGGAGTACGTGAAACTGCGCGAGGTCATCCTGCTCGCGGCAAATTGCAAGCAGCCCGATCAGAAGGATCTCGAGGGTGTACTCATTCCTCTGTCCAACGATATCGAGGCTGTCATCCATGCGAAAGAAGAGTTCCGGAAGGACAGGGACTGGAATCTTCATCACACGATGCTTGCGGAAGGCGCGCCCGCTGTTGGCTGGGCTGTGGTGAGTAACACGGATTTGGCCTGGACAAACAGGGTTCTCATGGGCATTTTCAGACACCTGAGCCTGGGCCGCATGTCCAAAGCGTCAGAGAATCGTCAGAATTCTACGGCAACCGAGTTATCAAGGACTACAAGGAGAAGTGCGTGTGTGCTATCCCTCGCTCGCAGGGCGTTGCTAATTGGGATGGTATACTGTCAGGGATCCTAAACACGTCGAGTGGGTACGGGCTTGGTACGCTCTCCTCGACGAACTTCGCAAATATGTGGTGGAGTATCACAAGACCGGCCTTGCCTGGAACCCATCCGTACGTTGCCTCGCCCACCTCCTGGCCACTATCCTCACTAATCCTCCGATCACGCCCACAGGGCAAGTCTGTGGCCGAGTATCAAGCATCCGCTTCGGCAGCGCCGCCGCCACCGCCACCACCCCCTCCAGGTCCTCCGCCTCCGCCTGCGGCAGTGCCCGCTGCTGCTCCCGCCGCTGGTGGCGTCTCGGCGGTGTTTGCAGAGCTGAACCGTGGCGAGGAAGTAACGAAGCATCTCCGGAAGGTCGACAAGAGTGAAATGACACACAAGAATCCGGCACTGAGGGCAGGCAGCACCGTCCCTGCATCTGTCAGTTCTGGCTCGAGCGGTGAGATGTCGACGGTTTGGCGTGTTAAATGCGAACTAATGAGGCGAGCTGTGCGATAGCTTCTGCTGCGAAGAAGCCACTGAAGCCGACTAAGCCGCATGCTCTTGCTGGCAAAAAGCCGACGAAATTCGCCTTGGAGGGCAACAAGTGGCTCGTTGTTCGTGTTTTCATGAATGAATACTCATGTGTTCTGCTGACTCGTGGGCCAGGAAAACTACGAGAATGAAACGTCACTCACTGTCGAGAACACTGACCTCAGCCATACAATCAACTTGTACGGATGCAAGAACTCTACCATAATTGTGAAGGGCAAGGTCAACGGTGTGACAATGTGTACGTATATGCAGACGATGATTGAGTGGACATCTACTGATCGTTGCACCCTACAGTCAACTGCAGCAAGACAAGCATCCTCGTCGAGAATGTCATCTCCTCAATCGCAATCACCAGCTCCCCGTCGTTCACGCTGCAGATCACAGGCTCTGCGCCGACCATCCAGCTCGACTCGATAGACTCGGGACATGTCTTCCTCTCAAGGGATTGCCTGGGCATCGAGATCACCACAGCCAAGTGCAGCAGCATCAATGTGAACCTGCCAGTCGAGGGAGAAGAAGAAGGTGTTTTCTCAGAGGCACCTATCCCCGAAATGTTCAAGACTACGATCCAAGACGGCAAGCTCGTCACGACTGCGGTCGATCATGCCGGATAGCTTGTAGTAGGCCGACATGATTTTGTAAGACATGTAGAATTAAGGGGCGGTATATTCTGCTGGGACCAATGAAACAGAATTTCACTGGACAAGACAAGGATGTTTCTGGAGTGTGGCTCAGACCAATGAGGTAAGGCCGGGCTGTGATGTCAGAATATGCACACTTGGCAAGCGCTTTAGCCCGTCATCGTCGACCCACATTCGACCTTGCCGATGCAGAGAAACCCCTCGCTGCCATTGAGGTCCTACAACGGCTGCCAAGAGAGTTAGATCATGCGGGGATTACGACACCGGAAGTCAAGAATCTCTCGGCTGGTTATTCATCTGCATCGGCGCGGATCAGGCTCGTAGCCTCAGACGCTTGTCCCAATGGCCACCCAACTTGTCCTCGACTCCTCACCACAACGCACCACTTGATTATTCGGCATACCGAGACGAAGGATAAGGCGGTGAGCACTGCAATATCTAGGCTCGAGACTGCCAGCTTGCTGACTTCGCACGGGGTTACAGCGCGCCACTTACACACACGACTTGGTCCACCCTACGAAGAACATACTCTACGAGCCATGGATAATGCCGGTTGGAGAGCTAGACATCATGCGCGAAAAGTACGTCGTGTGACCGTCGTCTCGCGCTTTCCCCCTCACTCCAGTTCTGCTCTTTCTATAGGAGGAAGAACGATGGTCTAACCCGCAGCGTGGTCCCGATGGCAGATATCAGCCCGTTGAACAAGTGGGCCCTCTTGCTGAACCCTTCGTTGGGGGATTTTTGCCCCCGCCGTCCCCCACCCCCTCCACTCTTCCGCCTCCCACGCCGCCCGCGAAAGACGAGCGATATCAGCACCAGCCATCCTACCAGCCGCAGTATCTGACCCCGACCCCTGGCCCTTCATGGTACCAGACAGGGCACGCGGAGCCTGCGGCACCTGAGGGTATTCAGCAGATTACCCAGCAGCTTGCACACATGAGTGCGGCGGAGCGTTCGCGAAATCTGCGCGTGCAGCATATGCACCCGATACTGCAGTTCATGGCGGGCCCACTGTTGCGGTATGATACGGTTGATGCAGATGGTGTATGGCATGGTGCGGCCATGATTGTCAGTGCGTCGCATTCCTGGTGTCGTTTTCGTCGTGGCGCTTAAAGTATCCAGCTGCCGACGCTGGTTCCGTGTATGAGCCCTATCCTAGTCTGACGTACTCGTGGGACCCTGACTCTCCCATACGACCGACGAGGACACGCTCACAGTCTTCTGCACAGCGGAACGGCACATCGTTCGACCTAGGCCCTCACCCCGCCGATCCGCTGTCGATGGTCCAGCCTGCGACCAATGAGGATTTCTACGCGCACAGTCCGAACGCGCTCTCGCAGACTGTCCCGGGCCAAGAGATCTGGGTGTACTGCGGCGCAGGTGGCACCTTCACCTTCTGGCGGTTTATGATCCACATACCCCTCGGACCGACCGAGATGCGTGTGTCATACAGCTTGAACAATGGCCAACAGATGAGCTTCTTTGTGCCTGGCCGCGGCCAGAACATGCGTTGGGCAGCGTACTCAGTGCGTTCCCAAACGCATACACACCCTGATCAGCCCTCTCACCCTCGCCGCAGTGCAACGGCTTCAGTGCGGGCATAAATCCCGACGACTTCCGTGGACCAGGCTTCCAGAGCGGGTATGACCCTGTCTGGGTCGACCTCCTACAAAAGCATGCCGAACAGCCGTACCACGTGCTCGTTGGCGGTGGCGATCAGCTCTATTGCGACGCGCTCGTGCGTGAGCCTGAAATGCAGGACTGGATGAATACCAAGGCGCCCGAGAGGAAGAAGACGTACACCCTCACGGACGATATGCGCTTCGCAATTGATAGGTTCTACTTTAGTCATTATTGTCAGGTCTTCCGGAGTGGTGCATTTGCAAGGGCGAATAGTTCGATGTGAGCCATGTTTGCTCTAGTGAAGCGGACGTGATGCTGACGAGCCATAGACCCATGTTGAATATGCTTGGTGAGCGATATGAGACATCTGGATCAGAGTTCACGTTCATTGTTCGTTTCGGCAGATGACCACGGTAAGTGCACTATACCTATTTTGTTTCGCCCGTATTCTTCTGATCCTCCGTCTCTATAGACTTAGTGAGTGCATCTGACGCTGTTAATAATGTGGCGTACTAAAGCTATTGAAAGATTGACGGATTTGGAAGTTGTAAGTTGGAAAATCGCCCTGCACAGCTACCATCTGACATGCTGTGCTCAGATCCCGACGACTTAATGAGATCCCCCGTATTCTCGGCGTATGTACAGCCGCCGCTTCCTGCCGAGCGGGTGCCTAATTCACCCAATCTATAGGATTGGTTCCCGAGGATACTTCTTCTTCCTCCTATTCCAATGCTTCATAAATGGTAAGGCTCAATGCCGTATCGTGTTGGATGTGTTGACGGCCGTTATAGTGGAAGTTGACGGCAGAGACACGACAAGACATCCATTCAAATCAGTTGTCATCGGCGGTGATGGCCCCTTTGTGCCCTATCCTTCGCACTCGTTCGTGTCGTACTTGGGTCCTCAGGTGTACATGCTTTTACTCGACTGTCGGTCTGTATAGCTCGCTATTCGTGAGGTCTCTCAGGTGCTCAAATGGTGCCACAGGGCAGAACGGAAAAAGGACCAAGTCTGCAGTCCGTACGAGTACAAAACCATGTTCGACCGAATATCGCGCCTTCCACCACAGGTGGAGCACCTTGTAGTGCAACTTGGTACGTAACCCTCATTCCCAGGCTATGTCTCCTGCTCACGGCGCTCAGGGATCCCTATCGCCTACCCACGAATGGTCTTTCTCGAGACCGCGCTCGAATCAAAGCTTAACCCACTGGTTGCTTTAGGCAGGGCGGGCTCGATGGGCTTATCCGGATTTGTCAACAAGTTCAATGCGGACGCAGAGCTTCTAGATGACCTGGTGCGCCCTTTCTCCAGCATCTGATCCCCGGACAGCGTGCTCATTGGCGCTTGTACAGAACGACCATTGGACGGCAAAATCACACAAGGTATATCCACCGCCCGCGGCATTGGCAGCCAAACCCTGACTAGCTATCCTTCTATATAGAAAGAGCGCAACTGGTTCATTGAGCAGCTACAGCAATATGCGCGTCGCACGCGTACACGTATCACGTTCCTCTCTGGGGACGTACACTGTGCTGCTGTGGGCGTGCTCAAGACGCTCGTGAAAGGCAAAAATGCTCAAGAGGTTCCGCCGCCGATGGACCACCGGTACATGCTTAATGTCGTCACCAGTGCGTTAATCTCCCGCTTCCCCATCCGCAACTCAGGGCTAATTCCGCTTCGTGCATGAATGGCAGGCGCGATCGTGAACACGCCGTGAGTACATGCATCAGCTTATTACTCGTACGCGGACTCAGTTGAGCATCCGCAGGCCTCCGAACGGCGTGCTCACGCTCGTGTCAAGCCTGGCGACAAAGACGCACCGGACACTGCACCACATGAGTACGGACGAGACGATGGTCAGTGTTACGCCCGATTGCCGTCTGAGCCCGTGCGCCGTCTCTGACACACACTCTCGCAAGGTGCCGCTTTTCACTCAGGAACCGAATGGCGGCTCGCCAAAGAGTAAATACATCATGGGCCGCCGAAATTGGTGCGGTGTCGTTTGGGATCCAAGCAACGGGAACCTCGTGTTCGATATCCGGGTCGAAAAGGAGAAGGGCTTTGGGGAAACTATCGGGTACGTCACTCTATCTCGGGCGTCTCACTGGCCGCGCTGATCTCCTGGATGCTGCAGCTATGTTGTCGATGCGCCTCCGCCGCGGTGGTCGTGAGGTCGTATCCTTTCTTCTGAGTCTTTGTAGCGTACGTATGGCACGTTGGCATGATACCTGTGCCGGAAGAGTTGCAGCTGCAGCCAGACGCCCCGCGGTAGCCGTCAGTTGATACTAAGTCTATTATGCGTTGATTGATCCGTGTGTTGCAATCAAGGAGCAGAGGCGAGGATCTGCTGTATTTAGCCTGGTATTTTTGGGCTTTGAGAAAGTGGGGGCGTACTATGTCCGATTTCCTGTGCAAATTTTGCTGGCGCCACGCGTTGGGTGCACGGGGTCCTGGGAGATCGGCTTCGCTGGCTGTTGCTGGGCGGTCATGATTCAGGCTCGAGGGTCAGACCGGGCTGCGACGATCACAAAAATGAGAAAATAATTGCACAGTAGGCAGGAGGACGAGGAGGATCAGTACAAGCACAAGGGTGGACGGGGAAGGGAATGCCGGGTATGGGCTAAGCGGGGTCCTAAACAGGAGCATCGCGTTTAGGGATTACGGGATCAGACCTGACCTTGGACGGCGTCCGTCCAGCGATTGTCATAAAACCGTTCGCACGACTTTCTTGCCACAGACGACCACCGCATCCGCTCGACATGCCCAAAGCCTCGCCCGGCAGCGACCAAAACCAGTCTCACGCGCACGGCTCGGGTAAGCAGACCGCCCCCAGCCTCAAGCGCTACCAGGTGTGCTGCTACAGACCTAGAGACGTCTCTCGTGTCGCAGCGGCTGACTTCGGGTTCGTAGGCATGCCATCAGTGTAGAAAGCGCAAGCTGGTGAGTGGCTCCTGTATAAGACAGCTCGGGTTGACACCGACCCACCCCGTCTACTAGAAATGGTGCGTCCTGCCCTCGGCCTTCCCTCTGCCGATCCCGAGCTAATCTCTACTTCTCTCGCTGATCCCTCCTCCGACGCCTCTCCCAACAGCGACGCAAAGCGTCCCAGCTGCTCGACATGTGTCCGCTCGCATGCCTATGCTGTCGCCCATGCTGTCGAGGGGGCATCCCTCCCAGAACAGCCCGAGTGCACCTACGACGAAGGTACGCACTTGATAAGGTTCCCATCATCCCCAAAGCGCCCTGAACATCCTCCCCAGTCCCGGTCTTTGACTCGGACTCTGGCAACTCGGTCTCCCGCAAGATGTACGAAAGGATGGAGCACAAAATTCGTGAGTGTTGTTCTGTACGCAAGCAGGCGCTTGATCCTCACTCCTCTGCTCGCCGTTAGACGAACTCGAGGCACTCCTGCACGAAAAAGACCAGGCACTCCAGACTTTGCAGGCTCGCGGCTCGCCTAGCACGCCCATAAATCCTCTGCTGCATGGCCCGGCCGACGTCAAGCCTGCTGCGGGTCAGGCGTTTACGGTCCCGAAGTACATGACTGGTGATGCTTCGCCCGCGTCTATGGTCAGTAAAGCATTCCAGCGCCCACTGCGGACGCGTTTCGCGCTACGAGTGCCACTGAACGCATTTGACCAGGCTGGCTCACTTGACGGCGTCAGCGGTATCACGAACGGCTCGATACCCAACCCGCGTACTTCCACTTCTCCGTCCATGCTCGCAAATACTCGAGCTTCGCCCTCTTCGGCTGATGATTTCTGCAACGTCGACATTCGCACCTGGCCGCCAAATTTACCGCGACCAGGTATTACCCGACATTTGTAAGCTTTCTTGTCACTGTATGCGCCCAAATCGCTAACCATAGCACAGAGTAGAGGCTTTTTTTTCGTACCACATGCACGCCAACAGAATGTTCCACGTGCCGACCTTTATGGCTTCCCTTGAGCTCCTTCCGACTGACCCCCGATTTCCCAGCCCCGCCATCCTTCATGCCATGTGCGCGGTTGGCTGCTTATACACCGCGACGCAAACGCAGATCTTCCAAGAGCCTATCGATACTCCGTGTAAGTCTGCTGTATAATAGGGCGTGTTTCAGGACCGCTCATGCGTACGAATTCAGATGAACTGCACCAAGGGCGATGGAGACGAGCGCACTATCGTCCAGATCTCTACGGTGAGGCCGAACTGCCGGAAGGTTTTTCTGAGCAACAAGCGAGATATGCGAAACAGAGGATTGAAGTGGGACTTGTCCGAGGAGATTTTGCTTGCTTACAAGGTACGACAAGCGGTCGACGAAATACTGCGTTGTTGTTCATTTTTTGCAGCACAAATGATCTTGACTTGGTGGTATCTAAGTCAGGGCAGGTACGTCGTAGTTTTTCGCTCAGTCGTTTGAACTGTGACACTAAAGGGTGACCTGCAGGTGGACAGATGTAAGTCGATTGCGAGACGCTCTGGCACATCTCATCTAATCACTGCGCGCAGGCCTTTCTGTCCGCGGCTCTGGCAGTGCGATGTACTGCACCGTGCAGTATTAGTACCTGTTACACGACCGCGGCGATCACACATTACAAGCCGCCATCAGTGCTTGCACCCGCAAAGAGTGTCATCGAAGATGAGTTACGGCGGAATACATTCTGGATAGGTAAGCTCAAGCGCGTATCTGCGCCACACCGGTGCTAATGAGGGCTACTTCGCCTGGCAGCATACGCGATGGAGCGTCAGCAAGGGGCAGGAAATGGTTGGGCGCTGAGTTTGGACGACTTAGATATCTGCCAGCTACTACCACTTCGTTTCGACCAGTACGAGCAAGGGGTGAGTATCAGACAGCAGCTGATGCAGGCTATGCGCTCATCCACCCACGTCGCATAGGTTCTCGTACTCCCAGAAGACCGCCAATGGTCATACGCGCCAGACTTGCTGTATAAGCACCACGAGGCACAAACAGACGCATTCATCCTGTATGTCAAGGCGTCGATCCTGCTCAGCAAGGTCAAGACGTACAATCTGCGCTTCCGATGGAAGTTCTTCCACGCGCCTGATGGCGCACCATCATCATCCACGAGTGGCGCAGCGTTCGATCCCGCGACTTTCGATGCGACGGCAACGCTCGAGTTCCAGCAGCTCGACCAGCTCGTTGCTAACTTCCGAGCAAGCTTCCCTCCGCACTTGCGCTCACCTATCTCTAGTGAAGGCGATATTCTTGACCCGTATTTGTACACAGCATGCTCAGCAGGGCACCTGTAAGTCTACCCTAGCACTGGGCTCAGAGACTTTGACATTTTACTTCTATAGGGCGCACATTCTCCTGCACGAGCCTCACGCGAAGCCGGATGTTGTAACATGCGTCTCAGCGCGCAAGACGCTTAATGCCGCGCGTGCAATAGTCGAACTGATGTACATGCTCAGCGCGACTAACTTTGATGTCACGCTTCTGGACTTGCAGCCATTTGTAAGTGTCAGCTCGCCGTTACACAACTGCTCCGCAGCTGACTGAATGTGAACAGATGTGTTGGTTCATGGCCGGGCGGGTACTCGTGCGCTTCCTTCGAGCAAGTATCGACGGTATTAGGGGCGACCAGCTCATACCACTACAGCGCGAAATCTCGTTCGTACGGTACGCTCCCTTCCAATCTGCTGCTCCCTCGTGCTGCAGCTGATGTCAACGCGTAGGACAATGCTGTCGAAGGCAGGCGAACGTGTGCCGCTCGCGTACCGGTACGCCAAGATGCTCCACGACACGCTCGTGAATATGTGTGGCCAGCAGTTCGCGGACAACATCCCTGATACGCTTCCGCCCCGCGGGTACTACATGACCTTGCAGGCGTCGCGGCCCATGATCGGCAACGTTCCACATACTGTCGAGCATATTGTACTGTCCTGAGCGTGTCGCGCAGACGCTACGACCCTGCCATGCCCCCGCACGACCTTGCTGCTGCCCCCTACACGCTATACGCCAGATGAACGCCTGCTATACCTCTCGATACCCCATGATTTCGTTGGATCTACCCATTGGGATGGCATTTACCTTGCTTAGCTGTACTTAATCTACTTTCATGTTTAGCGTCCACATGACTATCTTACCCGTATCATTCGTCCATGTCTGTATATATAAACGCATACCGCTTGCTTATAAATCCGCGCTTTGCGGCTCACAATCATTACTCTCATATACGGCAAGTATACGAAGCGACACATGGCCGGTTATTAGAGCACTTGGATCGAGGGCACGCTACGACAGCCGGGCTAATTCCTCGTCAATAGCCATATCTCCCGCTCGGCTGCTCCCGTCGTCCCCGATATCCTCATACTCCGTGTTGTACTCGCTCGCGTCCTGCGCAACTTCGGTGAAGTACGCCTGCACGTCGTTCACAGAGCCGACGGCATGTATGATCGAGTACGGACGCATGCCGTGCCCGTCGTCGGGGTCCGGCGTCTCCACGCCGAGCGGGAAGCTCTCGAGCGTCGGGAGGCCCGATGCGCTCAGCGGAGCAAGCATGTCGGCCTCGGCCTCGAGCGACGCCGCGCGGCTCGTCTCGAAGGACTGTTTCAGCTGCGGCGCCATCGAACTCCGAGCGGACGTGAAAGCCACCGCGGTCTGCTCCTGCTCCTTGCGCTTCCGTTCCTTGCGCGCGGCGGCCTGCGCACGCCGCTTTGCACGGTGGATCTCGCGCCGCTGCTGATCGGTGAGCTCTTTCGCTTCGGCGTCCTGGGGGCGGGCGGTCAGCACATGCGCATACAAGAAGAGCGGGAAACGTACCTTGACCTGCTTCGAAAACTCTTCGTCCTCCTGCTTGTCCAGTGCGAACTGCTCCTGTATGTACTCAGGGTACCGCTCGCACAGCGGTCTCCAGCGCCGCGGCTCCTCGGAGTTCGGCTTGATATCCGCTTCGTCGGGATTGTCCGCCATCAGGAGCGCGTCGATGTCCGGCGGCGGCGGGTATATAAAGTCGGGGCCAGGATTGAGTCGGACCTCGGCCTCGTTGAAGAGCGAGATCATCGGGTAGTAGCCGAGGCTGCCGTCGTCGAAAAAGTTCTCCTTGTGCTCGCGGATCCCCTCCCGGTTCGTCCGCCGCTTCTCTTGGTGCTTGTTTGGCGGCGTTCGTAGCGGGACGTAGTCGTAGAGGTCCTGGAACGCGATGCCCTGGCTCTTGCCATTCACGAAGAAGGCGACACATGATTCGGGGCCGAGCGTAGGCAGCGGGCGCATAGGTGCAGGCTCTGGAAAGCCGCTCTTGCCGCCGCGTGACGTCGACGGCAGATTCTTCACAGTCGCTGACTTCTTCGAAGATGCAGGTGCCGGCGTCGACCCTGGGGCCTTTTTGCGGTCGTTCTCGGTCATGAGCGCGATCATCTCCTTGGACTGCGAATATTCGAGCGACTCGAAGTACTCCTGGCCCTTAAATTCGATTGCGATGCGCTCGCGCTTGACGTGCGCCGGGTCGTACGGGTCGTTCTTCTTCAGCTGGCGCTTCGGAGACGGCAGCGAGATGTACATGCCAATGACGTCGCCCGACCTGAGCGGCTGCCCGTACGGCCGCAGGCGCGACAGGTGTACCTTCTCGCCCGACTTGTCGCGCATCGCGTAGCTATAGCTGTCGAGCCCCGCGGGGCCGTTCAGCGGTGCCTCGCGCCGCGCCCACCCGAATCGCACATGGCTCCCCTCTGTCCGCTTGCTCTCCAGCGGCCGGTCGCCCCCGCCGAGGCCGATCGTCACCTCCATATACCACTTCCCCTCGCGCACGGGCGCGTTGCAGCGCGCGCTCCTGAAGCCCTTGTCGCCGCGGAGACCCAGGCCGTCCTGCGTGACCTTGATGAACGGACTCCGGTCTTCCCAGGAAACTCGGAACGCCGTCGGAGCCGACTCGATAGTTCGAAAGGGCACCCCGCCTTCCTTGCCTGTGACGCCTGCAGGCGTGTATCGGAAGTTAAGTCGGTTGATGCATAGGGGTTCGGTAGTGCAGTATGGCGAGCCAGGCACGATGGGGATGAAGCCAGGATGTCGAGAGATGGTCAGGCGAGGTCGGCTGGACAGGTCGAGCTTATGCAGGACAACGTTCTCTGGATTGTGGTTTGGCGTGTCTGCGCGTTCTGAGGGCGCTGGGGACGCCGTGGCCCCTCCAGAGATGGCGGCATGCTTGCGCTTCCGGTTGACTGGATGAGCAGGAACCGCCAGAAGCGCGACTGCGGGTGACACTTCGCGAGGTGAGTTCGGTACTTCCATAGTATTGTGTAGGAGGCAGCTGGGCCCAAGAATTTCTGTCCTTTAGCCGCTTTTGTTTGCTGTCTTCAAGCCCGCTAGACAAATCGTAAACATTCTGTCGAGCCTCAGTCCACAGACGACAAACTAGAAGTGTGTGATACGAACGTTCCCGCAGACGACAGTGATACTGGCTGATCCGTCGATAATAAGGCCTAGGAAAAGGTGAAGAGGGGCCTGCAGCACAGACGATGAAGGCGGGTCTCGGGACAAGGCGTCGATAACGTTCGACAACATCCGGCGTCGAGATCGGTGATAGACGCCCATGAAAGCTAACAGCTTTCAGCGCTCGTAGGAGACGTTGTCATTGCCTCCAACAGCCTCCAACGGCGTGCAAGTCCTGTCCCCCTCAACGCTGGAGCCATACCACTGTTCTTAATCTCTAGAGTAACACAGCGAGCATGACATCTCTGAGGTGAATGATCCCTTGCATTCTAACAAACCGGCTCACTGACCGGTGATCAGGCGGATCCAGAAGGTGCCACTGCTCATATCGCGTGCGGTTTGCGAAAGCTGATAATGTGTCCAGGAACTGGCAGACATCAGGAATAGGCCAATTGAGGTGAGCTCATATGATCGTCACGGCTCGGGCTTGCTTTTACGTGCTAATTGTGCATACAGGACCTGAAGGTTGAACCAGAAGAGGAGAACCTATACATCTGGAAGTGTAGCGTCAAGGCGTCGGTGCGATTATCTCGCAACATCGCATGTAACTCACAAATTATTGACTCTTGATTGGCACACAGAAAGACAGCCCATACAGCGGTGGTACATTCCACTTCACGCTGACCCTGCCAGAGAACTTCCCGTTCAAAGCCCCATCGGTGAGTCTGCGATCATATATGGCGAAAGCGCAGCCATTTTGATGCGCGTCGTGGTCCGTAGGTTGCCTTCACCACGAAGATCTACCATCCAGGTATCAATGAAGAAGGACACATCTGTGTGCCAGTGCTTCGCGATCAGGTTCGTTTCCTAGAGCGATGTCTTCGCTATTCGCTCTAATCAGCAATCACAGTGGAAGCCTGCCGTCACGCTTTCCTCTGGTAAGTACATAGGGTTGTTCCTGTAGCGCGTCGATCAAAGTACGCTGACGCTTTACGCAGTTTTGGCCATTATCCAAGAGAAGGTGAACAACCCTAGCCCGGATGATCCCTTTGAGCCCGAGATTGCTGCCGTGCGTAGCTGCTCTCATAGCGTTCGTTTCTGTGAACGCGGATGCTGATTACGCGCTTCAAAGCTTGTGAAAACGGACTATGCTAAATTCCAGACTACTGCGCGGGAGTGGACAAGGAAGTAAGCGCCAAACAATTAAGGGAATGTATATTTAAAGATATTGAGCTAACCGCGCATACACGTGTATAGATATGCAGCGTCGGGATAATGTTGTGCAATATCACTGCCGAGCACGGCTGTCCTGTACTATAGTTCTCAACGAATCCGGCACACTCGTCTTTTAATGAATGTTCTTATTCAAACAAATGGATTCGGTAAGTGGGTACGCGCCATGCACTTGCTCTGGTGCCAGCCCTTCCTGTGAATAGTAGATGCGCAAGTGTGCGGTTGATCGTACTGCCGCGTCGTAGGTTCACACAAAGGACGCCCAATATATGCATCGTCCCTAACGACGCGACGAACGTGCCCGTTCTCCTTCACGCATCGCTGTCTCGGATGGGGTTCCAGGCACCTTCGTCGTCGCCTTCAGGCACTCAGCAAGCGGAGGTGGTCTGCGAGCTTAACCAGCATTATTAACGCACGTGCTGGAGTCCAACGTGGACTCTGTTCTCGGCCACTCACCAAGCTATAAAGGTGACACATGAGCTCTTTTCTTATACAGGGGCACCACCTCTAAGCACAAGGCTCAGTCCCTTCGCTTCCCTGCAGCAGCCATGCTTAGCTCCTTTACTCCTCTCTGCGCTCTGTTCTTCGTCGGCATCAATGTAGCTTCGGTCGCGTTCGGTGCCAACACCAGCTTGAACATCATCTTAACCAACGACGATAACTGGGCCTCTGCTAACATTAGGTTTGCGGCTTCATCACATTTGAATGTAATGTGTAGCTGATGACTCTGGCAGAGCGACGTACAGCGCTCTCACGGCCGCCGGACACAATGTCATCCTCAGCGCGTGAGTGGCGCCTCCATAAACCGTCATCTCCCTGCTCATCGGCGCTCTGTCCAGTCCTGTCGTCCAGAACTCTGGACAAGGCGGACGCTTCATCCTCCCGACTACTAACATCACGATACCGGACGAGTTTGGTATCCTCCAGGCCGGCGCGCCGTACTACGGTCAGGACCCCAACAACAACCGAATCTGTAAGTGTCCTTCCTGTGCCTATGTTCGCCGCCGGGTTCTGAACACCTTGGACAGGGTACATGAACGGCACTCCTGCCGCAGCAGTTAGCACCTTGTGTTCGTAACGTGCTTGCTTGCTCAACGTGCCCGGCTACATAGATAGTGTTATTCGCCCTATAATCCTCGGCGATAACTCGAGCATTGACCTCGTCGTGGCAGGCCCGAACGAGGGCCACAACCTAGGGGGTTTCTACTACACACTCAGCGGCACAATGGGCGCAACGGTTGACGCCATTTACCGCGGTGTGAGCTCTCGTTGTTTCAGAGAGAAGCAGCACTTGTGCTGACGCTGCTGGACAGTTACCGGCGATTGCAGTCTCGGCGGGCAATGGCACGCACCACTCATACTTGACGCTCACGAACGACACGAATGACCCGGCAAACCTCGCAGCAAGACTCACAACGAGTTTTGTCAACGCGCTCGCGAGCACTAAGATGTCCGGACAACCCCTCTTGCCGCTCGGTACCGGCGCCAGGTAAGTACAACTCATCGAACTTTGGCTTTCCTCCGTTGTGGTTGTGTGCTCACAAACCTGTCCCTCGTAGTATAAACCTACCTATGTTTGGGAGGGGATTAATTGCACAAATGTAAGTATCTGCAGTCTGGTTGTGTGGGGATAGGTGTGAACGTGGTGCAGCCGCCGTTCATCCTCACGCGCCTAACCGGCGGCGGCGTCGCGCCGGTGCTCGCCATCGGCTCAAACGGCTTCCCCAACGAGACACAAATGTGAGCCTGTCGTTGCATGTAGCGGTCTGGACGCCCTCTGACGCACTGCTCGCTCAGTGCCACCGATGGCGTCAATGTCAACTACACCGGCTCGCGTATCCTCCCTGGTGAGTGCTTGCTCGACGTTCGTCGGCTGTACGGAGACTGATTGCTGTGCAGGCGAGACGGGCGTCACTGCCGGGCGCCAATCTTCTGTGTCGTTCTTCTCTATTGACTGACGCCCCGGCGCACGTCGTGGAGCACGTCCAGACTGCCCTCCTGCCACTATTTGGTACGAGCGGCTTGTAAGCGCTGCTTTCCCTGTGACTCTTTCGCCCTGGTGACTCTTCATACGGATTGCTCGATGTGCTAGCGATGATGAGAATGTAAACACATAGACATGCTATTAACCACGATAAATGCTACCAACGGCTCCTTGCTTTGGGTATTATAGTGAGCCAGATCATGTATCATCTACACTCGTCCTTCACAAATTACTCGTCTGTGGACTGGTTCATTATTGGCTCACAACGCATTTGCTGAAATCAATGCAAGTTTACTGTTAATATATAGGCTCAGAGTCACGGAGCCCAGCTAGCACTCAAGTGAAACCCAGCCTCCGCACTGCAAGCCGTAGGCGCCCGCTCATGGAACTTGTTAATGCTCAACATTCGGAGGTGGTGAGGACGGCGGAGTCGAGGTGGATAAAATACGCTGCCGTTGTACGTCGCCAAGAAATACACTTCCAATATGCTGTGACATTGCTTGGGTTGCTCGCCGTGCAAGTTACAGAGACAGCATATTGCGACGGTCTTCTAACCATCGTTCACACGCAGCACTAACGGTTGAGCTGTTCTCGCTGCAACCAACTCGACCAATAGTGTAAGTCCTCGTATTCGGCTATGTCTATGTCTTTACTTTGCAAGCCTTGACCAGCGCACTAGTGGACTCTTTGCCTCCAAAAGAAACCGGTTCGTTTCTCGTTGGTGACATGGCGATGCTTGCAGGAGACAAAATCTCCCACCAGGAATCCTGCTCAGACTAACATGAAGCGGGTGTGAACCGAGTAGTCTCTGGTGGGTACAAAGCAACACAGCGAGGGATGTGAGACCAGAGCGGGCGTCAAAGCTGGTGGTTGCCGGATATAGGCAGCACATCCGGGAAAGGCAAACGAGATCAATGCCTCGAGGGCTCACGCCTTTCAGGCTTGACCTCGTCTCCAGCGTATACCCCCGCCTTTCAGGCACCTTTTCCCTCCTGTTCTCCTGCTGCTGCAGCTACAGCTTACCTTTTCTCTCCAACTCGTGTACTTCACGTTTTTCGCTCCTTCCCTTTACCACTACTTCTCCTACACGACCGCCTGCAACGACCCAGCTCGAGACCCTGCAACGACCGCAACATACAAATTCTGATTCAGGAGGCGACCTTCGGACTCGCATATCTCAAGCGAAACTGCGTGTAAACTGCGTGGAACAACTTGCTTGCTCCAACGTGTCTGCCACGAGGCTCCGAATTTAGGGATATCTACTTGGGACGATTGATAATTGGAGGTCATGAATCGGTTTCGGTGCGTTCATCAGCCTCGCGATCACGCACAGTCTCACTTAGCATCTTCTCCTCGTTGTCTTTGCGCCCCGACAATCAGTAAAAAGTCCGACGTAAAGCGTGCTGTGCAGACCGTCGACGCGCTTCGCGAGGTGCAAGTTGCACGTGTAAACACGCAACACCAGCCGAATCCCCTGGCATCGCTCCCTCCCTCAAGTGATTTCCGTACGTCACTGATCCTTCCAGAGTGAGTCCCCCTTCCGCGAACCTATCCTCTCCGCTCCTTCCCGCACCTGTAGCCCTGGGTTGCTTTATTGCCCTCTCCGCTGACATTCTATGTTGCATTGGTACAGCCTTACCCGCCGGTTCAGTGTCCTGCGCAACTCTGCTGGTGAGCCGATCGGCCTCGACGAACTCAAATCGCGGTTTGCGGAACAGCGGGCAAGAGGATCTGAAAACCGGGTTTCCGAAGAAGAGGAGGATATGATACTAGAAGCGCTGGGACGGCTTCGCGGGCAAGGGCGCCCTAAGCCGGTCACTGAAGACAGCACGGGCGACGAACGCGTGTCTACCGCCTTCAGCGAGAGTCAGGATGCGGGCTCGCGCATGTCAGGAGCTCCGTCATTAGCTGGTGGGCAATCTGTTCGGTCGAATGTCACTGCTGCGTCGGCCACCAGCTCGGCTCTACATGGCTCCTCCTCTGCTGCGTCATTCACGTCCTCGAAAGGCTCGCAGGCCGCGCGGCGGATGAGCAATAACCTCTTCGGATCAGGAAAGTTTCATGACCACACATATATGCGCACGGCACACACCCGCCGTGGGGCGGGGTCCTCGGCTCCAGGTTCTCATATCGGTGCTGTAAAGCATGCCGACTCCACCACAAGCATGAGCACCGTCACAAGTAGTAGGGCCGCGGGTAACGGTACCTCATTGTACTCTGACAACCAAAGCCTTCGTCCTGTGACCCCCGACGGCAGTGCTTACGCGAGCTCAGTGCCCTCGAGCCCCATTAACACTGCTTCGTACATCAGGGATGCCGGCTCGAGCGATGGTTTGTCGGGAACAATGTCGCCGAAAGTCCTTGTGCGCGCCTCATTGGCCTTGGACGAGGTGATGAGGGAATTGGAGGAAGAGGGGGACGATCAGATTGTCATGGAGCGGTCGCCTATTGCAGTAGTACCACCACCCATACAAACCAATACTACTATAACCACGACGAGCTATTCTGGAAGCCCAGCACGGTATCAGGTGCGTCCACATCACCATGCGCTATTGTCTCCCACACTCCATGAACGCAGCACAACGCTGATTCTCTACGCTACCCTTAGCCTGACACGTCACCTCTCACATCGTCCCCTCCGACTTCCGCAACCGACGAGGAACCTGGCATGGCGCTCTCATCTGACGAACCGACAGCGTCTCAATCGGACGTGTACCAGTCTTCGCCTTCTCCGTACCCTCGCGCCTCGAACTCATCGCCAGGGCCTCGTTTACCCGGATATATTCCTGGTATGCCTCGCCCGATGACCCCTCGCGACCGCGAGACAAGTTTCGACACGGAGGACCAGACGCCTTCAACAACGCCACGCGCCACATCCCCTAGACTTCCCGGATCTAGCTCCACTCAGCCACCCCCACTGCTTGCCCAGACCCTGTCATCGAACGTCCATCGTAGTAACTCGAGTACCTCAACGCATCGCGACGCGGCTACCCCTGTCACGCCCACAGCATCCACATCACCTCTCTTCTTTTCGCGTTCTACAAATGGCCGATACACGCCGGAAGGTCGCGATCGCTCATACAGTAGCAGTGATAGTGCCTTCCCCGCCCTCCAAGACGGTACCGATTTTTCCAGCAGACGGCGCCCGATTTCCCCTTTATCGAGCTCGCCGTACCAGCCTCTTCCTATCGCTGCTGTCAGTTCAGCATCGTCGCGCCCCAGCACTCCATCGAATGTTACTTGGCTGTCTCCATCTACCCCCGACGGTACCCGAGGTCACGTCCGAAATGGTTTTGGGAGCACCTCCACATCTGGTCGGAGTCGCAGCGGGAGCAGCGTGAGCATCACGGACGCCGTTGCCAGCAGCTATGAGGCCGACCGTACAGAGCCGAGTGGGTCGAGCCGGTCGACCACGTCTGCTACCACTACCCGTCCATCGCGCACTCCGGACATCTCGGACTCGCAGCCGAACTGGTACAACAACAGGTCGCAGAGCTCTGCGTCCGTGAATGGCACGCAGGACTATAGATCGCCCTCTGCGATGTCGTCTACGATCGACCCTGGTTCGCCGACGCGGCCGTTCCGGTCCCCTACGCCGAACCACTCACTGCAAAACCTCGCTGCATCTCCTACGGCCTCGTCATTCAACGAGTCCAATGGATACGCGAATGGCAGCGGGTTCAGCTCGTCGAGTCGCCGCACGTCCCGACAGAACGCGCACTCCTCGTTCACGTTGAGCCCTGGACATGCGCTCCTGCTGTCACCGCTTGGTAACTCGTCGAGGTCTTCGCTGGAGTCCGGTGGGTCGAGCTATCATTCGTGGGATGAGGATCACAAGAAGGACAGGCTCTTTGACCTCTTCACGCACCTCGATCCCTCGTTCACGGAGTGGCACGAGCTGTCCGGACAGGCCTCGACGTCACAGACCACCCCGAACGAGAGCAAAGAGTCTCAGGAGGAATTTGTGCGGAAGGAGACGGGACTGACGAAGAACGACATCTTGGCGGTACAGGACAAATTGGTTGCTGCGGCTCTGACGAAGGCAGCCACTCCGGAGGGCCGCAACCGCGCGGGCTCTGTAAGAAGACGCAGGCCTTCTACTTCACAATCAAACTATTCCACAGCCGGTGCAGAGAATCGGGTGCGCTTTTTGCAAATTCGTATCTCAGATGCATCACTCACTTTGCGTCAGGTCGCGAGTCCGCCGCCTCAAGCACAGACGCAGGTTGCTCCCGCAAGACCTATCAGTTCCGATCAGATTGCGAAAGCCAGTGCACTCCTGGATTCTGTCGTTGATAGCATCAATTCCCCTAGAAGCAAGGCCATGAGCGTCGTGCCCCCTGACGATGTCGCTGTCCTTGTTCACCCTCCCCCAGAACCTGTGGCTTCTAGCCCGGGACAGCGGCAGAGGGCTCTCGCAGATGCTCTTTTTGGCAGTGAAGATCCGGATCGCACCCTTCTCTCATCTCCAACGACACCCTCGACTGTCCTGCGTACCGAGTCGCCTTCGATCAATATAGCGGATGAACCCTCTCCGACGATCGCGGGACCGTCAGCTGCTCCGGGCAATGAACTATTGCCCCAAAGCCCTTCAGTGGTAGAAGAGATTGCATCTGCCGTAACGAGCTCAGCGATGCTTTCTCCCAGCCATGTGAACCCCATGCTGTTCGAGGCTGAGGTGCAACGCAGAATTGAGGCAGCTACGGCAGCTTTAAGGAAGTCGCCCTCCAGTCCTAAGCTTGACGGCGGTTCGACGCGCAAGCGGATTAGTCCCAATCAGATATCGTCTCCCACGCTTGTTTCTGCGTCTACGAGCGTCGACACGATCCCGCTGGGTGCTCCCACTATCCCGGTGCAGTCACGGACGGCTCACTCATCTTCAGCGAGGTTCGGATCGCGCTTCAAGAAATTAACAGGCACTTTGCGTGCGAAAACCCCTATTCCTGCTGCAAATGAAGAGTTTCATTCCATTTCTACGGAAATCAAGACGCCTACCTCGTCACAGTCCATATCCTACAACCCTGAACAGCTCATTACAAGGGACCAGCCAGCCATATCCAGCGCGACGGAGACGGGCCGATTCAAGGTATCACCTCCGCCTGTCATAACACCTCCTACTTCTGCGGGGCCAGGGCTCAGAGGGTTCATGTCGCGTTTCAGGAAGCAACGACCAGGAGAAATTACGGCGTTGGCTGACAAGCCTTTAGCGAGTGCAACAGTTCGGCCGACCACGGCATCGCCTGCTGCTTCGCGTATGGATCCGCCTCGTACAAGCGCCGACTCTCAGATGCGGTCCGCACCTGCAGCTCAAGGACAATTTACACAGCTTCGACCATTGTCTCCGCAGAGCCCGCTGTCGCAGACTTTCCCAGAAGCTATTCCTGAAGACGCTGTGCCACCTGCTAGCGCTCCGCTGCCGCGTATTCATGACAGCAACGATGAGGCCGCACTCAAGCAATTGTACGATGCCGCGGTAAACCTCGGCCTTGATCAGGAAGCCCTGCACGACTTGGTTGCGCGGTCACCATCGACTACCTCGCGCACGACCACCTGGAGCAAGCTGGCCCGCAACAATTCCGTTGCTACACGCCGTCGAACGCAGCAGACTGACAGTCTGGCCCCTCAGTCGCCAATATTATCAGAAGGCAGGCCTAGCGTTGCGGAAAGTCACTCGAGCATTGCAGACGCAAGACCTAGCGTTACGGAGAGTCGCCTCAGTGTCTCAGAGGGACGCCCCAGTATTTCGGATGTTCGACCTAGTTTCTCAGACGGCCGTCCAAGTACGGAAGCAGTATTGCCTCGGCCCTCAGCTGAAATTAGGCAGCTGACCATTCGCAAACACGCTGATGCCTCCTCGGCGTCTCGTCCTACGCCCCAGCCAAATTCTGACCCGCGGAGAACTATCGTTCGGAGAACCATAATTGTGCCGTCAGACTCGAGAGTACCCGGAATGGACTTGCAGGAAATGCTTCGCAGGCAATCCACCTCGCAACGGCGTCGTTCCGCTGGTGCGGGTTCTATTTCCTCCAACCGGTCCTTGCAGGACCGCGCGCCCACACCACCACCTCCACGCTCATCTACCTCTCGACGCTTCTCGACGGACCGGACGCCACCCGTGCCGTCGCTACCACCCTCATTCACCGCTCAAGCGGGCGCCCTTCACCCTCCGACACAGATAGAGAAGTCCAGTTCGACGTACGACTCCTTGTGAGCTTCTCGTCTTCTAGCTTAGATGAAGTTAATGCTTCAATGACTTAGAGTTGATATGTACTCCGGTGATAATAGAGCTACAAGCACTACGAATGCGGATGTGGCCGGCCCCAGTTCACAAGCGGACGAAGCGACGCCAGAATCGGGTCCGGCACTGGAAGTCATCGAGTATGCCAACGGAGAGACTATCTGGTTCGTAACCTTATTCAAATTAAATGTGCATGCCCGGTGATTGACGTCTCGATTGCTAATAATTTAAGGTCAATTGTTAACGGACTGCGAGATGATGACACGGAGTCTTTCTTCGATAACCGCGCAAGCTTTGCGTCAGACTACTCCGGCGAGGGCGTCAAGGTTTTCTTCAAAGAACATGGCCGAAAGTCGTCGAAAAGCAGCGGCACGTCTTTCCTGTCGCGCAAGAAGCAGTCGCCCTCGGCTTCGCAGCGGCCGGAGACAAAGGTGCGCACTCGTGTTGGGGCACAGCCCGCGCAGCTCAGCTAGACGCTCACCTTTACTTCCCTGCAGGTCTTCTTTAGCTCCTCGGGGCAGATTGCTCGCCTGATAGAGAACATGTCGCGCGACGTGGACGCGGGCTCATTCAACATCACTCCGGACCGCATACAGGGTCATGCGGGGCACTCTGCTTCGTCGTCGCTTGACATGCGTTGGACGCTCGAGGAGCGTCTCGAGCATATGCTTGGGTCCGTCTCGTCGAATTCGTAAATTGCTTTGTACACCTTGCCGCACCTTAATTCCTCATTGTCCACTACCACTCTCTATGCACCCTGTTTCTGCAGGCTTACCCTCGTCTTACGCACATGGCACACAAATCTGTTCCATATTTGATACCATAATTTTTATAGATTTTATTGGTTTAGCCACTCGTAGCACACTGGTTCCGGCGCGAAAAAAGGCATCACAGCTCCAGGAAGAAGAGCTCTCTGAACGAACACATGCATGAGATGATAGAAGGTGTTAGTAGCCGTGCAGGTCGACCCAGCGGTTCAGGCAGAGGGCGAGGGCGGCCCAGAGCAGGAGGTTGTCGTCATCAAACCGGCACTGCAGAAGCGCATGCGAGGGTCCGACGGGCGTGTCCTGCGGCTGCGAGAAGCGGCTGAACCGTGCGATGGGGGGTGCACCCGGACCGGGATTAAGCTAGAAAGAGGGCGCCGACGTGAGCGAAGGGTGTGTGCGCGATAGAAGGGTGCAAAGTGGCAAGGGCGCGCGCGTGGCGGCTGGGGCGCGGGGGTGCGGTGAAGCGAGGGGGGAGAAGAAGAAAAAAGGGAGAGACACCCACGTCGTACGCGCCGGGCATCCCGGGCACCTTGCGCCATTCGAACATCCGTCCGTCCGTGGTGCGGAAGACACGCGCGCTGGGCGGGGGAGGGCAGGGTCAGCACGCACTCCGACGGGCAGGGAGCGGGAGGGCATACCTGCTGTCAGTGCCGGGCGCAACGAGGCTCAGCATGGAGACCTTCCGGCCGCCGACGGTGGCCATGCCCATGTGCGTGCCCATCGTCCACTCAAAGGAGGCTGCGGGCTGCCTGCCGTTGCGGTATATCTGGCGCACGCAGCGTGAGCAGCAGGCACCAGGCACGGCGGGATTGCGGGGTCAGGGGCGGCCCCCTTCATAGAGCGCAGACGCACCGTGGTAAGGGTCTCCGACGTCGCGATCACCGGGGTCTCAAACTCGAAGTAGACGGGTTTCTGGCCGACCCAGCCTATCATGACGGAGCCATGGCGAGGGTTTGTCGCGCCTGTGAAGAAGATGTCGGATGGGTCTTCTGCAGCCGGAGGCATCGCTGTGGCGTTTGACTCTGCTCACCTCTGGTAGCACGTCGTGGCTTATATGGAGCGGGAGGCAATATACCTTGCGGCTGTGGCTGACAGCACTCGGCTCGTCATGGGAGTTAGCCCATAACCGAGGGACTCTTTCTGGCTACCATGGCTCAAGAAAGTGGCTCGGGGGAGAGCGAGATGACATCGATAGGGCTGTTTTGGCAGTGCAGCGAACAGAGGAGGCGACGAGGGTGGAGAGTGTGCGTACCTTGACCTGATTGTCTCATCGAGCGAGAGCTTCGCTGGACTGCTTAAAGCCAAACACGAGGTAATTGCCGTGCGGCAGCTAAATCTTCCCTTCATAAGTTGACAGAAGCTGTCAAGGCATTGGCCTGGTGCCTCTCCAGCACTGCGAAACTCGTGCAAAACACAGCGGTACCGAGCTGCGTCACTCAAAATATACCTCACTGGCTCCGAGCCGACATACCAACACGCTCAGGCCTTGACACATATCGAGACGAACAGTCACTGTTGGCGATATATGAACAGAGCACAGGATGAAACAAGAGAGCAGAGTAGGACGAGCTAATGTACGGCACCCAGATATCCTTTTCGACACAGCAGGCGCCCTCCAGGCCCTCACGAAGCGTTCACCTTCCACAGCGGCCGCTTCCGCAGTTTTCTCGTGACGTGCACCGTGCTACCCCCAAAGTTCCCTCCACCAAAGGCTAGAACGACTGTCTCCTCCGCGCCTTGCCCACGTGCAACGCCCCGTTTGCGGAGCTCGATCGCGTCCTTCGCGAACTTGAACCGAGCCTGATCGGAGCCTGTAGAGGGACGAACGCTCCGTCAACGAGCCTGTCCGCGCGTGTCCGACACACACAGCGACGCACCTATCTGGAACGTCGGGCTCTCTACCGCCGCCTTGAACAGGTCGAACGGCACCCGCGCGTAAATTTGCAGCAGCGTATCCCGCCCCGCATCGGACGGCGCCCCTGCGTCCGCCTGTGGCGTCACCGGCGTCGAGATCCCGCCTACGTTGAGGATGTTCGGCAGCCGAACCGCGAGGAAGTGGAACACGTCCTCTCGCAGCCGCTGTGCGTACGGCCCAAACACCGCCGTTCGCGACGGCTGCTGCAGCTGGTGCGGCTCAACGGGCGTGCTCGAGCCGTCTGAAGAGGGCGACGGAACCGCCTCGGCGAACTCTAGCCATTCGCCGACATTTTCGATGCTGATCGACTGCCGGCATAGCTCGTAGGCGTACCCACAGAGATCATCCATACCTCCCAGGAGGCATGCTGCGGCGAGCACTGCGCGTGCATTCTCTGGACGGAGCGCATTCAGTGACTCGGCCGAGTAGAGGTATCCCATTGCTGCAGTCGTCAACGAGTGTGCGACGCATGACAGAGCCAGGGGCACGTACCTATTGCAAATCCCTGACAATGACGGAGTTAGGGCATGCTACACTCGGATGTAACGGTGCCTTACCTCATGCGTCACCTCGGGCTCTTGTTCAAGGTGGACGTAGATGGTTCGCTGACCGCCCGATTGAGGTGATGTCGACATGAGATGGGCAAGGAAGGGCGAACGGGAAAGGATAATCGCATGTAGCCTGTACATGTTTTGCAATACATGCTGTGCAGTGTCAGTTACGCTTCATCACTTCCGTCCGTGCAGGGCGAAAGGAACACTCACGAGCACGGTGTCCGCATAGTTCTGACGTACAGGGTCAGCTGCTTCGGTTAATAGACGTGTGCAGACGAGAGGGGACGCACTCCAGTTTGAAATCCCGCGTGAAAGAGGTGGTGCACGATGGCTTCGTTGTGCAGCTGGTAGGGTGTCGGCCTGTGGGGTAAACGAGCGTGAGCGTCCGTAAGCTTTTCATTGTCCCAGGGAGGCGAGCCGAGAACATAACGCGACGTGCGATTGCCTGACAGGAGCACGGGCGTGCAGCGAAAGGCTATATCAGATAGCCATCTCCGCAACGACGCCAGCGTTCGCTGCCGGCAACCAGCGAGGGCACGGTCGGACATGCGAGGGTTCTGGCCGCATGTGTATGCGTCTTGCGGTGCATTGCGTCCGGATATGGCGATTTTGACGCAAGAGGGGGAAAGATGCAGGTCGTTCGCTGGGCTGTACTCACTGTGCGTAGCCGTTCACGCCGGTCGAAGGGCCAACATGATTGGGATATGGCTCGCCCCCTGCGTCTGCCGTTCCTGCGCCGTTGCTGGGCCCGCCGTGGCCGTTCATTGTCGTGATGTCGCAAATCGAGATGTTCCCGGTCGTTCCGACAACAGCAAGCGAGCGAATGGCGAGCAAAAGACTGCGTGCACGAGGCGGGGCTCAGGCAAACCTCCGTGGCGCAGTTCAAGAATTTGCCGCCGAGACGGTGACTGGACTGTGACCGTCACACGGGGTCCCCCCAGCCATCATCCCCTGCCACAGCTCGCAGGTAGTCAAGCAACGCAGTACGTCGGTTGTGGGTACCATGTCAAATACGAGTAGATTGATTACCTCTCGTACTAACTCGCATAAATTAACTCGACTCAACCGATTAAGTACAACAAAGCCAACAAGCACCGAGAGATCATCTCAGCCCGGTCCACAGACATCGCCTGTGCGTTCGTCGAGCATGATACCGGGACTTGTTCACAGACTGCCCACACACGGGCTGCTATCGTCAGGGTCCACAGGGACGGTAGCGATTCTCCGGAGCGCCTCAGTGAGTGTGTTCGCGCTGGGCGGTTTTCGGGGTCCTGAGCAGCACGGGAGTCCAGATCCATCGCTGATTCTTCACCAATCGGATTTGCACCGCAGACAATTGCTGCAAGGCACTCTCGAGGCGTTTGCAGAGCTGCAATTTAATTCTTCTAGGTTCAGTCTCATGCTCCGTGTGCCACGAGGCCGCGTCTCGATAAGATTCGGGAATTCTGTCAAGTAAGCCTAAGCACTGGCAGATCTCGTTCTAGACTTCATCCGTGAGCGAGCACAATGATTGCTGAGTTTGCTGTGCCAATTGGTCAATGTGCTCTGTTTTGGAGTACGAGTTCTATAGGTAATATTCAGGTACGCATAATAATCATTTATCAGCTGCGCCAAGCTCTCCGGAAAGCCAGGGCACAAACTCTGACATGCCCAGTACCTTACCATACGTCCGAGTCTCTGCAACATCAGCCGCCGAAGGCAATGCTCCATCACTAACGTGTGAGCGCATGCTCACGAACGAGGGCATTAGGTTCGTCTTCAATTGGCTGTCGCTCGCCTTCCTACCCCGGAGCGGAGAATACGGAGGCGGTGCAGACACATAGACATCGACCTGCCCCTGGACGAGCTGCCAGAGAAGGGGATACAATAGCTCTCGTAACACACGCACAAAAAAGGACAGATGATACTCACCATGTGCGAGCGGTCCGAGACAAAATGGTCGAGATAGTCCTCCGCAGGCACGACGCGAAAGAGGCTGAGCAGTGGGAAGAGACACCGCGTAAGTAGTGCGGCCCGCCGGACAGCACGGGGAGCAGAGACAGGTCACTCGCCTGACGTACTGCGCAGGCACTTCCCAGCCGTCGGAGAATGCGTATGGGAACGTCGCGTGCATGTAATCTGAGGCGCGCCCACAGTGCCAACGCATCGGGAGGCAAGGAAGCACGATCGGACGGGGACGCGGCAAGATGATGAGAGCCCGTGTCGCGCAAGTCAGCTTCGCGAGGTACGTTATGTGCGGGAGAAGCACAAGTCTCCCTCCCCACACCTCAGGTATGGAAATGTCGCACCTTGCCAGCAGCACGGCACGGGCGCGCGACTGTCCAAGTCGTACACCCAGGCATGCGCACGCTCCGCAGCTTCGCCGCCGGGCGGGCACATTTTTCTCAGCGTGCGCGCGCGCAGCACGAGCAGGACGTGGTAGTCCCAAAGCACGACGCCCTCCCGGGCCTTCTGCTCCCAGAGCGCGACCTAGCACATGTGTGCGCGTGTGTCAGCATGCTGCATGGTACTTGGACGCGGGTACGGGCTCATGACCACCAGGCACGGCGAAACTTACCGATTTGTGGTGATTAGAGACGAAGACGACATACACGTCCCAGGCGACGACTTCGTTATCTTCGCTGGCGGCGGACCGGGTGAGAGCGTCTGCCAGGAGGAAGATATTTTCCTCGCAGTAGCAGCTCGTGTAGATGTGATCCGAAGGGACAGGCGGAGCCGCCATGGATTTCTGGTGTGAGTCACCCATCGACGGCAGATGTTACCTTAGAGAAGGAAGATCATGGAGTGGTCCAGCAAAGTCTGCATGCTGGTCTACTCCGGGACGGGCGGTATCGGCTCTACGCAACGGAAAATCTTACGTAATAGCATCTGATCAAACACTAGCGCCTTCGACGTACTCGAGGGGTATCGGCTAGCGCCGTGTCAGCCGATTCCCCACGGAAGCCCGTATGTATATATTATATCATGAGAGGTATGTATGCAATACAGAATCAATTGTGTACATTGAATAGTATCATAGCTTGCCAGAGCAAAATAATTTCGTGCAGATGTGCATATGGCAATAAGGGTGCCAGTGTGACTTCACCATAATACACACAAAGAGTGCCTGCTTATTCCCAAATGAAGTATTTTGTCAAGGGCACATTAGTCCATAAAGTGTCCCTCAGGTCATTAAAAGGCCCAAAATTCCCTCAATTCTAATCTTAAAAAGAATTTATTCGAGCGTCCACCAGTAGCCTCTGAGTGCATCCTCTGCACAAAATACCCACATTTCACACAGTCATACCCAAAGAAATCGCCTTTAGCAGGAATATTGGACTATAATGTCAGTTGTAGGCAGCCAGAAGGCCCAAAATGCACCCTTCTGTGAGAGCCCACCTGAGAGCGTTCGACTTTCCCGCCATTGGATTTTCCAACACAAACTTATTCATTTTCAACATCAGCAATGGTATTCTCATACTTTGGATAATACCCTCACAATGGTGGCAGCAGGCATGACAATGGAGTGTGCATAATGGGCATTGAATCAATCAGCCTAAGACCTCGGAAGCTTCTAATGATGGTCAAGCAATGAGACACCACTGAAGGAAACAGCCCCGCAGAGTGCCAGTGGTACAAGTCGTAGCTGCAACCAAGATCGACTTCTTGTAAGCGGAAGCATGTCGGCCTCAAAGAGCTACTGGTACTGCATGCAGAGATTGAGCTGCGTGCAAGAGTGCTATGCAGGCAATAGGCCGACGGCACTGGCAGCGAAACCACAGTTGACGTAGCAGCCGAGGCTGATGTGCTGCAGGTGGCGAGAGAGCTCAAACAAATGGGCCAGGCTATCAACATTATATATCAAATCTGGGACACAAGCACCAAGCAAACATGCACTTGGATCATTGGATAACCGCTGGCCCCGACAGGCAAATTTGTCCTCTCTCGGGCGGGAATTTGATATTGGGCCACCACATGCCATGATGTGCGGGGTTCAGCCCAGATGTTGCTCACACGTCTGTCGGTGCTAAGCACATGGTTCGAGAGCATGCACAGAGGGTAGATCGGCATGTGCGGCTTGGAACTGAGCGTGAGCAAACTAAGGAATTGTCAGACTCTGCGATGGAAAGTGAGTGGCGCTGGCGCTGTGACCCTGGCCCCTTTGTGCACTGGCAGCGTAGACAACTTGGATCAGCCGCACCCACTCTTCATCTCACTATGTTTCGTGGTCAGCACATTCGTCGGATGGGTGAACTCATCGAGGTGTGGAGTGCCGAGTAGGTTGCGCTCAGCATGAAACCATTGTGTGCACCCGGTCTAGCGCTGTGGGTGGCTAGTAGTTCCTGGTGGTAAGACAACTGCTTGTCGAGATGCTGAAAGCACATCGTATGGCACCAGAGCGGCGACTGTGAATAGACTTGCGAGACGATGGTGTTTTGTACTAATCGTTTGCAGACGTTCTCGCCAGGCTGAGAACGACGGCGCTGTGCGCTTCGGATCACTCGGATCAGACCTACGAGTCAGATAGGGGGGGGGAACCAGCGGCTAAAGCTTCTGAGTCAGTGTGTTAACCAATTCTCTAAAGGGAATCGGAATAAATTCAGAAAAGCGGACTTTGTATATCCATGACTATGAACAGATCTAGATTATCTTCTATTCTAATGTCAGCCTGAAATACCTGTAATGAGTAGGTCACCATTACATAATTCCTCGTACAGTGCAGTGTGCTAGTAGGATCACTCTCTGGGACAGCACTACTCCTTGGGACACGCCACTGCACATCCTGTTGGGCCTATTGCTACCGGTTTTTTGTATATAATATATCTATGTCTATGTGATTTCAATAAATCAGAGTCCTCCAGCATAGGTGGAGGAGCAAAAGCCTAGAAAATTGTTAAGCACGCTGGTTTGAGGCTTTGAGCAATACTGAGACTGTCACCAGAGTCGCACAATGAGCTTAAAATCCATGTAAATATTAATTGACATTCTATTTTATGCTTAAACCATGTAAAACATGTGCATAATGCTCAAATGTTACGTGTCGAGCCAGAATGCATTGAACATGATTCTACCAAGCTTAGGTGTGACTGGGCCATGACAAGTCTGGCCGTGGCATAACTGCAATTGTCATTTTGTGTCACATCAGCTGGTGGCTGCTGTCCTGAACCACCTCAGTATTGTGCTCTTCCCTTTGTCTTTTCACTTTGTAAATTTTGTACGAAGGAATTTCATATGTTAAATTGATGAACTTTGTAGTTCTCATGTGTGAGAGATGTACAAGTGGGAACTGAGTATTGATTAGGTGTTCTAAGGAGTGGTCCTATACACCTCTGGGTGAGGAGCTGCAGGAGTCCAGATCAAGAAGCCGGAAATCGCTGCCTTGGATTTGAAAGAATTCACAACTTCGCGGCTGTGGTGTTGCTGGGCGCTAAGTTGATCGTTCAGCCCAAATCAGCGAAGCTGTCAAAAGCGAGTATATATGCCAAGCGATAAAGCTGATAATTTGCGCCGGCCTCTCCTATCATTATCATGAAATACACTCACAAATTGTATTCTCCAGTTGCTGCCTATCAAGAACATTTCAACTTGCTCGGTCACGGAAGGCCTCTCTCGCCATACACGGGCCCGGACTACAGGCATAGTATTGGTGATGTCGGTTACTTGACCACCATTGGCGTATTCTACACTCTCTTCAATTTCACACTCTCCCATGGCCATCCTGTCAATCGCCGCAACGGTGTTCCATTCAATTTCGAAGTTTTTGAGCTAGGTCCATCTGACAGTCATTAGGAAAAAAGTCTGAGGCCAGAAGCACCCCGTGAGCTCTGTAGTTCCAGCAGCCTGATGGAACAGACCCCTATTACCCTGCAACCAGTGGTCTCCCACCATGTCTCCGCAGCACTTGTGGCAGCCTGCATAAGTTCAGCAGCATGCCGTGGCAGCCTGCATGAATTCAGCAGCACACCATGGCAATACCGCAGCTCACCTATAGATACCAGCAGACAGCCTCTCAGGCTTTGCACACTCATTCATAGGGAATAGATTAATGGAAAAATATAGTGTATGCTATGCTAGATTCATTCTGCTGTGTTAGAGGATAGACACAAGAGATAAACCTATAATGCATAGCAAGTCAGAATAATAAATAAAGGATCTGCGGAGGCATGACTCACCTAAGTCATAAGACTGCTATGCATCCAGCCCAGGGAGCAGCACATGATATGCAGCTGGTGATCTCAAATGCGCGTCTGTCAACCACCCTTCCTGCAATACCTGTGCAGCAGTGACAAGCTTGTCGTGAGACACATCACGAGTGGCTCATAATATGCTCTGCGTAGCTACAGGCACCTGCAGCTATGTCTGTGCTAGAGATTTCGAGGGCGCGTTCAAGCGCAACGTGTACCTGGTGCTCGTGCATGAGCTAGGCAAGGCCACAGCTGAGGTGTGCAAGTGTGAGAGCATGACATACCCCAATGCACACGACATGGTGGTAGAGGTGTATGGTAGATACCGCAGTGGGAGGTGGATTTGGTGGATCTTCCATTACCTAGTACGAGCTCAACTTGACAACATCAAGATTATATAGCCTAATGAGCTCACCAATCACCACTGCCCGTAATCCACAAGACGCCACATCCTTCGCTGAGAAAAGTAAGATAGTGGTGAAGGGCTGTGCTGCCCTCAACAGCTGTAGGTATCTCATCAGCAATGTGGTTGTTGTGCCCCTAGCTCTTGTGGCCTGCAATACTTGTTGTATTATTCACGAGCTTTTTAGTTGCGCACGCAGTGTTGTTTTGTGACTCTGGGGCTTGTGCGCCTGCGCCTGCTCCGCACGTGATGATACGACCTTGCTGCCCATGAGAAGGGCATGGGTAGGTATCAGAAGAATATAACTTATGCAAGGATGTCATCAGCAAAAAAATCGATCGTAGATTAAGAAAGGGTTGCTAGACAAGCGCTTAACAGTTTGGTGGATGCTGGCAATGCAAGGACAGGTGAAACCAGGCTGGTATTGCATTGCAATCTCAACCCAGACTGGTATGTCAATACAATTCCGTTCTCATTATGATATCACTAGACATAACATGACCTACTCACTCAGATCAACTCAGACCTCGGTGATGACGTGACGTCACATGCGCCACTGTGACCTTCGTCAGCCTTCGCCTCCATGTCGACTCTTCCGAAACAAGTCAAAGGTTCGTTGGACCTACCCTAAATTCATTTTGATGTATCTCCTTTTATATATTAATCCATATAGAGGGCACTTGTCGCTCTGTGTCTCTTACTTCCCCACCACCATGCCATAGGTCTCATTAAACGGACACCTCCCCCTTCCTGCCTCTGTGCCACCACTGCCACTGCCACCACCACACTACACACGCAGTGCCCATGAACCGCTCAATGCCATTCTGGGACCTGATCGCGGGTGCCTGCATATGTACGGCCTCGGTGTATGTGCTCACCAACAACCTGTGGCCAATCAGGGTGCGTCTCTCCTTCCTTTTGTGCCATGCACATTTGTTTCAGCATTCTCATTGACAGTACGGCCAGCTGACTGCGTATATGGTAGCCATGATGTTGGCTCCCAGCCCTCAGCGCGGGTCTCACAAGAACTCGAGACAGCAACCCAATCATGTGAGGTTTGTATATGCTTGCCTGTATGCTTCTCTGGCTCATGGCTTTGTCATCTCGCTCGCGCAGTTCATATAAGGTACGTGGCCTGCATATATGCGCTCGTTTATCCATTTTCTCATGCATAGGTCCCTATTAGACATATTCTCTCATCTTACAAGCTGTTCTCTCGAACGTGCTGCGCTCCTACATGACACCTAATGCGCGTCCTGAGTGTGCAGCTCATTCGTTGTGTTGCGTGCTCACGAAGCTTTGTAATCAGCATTTAGTTGTGCACGCGCAGAGCATAAGGGCAAGGAACAGCTTGCGACGTGCATGCTCTCACGTACACACTTTCTCTGTTGAATGGATCTGATGAGCAGGACGTGCCTGCAGGCCCGCACCTAGTCTTGTATAGCGCACCTAACGGCTTGCATACTGTGTTCACGGTATACATCGCAGTCTGTAGGCTCCTACGTGATGAATGTTCACATGTGCGTCCAGTCCAGGACTCGATCCACGCGCAACATGCACCACTGCGAGGGCTGCTCATCGTCGAACGCTTACAGTGCGAGTGACACATGCGGTGGCGACATGCAGTGACGACATGCGGCAGCGGCAGGCGGCCACTTCGACTGTTCAACGTCACCGACATGTTCATAATACCTGCCTGCACCCATGTATTTACTGTAGCTTTGCAAATATATTGTTCTTTGTCCTCAATTATGATATGCAAGGTGGCTCCCAATATATTGAAATATTCAACAATTTATTGCGAGCAGTATTGTAAAGGATACCCAGACTGGCACTTGCTGGTAATGCCTTGCCAGCGCATACCAACCTCACCAGCATGCTATGCATGCTAAAGAATCCCAGACTGATATGTTTGATAAATCAAAACGGTGCTATATCTACGTTGAAATATTTGTTCCCAGAATGATTACCATTGTAAGTGAGGTTAGCTTTACCAGGGCTGCCCAGGCTATATAAGCCACCAATTTTTTCGCTGATGGTGGAGGGCGTCGACGCGCTGCCCGTTGACTGACATTGCTGACAGAGGCTGACGCAGCATGGTGGTGACGTGGAACAAGAGGAGAGATGTTTGAGCAATTGTTACTATCGGCCGTGCCATCATTCGCTAGTTCAGGGCAGACACTCATGTACTTGAGCAAGTGAAGAGTATACCACCTTCAGACAGTACTTCAAGCTTCAAGCTTCAAGTGTCATAATCAAAATTTTGTATATTATTTAGTTCCCTTCACTAATGTTGTAATCATATGCTTTACATGCAAATCTAGTCTATGGTGCAAGAAACTGGCCAGTGTTCAGCGGTGCATATATGAGCGGCTGCTGAGTGCTTCCAGGCTCTCCTGAGCCTCGCGCATGCACTAAGTGGTGAATGCAGACACGGTAGTAAACGCCCTTGCTATGCAAGATGCTGTTTCCTCTGGAAGCTACCTCGAACAGGGGCCGTTTTAACCTCCCCAGGGGTTGCTGAAACAGATTTGATATTCAAGTATGTTGCAGTTCTCTGAATCCGCCCATCATACTGATTGGTCACAATATCGCAGCGCAGACAATGTCATAACCATCGGTACCCAGCACCCAGATTGTTTGTTTGTGTGCACCAAGAACGCTGGTGCAGTTCTCCTCCTTCTGCAAGGTGCTGCCCTTGTCGAGTTGACCGACAAAGCCCAGCGCTGCCTCCGTGACTACTGTGTCAAACACATCGGAAGCTGGGCGGTGTATCTGTGCGAGGGTAGAGAGCAATTGATGCCTGAGTCTGTGCAGGATCTGCTCGTCATAACTGGCACTGTTTTGTCTCCAACCTGGGCACAAGATGCCTACATGAAGAATCTTCTGCTGGACCCTGACCAGGAGTGCCCCTGGATATGTTTCCCTTTTTGTTGCCACAGGAATCATTTTGACCTATTTCATAGAACACTCGTGCCCTAGCAGTTCAGAGTTTTACAGGCCGTACATGCGTGATGTCAGGATTTTCCTTTTGGAGTTCCGTTTGAAGACACGTAGAAGTATGCATGATATACGCATACCTCGCATTGAAGGCCTTAATGCTACACAATGCATCACTGTCGGCACAGGAGGATGGGAAAGCAACGTAAGTTTACGCTTGACCCTGATGCCGTCAGAAATATGACCAGCGTATGTTGCCATAGTGCCACAACTCTGTCAGAGAGATTCTCAATTATATCCTCAAAGTACATCCGTGCTTGTACTTATTCTAGCTTATGGCTTACCACATCGTTTAGTACTCGTTTGCTAAAGTCGCGGTCACCAAGAGTCGAGATTTACGTGCTTTGGTATCCTGTATGCCAACGCCTGTAAGCCACTTCATTTCCCACAAAAAAATGAAGCTCATATCTCATTATAGCCATTGCCTGAAAGTTTCACGAAGAGCCTAAAGAGGCTATGTCCCAAGATTATAGTTAACAACAAGAAGAGTGCATGTTTGTCCTCTCTATCACTGTTTTCTGAGTAAGGGCTGATGCGAGTCCGATCACAGTTAGGTCCATGGACATCAGAAGTTTGAACGATATTGCCGATACTGCCAAGAAATAGTTTTCGTTGGGCAACACAAGTGTTAAGTGGTCCGATATGCCTTGAGGCCTCGAGAAGTCAAGTGATGCACATTCTCAGATACAATCTATGTAATGGAGCTATAATGATGTTATGAGTTTAGCACCATGCCTTTCGCAATAATTTGGCAAGGGCCAAGCCGGTGACAGACTCTTGGTGGAAAGGAGGCTCTGAGTCAGCCCTTGCGCTCAACGTTCCTTCCATGGCATCAATGAGCACTTAGTAGTAAGACGGTCGTCCAACTAATCAGCAAAGCCATCAAAGGTATATGAGCGACGAACACGGGTTGATTGTCTACTGCACTTGTACGACCAGTCTGGCGGCGGGTATCACATGTAATGGTCAACTACCAGACCGGCGGAGCAGTGAGTTTGGTGGTGCCTGTGACACAGGTCAAAAATACAGCGATCAAATATTGGTGGCGGCCTAGGTGTGATCATACAAAGCGGCAACACAACCGAGAACAGCAACAGCGCCATGTAAGGCACAAGTAGGTTATTTTCTCGTATTATATATGCACTGTAGGCCCAAAAATCCTCAAATATTGATTTTTGCAGAAAGGAAAGCATGGAGCGGCAGCAGCCACGTGACGCGTGATGCGCCAGTTATGACTGCACCATGGCCACAGAACTCGACACACCATCCGTAAGATCTCGCCAGATGTCAATATGGCAGAAGAACAGGTTGTCATCACACTCTCCATTAATCTTGAGATATCGCGGATGACGCAGAAAACGATGAGTCTATAACTCTATAATGTTACAAGGACCACGGAAAAGGGCTCTCGAGCACGTGATGGCACACTAAAAAGGCAGTCACAGGAGTGACAAAAAAAGTGAGCTTGTGACGTTACTTTCTCCATCTTGTTAACTGACCCCCAAAGGGGAATCGAAAGTGTCACATACCCTTCAGTTGTCATCTATCAAGAATATTTTGACTTGATCAGTCACGGGAGACCTGTTTGGCAACACCCAGAGGAAGAAATAAGTATTTGTGACATCAGCAACATGACCTCCACAGGTATACTCTGCCACCTCTTCAACTTCACTCTCCCCTGTGACCATCCTGTTAACCATGTTCCAGCCAATTCCAAGGTTTTTGAGCTGGGTCTGTCTGACATAAAGCAGACCAGGATCCATCTTGAACAACTTAAAGGGGCCATTCTCACCTCCCCAGGAGTCGATGAAACAAAACCAGGGCTAGGGTAGGTGGCAGTTCTTCAAATGTCTCTATCATACTAACTTGTCAAAATATTGCAGCGCAGAGAATGTTATGACCATTGGTACCCGATGTCCAGATCATTTGTTCGTGTGCACCAAGAATGCCAGAGCAGTCCTCTTCCTTCCAGAAGGTGCCGCCCTCGTCGAGTTGACCGACCGAACCCAGCACCATATCCACGATTACTGTGTCAAACATATCAGGGGCTGCGCAGTATATTTGCGTGAGGGTAAAGAGTGATTAGTGCCTCAGCTTATCTAAAATCTGCTCGTCGTAACTGGCATCATCAAATCTTCCATCTGGGCAAAGGGGATCTATGCGAAGAACCCTCTGATAGACCCTGAGTGGGAGCAAATTTGGACACTATTCCCTACCTGCCAAAGGACTCGCCTCGGCCCAATAGTTGTGGGATACACAGGTCTGTGCGATCCAGATACTTACGAGTTGTTCCTGCGCAATAGTGGTGTCTTCATTCTGGAGTCCCGTTTCAAGACACGCCAGAGTCTACGTGACGTATGCATGCCTCGCATTGAAGGCTCAATGCACCATGGCACATTGACTACCTTACAGGTGGGAGGGAAAACAATGTGAGTTGTCTTTGATGTTGATCTTGTGAGGAGGTTTACCAGAGTGTGCACTTTTAATGCCATGATGCTGTCGAAGAGATTCTCAATTATATCCTCAAAGTACGTCTGTGCTTACACTTATTAATATTATGATGATGACCTACTACGTCACTTAGTATTCATCTGCTAAAGTTGTTGTCACCGGGACTCAGGATTTACGCGCATTGGTGTCCTGTATGCTGACACCACTCACAAGAAAATGAAGCTCATGCCATGGTACAGCTGTCATCTAATAGTTTTGAGAAGTACCTGAAAAAGATACGCCCCAAGATTATAGCTAACGACGCAAAGGGTGTGTGCCTACCATCTCTATCACTGTTTTCTGGGCAAGACTGACGCAGGCCCGATCACAGTTGAGTCGGTGGACATCGAGAGTTTGAGTGATCCTGCTGAGAAATAGTTTTTGTCGAGTTTCTTAGCGCAAGTGTCTTCAGGCTTATTTATCAGATGTTCTGGTTCAAAATTTGCCTTGAGGAGTCAGAGGATGTATCTTCTTGAATGCAGTTGTGCAGTAGAGTTTGGTAATACTACCAGTCTGACACCATTCGGGACCGATCTGACATAAAGATAAGTGGCATTGGCAGGATCAAAACATACGAGCTCAAGGTCCACCTTCGCAGCAGTATGGTCATGGCAAGGTCCGTCGCTGGCACTTGTGTTTGAGCTGTATTGTAAGCTACGCACTGTCGGCCTTTCCAGCTGTCCTCAAAGTGTCGAAACAGCTGTTTCGGAGCTGGCTGGCTGTAGACCAAGGCTTAGCAATATTTGGTAAACAATCATGGTGGAATTCGGAGGGTGAGTAAGGATCTCATTGTTATCCGGGCGTCTATCCTGCAAATCGCGGTAAGTAGATGTCACTGATGCGGTCAGTAAATCGGTATATAGCAGCGCAGATCCCGCCCATCTTCACCGGCCACCAGTGAGCCAGAGCTCAGAAAAAGGAGATATTTCACAGGCCATCCAATGATGTCACTCGTGGATTGAAAGTGCGAACAGTCTGCGCTCACCTACTGAGACCGCGAGACGTGACGCAGCCCTGAAGGCCTGAAGATCGTCTTCTGAACGCCGGACCTGGGTGTCGGGACGCCTGCGACGGAGCGCCCAAGGCGAAATGTACTGCATGAAGTCTGGACAGTGCCCAGCGGACAACTTTGCATTCATAGATTCGCTTATGCGTGGGTAGCCGGGCCCTACGTCGGGCCACAGTTCAAACGAGCAATGACGTCTCCTTATTGTCGGGTACGAGGCGGGAGCGGACTTGTCAGGAGGACATCCTCCTTGGGAATGCCAGGGTCACAGGGTACGTTCAATTTCTGGCGAACTGCCATGGAGAGGTACAACCGAGAGCCCAGAGAATATGAGTAGTGTAAACGAAGAATGGCAGCAGCTGGGGATAGCAGAGTCGACAGACCATTACCCTAGCAGGTTATCCTAAGACCTAGACGCAGCAACGACCTTCAGGCATGATCCCAGTATATACTTGTACAAGTGTGCGAACAGAGTGAGCCCCAATGACGGGACACGGAGGGGCAATGGTGGTATCGATGAATGTCAGAATGAATGAGTCTGGAGCACAGGCCACTCAGCGTGAGAGCTGGAAGAAAAAAGGGCCGGCGCACCAGTGACGGGGTATGGGTTCCAAACACGTGGGTATGCAGGGAATGTCCTCCTCCTCCTCTCAATACCTCGCCGCAGCCTTCGGGGCGGGCGCGCGGTCGATGCTCCAGGTCTGCTTGTTCGACAGCACGTCGGAGACCTTCTTCTTGAGCAAGATGTCCTCGAGGTCCGGCGAGGAACGCTCGGGGCGGAATGGGACGAAGATCGGGCCCTTCTTCGCGCCCTGCGCGCCGCCTGCCTTGCTCGGGCTCGCGTGCCTTGGCTGCGGCGCGGCGAGCGCGGGCGGTGCTGCTGTGGATGGCGGGGCAGTGGCGAGCGTCGCGGAGCTCGGCAGCGGCATCGGGTACTGCGAGGGCGCGGCCGGCTTGGGCAGCAGGCCCGAGGTGTTGGTGAAGGGATGCACGGCGAGGGGGTCGAAGGACGCGAGGACGGAGGACTGCGACATGACAGACGAGTGCGACATGGCGGTTGGTGTGCGAGTGGGTACGGTGTGGGGAGTCGCTCGTCGAGTGGTGCAGCGGTGGGGTGTTACAGAGAAGAGCCTAGGAGTTGAGCGGTGACCCAGGCAGGATGCGATCTGGAGCAAAAAGAGGCCGAAGGAGGGCTGGTTAAATAGTCAGGGAGCTCGGAGCCACAAAGACTCATCGGACTCGGAGGACGAGTTCCGGCAGAACCACGGCGGTTTGGCCGCCAGGCCCTCGGGCTCCTGCACTCCGTCACATGGCACCCGGAGACAGGTGAATCGCTGCCCTTTTCCAGCTCACATCGCAGGGCCGGCGTTTCGCAGATCTGGCGGTTGCGCCTGCCCGATCGCCCTCCTTTGGGCCTCAGATCCGTGCTCAATTTTGCGTCCTGCGCCTGCCTGTGCCCGGCGCAGAAGCACAGGGCTGCAGCGCACGACGCCTGGACAACCACAACCTTGCTTCCCCACACGACAGATCGCCGAGACGCATGTGGGGAGAGGTAGGCACGGTTGTGCACGAGGCTCAGCCAGCCAAGGGCCTCGTTTACGAGGGTATTTTGGATCGGCTGCCAGCAGGCACCTCGAAACGTCAGCAAGGACACAAGGCGGGAGGACGAATGTGATTTCTGCAATCATTTGAGATGTATGAAGGGCGCACGACCTGCACCGACTAGGAAACTATCTGCTCATACGGACGGCCGGTTCTCAAGCCGACGGACGAGTGCAGTAAGTTTATCAGCGAGAAGCAACGGGACCCCATGCCTAGCGACCTTCATGCATCCTAGCGCAATCCCGTAACGAAGGTCAGGAGGTTCGAGAGAATACTCCCACACCTTCGGCAGCCAGGGCCTGTAGACACCAGACCGGGTTGTTCTTCGCCAGTACGGCGGTAGAAGAAGAGAAGCCACTCTCACGAGTGTCTGGGAGGGGTGCACTATTCGCTTGACCACGCCGACGAGCAGACTCTCACTTCCATACATGGACAGTAACGCGCGCTGTGCTTCGAGGATGTTACGGCAGCCTCCAAGGGTGCAACGGGGCGATACCTGGGAGGCTCTCAACGTCACCTGAACATCGCTCGAGTCAGAGAACCCCCTCGGACGGAGCCAACTCAACCTAGATTGCAAGACTTCGACTCGGGTCGCGGGTCTGCAGAGCAGTCGCACACCATCTTACGTGTCTGGATGTCGACCACAGCTGAGCGTGAGCACGGCTTTGTGTATCGTGGCTGTAATCACCGGGAGACGCGCAGTGCCGGTGACTCCTTCTGAAGAGCGCGATCATTATCTCGAGCACGAGACTCTGTTTTCATTGAATTTGGGGCCTTGATCAAATGCTGGATCACCCCGAACCTGTCGCAGCGTACAGAAAGAGGCCAGAGGAGCCAAAGTGAGTAAAACGTCCCTAATTTAAAAGTGGAGATGTGGATCTGTCGCTGGCCCTCTAAGAGAGAACGGAGAGGCAGCAGACGCGTACGTAACTTGACGAAATCCAGGGTGCGGTGTATATGGGCGACACACGACGCCGCAGCGCGCGATTCATCAAGGGTGGCAATAGCGGGCTCCTTGCTTGAACTGTCCGGACTCCCCTGGACGTCAACAAGCCAACCAAACCACCGATGCCACCGAGGACCGAGTCGCCTGGGCGCTCAATCCGGCGCTCGACCAATCAGATTCCATTTTGCCAACAATCGGCTCGCGCTGCGAAATGTAACAGGGTTAACGATCGACCCAAGGTGGAGCACTTACTTCGACGTCATCCAAAGCTGCAAGCACTGTCTCACGCAACGCAAGTCTATTTCCACGAAGCCGCCTGCGGGCAGCAGGATACAAAGTTGCCTGCTGTATCACAGCGGGCGGTTGTCTCATCATGCCGACAGACACGGCGAACAAGCGAGGCAAAATGCGAGCGCACACAGCAGACGCTTTTACATAGCCAGGTACGTTGCATCATGGGAAGACATTCGGGGGTTCGTCTAGGAGGATCGCCCGCCCCCAATATTGGAGACAGCGACGAAAATGGCCAAGGCTCGAGATAGAGACACGCCCATCACGCCGCTCTTCTCCGCCATTCCCGCAGAGGGGTACGTCACAGATCGTCGTCTGTCTTCGTGCGGAAAGACGAAGAGGGTTAACATAGGAGTGCGGTCGGAAGACCGGCGGGGAGCCGCTTGGCTTGTCGAAACATGCGTGGCATTCGAATCACACGCTTGAAGGGCCTCTTAGAGTTAGGCTCTGCACAGAGATGCACGGTATCGCGGCACCGTAGCACCTTCGAGAACTTGTACTGAATGCTGCTGAAACAGCGACCCAGCATAATCACTCCGCGCGGCTTCTGTGTCGGGCCTTCTCGTGCACGGAGAGATGAGTGTTTCGAGCAAGTATTGGAAACCCTCACCGAACGGTCACAAGCATGAGAGTCTTGTATGAGCCCCTGCTGACCAACTCGAGCACAGCGGAAGTAGTCGTCAGAGTCCAGCCCCGCGGATACACTCAGCTGCTGCTTTTGGAGAGAGAGTTCATGACGCGGAGATGGGCTTACGACAGACGAAAATTTTGCAGGAAATTTGCTCTTGTAGAGTTCAGAAAGGCAAAGATAGGGTACCGAGCGGCTTCAATGACGACCAAGTTCGCGCGTCGGGGGCAAACTCTGAACCTTCCAATTCGGGCGTTTGATGGCGGGACACGTGACTCCCATCACAACTTTTTGTGCCAAGCTGCGCGCTCAGGACACCCTGCGGGACGCGATGTCCACAACTCTTCCTCTCTTTTGGCACCTCTCCTCGGCCTCGAAGAAGGAGCGCGTCGACGCCTCCGTAAAGCTCATCTCTGCTCTCGAGCATTTTCAGGAGCAGTTCGCGCACAAGGAGCACTCTGAAGCGACCTCCGAAGACGAGGACGAGCAGGGAGACAACGATGCCGCGGGAGTGAAAGGGGACGGTCTCGACGTCCTGAACGCGCAGGATGTATCGTACTCAATTAGGCGCCTCATACGGGGTCTGGCGAGTCCGCGCGAGAGCAGTCGGCTTGGATTTGCAGTCGCTTTGACAGAGGTGCGCCGGCTCTCCTTCACCCGCATGTTCTCGCTGACTGTATGCGCATGAATTCCAGCTGCTGTCCCGCATCAGCACTGTGACATGCTCGCAAATCGTTTCCCTGATCCTCGATTCTGCCAAGACGCAGGGATCCATGACCGGTCAAGAAGAACGCGACGTCCTCTTCGCTCGCCTCTTCGGACTCACGGCTGTCATCCAGTCTGGCTTGCTTGTTAGGAATACACCTGTGCCTACCTCTGCGTCATCTCAGCCTGCTGCATCAGATTTGGCGAATTTTCAGGAGGTACTTTCTCAACTGCTCTCTTTGGGCGAGAAGAAGTCTTGGATTCGTGAGAGCGCTTGGTGGACCATTGGACTTGCAATCGATGCTCTCGGACAATCCGGCGTTCCATGGAAACATGATGCTTTCGACGCAACTATTAAAACCACCTTTGCCGAGAACAAAGCCTGGTCTCCCGAGAAAATCGCGTTGGCCCTCAAGCTGCAGAAGTGCTGTCCGGACCGAGAGTGGGCGAAGCTGTTGGGTTCTTCCTTCAAAAAGCCACGCGTCGTGCATACCAGCAATTACAATACACTTGCGCGCATTCTTAAGGCATGCTTCCGCATTAAACGGATCGACGGAAAAAGTGCTTAATAACTTGCCATATGTAACAGGATCTGCAAGCCGACGAAGACGATGATGCGGACGTCTCCAAGGTCAAAGCAAGTACTTGGAAACCGCAAGTTCATTATGTCTGGGACATGCTCCTTGACGAAGTCCTATTGTCGGATATCGTCCAATCCTCTGAGAAATCCTTCCCAGAGTTTTTCCGTATACTCGTGGATGGTTAGTGCGCTCTACTTCTGCGTCGGGCATGTGTTGACTGTTCCCCTTAGAATCTCTGTTCTCCGCAGCTTCTTCGCCTGAACGGAAATACTGGGGTTTCCAATTATTCCAAAAAGCACTGCCTCGAATTGCTCCCGCCGATCTGCAGATGTTGTTCACAAAGAATTTCATGCGTTCATGGATAAACCACCTCTCGAACAGCGACCGATATCTGCACAAGATTGCAAAGCAAGTGGTACGTCCCTGCGCTATCTGCTGTTTATCTCCCGGGACACTTACGATTGGTCAGGCTAGCGACATTCAGAATGTCGTGAAGAGCAACCCAACGGTCGGTTTCGCCCTCATTCTCCAGCTTACGGGCGTGCACGGGAACCATCAGTTCGACAAACTCACGAAAACGAAAACGGTCGAGACGATCCTCGCGAACATGAGTCACGACGGAATCCAGAGCTATATCGAGTACCTGCTGAAACAGGTCAACGACGAGCAGGGAAGCCAAGCGTGCGTTTCGGCAAGCTCCCTGTTCGTTGGAAGCGGGAACTGACATCATTCCGCGTCGGCAGGACAGAAGTGCTGGCTCTGAACGCCCGGCGTGCATGGATCGTCGACCAGCTTGCGGCACTGGTCAGGAACGGCGCCATCCCCAAGGACGATCAGTGGGTCCAGACGATTCTCGACTGGCTTGCTGTCCACGGTCTCTTCGCCATCAAGAAAAAGTCCGAAAACTCAAAGTTTGTCGCGGTACGTTCTTCCATGGCGTCATGACCGTGCGCGTTATTGGCCGTACTGACGCTCGTTCCTGCGTGGCTGCGCCTTTTAGCTTTGGGAGCTGCCCAGCCCTGTCTTCTCGGACAGTCTGCGTAAGGCTTGCAGAGAGCGCCTGCTCAGCTCCTTGGCTGACCTCACTACGCACACCACGGTGATCAAAACAGGTACGTGTTCGTGCTAAATTGTGGAGAGCGGTGTGTGTTCATGCGTGCATACAGATGATAAGACTGCGAAGATCGCGGCGTCTGCGTCGGACGGGCTGTTCTGGATCTCAAGAGTTCTCACGACGATAGGAGAATTGGAAAAGGACACCAAGCACGTCACTGCGCTCTCCGAAATTGATGAGGAAGAGTTGGCCCTGCGGCAAAAGGCCCGCGAGCTCACTGAGCGTCTTCGTGAGGTAAGGGGGGCACCCTCGTTCCCTCGCGGGGTCGTGCGCTCACACCCGTCGGGTAGGTGTCGGATGAGAAAGACGACTCGTCCAAGGGCGCAGAGCTGTTACTTTCCGCGGCCCTGCTGCACCAGTACTGTCTTGATGATGCGGAAGACAGCGACACGGAAGCATTAGAGGCGAGTTTTTCCGATCAGCTTTATCTTCGCACCGTGCGCCTGAAGGCTGACCCGCGACCACGCTTGCAGAGCTGCGTCGACGGCGTGTCCCGGATGTTTCCTGTGGAGAGCAAGAAGCCGAAGAAGTCGCGCAAGCCCACGTCCGGCGCCACGCAGGACGGAGATGCTGATGCACCCGAGCCGGTGGACGTGCTCGTGGACACCGTCATCGGCTTCCTGGAGAAGGCGACGGCGTACATGCGGGCCGTGGCCAACCAGGTGTTCTCGCTTCTCACCGGAGCCGTCACAGAGAGCACGATCGACCTCATACTTGCGGTACGTCTATACTCCTATCAAGTCATGCTGCGCTGCTTCTCAACATGGGGCCCCGATAGCAATTGGAGCGCAGAGATCCGGCAGAGCTCGCAGAAGATGACGGAACCGAGGAGATAAGCGGAGGGGACGGCGAAGGCGAGGAAGACGAGGAAGACGAGGAAGACGTGTCGTCCTCTGGTGCGGACGATGACGTTGGTGAAGACGACGAAGACCTCGACGCGGCCGCCGATCCCGAGCTCCGGCGCAAAATTGAGGAAGCCCTCCACGTGAACGGCGTGCAGGGTGCGGCGGGCGAGTCAGACAGCGGGTCTGAGGAGGAGCTCATGGATGACGAGCAGATGATGGCGATCGACGAGCAGCTCGCGGCCGTGTTCCGTGCGCGTATGGGTGAGAGGAAGCTCGCGAAGGGTGTTGACGCGCAGCGCGAGGCGACGCACTACAAGAACCGAGTGCTTGACCTCCTCGACACGTTCATCCGCCGCCAGCCCGCCAGCCCGCTGGTCATCAGGCTCATCTTGCCCCTTACCGAGCTTATCGTCAGTTCTGGTGCCGACGAGAAACAGCTCGCGGAGAAGGCGACGGGCATCTTGCGCTCGAGGATCGGAAAGAGCAAGGACGTGCTCACTGAGGTGGACGTCGAACAGGCAGCCGAGGTCCTCAAGGAGATCCACCTCCGCGCGCGCAAAGCCGCCACCGGCGACGTCCTGGCAACACTTGGTCAGTGCTCGCTCTACGTCATTAAGTGCCTGCTGCACGCCAAGGCCAGCGGAGCTGTCCTCGACGCCTACCGCGAGTCGCTCGCCGACTTTGCTACGCGCAAGACCTCGCGCCTCAACACGGCCTTCCTGCAGGGCTTCGTCCGCCGCCACGCCGACGCGGCCTGGAGCCTGCGTGACGACATACTCGCGGCCGCCAAGGATGCCGTGAACGGCTACCGCCAGCTGCAGGTCTTCCAACTCGTGCAGACGCTCTTCGCGCAGCGCCCGGCGGCGGACGTCGACGCCGTAGAGGCCCTCGCGTTCACGCGTGCGCTCCGTGAGGCGATGCTCATGGCCTTGCGCGGCGCATGTGCAAGCGGCAGCGAACGGCTCACGCCGCCGCAGGTGAAGGAGCTCCTCAGGCTCGTGCTCGCCGGTGTCCGGTACACGCGCCGGGTCGCCTCGTCCGCCGAGGCCGTCAGGGCCACCTGGGACGCCGCCGCGTGGGAGACCCTCGCGGGCGAGCTCGCTACGTCTGCACGACTCAAGGCGTCGACAGGCCTCCAGGCGACGTGCCGCCAGGTCGTGCAGCTGATCGAAAAGGACGATGGCGTCGGCGGTGTGGCGAAGGTGAAGGCGAAGAAGAGAAAGGCAGACGCGATGGATGCGGACGACGATGCAGGCAACGCACAGAGGAGCGACGAGGTGGAGGAGACGGGCGCAGAAGAGGCCAAGGATGCTGAGATGGAGGACGATGAGGCGGAAGAGAAAGTGAAGAAGCCGAAGCGGAAGAAACAGAAAGCGAGCAAGTCGTCTGCGTAATGACTCGTCGCATCTTCCTTGCTAGCCTTAACTACAGAGGGTTGTGCAATCCAGGCTACGCTGTATTTTCTTTTTGTGTGCCAAGCTGTGGGAGAATGCTGGCCTCGTTGCGACATGCTCAAGCTGCCTCGGCGCTACGCCACAATGGCTGCGGTCTGATCCGAGACGCCGGATGCCGGACGTTACTGTATCTTCAACCCTTGTCCGAACTCAACCGTGACTTGTTAAGCATCGCGTCAGGACCAGAGTTTGGCTGTCATAATTTGTTGTTTGCGTGAGTACATCTGCGCTGCTAATTTACAGCAACAGCGTTAGTAACTGTATCCCGTCCCCCTTGGGAACCAAAGTGTTGACTATCAAGCAGCTTGCCTTATTCAGGTCCAGAATCGGCGACAATGATAGCTACCGGTGCTTATGTCCCTCTTTCTAACGAAGAACGCTTGAAGATCGAGGCAGGGATTGAACACCACAGGATCGAAGCAGCACGACTGATTCGTCGTCTCAACGCGAGTACACTCGTGATGTGTCTCCCGGATGAACTGTTGGTGGAGATCTTCACGCTATGCATTCCTTTGCGCCATGACAACATATATGGACCTAGCTGGAATCATGCACCACATTACGGGTGGCTGCGACTGACGCATGTCTGCCATCACTGGCGAGAAGTTGCCCTACACATGTCCGCGCTTTGGACGAACATCGAGGTCACCAACCCAGAATTTGTCACCAGCTTCTTAGAGAGATCCGAGAACGCAGTGCCGCTCCATGTCCACTTCTTCGGGACGGATATGCACGGGGAAGAGCTTCAAGCTGGATGCTGGATGCCGATCCTGCGAGCTTCGTCTCGCGTCCACTCCCTCCTCATCAAACTCGGCGACTCCCTTCTAACATTTCCTCCTATATACGAATCAGGACGGGAGCTACTTCTCACCGGTATGCGAGAGTTGAATCTCGATTACACGGTAACCAGCCAGCCAACCTTGCCATGTTTCATATCACCACACCTACCACACTTGCACACTCTTCGATCTCACATGCTACCTTATCAAGTCATCAAACCCTTGCTGGCCCCATCGCTCAAATCACTCCTACTTGACCAATTGCGTATGCCAGATTCGACCATGCTGCGACCCTTTTTTGAAGCGCTCGGACAGTTGACAAGACTCGAACGCCTGGTTTTCATAGACTCTTTCTTTCCTCTGCCCGCTGATTGGCGGCAGCTTCCACTCTTTGCCGACACCGGTGCCGTGCTTCCCTCCTTGCGACATTTGCACCTGGTATCTCACACATTCGATGTGGATGTAGCCTTGGTGTTGCGAAATCTGTGCTTCCCAGGAGACGTTTCAGTCCAGATCTCACAAACAGGGATATCTCCATTCTGTGCTTTCCAGGAAGACGAAGCCCACTATCTATTCTCTGCGCTAGAGTCACGGCTCTCGGGGAGTAGCAGCGGAGCGCTCGCTTCCCCTTCACCTGTTCTGACGCTCGCTCTCCGGTCGAATCACGGTCCCGGAGGCACTAATACTTTCAACTTGAACGGATGGTCCTCAGTGATACCTCTAGATCCGGCTATTTATGAGAATGATCCGGATGGAACCATGTTCGCAACGTTACCCTCCTTGAGTTTTTCCATACGGTGGTTCTCAACGTCTATGCCGGCGGACCCGGCTAGTATGAAGAAGCTGAGCCTCGTCTCGGCGCTTCAACAAGTACAAGCCTTTGCGATTGACACATACGGAGACCACTGGCACGGCCCCGACCCAGTGAGTCCTGAAAGTCTTCAGGCCGGTCTCGCGTCCCTTTGCAAGGTGGAGACTGCCTTCGCGCGCGGTTGTGGTGTGAGGCCTCTGCTTACCGCCCTGCGGGTGCCCTGGGGACCGCACAAACAGTTTTTGTTCCCGTCGCTGAAAACTCTACACATCTTTGGCTATCAATTCGTGCATCTGTGGTCGTTCGGCGACGACTTCACGAACGAGGAAGACTCCATGAACGAGGAAGACTTCGAAATCGATCTTGTCAAGCACACCCTGGTCGAGCGAGCTCAGGGAGGTCTCCGTTTAGACAAACTCGTAATTTCAAGATGTAAAGGCATGGGTAGGGAAGAGTTAAATGAACTTAGTGAGCTTGTCAGGGAGCTGATATGGGACGATGTTGGCGTCGCGGACCCGCCCGAGGTGCTGCAGCGGCCGCGGCGTGCGGACTCGGACTCGGACTCAGACTAGCCAGTACTGACCCAGGGATTTTGCATTCTTATGCTACTTCGCTGTCCAATATAACTGCAGAGCGTGTAGTCCGAATTTTCTTGTATACCTACTCAGTGCCGTACAAGCAACATGCATGGCTGGCCTTAGCGTCAAGCCGTAGTACAGTACAGATGCGCCAGTTGCCTCCTTTGGGCGATGCCGGAAGGCTTTTCTTCTCTTAATCTTATTGTATCTCCACAAATTTCTCCACGAAGCATTCGTTATCATGTTAGTGTGCCTCTCTCTGCTGACTTTTATCCAACGGGCATAGGGCAGTCGCTGCCTCGCGGCGATCTGCCCGCCACAGCGTATATGGATACGGCGCTTCAGACTCTCATAAAACGACGGCCACCTGCCTCCCGCATGTACACTTGCGCTCGAACCACAAGGAGCCCAGCCGTCTCAGTAGCGCAACTTGTAATCTCCTGGTCGCACAAAATGGACGTCGACACGCGCTCGTCGTCGTTTCGCAACCACCGCTCAGGCAAGCAGAAGCGACCCCGCTCACCGCCGTCACCCAACCCGTACGAGCGGCCAACAGTGCGTGTCTCCTTCGCCTCAGGTTTAGGTTGCAGCTAACAGTTACCTGTGTGTGTAGAAACGCCAGTCAATTGCGGATGCTTTCGCTGTAACCCCCTTTCCGCAGCCACTCCAGCCACCGCCTGCGATGCAGGACAGGCAGGTCTCTGAAGACTGGGTGACGCGCACCCGGAGCCTAAGTATAGGCAAGGAGAATATGGAACACGAGATGAAGCTTGCACCCCTAGTAGAGATGGCAGTGTCTGGGAGCCAGGACGAAAACATGGTACGCCACTGTCCCTACCTTTTTCTCGATCTCATACAAGAGCTAATTCTCTCTTCACATCTTCCTCGCGTCGTTTAAACTAGAATATGGACCACGACGTCCCAATGCACTCCTCCCAGTCTCCAAGCCGCTCGCTGTCTGCCTTGCCGTCGATACCCAGTATACCGGTATATCCCAGCTTCTCCTCGCTCTCATCGCATTCACTTTCGTCCACTGTCGCACCATCAAGCTCGTCCTCCGCATTCTCGCATTCCACATCGCCCAGCATGCTACCACAAGCTTTCTCATCACCTTCTGCGCTGCATGATACCCACGGCCACGCCTTCTCATCGCCCCAAAATCATTCACAGTCTTCGAACGTCACACAGTCACCTCAATGCCATATGCCACCATCTGCACCAATACCCGCACGAAAACAGCGATTCACGATGGGTCCTCGCGCTGATTGTGAGAAATGTAGACTCGGAGTCCCAGGACATTGGATGCACTTTGACTAATATCCATAACGCTATCCTCTCATTGTGTTCAACGCCATTCTCCCATTGCACTCAACGCATCCTCTACTGTACGCCGTGTACTTGTCCACACTGTCACATCTTGCGCACATTCTGGTGATACCTCGATCATTGATGTTTGTACTTGATTATATCTACACGCATGAAGTCTATCGCATTGTATGTATGTATGGTAATAACAAATGTAATTATGCTGTACATGTCCGCGTAAATTCACCTAATTTGCCGTATGGAGTTGGCTCAGATAGGTAGCCCAGGATCGAAGCCACGCGGGAAGACTTGGCGGACGTTCACGTTGATACGTGCGCTGCGCATATATTCTGCGTATGGTTTCCAATCATCCCCCTGGTCACTGGAGGGGGCTGTCTGCGAGTTGAAGCTTCCGAGGAGATGCGCGGGACAGGTATCTTCGAGAATTCTCGGTACACCTGCGCGAACGCTGAGCATCGCGATGCATGAAAGTGGAAGGCAGCATACCGTGATATGCTCGCCGACACGGCCCAGACATGATGAGCACGTCTCCAGAACGCAGAAAGATTGGTACTGGCTCTGTATCACGCGTAGGCCCTCCGATGAGGAAGACTGCTGTACAGCCTAGTCTATTGGCAGCAGTAGCTATAAGAGAATATTCACGGCATGTAAGAAACACTACATACGAGATGGAGACGAGTGGCGATGCAGCGCAGAGTTCAGAGCGATCGACGTGTGCCATGAGTGTATCCGAAGTCTGATAGAAGTTCACAATGCCCGCGTCCGGCTCTAGCCAAGGTCCAGGTGAGCCAAATAGTTTGAGCCGCGACCGAGGGGGAGTCGACACGCACCATAGTCTTCTCGCCATGTCCTCCACTCCTCAATGGCCCCTCCGTCTCCTTCATCGGCAGTGATCGCAATGCCGCGATAAACATCTTCCCAATTGACACTTTGCACAGCGCGCTTGCACACCGCCCGGTACACCTCTGCGACACCGCCGCCCCTGCCACGGGTGAAGTCGTACTGCTTGTTCCCCCAGTGGTAGTGCCAGCCAATGTTCGCCCAGCGCAGCTTGGGGACGAGTGCGGCAGGCGAGCAGGGCTTCGCGTTCGGTGATGGTGCCGGTGGAGGTGTAGACAACGTCAGGAGAGTTGGCAGCAAGGAAGGAGAGGCAGGTGAATTGGAGATGAGAGTGCGTGGACCGCTAGTGGGGTCTGCCGAAGCGTTATATGGCGTAGAAGAGGCCGCCGGCGAAGATGAGGTTGAGGCTTTGGGCTGGATTGTCTCTTCGTCTGTACCGTCGTTCAAAAATTTGAGGTACACATCCCAGAGCCCTCCTGGTGGAAACAAATAGTGTGCGTCAAGATTAGTTTCGTTTGGGAGTTTGGCGTGATCTTTTAGACTCCAGTGTATGAGACGACGCTGCTCATCGGAACTCACGAATCCGGGCAGGTAAACGAGACCTGAGAGTCGGCATATCATATATTTGCATATAATGTAGGCAATGAGTATGTACATGCGCGATACAAAATGATCTCGCATACCGGAGATCCGAGGAAACACATACGCCTTGTTGCCCTTCTCGTTCACGGGTACATCGATTTGCCTCCAGTCGACAGCACCTCTCCGTCCTGTCTGCGAAGCCTCTCCGCCGCTGCCACTAGCGCAATCTGTATCTTCAAGGTGCAAATCAAGCACGCTAGACATGTCTGGTGGCGGCCATTTTGCTTTGAACCGCTTCTCCGCGGCTCTGAACGGCGTCCAACCTTCCTTGATGTCTGTGGGTCTGTTTTTCGTTGTTTTTAGATGCTGTCGGCGCGCCTTCTTCTGAGCGGGTGTGAGACGTAGATGATCAGGAGAGGCTACCGCCGTCATTTGGGCAGGCGAGAGCAGAGGTTCGAAGTCAAATGAGATGGAAAACTCCTTGGGCGCCTGCAGCACAGCTGGTGAAGAAGCGCCCGATCGGGGTAGCGATCTGAGCGTGGCGCTTCGATCGAAGTAAGTAAGTTCGCTGGTCCTCCCACGTCGCTAAGGATGGGTTCGTGTAGGTGTGTCCTACAGTTTGTACTTTTAACTTTACTGTCATATACACACGGCTGAGCAGCGCCCTAGGTTAGCGTAATCCAGTAACGTGATCATGAACATTCTGCGGTTCGTGCAACGTGCAGGTACTGCTCGCGAATGACAAAGTTCCACAAAGGTTTTCTCTCAGGATTTACGCGCATCGCCGGACTATGTGCCGTAATCTGAGAAGATGGTTTGCGTCTGGATGTAAGCGGTCTTCCTGTTACGGTGATTCGCATGAGAACACTGACAGCGACGTCACCACCGTGGCCAGTGATGACCGAGCCTGAGATGCAGTAGTAGTATATATACTCTTGCCGTCCTGAAGCTTTGCCACACGTATAGACTATAACAACCACCGAAGTGCACCATGTCAGGCTACATCCAGGACGCTATCATGCTCCTGGGCGACTCCATCACCGAAATGAGTACTGCTCCGTTCGGTCTCTGTCAACAACTTACCAGTGGGTGTCATCCCTTGGCTCGCTTCTTCGGTGCGACCTTGCTTATTGTAACTTCAAGATGTGTACAACCGCAAGCTTGACATCATCGTGCGGGGCTTCAGCGGGTACAATACGGCATGGGTTCTACCCGTCTTCGAGAAGGCACGTGTCACGCTATTTCTCGTCCTATTCGGCCTACCAAAGATTTATCTAGGTGTTTCCAAAGCGTACAGAGCGTCAAAAACTAGCCAGAATACAGCTCCTTACTATCTGGTTCGGTGCGAACGACGCCGCCTTCCCCGGGGAGCACCAGCATGTGCCGCTGGACACCTTCAAGGCGAATTTGAGCAAGCTGATCTGGATGGTCAAAGATCCCGAATCGGAGTGGTACTCTCCCGAAACTCATATCGTTCTGATTACGCCACCGCCTGTCTGCGCCGCGATTGTGGATCGAGTTCCTGCGCGTGAACGTCCCGAGGAACACTTTGGATCGCAATCTCGCTGGATCGAGGACATATGCTGAGGCAGTCAAGCAAGTAGCAGCGCAGGAAAGTGTCGTTGTGCTCGACATATGGAACCTCATCTGGGAGGCGGCCGGCAAGAAAGAAGAGAATCTGACCCAGTTCCTTTCTGACGGCCTTCACTTGGGCAAGGAAGGGTACAAGGTACGCTTTACTGCGAGAACTTCCATAGCTATTGTTCTCATCAACCCTTCAGATCGTATACGACGCTCTTATCGACGCGATACGAGAGCATTACCCAGAGATACATTATGATAAGGCCTCTATGGCATACCCACTGTATGATCCAGTGTTATCGCTCTAGCATGTTTCGCTAACACCATGCTCTCCAGGTGGTCTGATATAAACAGCGAAAATTACATGAAATTGCTCACTAGTGGCACATACGGGAAGGCTAAACTTTGAATAGAGTGCAGAGCTCGGTAAAAACCGTTGCTCTATGTCCCTATGCGCATGTCAGATATCAAAAATGAATACTACCGTGACGGCGATCATTCGTAGTTCACTGCCTGGTAACTCTGCGAGGAGCAGGGCTACTGTCCTTCGTCCACGGCCTCAGGATGTAAGCGCTTCATATCCAGTAAGAGGGGCCCGCCCGGAGCGGAAGGTCGGGAACGTAGAGGTCCTGCGATATTAAATGTCTCAAATGTCAATGCAGAAGCAAAGGTGTAAGTGAACCTGGGATGCAATAGGTACACGCGAGTAGGGCAAGGCGACTATACCAATGAGATAACAGGGATAAATTTTCCTTCGTCTAACGGAGCTCGAGGACTTTGAGCGTAGAGAGAGACCGTCCGCCCATCATATGTGCGTCATATATTATTGGAGCGGAGGCTCGTAAATCAGCTGAATCGTTGGTCGCGAGGTAGTGAAGGCCGCAGGCTGCAGACCGCCGCAAATGTCAAGCTGGACGAGTACGAATAATTTATTTGTCTGAGTTACGCGGCATACACGCTTGTTTAGGAATATAACTTGAATACTCAATACAAATTATTGTTTATACTAACGTAATTTTACTGTTATCCTGAACATTGAGTGGTGCAACAAATGAGATTAGGGTATCGTTGCAGGCAACCCTTTGCAAGTGGTGGGAAAACAAACCAGAGTAGTGCGGGAGGACTGTTATAATGGGCATGGTGGCGTGGGATATCATTTCCTCTTTCGTCTCTGACTCCAGTATAGTAGTACGACTCACTTCCGACTCATACGGCGCAGTTCCTCTGACTCACCCGCAGTCCCTTTGACTAGTAGACTAGTTCTTAGGTTAGGCTGAGCAGTAGTATAAATACCCCGCGCATGTACAGTAGTACCCCAGCTTTCAGCTCCTTTGTAAATCCATGTTTCTTTATTCTGCTCTAACCTCATCTGCGGATAAGGCAATCAGACAAGCTTCAGGCTTGCTAAGAAACCTCTGCCATAACATTAGCTGAAAGCTTCTCAACAAGGCAAACCTAAGACAGGTCTACGCCACAAAGAATAGTCAAGATGACTACCCCACAAGTAACTGGAGTGAATGACTATGTTACAGCAGCACACAGACACAACCTCAGGCCTGACGATAGGCACAACTACAACTGATATGACAAAGGACATTGGAGGAGTTGTTTTGAACAACCCTGCCCCAACCGATACTACGCATACCAAGGAACTGTACGAGTACCACAAGGACTCGTCCTCTGTGACCCAGAACAAGTAACCTTTCTCCAAGAAAGAGACAGGCTTAACGAAGAAGCCAGGCTTAGAGAAGAACAAGCCCAACAACCACTATCCACCAGCACACCACCATCCAGACCACATACACCACATCCGTATGATCAATTTCGCAGACACAGCCAAGCACCCAGCGGAGCAGAAACCTCTACCTCTATTGAAGTAGACAATGAAACACCTGAAGTACAAAAGCAAGGATCACTTCAGGGACCAGAAATCAGACTTGAACCATTTGACATTCCCCTGCCAAACCTTGACATACCAATCCCACCTGGACAACAGGAAGAAATATACGAAGTCACCAGACAACTTCAGACCACCTCCACAATGGCGGACACGAATACTCTCATGCGAGAAATGATTGAGGCACTTTAAAAAGTGAATGAACATGCCTCTACTCCAAAGCCCCAGAAATTTGATGGCACACAATGAATTCAGGACTTCCTGAAAGACTGCGACATCTACTTTAAAGGCAAAGACACGACTAAGGATGCAAAGAAAATTCTCTTTGTACTCAGCAACACCGAGAAGAAACCACACAACTGGTGTCGCACCAAGTTTGACAAATATGAAGCAAGTACAGCATGGCCTACGTGGACCAAATTCAAGGAAGACTTTGCCAAAGCCTTCCAAAAAGTGGATAGCGAAGTTGACACCATTGTAAAACTTGACAGAATAATGCAAGCAGACTTCGACTCTGCCAATGACTACAATGTCAAATTCAATCGACTTGTCAAGGAAGCCAAATATGGCAACCCAAGTACAGATACCTACCTCCAACGCACCTATACAGGAGGACTCAAGGCTGATCTTGCTAAAACTCTCATCAAACAAGAAAAGAAACTGACCACACTCCAAGGATGGCAAAAAGAAGCACTCAAGTTGGACAACGCAGAGATAAAATGGGACAAGCTCAGACGAGAAAGACAAAGGGGAAGGGTTAACAGGAACACCTCTCACTCTGGAGGAAATGGAGAAGGAGAAAGAACTCAGGAACGCGATCCTGATGCTATGGATATTGACGCCATCTCCCGAGACCAAACACGTCGTGAAGGACGATGCTTCAATCGCAAAGGCAAAGGACATATTGCTAGAAATTGCCCTTCACCCAAGAAATCCCAACAACGCGACCAGCAAGAAAAATACCAATCCAACTGCCTGCAACAGGGCAATCGCTCTCAGACAAACCAATGCTCTGAACATTGGAATAAAGGAAATTCCACCAATGTCTGCACCACAACGGTCAAAGAAGAACCCAACCTCATTGATCTCAACAACGAACCCAGAGACTTGGTCAAAGAAGTAACCAAACTCTCTCAAGACGAGGCTAAGGATCTCTTTGCCCATTACCTCAAAGCTAATCCGGATTTTCATGTCTGAGGGTTGCCCCAATGTCAATGCCTCTCAGAATATCAATTTCCTCTGTATTAATTGCTGACATGCAATCAAAATCAATGCGTATCCCCATCCAAATCAGAGCAAAAGAAATCATTGGAAAAGTCCTTGCACTAGTCGACTCAGGAGCACAAGGCAAATTCATCAATTGACAAACAGTCTGAGAGTTAGGACTACAAGAAAAACCCTTGAAAAGACCAATCAAGGTATTCAATGTTGATGGAACCCCGAACAAACTAGGGTTCATTCGCAACGAAGTTGAAATTGACATGAATGTGGGAAACCAACCTACCAAAGAAAGGTTGTTAGTTACCCAATTAGGCAAGCAAGACATCATCCTCAGCATGGACTGGTTACAAGAAAGAAACCTGTCCATCAACTGGAGCAAAGGCACTTTAGACTTCTCAAAAAGAATTCAAAGATGTGAAATCAAAGAATTACTGGATAATGAAGGCAGAAACATCAATACCCTTCCGTCCAACGACTCAGCACTCCTCAGAGAAGAAACAGAGTTCGCGGTTACTATCTTAGAAGGAGGACAAGTACCTACTAAAGGAACAGAAGAAGCCGCAGAACTTGACCTCTATGCAAGCGAAGACCAAATAATACCACCTCAATCTCGCGTGCTTATCAAAACAGGACTAAGCGCTCAGGTTCCTGAAGGAACCTATGGACAAATCGCACCAAGAAGCGGACTAGCAGTCAAGGGAATCGACGTAGAAGCAGGAGTAATCAACAGAGACTATACCGGAGAAATCTGCATACTCTTCATCAACTCCAAAATCAAAGAACACAAGGTGGTCAAAGGGGATCGAGTGGTACAACTAGTAATCGAATGAATCTCTATGGCAAAACCCAAGCAAGCCGAAACCTTACCAGGAACTAAATGAGGATCAAAAGGATTTGGATCCACCAATGCCAAAGTATTACCAGAAGCTAGACCAGAAGAAATAGCCTGACATGTGCTGCATCTTCTCAGAAAAAGAGCACCTCTGGACCGGTCTATACACATCTCTTTGATAATTGCCTCAGAACCCATTGTACAAGCAGAACAATGTGAAGAAGGAGACTATATCCTTGCATACACTCCAGGAAACTCCTTCGCATACACTATGCACACCAAACCAGATGAAATGGCCAAGGACATAGCATTCCTATGGATCAATGCGAAAATCAACCCAGCAATGGCAATGGCACAACAAGCAATGGAGAACATGAAGAACGAACTACCAACCGCTTACCAAGACTATCAAGATGTCTTTGAGAAACAAGCAGCCAAATGGTTTCCTGAATCAAGACCATACGACCACGCTATTGATCTGAAACCGGACTTCATTTCTAAAGATTGCAAGATCTACCCATTATCTCCATTAGAACAACAGAAACTCAACGAATTCCTCGATGAGAATATGCAAAAAGGCTACATACGCCCATTCAAATCACCAATGGCCTCACCATTCTTCTTTGTAGGAAAAAAGAATGGAACACTAAGGCCGTGCCAAGACTACTGATATCTGAACGATGGCACTATCAAAAATGCATATCTACTCCCGCTCATTTCAGACCTCGTCAATCAACTCAAAGGATCAAGCATATTCACCAAGCTTGATTTACGAGCAGGATACAACAATGTACAAATCAAAGATGGAGATCAATGGAAAGCAGCCTTCAAAACGAACAGAGGACTATTCGAACCAACAGTCATGTTCTTTGGACTATGCAACTCCCCGGCAACATTTCAAGCAATGATGAATGACCTATTCCGCGACATGGTCAATGAAGGATGGCTAGTCATTTATATGGATGACATGCTTATCCATTCATCCAATCAAAATGAACACAGAAAGCGAACACAAAGAATCCTCCAAAGACTCTGAGACAATGACCTTTTCCTCAAACTTGAGAAATGCACCTTTAATGCATGGCAAGTCAAATTTCTCAGAGCACTTGTATCGCACAACCAAGTCGCCATGGACCCAGTCAAAATCAAAGGAATATTAGACTGGCCAATACCAACTACCGTCAAGCAAGTTTGAGGATTTCTAGGATTCGGCAATTTCTATCGATGCTTCATCAACCACTACTCAGACATTGTCAAGCCACTTAATGAACTCACCAAGAAGGACAAGCTGTTCAATTGGACAGATGAATGTTAGAAGGCTTTTGATATGCTGAAACAACGATTTACCTCAGCGCCTCTTCTATTGATGCCAGACGCCACAAAGCCATTCTTCATTGAAGCAGATGCCTTGCTCTTCACGACAGCAGCAGTACTCCAACAACAGGACATCAACAGAGATTGGCTACCAGTTGCCTACCCATCCCAATCCTTCAACCCAGCAGAATGCAACTACGAAATATACGATAGAGAATTACTGGCAATAGTACAAGTGCTCGAAGCATGGTGCCACTACTCAGAAGGAAATCCAAGCGCCACAAAGATCCTCACAGACCACAAAAACCTCACATACTTCCAGTCTCCACAGCGACTAAATAAACGACAAGCAAGATGGCAACTACTCCTATCCCAGTTCAATTACAAACTCGAACACCACGCAGGCACTAGACTCATTCAGGCAGACACTATGACAAGAGCCTTTGCACCAGCAGATGCAAAATTTGATAACACAGAAGAAGTGTTACTACCCAAGGACAAATTTGTCACCACAATCCTCCTACCAGATTCATTATTCACAGAAGAAGCAATCATCTCGGATATTGAAATTGAAGCACCCACTTTAAGTGTGGACTATAAATTAGCAGAAGATATTCAGAAACATCTCACACATAACGACATTGCTGAACAAGTACAATCAGCACGACTAGGAAAAACAGACGCATTTCCCTTCAAGTCAAACATGGATCAATGGGAAGAAAGAGACAGACTACTATTCTACAAAGAACAATGCTACATACCAGCAAATCAAGTACTCCAATGCCACATCGTATCCTTCTATCATGATTCCTCTGGAGCAGGACACCCTGGACAATGGAAAACAGGAGAACTCATCCGACACAAATATTTCTGGCCAAGCATGCAGACCTTCATCTCAAATTATGTCCGAGGTTGTGCAAAATGCCAACAAATGAAGGTCAATCATCAGCCAACTATTCCACCTCTTCAACCAATCAAATCCACTCGACAGAACCAGCCATTCGCATTCACAACCTGCAACTTCATCACCCACCTTCTGGTGTCTCATGGATATAATGCTCAAATGGTCATGGTAGACCATGATTCTATGAAGGGGGTAATTCTTTTCCCTTGTACGGAGAAGATAAACGTGCTAGGCACAGCCAAACTCTACCATCAATATGTCTACTGAAGGTTTGGACTACCAGACATCTTTCTCACGGACCAGGGTCTGCAATTTGACTCTCAAGTCATGAGAGAATTGTGGAAGCTAACCAGAGTACAAGGACGAATGAGTACCGCATACCATCCACAGACCGACAGTCAAACGGAATGAGCCAATCAAGAGATAGAAGCATACATCAGAATATTCTGCCAGAACAATCTGCACAGCTGGGCACAGCTTCTTCCCAATATGGAAGTGGCATTCAATAACCAAGAACACAGCGCCACAAAGCATTCGCCATTCTATCTCATGTATGGCTCACATCCAAGAATCATCCCCACAGCCTTTCCCAAGACCAAGGTTCTGTCAATACAACAATGGCTTCTGGAACAGACTCGTGCACATGAAGAGGCCCACACTGCCTTAGACCAAGCACAGCATTGCATGGCCTCAAGAGCTTACAGAAAGTTTTCACTGTTTCATTGAAGGTCTGGCTTGAGATGACAAACTTCCAAGATGGTTATTCCTTCAAGAACCTCGCACCCAAACGTCAGGGACCATTCAGAATCAAGGAAGTTTCAGGACCTTTGGTATACAAACTTGATCTTCGAAGGCAGCAAAAACTTCACGATGTCTTCCATGCCTTGCTTCTCACTCCGTATCATGAAACCAAGCAACACGGCCCCAATTTCCTAGAACAGCCTCCAGAGATCATTGACGGCCACAAAGAGCATGAAGTCGAGGCAATACTCAATCACAAGACATCTTATGGCTATGTCCAATACCTTGTCAAGTGGAAAGAACAACCACAAGCAGAGAATTCCTGGGAACCCGGATCTCATTTGAAGAATGCCCAAGATATTCTGAACATGTATAAAAGGAGGCACAACTTACCTATTTGTTCTCCAGCCAAGACAACCCCAGTCGCAGCTACAACCAGTTTCAAGTCTCCAAATGTCGGAAAAATAAAATTCCCCTTGAAATGCCTTTCAAGGCAAGTTAAGGCATCAATGATACCCGAACATTGCAAGCCCTTAATTAAAGAACGTTAGCATTGAGAGATGCCGATATTTGTCTGCTCAATATATCATTTTGGGCTATCGAGCTGCCAGACAGGCGGCCAGGCAGCTCATCTTTGGGCTTCATATTGGCCGTTGACTGGTCTCAATAGCACTCAAATCTTTTAAAATATACATAGTATGATAGCCTATACATGTACTACATACACAACAGGCAATAACACAGATATACCATAGAGAGGCAATGGCTGTACTCACTGGCTGCATAGGCAAAATGTCACGGTGCTGGGAATGCAATCAGCTCAGTAATCCAACAGTGTGATAGCAGATAACATACCTCTTCCAATATAAGAGATGTTGCACCCCTCAGTGGTACCTAGCCAGGTTGGAGCGCAGAGATCGAAGATGCTATTGCAGCTTTGACAGCTGCCCAGGCACAGTCGGCGATGCGTGCAGCTCCAGAACGTTACGGGTGGCCAATGTATGGCGTATGAGAGGGTTGGTGCCTGCTGGATATATGGATAAGGTCGCCTCTAGCTGCAACCGCCATGGCAATCCTATATGTTACTCAGTAATCAGTAAGTTTCAGCCGGCTGAATGAGAATACGAGGCTCCAAACTTACCCAGAGTACCCTAGACTATATCATCCTGGCATACCGCGCTAGGACAGAACAGGGAGCTAGAGACGTTGACAGTGAGGGAGAGAGCCAATGAGATGGCGGTTGAAGACAGAGATGGTTGAGTTACGATCCCGTCTCTGTTCGACCAATAAGTAGCGCCGCTGCGCCATTCAAACACACGTCAACCCTGGATAGAGGTTACGGGGAACTTAAGCTGTCTCAAGGTGCCGCGGTCTCGATTAGGGACATTACGAGAACGTTTAGACATTGCAGCGCGGCATATACGCTGTAATTTTGCAGACATACTTGGAATAGAAATTCAATCATTGATCGCTTATTGAAACTCCTTGAAAGGGTCACTCAAGCTGCTCTCAATGTCCGAACATTGCAAGGGGGTCTAGAATTTTCCAACAAACCAGTCTCACCTCTCCACTACACAATGTCTTCCACCCTTGCCACCATTTTTGAACGTGTCCCCATCTCCACCCTCACTGTCTCCACCTTGCAGATCTGCATTCAAAGCTCTTCCAGTCCCCTCCCTGACATTCAGTACACCTACAATGCTGATGTCTCGGAAGGCAAATTCTATCACACCCCTGAAATTGCCCAATCCCGTGCACCCACTCCAGTCTCCCACGAAAGCACCATTTCTGTCGACAAACACTTAGAATTGCACTGGGACTGAAGCAACGCAAGTGCAGAAGAAATCAAGCAAAAATACCGCGAAACCACCTACCTCCAGCGAATCACCGAGATCCACAACAACTACAGCGCTGTCGAACTCCTCACGCAACTTGCCGAGGAACAGGACAATGCCATAAAAATATTTGCAAGGACTGTCACGAGCTTCCATGCTCTCAATGAACATTTCACAGACACTCATCGCAACGCTGCAGACCTGGTCCATATCAACAATTAAGGCCTCACGAGACTCAGAATGCAAATCAGGAGGACAGACACAGAGCACATAGAGGCATGGAGGGATTTTGCCACCTACTCGGAAACGCACCCATCAGCAGCTCGCATTGTTAACACCACCCATCGTTATCAATTTGGGCCTTCCATCCATTTTGCCTACCTATTCAACAACTTTGAACCCATGCTGTCGTCGACTCCCACATATTCTCGACCCCTCTCCGAACGCATCACCTCCCCATTGTCCAGCCAGTCCTTTCGGTCCTTTTAAGACAAGCCATCCCCTTTGTCAAACTTGTCGTCTCCTCCATCGTATGAGTTCAACAGCCACATCTCCACCAAGAAGTCAGTCCATTTTACCTCCCCCAACAAATCCCTCGATATTGTCAATCCTGGCTGAACGTCCCCGAGCACTCTCTCGGATTGGACAACTCCTGTGAAGGCTTCGCGGAGGCAGCTCAAGCACGAATGCTGCCGCTGCAACAAGCAATCAAAGCCACTCATAGTCATCAAGAAGGCTCTTGAGGAGGCAGTCGCATGAGTGCAGGAGGAGATCTGGGCTCTTAACTAATTCAACCGTTGCTCGAAGGTAGATTAGGGGGTAATGTTATGATGGGCATGGTGGCGTGGAATATTATTTCCTCTTTCGCCTCTGGCTCCAGTATAGTAGTACGACTCACTTCCGACTCATACGGCGCAGTTCCTCTGACTCACCCGCAGTCCCTTTGACTAGTAGACTAGTTCTTAGGTTAGGCTGAGCAGTAGTATAAATACCCTGCACATGTACAGTAGTACCCCAGCTTTCAGCTCCTTTGTAAATCCATGTTTCTTTATTCTGCTCTAACCTCATCTGCGGATAAGGCAATCAGACAAGCTTCAGGCTTGCTAAGAAACCTCTGCCATAACAAGGACCTTTGTGAGTTCAGTCTCTGTTCACTGGTTTCAGCTAGTTTGGTGACAACCTCAGAATGCTACCATAAATGTAGAACTGATGCCGGGGTCTTCTGGAGGTCTAGTGTTCAATCCACAGTCCTGGTATTGCTCTGTGAAATCTATAATTTCACTGGGGACATCTGCATTATTATGTATAGCCGATTTTTGCCATGCACATAATAGCCAACGACGGTAAGCAAATAAATTTAGGTAATACGAGAAACAAATATCAGGACAAAACTCACAGACTGCAGTTTCATATGCAAATGACTGTAAGCTCATGGCATTGCTGTAACTGCGAGCCTGTTACAATCGTTAAATTAATAATGCATAGGACGCTTAATGTCCGTTGGGCACACTCAGCAGCACATCATATTGATGCACGCTGCTGTATAGGCACACTGCTGTCAAGTTCTGAAGAAGTGTACTAAGAAGAGGTATTTCCTACAGATTTTTCATTTTTATGCATTATGAGCTTAACGGCTGGACATAGGTTATTGGAGAGGATGCATTATCTCACCCCTCAGAGTGTATCAAGACATTGAACACTTGTATCACTCCATGAAAATCATTTTCCGACAGTATCATTCGAACTCTCGATGTCCACTGACCCAACTGTAACTGGATCTGCATCAGCCCTTACCCAGGAAGTGGTGATATAGATGACAAACACACACCCTTTTCATCGTCAACTATAATCTTGGAGCGTAGCCTCTTCAGACTCTTTGTGAAACTCTCAGGTGACGGCTATAACAGGATATGAGCTTGATTTTCTCATGGGGAATGAGGTAGCTTACGGGTGTCGGCATACAGGATAGCAAAGCGCGCAAATCCCGAGTCCCAGTAACAGCGACTTTAGCAGACAAATACTAAGCGACACAGTAAGTCCCCGTAATGATCAATGAAAGTGTGGATGTACTTTGAGAATATAATTGAGAATCTCTTCGACAGCATCGTGACACTGGAGTGCATACACTGATAAGACCCCAGCCAAAACCAGAGTGAGAGATTAACTTACATTGCTTTCCCACCCTCCTGTGTCGATGTCGAGGTGCTGTGGAGCATTGAGGCCTTCAATGCGAGGTATGTGTATGTCACGCACACTCCGGCGTAATTTGAAATGGATCTCCAAGAGGAGCATACTGACGTCGCGTGCATATGGCCCATAATACTCTGGGCCATTTGGACGTGCATGTTTCACAACTAGTGGATTAAGACAATCCTTGTGGCAGCAAAAAGGGAAATATATCCAGGGACGGTCGGGGTCCAGTGGATATTTCTTCATATAGACTCCTAGTGCCCAGGTTGAAGACAAGACAGAGCCGGTTATGATGAGCAGATCCTGCACATACTCCTGCGCATACTTATCCTCCCATCGCTTGCTACGCTCGTGCAGATACAGCACCCAGTTCCTGATGTGTTTGACACAGTAGTCATGAAGGCGGTGCTGGGCTTGTTCGGTCAACTTGACAAGGGCAGCACCTTGCAGGAGGAGGAGGACTGCACCAACGTCCTTGGTGCACACAAACGAACGATTCAGACATGGAGTTCCGATGGTCACAACGTCCTCCACACTATGACGTTGCGACGGATTGGCATGATAAAACCATCCAAAGAACTGCAACATACTCTAACCCAGATTCTGTTTTGGCGACCCCTGAGGAGGCTAAGATGGTCCCCTGTTTGAGGAAGCTTCCATTCTGTTGTATGTCAGATGGACTCAGCTTGAAAACTTCGAAATTGGGTGGAACACCGTCGCGGAGATTGGCAGAATGGTCATGGGGGAGAGTGAAGTTGAAGAGGGGGCAGAATAGGCCAATGCTGGTCATGTAACCAACCTCACCAATACTTGTCTTGTAGCCCCAGTGTGGCCAAACAGGCCTCCCATAACCGAACAAGTTGAGATGTTCCTGATAGGTGGCAATTGTAGAAGATACCCTGTGAGTGGACTTTATGGTAGAGATAGGAGAGACTGATGCATATATCAGCCTGTGCTCGTCGTCCATATAAACCCGCTCTCAACAGCTTCCACAGGGTGGTAAGCACAGTTTTTTTTTCTCGAGAAAACTTAGCCAAACAAGGCCCAGTTATTCCTCGATTTCACGCCAATGCAAACTGAGGAGAAACTGGTGCGAGACCGGCCAAAAAGGTCTGAAACAGTAAAACTGGTGGAAAACTGAGTTTTGCCTTCAGTTTTTTTAGGTGAAAACCGGAGAAAGTTGGGGCCTTGTTGAATCAATTTTTGGCTGATTTTACGCCGGAAAAAAGTGCGCTTACCACCCAGTGTTCGCCGATTTGGACGATCGTTTTAGCGCCCATAGACTGGGTCGCCGCCACGGCCCATACCTCGCTTAGCGCTGAAAACAGGGGTGGGGCCTGCCGCGCGGAAACCCTAATTACGCCGGCCGTCTTCGTCACCCACTTGCATGTTACCTTGAACGTCGAGTTGAACGGAGCGTATGTGTCTTTGCCCTGAATGCTTGTAGCACGACGCACATAAGCTACCCAAAGTCGCAGGTTCTTCAGACGTTCTCTACTGGAATGTCCATATGGCTACCCCGCCGCTCGCCGACGCTCCTCGCTAGAAATGTCGTGCTCACGCGACAATTTCAGAGGACTCCCAACCATATTTCATCGCGTGTGCTATTCTATCGCACTCTGAACACCTCTCCCGACTCGCGAAACGCGTCAACTTCAAGTCACGCTACCAACAACCCGACTTCCACCGCGAACAATGACCCTTCCTCCGAGCCCAAGAACCCGCCTCCACCGCCTCCACCGAAAGAGATCTCGACACAGCAAGCACCGCTCGGGACGCGGATATGGAAAAAGGTTAAGCATGAGGCACAGCACTACTGGCATGGCACGAAGCTCCTAGTGAGCGAGGTTAGGATTTCGGCGAGGTTGCAATGGAAGCTGCTGCATGGCGAGATCTTGACGAGGAGAGAGCGAAGACAGGTGCGTTGCCTGTTTTATGTGCTTGAGTCCTACGATACTATGGTAAGCATAGTTGAAACGCACTACTCAAGACTTGCTTCGCCTCGTCCCGTTCGCGGTATTCGTCATCGTACCCTTCATGGAATTCCTGCTCCCCGTCGCCCTCAAACTCTTCCCAAACATGCTCCCGTCCACATTCGAAGACAAATTTGCTGCAGTGAGTGGTGCACACATACGTAACAGTGATATCGCGTTAATTTCGCACTGTAGGAGGAGAAACAGCGCAAGTTGCTCCGAGTCCGCTTGGAAATGGCCAAGTTCCTGCAAGAGACGATGCGCGAGTCTGGGCTTCAAGCCAATGCGCACATCATTGGCAGCGATGCCTTCAAGGAGTTCTTTCGCAAGGTCCGCATCACTGGCGAGTCGCCTACCGCACAAGATATCACCAACGTAGCACGGCTCTTCGACGACGACCTCACGCTCGACAATCTGTCCCGCCCCCAGCTCGTGTCCATGTGCCGCTACATGGGTATCAACGCCTTCGGCACCGACAACTTCCTCCGCAGCACGATTCGCTCCCGGCTCACGACCATCCGCCGCGACGACCAGCTCATTGACCGCGAGGGCATTGACGAGCTCAGCGTCAGCGAGCTCCAGGCTGCGTGCCAGAGCCGTGGCATCCGCACGGGCGGCGTCAGTCCCGCTCGGCTTCGCGAGGAGCTGGCGACATGGATCAAGCTGCACCTTCACGAGCGGGTCTCTGGCGTGCTCCTGATTTTGGCGCGTGCCTTCCAGTTCGATCGTCACCCGGCTGAGGACCAGGACGGAAAGACGGCCATTATCAAGAGCTTGGAGAATGTGCTCAGCGGCTTACCGGATAACTTGGTGCGTCGTTTGGGCTGCAGACGTTTGCTTGCAGCTGCTGACAACCGTGCAGTTGAATGAGGCAGAACTGGAAGTCGAGGCCGACCAGGCGACCTACAAGCAGAAGCTCGAGGTCTTGCAGCAACAGGAGGAACTCATCGAAGACGAAGAGGAGCAGGAACAGAAGGAAGAAAATGCCCGCCGTGCTCGTCGCGAGGAAGAGGCCCGTCTTGCCCAGACGCTCCTGCCCGAATCCGAGGTTCGTCGTACCTCTCTTTCGTCCCAGATTTATTCTGACATTTAGTCCAGCTTATACCTGAGAGCGCAGCTGAAGAGCCTCAAATCGACGCCCGCATGACGTCCGAACAGGTCAAGGAACTTGCGGAGGCGCTTTCTATTCTCAGCGCCAAATCTAGCGTTTTGAAGGAGAGGAAGGAGCTGCGCGATCTTATGGAAGAGAACTTGCAGGCTGAAGAGGTATGCGCGACGACATATCGCCTCTAGTTCAGGACTCAATCGGAATAATTTACAGGACCCGCAATCGCCGTCCGGCGCTTTGACGAAGCGAATCCGGACGATGCTCACCAAGATCGACCAGCAGCTTGAGGCTTACGATCAGCGTGTCGGTTCTTCGCTCCAGATGATCTCGTGTGACCCGCAGGGCAGGATCTCCGCCGAAGATCTCCAGAAGGCGTTCAATGTCATCAAACACAAGCCAGATGCCGAGATCGCGGCGGGCCTCGTCGAGAAGCTCGACGTTGACAAGGATGGGTACGTCGAGCTTGAGCACGTCCTTGGCTTGGTTCGCGAGGAGGGACTAGGTGAGTACCACTCTGTCCATTTACGTATTTCATGCGGTCGCTGACTGCTCTCAGGTACCGTGTTAGACGACGAGGCGCAGGATCTCATTGGCCAGGGCCAGGAGATCAAGAACAGCAAACCTAGAAAGGAGGATATCGTACAAGAGTAACTGCCTCTAAGTTTGTGCGTATCATATCTCACCCTATTATTACATGTCATTTTCCGCGTATATTATGTCTGTGTGCGTCTAGCTATAGAGAAATAGGCTGATTACAATAGATTACAATGCACATCGAGAGAGCCGCCCTGAGAGACTGCGTGTGACGTCAATCCCGGGCCCCACAAGGTCCCACAATGCGATTTGACAAGCGCTCTTCCCTAGCCTGCAAAAACTCCACCTCTAGTGCCGCAGCTGTGATATACGACGCCACGACGAATATTCCCATTGCATCATGGCCGTCTACGGAGTTATATATGCCGTCCATGTCATAATCTCGCTCTTGCTCTACTCTATCACCACCAGACAACTCTTACGACTATCACGCTTAAACTTTTCTAATAACACGAAATGGCTACGAACGACAAGGACAACACTCTTATCGGTGCGCGAGGCACTGACGTTTACCCCGGCGTCGCGAACCCTACAGAGTCGTCGCGCAACGACGACCCGCTCGCGGCTAACTTCGTATGTGCAAACTCCTTCATAGTCACATGCGGGATCTGACACAGTCTGCGCAGGTCACTGACCCTACAACCGACTCATTTGGCGCGGGTGTTAACAGCAGCTTCACCGGCCACGAGGACGCCGCGCGGAACTTCAAGAAGACCGCCGGTGTCGTCGAGGGCCGTCCGGGCATCATCGAGTCGTCGAACATCGATCCGCTAAACGAGAACTCCAACAAAGGTGCGCGTGCTTCGTGTGGAGGAATGATACCGGGTTGCTGATCACGTCCACGCAACACTCAGACGACGGCTGGGCCAATGCGCGTTCAACAGGCACGGGCACGGGCATAGGCTCGACGGGTTCAGACCTCACCTCGACCGCCGCGAGCACTGCAAGCTCGGCCGCATCCACCGCGGCAAGTGCGGCTATGACCGCTGCGAACATGGCTACTGGCGCGGCACGCATGGCATACGGACACGCCGTCGGCGACGAAAAGGCCAAGCAGGCAGGGAAGGAAGCCGTGTGGGGCAAGCAGTAGACCTGCGCCGTGGATGATGTCACCATTAGGCTCGTAAAGTGATAAGCGTGGAAGTCAATCCTGCATGACGCATGTATAATTAGTGTACAAATCTCAGGGTTTTTCTTGGACGCTATACGAGGGATCATTATCGACCATTATCTGTGGTGCAATGGACACATGCGCCAATCGGGGTTAGTGCCAGCCAGTATTGGCGTGGTGGCTGCTACTAGTCCGTCTCATAACAGTTTTGCGCGAATAATGGCTGCTGAACGTAAACACTGAGTCTGAAACTTGCCCGCGTCAATAGAAGACGAGGGCCGGCTACCCAATTAAAAGAAAACAAGAGGCAGTTCGTGATGGAGTACGACAGATAAGTTAGGTAAAAGCTGCCAGCTGGATATATTAGTGCTGTAATGGTGATAGAGATATCTAAAGATAACAATTAATGGTGCCGGGATAGCTCAGCTGGGAGAGCAACAGACTGAAGCCTCTTGTGAGATCTTCTGGAGGTCCCGTGTTCAATCCACGGTCCTGGCAAATTTTTTCTCTCTTCATATTTTGATTTTTTTTTCATCAGGAATTGTGCTCAGCCCATAGAGAATTTTGATAGGAGTCTTTTGCCCTTTCTAACGTTCGCAGTTCTTCGTTTCCAGTTGCACACTTGCTGTGTGCTTGTTAGACACTATACAGTACGCTGTAAACGTGAAACACTGCACGCTCAGTGAAATATTAACACCAACAGGCTAGCGTGATAATTCACTCAAGATTTACTGGAAAAGAACCTCCAGGTTTTCTAGAACCAAATATGACACCACAGCAAAGACAATCTGGTAGCCATTGCAAGCTATCGAAGTTTGTGGTGACGAGTGAAGGGACGCGCGACAGCTTATCGGTAGAAAGAAATTATCCCACCTCATAGTAGGGAACAGCTGGGCCAATTATGATTGGATATACGCAAAAAAGCACACATATCTTGAGCAATAGTCTTATGCAACGAAGAGTCGCCGCTCTGGGAAGAACTGCTCTCGCGCGGCTCTGCTCACGACATGCACAGCAAACTCGCCAGCATCGATCATAAGCCAGCCGTCATTGACAGGCCGGCGCCGCTTCTGTGCGAGGGGCAGCGGCGGGTCGACGCTCAATAGCTGCCAAGGATGAGCACACGTGCGCAGAGAAGAAGTCAGCAGGACGCACCGATTTGCGCACGACCCGCGCGACAGACTCGATGGCGCCTCTGTTCTCGGAGCCCTCCTTCACCTGCGCGACGACGATCCACCGCCAGACTCCCATTGCACCTTCGCCGACGCCCTCGCCTGCGTATGTGCGCCCGCGCTTTCGGCGGCCCCGTGGCGCAGCGTCGGGCAGTGGTGGTCCCGGTTCCGTTGGTACCGGTTCTCGCACGCTCAAAAATTCATGTTCGAGGTGCGGTGAGGCGAGTAGCTGGGCGTGGAGGGCTGCGATCGGGTGCGTGCTCGGGAGGTCAGCGGGGAGTGATGGGATGTTGAGGCGAGGGTGAGATGAGAGGGGTTGTGTCCAGGAACCCGCACGGGGGAGGTCGGAGGGGTCGATAAACCACGGCACGGGCCGCTGATGCTCTGCGTTGGATGAGGACGAGGACGGGGCCATCGAGAGCGAGCGAACGCCGCTCGTAGTCGCGCGGTGTACAGACCTGGCTGCACAGACGCTGCTACGCGTGTAAACCCGGAGCGCTTGCATGTTGTCGTTCTCTCGAAACTGTGGATATCCTCGACGACAAGCAGACTTCGTCCTCTCGACAGCTTGCGCGCAAACGAGAGAAGCAAAGACGCACACGCGCGACGCCTAGCGCGCAACGGTGTACGCGTCACGTGATACCGCCCTGCCGCCATCAATTGATTGCCCCTGCGCTTCGTCTAAATCACGAGCGACAGGACGGCAGTGTCCTCTTTTCTCTACCCTCACCATCCGCCCCTGCGCGGGCACCCCCACGTCAGAAACAGATCCTGTTTCTGTGCTATACGACACCGAAAATAGTATGGCAGGCCTACGCATGAGCGTCGTCGTGAGTGCGACAGCGTTCCTTCTTGGTGCGTCCCTGGGATTGCTTCCCAATTTATCTCATGCCAGCGGGGCGCCGTACTGACCCTTGCATTTGCGTCGCAGGACTGCTGTTTACACACTGGATGGCGGACTCGCTCACGCTCTGGAAGAGTCCCGAGACTCAGAGCGATGCGCGGCTCTGGACCGCGGCAACGTACTATTCGATTCTCTCGCGCATGCCGTCACAGCTACTGTACGTGTACTCGAGTGTCGCGCTCGTTGGAGGGGCGACACTCTTTTGGAGCCTTGGTGACCTCAGGGCGGGCAACCTGATGTTCGACGGGGGCAGCATCCGTGAGTCCCCGTCTGCCCTTGTGCTGTACGGCCCGAACTGATGGGGCTGTTAGTGCTGTACTCTTCTGCAGTCATTATGTACGTTTATTCGGTTCTCCCCAGTAAGCGACACGTTATGCCCATATCGAGATGTATGTTAACGCTAACCTGCTAGACCTCGTGGAGAACTTCAAGCCCCTCCCGCTCCCCTTCATGCACCAGTCCACGCCCACGTCTAGCGGAATGGCCGCGACCCAGAGTCTTCCGCCTTTCCCACCGACCCTGCGCGGACCGACGCTCGAGCTCGCATCGTCTCATCTCATGTGCTGTGTCGCACTCACCGGCGTGCTCGTCTTGCAAGCGGGCCGATGGTGGGCAGAGCAGAAGGACGTGGACGACGATGAGGAAATGGAGTCCGCACAGCCAACAGAGCGATCAGAGCAGTCTGACAAGGATTCCTGATGTCTTCTGGCTGCGAGGTAAGGGGGCCAGGTAGGAGATACTTAAAAGGACTACTGTGATCTATACCCGGACGTTTGCAGACGTGCTTTGTTGATGATACCGAGGTATGACTAGTATACATGTGAAGGGCATGGTCGTAATGCTTGGTTAATGTAGCTATGTGCTAACATGAGTGACGGTCCTCCGCCCTACGATTTCGGCATCAGTGGTACATTCTTCAGGTTTCTAAATTGTTTTGTGTTCAGTCTCGAAGGGAAGCTTCCTTGAAGAGGATGCGCTTCTCAAGGCCCGGGTTATTGATGATCTGGTCCCATCTGCCAACGCCGTCACTCAGTTTGTATACAGCTTGACCTTGTGAAGACATACGGAGGGAAAACCATTGGCAGGTTGTCAGGCAACAACTCAGGCCAACGTTCCCCAATCACTTTCATGAGCCCGTCATAGATGAGCTGCATCTTGATGTCAGTGTTCTATCAGCATAGCATGTCGAAACGCTACGTACATCGTACGCCTCCTCATTCACATGGAGTCCATCTGTGAGATACTTTGTAAGCTTTGCCTCTTCCTGTCCACACCCTTCCCACAGTATCGTCCACACATCGACTATGGGCACACGATGCTTCTGGGCCACCTGCTTGATGGCCTCTGCATACTGCCGCGTGACATCGAACGCACGGTCGAGCTCGCGCGGGGGGTCGCGGCTCGTGAGGTCCGCGCCGCGCTGGTGGGTGTTCACCGGCGGCGGCGTGAAGAGGACGACGCGCGTCCAGGGTGTGTAGTAGTCCGATGCGGAAGAGCGCACGGTGTGCACGAGCTTGTCAAGGTTCTCGACAAAGTCGTCGAGCGGGACGTGCTGCGGGCTGTGCTCGAGACAGGAGTCGTTCGCACCGAACCAGATCGTGAGCAGCTGGATCTTTGGGAAGAGTTGGTCCGCGTTCGTGCCCGTGCGCCTCGCGAGGCACTGGGAGGGTGCTCAGTACCCGTGTGTGATGACGTGAGGATCGGGAGGCGCACCTGCTCAAAGACGGGGATCGCCCACTTTGTGTTGTACCCGCTGAGCCCGCGGTTGACGACGTCAAGCTTACGGTTATACACGTCTGGGCTACCGGTCAGTATTCGTCTGCCACCTCACTGCTTGGGCCTAGCGTACACGACAGTTTTTGCGCGAAGCCGTGGGGGAGCGATGCCGCCTGGGTGAGCGAGTCGCCGAGGAGCATGATCACGTCTTGCACGTATCCGTTCATAGCTGTTTGTCCTGTTCAGCGTTGCGAACGGCGACGGGACGGGCTTGTACACGAGCTGAACAGCAGATGAGAGCAGGCCGGGACCCCTGGGTTTCGCGGGAGGCGGGCCGGCGATCGCAGTCTCTGGAAGGCTCGATCGCAAGTCACGCCGGTTGTTACAACCACGACTCATGATTGATGTCACATTGCTCGTACACAGGCTGCAGGACGTTCATGCCGCGTCCATCCACCAGCTGCCTGCGGACGCTATCGAAACACACATCTGGCTGTACGCTTCATCCTTTGGAGACAGCGCGCGAAGACAAGCAAGCATTTACGTCAGACGTCCTATAATGCGATCCACTCCACGTCACCCATGGAGAGAACATTGCACATTCGAGAACTTATAAAGCTTCCGTTGTCGACATGCTCATGCTCTCCAAGTTCAATCTGAATACCTCCTACACACCACCATGAGTAGCTCAACAACTGCCGCAGGCAAAGTCCTCATCATCCTCTCCGACGCCGATTCGTTCCCCGTCAAGAAGAAAGACGGAAGTATCCAGCAGGAAGAGTCGGGAGTCTTTCTCCAGGAGCTCACAAAGCCACTCTTGCGGCTCCTAGACAGCGAGTACTCGGTGACCGTACGCGCATCCCCCCAGTTCATTCAGACACCGCGCTAACTGGGACACGCAGTTCGCCTCGCCACAAGGCAAGGGCCCGAACATCGACCCGCTCTCGCAGAGTACATTTGGCGCGTACCTTGGCAACTGGTTCGCCAAGAACCGCGACGAGAAGCTCGTGGATCGCATGCGGCAAGAGAACAATTTTGACAGCCCGCGTCCGTTCAACACGATCTCAGATGAGGAGCTCGCGACATTCGCGGGCGTGTTCATCCCCGGCGGGCACGCGCCCCTCTCGGACCTCGGCGATAACCCAGATCTGGGCAGAATTCTCTGGCACTTCCATAATGCGGCCAAACCAACGGGTGTGTATTATCCTATTGTGAACGCGAAGTTATGTTGATAATGCTTGCAGCATCGCTCTGTCATGGCCCATTTGCGTTCCTGAGCACGAAGCATGCCCCCGGCGCACCAGGCTTCGCGTACAAGGGCTACCAGATCACATCGTGGTCGGATAGCGAGGAGAGCGTCATCGAGACGCTCAAGAGTGGCGAGGTGCCCACCAAGGTCGAGAGCACGCTCGCCGCAGAGGGCGCAGAGATGATCAGCACAGTGAGCAAGAAGGCGGGCCAGATCACCGTCGACCGTGAGATTGTCTCTGGTGCAAACCCCATGGCGGCTGCAAGTCTCGGCGACAAGTTCCTCGAGATGTTGCAGGCGAGGGGGACGTCCTGAGTGTAAAGGAGCCTACTCAGACTGCAGATTAACATGTCGGGCGAAGTTCCCCTAGTAACCTTACGATAATGTTCACAGTGCTGTACCAGCTCGGCGAGTAATTACATTAATGTACTTGTAGTATGCTGTTGAGCAAACACTTTTCAAGCTTTCCAACAACAGTCCCTCCCAAGAAAGAGAGATAAAGAACACAGTAGATTTTCTGGAGGTCCCGTGTTCAATCCACGGTCCTGGCAATCACTATCTAGAGAGAATTTTTTTATTTTCATTTTCATTTTCTTCTAAAGTCCTCTAGACTTAAGGCTCCAACTGTTTTGTTTGTTTACTGTGTATAAACGTTTATTACTGTTTACTGTTTCCGTGTGTGTAAATGAAGTCATGTAAACTTGGTGTAAACGTTTATACACAGTAAACATACAGTTTCCTCTTGTTGTTTGTAAAAGGTCTTAGTGTTGTACATTCATAGTCTTGCTAACAGACTTGACCTTTATTGGGCTGAAGAGTGCATCGCACCGCCTGTGCATCGTCCTCGGGCGGCCTCTTTGAACCCCCAAGCCCGGTGCACTGTATCAAGCGCCTATGCCCTGAGACTTACTGGGAGTAATGGTAGTCATGATCCTAACTTGTATTGAGCACAGTCTGAAGGCGAGCATTATAAATATAACATAATGTGTATTTATTGACTGCTCCTCTACATATAGTCTACTGTGGGCACTGGCAGCCTGCCTGCGAGAGTGCGGTATGCGGGAATGTTGTGAGCCCATACTTCATTCAAGAGGAACAATATTGATATTAGTTCAACCTCATTGAGCGATGACAGTACCACATATGATACCAAGGCAAATTGACTCTAAAAAAGGGCTATCAGAGGTCCGCACCCATGTGGCAGTCTTCTCTAGGCCAGCTCTCGAAGTCCTAGCGCGAGAGTATGTTGTGTCACCCCCGAAGTGCCAGGCTAACACTCGCATAGGTTATTGGCCCACTTCTCAATGACGAGGTCAATGATAGGACATGCCAACCTTCTAAAGGCGGAACCGCAAGCTTCTTACAAGCCCCACAGATACCTTTGTAGGTCTTACCCTTGCAGTACAGTGCTGCCTGGCAATACCACTCCCACAGCTTGTGATTGCCAGTGTTTGTCCTCCCGCAACCTCCACTGGCCGATCGAGACTATTCGTGTGCCCGCAATCTGCGTACTATGCGTAGGGGACACCAGCAGGCCATAGAGATGACCATAGCACGATGCTTGAGGTACGGAGTGTTCAGATGCTGCCTGATGGCCGGTCCGTGCTCGGGATGTGATGCACGCATTGCTCCTTCCCTGTACGCATGAGTAGGTGCACTATCTATACACGTTTGAGTCGGGCCTAGTGTTTGGGACATCAATATCGTAAGTAAGAAGCTGCGGCCTCGCTTTTCTCTCGCGCCTCAAGCAAGCACCTTGCGTTGCTCAAGTACTGACATTTGTACCTCTCTTTTCAGGCTCAAGTAGAGCAGTAGGCTCACACAGGTTTCTCAGAGGCTAATCTGGCACAATCCACTAGAGTGGGTTAGATCCCTGTAATAACTGTTTGTTTACTGTTTATAAACTGTTTATAAACATTTACAACCGTTTACTGTGTGTTTACAAAAAAAGTTTACACGTAAACTAAACGGTTGGAGCCTTATCTAGACTTCAGCAATCGGCAGGATAATAGCAGCTTAGCTTCTCATGCCTTCTTTTCTGTCCGAACAGGGGGGCAGTGTCTAGCCTATCACAATGGTCGCTGATCATAAGAGACTTCAGTCTGTTGCTCTCCCAGCTGAGCTATCCCGGCATTGTAAATAAGTGCCACAATATTGCCATCGTGCAATCTGCGAGTCTCGATCACGTGCACTGCGGTTAAGACGGCGGCCTCCCTATTTTTTTGTTTTACAAGTCCCAGACTCCCAATGCCGTCAACCTAATTCATATCATTCCGCAACAACCCTGAGAGTGAGCAACGGTGAGAAACAACAAGGTGCACGCTGTGCTGAGAGACCAACCTTAGAGTAGCAAAGGTGAGAGACGAGAAGGAGTGTGCTACACCCCTAACTGTCCCGCGTTCTGCGTACTCCTCGAAGAGGGGTCCCACTCGGCGCACGCCGTTCGCCACTCACGTCAGTGGCAGCACGACCGAGACCTCTTCCGGTTGGGTGTCCGCTGGACATTTCCCGCGCTGCGGGTACTGACTCAGACGCTGTCTGAGTGCGCACATCCCGGGAAAAACGCGGCGCGATTAGATCAGTGTAAAGATACTTTAAACACGAATACAAGTCCCAGACTCCCAATGCCGTCAACCTAATTCATATCATTCCGCAACAAAACCTTCTTTTCGCCATTAAAAGTGGGTCAAGCTGCCTGTAGGAGCAATGCACATGGGGCCTGCCGCGTCTATCACCCTTCTCAATAGACCGTGACCAATGCCGCAACTTTCCCACTGTGCAGACCAGCGATCCGCTGAGGCGACGAGAGCGTCCGGGAGATGCAGAGTGATTATATCTCTGTGCGCCCTTTTTCCTCCTCGCGACGATGCCCACTGCGTATCGACCGAGGCGACGCGCAGACTCAGACCCCAGCATCGTGATTCCGCGGAGCCTCTGGCCGTTCAGCGCAGTCAAAACACCCGAGACCTCGCCGCAACTTGCGCATGACCCCACAGCACCTGTATCGCCCGAGGAGCCCGCAGAGCTTAAGCAGGAACTCCGCGAATGGGACGCCAAGGAGACGAAGCGCAAGGCGTCCTCATTGAACTATGTGCACGGTTCGAAGCTCCACCAGCAGGACGCTCCATGGCCCTTCGCGTTCAATCGCGAGTTTCTCGAACTGTTGCGTTGTGCTTCTTTCTGTGATAGAGCTTTCAAGTGAACTCACGGATCCTTTCCCAGGAATGGTATTGACCATGCCCTCGTTGAAGGCGTCAAGGGCAACCAGATGTTTTTCGACTTTGGCTTCCATAACGGACAGACTCCGACGCGATGTTTGGATCTAGGTACTACGGTAGGCTGCTGCCCAATCAGTTTGAAGCGGAAATTGACACCTTCTCTCTTAATAGTACGGCGATTGGGTTATTGACACTGCGAAGCATCTACCACAATGTACCTTTGTGCGTGTGAGCATATCTTCATTGGATCAAGAACTCACATACATGGTCGTGTGGACAGGTTGGCTTCGATATGGTCGACATACAGATACCCCTCAAGTACATTGAACCGTCAATAGCAAGCCGGGTTGAGTGGGTTCACGGCAACTTGTACGCATCCACTGGCCCTCGCAAATGCTGAGTGTTCACTAGCGGTCTAGTTGCGAATCTCCCCTACCTTTTAAAGACGAGGAGTTTGATTATATACACGTGGAAAGTATAGCTCATGGAGTGCGGGAGCGAGACGTACGTCTAACACAACTCATCTGAGCAGCCACTGGATCATGACCCCGACGTATAGTGGGACAGTTTATTCCAGGAACTTCACCGGATTATGAAGCCAGGGGGACGTATCGAGCTCATCCAGGCGGGTCAGTAACACACTGTATCTTTGTATTCACATGTGACAGTTTACCCTTCCGCGCACTAGACGCTCGCTTTCCCGTTCTTCCGTCGTGGTTCACGACTCCAATACACACGCATTGCCTAAGATATGCAGGCGAACACGAAGACACATCGGCGCTAGAGTTTCTACTCTCTGACCAGAACAATGTGCGTTCACATGCCTATATGCTCCTGGAGGAGTTATTCTTCATGGTCTTGGAGCGGAGGTGGATTAACCCCAACCCTACCTGTACGTATACACTACATATTGGTTTGTCGTCAGGTTTGTTGACCGGTCCAACAGCCATTCTTCCTCTGTACTTTAACGCCACGTTCCGCCATGTCATCTCCCCGCCAATCCTTCACTTCCCCATGCCACCCCTCGCACCATTACCACCATTTCCACAGTGGGCTCTCAACCCAATTGCTACGGGCAAGACCACATCAGACCCTCTAGACGCCACACTGTATTTTGTGCCAGTCTCTGAGCCGTTAGAGACGTCTGACAGCGAATCCGTCCAAACAACGGTTACAGGCGGGTCCGAAAAGAACGATTCTGCCCCGATCATGCCGCCCTTCTCATCTGATGTGGATGTGCCTAGGAGTCCAGCGAATTCGGCCAGCTTTCCTCAGCCGCCGCCGACTCCAGTCTCGCCACTTTTGATTCAGAGGGCGTCGGCTATTTTGGCAGAAGACGATATTGTCCGATCACGCAGCGGTTCGAATAGCTCGGTCCGATCCACAGTGTCCGCAATGTCCTCCACGTCGGGTGTCTCAAGCGCCTCGCCTACGACACGCACACCATCGCACGGCGCACGGGTACGCTCCTCCGCGATCCTGCAGACCGGGTCGACGACGCGGCTCGGCGGGGATGACACGGCGGCGCTCTTCCGGATGGACGTGATCAGTTGTATGGGGCCGGAGGTACTGTTCATGCATCTACGGCACGCGAGCCAGCTGGTGCTCGCGATGCGCGAGGCGATGTGGGATGTCCTCCGCGAGTGCATTGTCGCGAAGCGCCACGAGCTTGTGCACTTTGGATTCGTGGAGAGCGAGCGCGAGCTCCAGGACGTGGAAGACCGGGTTCCTGAGTTCCGCAGGCTGTTCGACGGGCTCATGAACCGGTACAAACAGTGAGCTTTGCGTCCGAGCTCGGATTATGTGCTGGCCAGGCAACTGAGACGACGTGTCAGGGACATGCACATACGCCTGTCGGCATGGCACTCGCTCAGCAAGATGGGATTTGCATACCCGCGGCGGCAGAAGATGAGCCAGGAGCAGCTTGCACGCGAAGAGGACCTGCGGAGCGCGCTGCTTGAGGCACGTAAGAACGCGAGAGAGGAGGATTTTGCCATACCCTCGCGATCGATACGGCTGCTCCTTGGTGTGAAGTGCGCGTAAAGTGCCCTACTTGGCGCTGAGTTTGTTGGTTGCCGTCATGTTGTTGATTCCGAAGTTGCGACTCAATAGAAGATGACTGCGCCTCAGCCGACGCATACGTGTACTAGGTACGATCACCGCAGCAGGCATCGTGACCCTTATAAGGGCTGAGTGGATGTGTATTGTAACTGTTGAGTATCCCATTGCATACAATGGCCATCACCAACCTGCTGGAGGGGTGGACATCGCAAGAATGCGTCTTCGTACTGTTACTGACCTCTGTAGGATACAGTTCCGCTAATATTATCCGCAACATCTACTTTCATCCCTTGGCGAAATACCCCGGACCGAGGCTCGCCGCCGCCTCGGGATGGTGGAAGGCATATGTCGAAGCATACAAGAGGGAAAGCATCGTGGATCGACTCTTCGAGCTGCATGAAAAATATGGTATGTGGATGCCACATATATACCGATCCGACTAACAATTCGTTAACTCGAGAGCAGGCGATGTCGTACGGATCGCCCCTGATGAAGTCGGTGGCTCCAATTTCCCTACATATGCACACGCTGATTCGAGATCGCACAGCTCCATTTCAGCAATCCTGCTGTGTACAATGAGATATACAGCTCGCGCTCGCGCTGGGATAAGGATCCGAAGTTGTACCCACCCTTCGGTGAGGAGGCCACGACCGTGACATTCACGACGCTCGAGTACCGCGAGGCAAAGCGGCGCAGGGATCTCGTCGCCCCGCTCTTCTCGCGCAAGTCGGTTTTGAGTCTGCAAGGAGTCGTCCAAGAGGGTGTGAGTCCTTGTTCATTGTCCTTTCTTGTGGCTAGCACTGACACCATGGTTGACCGTACAGATCGACGAGCTCTGCGAGGTCATGGCCGAGCGCGCCGCGGAGGACAAGGTCGTGGACATCTTCCGCGCCTTCCGGTGCCTCGATTTCGACAACGTGACGTCCTTCTGCTTTGGCTGGTCCCTGCACACGTTACGCGAGCCGGACTTCCACGCACTGGTTGTCGAGCAGATGCACGACGGGAACACTGACTACCAGTTCTGGAAACACCACCCGCTGCTCAGGACGCTGTTATTGGCTGTGGTGCGCGTGGTGCTCATGTTCATGCGCATGTGGGGAGGGGAGCCGAAAGGATATCTTGAAGTGTACAAGGTGCGCGGTAGGCAGTGGCGTCTTCCATCGGCGCAGCGCTCATCCTACTCTGATTGGCCAGAAACTCAAAGAGCAGGTCGACACGTACATTGACCAGCCGAACGCACTCGAAAACGCTCCGCATCCGCTCGTATACCACACGCTCTTGGACCCCGCACAGGGCATGAAACTGAACAGAGCGTCCTTGCGCGACGAGGGGAACTTGCTAATCGCCGCCGGCACAGACACGACGAGCAATGCATCCGCGCTCGGGACAGTTTTCGCTCTGGGTGGCGACGGGTACATTGGTGAGAAATTGAAGGCGGAGCTCAGGGCGGCCTGGCCGCGACTGGACGAGAAACCAAGGCTCGAGTTGTTGGAAAGTCTGCCGTACCTAGTAAGCGCCTCTTCACCAAAGCTGCAGTTAGTTCCCTAGCTAACTTGATGCGCAGAAAGCCGTGTGCAAAGAGTCTCTGCGTCTCAGCCATGGTGTCTTCTCTCCCATGATGCGCGTCGTCCCGCCGCAGGGCGCGACACTTGGTGGACACTTGGTTCCCGGCGGGGTGCGCCTCTTCTCAGATGTCTGTATATTGATGTATTGACGTCTCGCGCTAGACGAAAGTCGGAATAAGCAATCTTTTCGTGCACCTCAACCCGACGCTCTTCCCCGATCCGCACACGTTCCGGCCCGAACGCTGGCTCGAACCCGGCGCCGAATCTCTCGACACCTGGCTCGTCGCGTTCTCCAAGGGGCCGAGGAGCTGCCTTGGCATCAAGTGCGTACCACCTTCTCTGGACCGGCAAATGCAGCGAAGCTGACTCCAATACAGCCTCGGATGGTGCGAGCTTTATATGAACCTCGCAAATTTGTTCCGACGATTCGACCTCAAGCTAGAGGGCGGCGTGCAAATGTTGTTCATTGGAAATTCGTGAGTGACGATCTTGCTAGCGCGAGGGGCGTACTCATAACGGAGGTTATAATCCTTGCGTAGACCCGTTCGGCCGTATGACCTCTGGCACCGAGACTGCTTCCTGCCTCACTACGAGGGACCGGACCTGCTCGTTCGTGCAACGCCCGTGCTGGACTAAGGGGTAAATGCCTTCAATCACCTAGATGAAATCTAATCGGTCTGGCGACGGGGATCTATAAGATCGAAACTGGAACGGATGGGCATGAGCATAAATTATCCAAGATGCGCATATGCAATAAATACTCTAGGTATGAGAGCATAAGCCCGATACGAGGAGCATGGACAAGTTACCGAATGAGGGGGTCAGATTAACGATTGGAGAGGCGATTGTCAGTGGGGGACAATAAAGAGATGCCAATTCGAGAGCGGGTCCTGATTGCATGGGGCTATGGGTGTATGTGTATAATCGAGAACGCTTGGGCGTCGGAAGTTGAGGAATGATAGAGATGACATGAGGTCCGTTTGACAGCTTCACACAGACGCTTCAAACAAACTTAGAACACAGAGTGAGGAAACGGAGATGAATGTCGTCAAGAATAAAATGCCGATGCCGGACACTGAGAACAAGCAATAATGGAACGAGCTAGTGGCAGCTAGGCTGCGTTGGGCACCGGGCGCGAGATAAACCAAAGCCGGGAAGAAGAGCGAGAACGGAAAAGAAGTGAACAGGCAGACAAACAGACACGATAACCAACAGTCTTAGCTTGAAGGATGAGAGTGGGGCCGATCTTGTGATGGTGGAGATGTAGTAAGGATGTCGTGCGGATGCCTGTCCATACTTGCGGTACTAGATGTTCGACACATATAAGGCGTTGAGATGAATCTGGCTTGGGCGAGTCGAGAATGGACGAAAGGTTTCTTGATGAGCGGATGGAAGATGGATGAAGGTATTCCGAGCGAGGCCGTGATTATTCTTGGGAGAGTACGAGTCCTCCGCAGCTGCTTGTAGGTTAGCCATTAGCAGAACGATCGAGGATACAGTCGGAATGCCGTCTGGATAAGATCAATTGGGGAGGCGCAAGACATGCAGAACTTGAGGTAGGCGATGTGCTTGTGGTGGACGGGATGTCGTTCACAGGAGGTATTGTACATGTCGAGCATTAACTCGGCGTCAGCATGAGGTCTTGAGGCGGGCATCAAGAAAAAGGTATGGAGAATGATAAAAGGACCGTTGGCCATCAGAATAACACTTGTTTTTGAGCGAGCGAGGGCAGCCTAGTGACCGAGCAGCTTCGACGGTCCGTATGTCTCAGCCTTAGCCAAGGGCATTCGCGGCATCTTGCCGCCCTTGAACACGACGCTCTTCGTGGGCGGCGGGCAAGGACTGTCGTCGATGATGTCCGTCTCGGAATCTTCGACGTCCGTCGGCACCGTGCCGCTAGAGTCTTCCTGGAGTGTCTGGAGCAGACCGGGCGCCCTGCGGCTCCGCGCCGCGTTCCCCGCCGCGTTCCCCGCCGCGAAGAGTGCGTTGGCGCCTGTCGGCACGCTGCTGCGCTTCGACTGCGCTGCCGGCGCGACGGGTGCTGCAGCGAGACTATTCTTGCCGTCACCATACGCGTACGACTTGGTGCGGCCGAACTTGCCCTTGCGGAATTGGTCAAGGTCCTCCTTGCGCGACATCGCGTAACTTGGATCGTCCATGCGCACATAACCCGGCGGCTGGCAGCGTACGCCGCTCTCCTTGAAGTATTGGCAGTAGCCACCTTCAAGGACATAGACCTCCGGATAATGAATCCTAGGGTAGACGTGTCCATTCAGCATGCGGTCCTTCGAACGTAGGTGTTTCGCGCTGTAGAATCATCCTTGAGCACGACGAGAATCCACTCCAGAGGCTGGGCGCAAACTTACAACGTAGGAGCCCTCTTCTGGCTAAACTCGCAGTGGAAGATAAGAATAGTCTTCTTCGCCTGGTCACCGCTCATAGATGGCTCGGGCTTCTGCACTCGGGCACCAAGCAGGAAATCCTCCACGCCTTGCGTGGTATTGATGTTGATCGCACCAGGAACGTGCCCTCCATTGTACTCGTAGTCGAATCGACAGTCGATCACGTGGAAGGTATCGATCTGTGTGTCGTAGTGGCCATCCAGAAGCCCATCGAGCTACGTTGCGACCGAACAATAATAAGTCAGATAAGGATTCCGAGAGGAACAATGAGTAGACGTACAGTCCGGCACGTGATCCTCATTAGCCCGTCCTCACGGACACGGTGGCAGGGCAATAATTTGCCTTGTGCTTCGTTATCGCCGAAGCTACCCAGCTTGTTCCCTGCATTCAGGTACTTGCTTCGGGGCGTATCGCGCTCGGCGGTGCGCACAGCTTCGCGCTCCTTCTTTGCGCTGTCACGCAGCGTTGTAGTCGCACCGATGCTGCGGAAGTCGTCTGTGCCATCACGTCGCCGTACTGTCCTGCCCTGTTGACGCTTCGCGTACGCTTGTGCTGGCGAGCTCATGTCGGGTCCATCCATCGAGTAGCTGTTCTCCTCGGACGAGAAGGACTCCATGAGGTTGACGGAGGGTGGGATCATCGCAGAGAAGGCGCGGCGGGTCGGGGGAGCCGCATGGCGAGGCTTAGGCTCGACGCGACCGAGCTTAGCAGTCTCGTCGTCATCGTCAATGTCCTGCATAAGCCGTGGGTACGCGCTGTGCAACTGCTCAACATCGCTTGGAGCAATAACAGCACTAACGACTGGGCGTCGCCGCTTATTGATGTTGAGCGCGGGTATTGGCATGGCGCGCAAGGCAGGCTTAGAGTTCAGCCTCTCGAGCTTGTGCACCATGGGTGACTCTTCCACTGGTGCGGGCGACGAGTCAAGGTTGTACTCGTCGAGGGGAGGTTGGTGGACGGTGCTGCGCCTTCGCGGCGCGCCGCCTGGTACTGGCGGCGACACTGACCGTCTCTTCCTCGGGGGCTCTTCCTCGATGAACATCGATGCAGAGGCATCAGAGCTGAAATCCGGCGCATCGATGGGCGAGGACGAGCGGTAGAAGTAGCTGTCGAACTGAGTGACAGTGGGTGCAGCAGCGACTGGGGTATCCTCGTCGTCTGTAAGCTCACTGAATCGTGTTACCGTAGGGGCGGCGGAAATGGGTGAGTGAGGCTCGGGGGCCGAAGATGATTGCGAGTGCCATGACGTATCGATGTCCATCCCGTCCGTGGAAGGCGAGGAAGGTGCGTCCATGTATTGCTGGCATAACTGTATTAGCACACGAGCCTCCAACGGACACCGTGAAGAAGCGAAGCATGACGAGCGGGATGTGGTGAAAGTATGTGAATGTAATAAATATGGCCAAAAGTGATCATATGCGACGAAATAGACAGGCTGCTCACCTCAGAAACCGACCGTGAGATGTTCTCCCTGCCAGACGACATCCACTCGAACGGCAAAGCCGCTCTCTGCAATTTGCGACCACCCTTCTCCTTCTCAGAGACCTCGTCGTCGCCATCGTCGTCCAGGCCGTCGGCACTTGCATTGCTAACATCAGTACCAAACAGCCGTCCAGAGCCAGTGTATGACCTTGGGCGGCCCGGGACCTTATCCGCCGCGGACGAAGGGAGGGGTAGCTGCAGCGTGTGATTCGTATCGCGTTCGCGCTCGGATTTTGGACGGTAGAAGAGTGGTTTGGTGTTCGCCTGCGGCGGCGGCGGCGGATGGAACACCCGTGGCGGGGCAGGGGAAATGTCCATCGGTGCATAGTCTCGTGAGTCTTGTGCGTCCGATGAGTCGGGCAAGCCGAGGTAGCGTTGTGTCCTTGGGGGACTGTTCAGCGACATGCTGCTCGCGAAGGAGTCTTCGAGCTCGAACTCGGCTTGGACGTCCGACGATAGGAACGCGTTCACCTGGTCTTCGCGCGTAGGATTAGAAGAAAGCCGGATGGAGGGAAGAGTGCGCGTGAAGAGCGGCATTTCGTCTAGCTCTTCGAGGATATTGCCTGTGCTATGGCGGGTATGTGTATGTTTCTTCTGGAACAGACCCGTTGGTGAGCGTGTGATACTGGACAAACGTGCTCGTTTCGAGTGTCTGGATGGAGCCATTAGCCGATACGGATTCGGTGGTGTTATACAGTGAGGATGGTTTGATGTAGTAGAGTAACCGCCAAAGTCCAGGTCGTCCAACGAGGTTGCACAGCAAGAGGAAAGATGGTGTCAGCACAAGTTCAAGCTGGCCATAGCCAAACTGAGAATGGCGAGATACGTACCAGATTCCCTTATTTAACCTGAGCAGCCGCGTTAAAACGGTTCTCGATCGTGGCCTGGTTGCGTTTGCAGATGTTGTCCGGCTAGCATAAGCCAAAGATGAACTTGTTAGTTTCCGAATGATGGGCTCACAAAGGGGAAATAGACAGATTTGGGAGATAACTAGGACTTATACGATGATGCCGCGGGCTGGGCTGGCCAACAGAGTCACCCGGCGGGTCCGAGATGTATTGGGCCTGAGCACCCATTGTCCGACCGATATAGGTGAGCGGCTTTGGGCGCCGGAAGATCGATCTTTGTTGGGAGAGAAAGCGATGCACTCACGAGTAGCGTTCGTTGTAACGTTGGCGTTGAACTTGGAGGTGAACGAAGGTGTTAACGGAGGAGGCCGCGCCTATGGTCGTAAGGGGTGGTCAGCGCAAGAGACAGGGTCGTCGAACACGCCGTAACAGGGCTGTTCTCACGGTTTACGTGCGGACGTTAAGTATGGTCGTCTGTGGGTCCGTCGCCGCTGCCGCTTACCGGGGACGCCGAAATCGCGGCCTTCCGAGATGTGCAAAAAAAGGAAAGGAAATACGCAAAAAAAGGGGAAAATGGTGGTTGGGATATCGCTCGGACGGCAAGGTTTCTGTTGATGCACCGACACCATATACGACGTCTATTTACGCGTTATTTGGCTCATGTTCGACTTCCGCTGACATAAGTCATCGACTCTTCCAGTCTTGGCAATGTCGGTCCGCACCCGCCGGCATCGCCGACGTTCTTTTCCACCAACGTTCTTATCCCTTGCCAAGATCCCTCGGTATTGTGCTCAATAAATCTCAGTTCGTGCCATATATAATGATAGAGCCCCCAGGAAGCTGCCTATCCTCTATGACAGCTCTCAGTTCTCAGTTGAGCTGCAGACATACGTGGATGGTCGTCTAGCCTCAGCTTCATCGGAATGTTTCAGGCCAAATCTGACGCAGAGTCCTTTGATGGATGGTACCAGTCCAATGAAGCTCTGTGCTATCGTCCCGCGTGGCTTCCAGGACTGCCGAAGTGCTTTCAAAACGCGCAGCGGCGTGCCGCGTAACGTACGCGATTGAGTGTACTCCAATGACCCTTCGTATTCAGACAGACGGTACTACTAGCGTGTGAAAGCTTTCAGCACTAAGGTACGCGGCTGTCTTGCATGACGAAACATATGGTCAAGATCCCCACCGCCGTGCAGTTTCATACCCTGGTCGTCACACGGTCATCAGGCAGGAGTCTGAAATGTTTTAACTTCAATTAGCCTTCCGTCTGGCTTCCAACTTCCTATCACCAAGTCAACGGGTGCGTTCAAACTTCGCAGGTTGTTGATGTGCTGATTAACCTAGTGATTTGGTTATAAAATTTCAAAGAGGGCGAGCATGGGCTACACATATTCAGGCCCAGACGTGAAGCAACGGAACACCCCTACCAGAGGAGTACTCATTCCAGAGGTTCATTGCTGTTCATTGACATCAAGCCGGTGAACTAAATGCTCAGCCGTCACAGATCTCCACGTAAGAAAACCAAGCTCTTCGGCGCAGCAACATTCGCAGAACACAAGCCGTGTGCTGTTGGTGCGCTTTTGGTCTTCGGGGGAACGTATAATCAGGCCGAGTAGACTGTCTCCAGCATCCGCTTCGATGATGCAACGCATATTGCACCCAAGTTGCCGTACAGTCCCTAACGATGTGGAATAAGTCTTGCCGGACCTGGCCAGGGACGCTATCGCCGCCTCAGTACGCGAGGCGTTCCGTCTCGCGAAGACCCAGACACATGCCGTACGCTGCGTTGGGACACAGGGCGATACGAGGGTCGTCGCGTACTAGCAACGTAACAACATTGCAAAAACGTCTTCACGGAGTCTAAGCCCCGCGATGCACACCGATAAATGTGCGAGGCTCGCGGAGGCGGACAGTGGCGCCACGCAACGGTCGCTCACAGGTCGCGGACTAAATCTTCGCTTTCCAGAGCTCTAAGATGGTCTTATCCGGACCTTTCGACCATCCTGCTTCTCCAGACTCACCCTGAAGTTGACCGAGTTTGGTCTGATATTCAAAATGGTTCATGTATCTAGACTTTTAATGTGAAACTTCTTGTGCTGGTGGCGTGGCCGAGTTGGTCTAAGGCGTTGGATTTAAGTTTATGCTTGATTCCCAATGGGCGTGAGTCCGCGCGAGTTCGAACCTCGCCGTCACCACTTTCGTCCTTTTTGCGTTCTGTTTGCACTTTGCAGTTGTATTTCAGTCTTCGCGTATGTAGTACATGTACGGACAGTGCTGTATCATAAGTGTACCATGCGCTGTAACTATGCTCATGATCATCATACTCATACACTTTCCTGTTGTCGTGCATTATTTGCTAAAAATGAGCTTGGAGGATAAAGAAGGGGCTATGGATGAAAGTGACACTTGACTTGATTGCTCTACAACATTTCGAATTCTGCTTCCATGGTACATCCGCGATTCAGAACAGTAAGGATAATTGATTACAGACATGAGAAGAGAGGGAGAAAATCACAGAATCTGAGGTTCCGGTTAACTCACATAAGAACAGCATGAGGAGGCTCAGCCGCGTACCTCTGAGATACTGTCACGACCTCCGGGCATCTCACGAACCCTGTGGTCCGGTGATCAGGCAAAGACGCAAATAGACACCGGTAACACCGCTCACCGCCTGGTCGGTCTGAAATCAGCCTTAGGCGCGGGGTTCTCGTCCCAGAATGAGCCGGATTGCTTCCTACAGTTATCCGTCGTGCCACTGTCAGTCTTCTTAAGCCCTCGATGCACGAAAGGACAAACCGAGTCTGAGCCGCGGCACTGTCCTCTTGCTGAGCCTGCGCAGACTGCTCCTCAGACTGGCGCGGCGGCGCGCCCGCGAGGGCGTCGTCGTCGGTATAGTGCGCGAAGATGTCGTGCGTCTCACCGCCCGGAGCAGCACGCACACGCCTCGTAGGCCTGAAGCCACCGTCGTCAGAGGTGGATGCTGTAGCCATACGTCACATAGTTAGGTTGGCGGTGAGCGCATGACCTTGAGAGGGAGCGCACCTGGGACGGCGTCGGAGGCAGAGGGGGCTGCTTCTGCAGACTGAGCAGGTGTTTCTCCAGACAGCTTGCCGAAGGTAGCGTATTCTATAATCGGGTGTCAAGAGTCCGTGTAAACCACGGGGTATTAAAGCATACTGGGTAGCTTCTGGATGTTGTGGAAGTTGGTATCCACGGTCGTTCCCGTGTATCTGCCAGTTGTTCCGCTCAGCACTCTCAGCATGGGATTGTCCAGCTGTGTACATACCTGAGGAACTCGATAAGAGACCGCTTCGTGAAAACGATGCGTGTGTTGTCCCAATCCATCATGCCTGCCAGGATGCCCTTCGTCGTGACGTCCGGCCATGCTTATTGCTCAGAAACCCACCGATGCCTGCTGACCAGTTCTTCTCTTTGTTCATGTCTATAACATCGGTGGGCGTAAATCTTTCATACCAGAGTCACAGCACACTGATCAGTGACACATTCACAGAGGCTTGAGCGCAGGACTTACGTAGAAGACATCTTCGCTGGTATTCGTGGTGGGTCGAAGGGTATTTCGCCACTAGCGCGGATGCAAGGACTGGTTGGGGGCTTTGGATGGGTGGGGAACGGTAACTATAGTGATGAGCTGCTAGAGTTGGGCTCGTTCCTGCTCGAAGGACGAGAAACACGAATCGCGACCGTGGAAGCTCTCACGTGCTACGCGAGGACGCAGACGCTCATGGAGCGCCCATCCGCGCATACAGTTGCGGACAGGCAAACTCGACAAATTCGACGCCTAACGTAAGTCGATTTTTCTAGCTTCCGCAAGTTGTGTGAGATGTCGGGAAAATGCATGAATGGGACGAGAATAGACAGTAGAAGAGAGTTGTACGAGCGAAATTTCTCTCCGTGCACTTTTGGCGAGATACCTCAAAAATTTGGCCGACGCTTCAAAAAAATTAGTAAAAATAACGAAAAATATACCAATCGACTCCTTTCGACGAGCAGATTATGATTCCGCTGAGAGCGCCCATCTCGTAGAATATTTGCGCCCAGAATTTAATAGCCTTTATGCGGGTCCCACTCTTCAACTTGTACGGCCGGTCGGTTGCGGAAACGTGCTCGCAGCACTGCAGAGAAACCTCTGTTCAATGACGCAGAAGATAGCAAGTTCTGCTATCATTGTGAGGTCTGTAAAGCCTTGAGGTTCAGGTAACAGTAGCTTTGCTCACTGAGTGCTCATCATTAAGGCCAGACATGTCTACTTGTTTCTCTCTCCATTTCATTGTGAACCCAACACCGTTTGGTTGTCTTACAATATTGCGCTGTGTGGTGCTGTCTGACACAGATTATAGTACCGGGGCTAAATTAAGTAGCACTGGTTGCCTATTGTGACTCTGATGCGCTGTAAGGAGAACCGTGCGGAAGTGAGAAAGGGGTAGCATCGCGCAATTTTGGCTGCGTCGCACTGTCTCTCGGCGCACGATGATGTTTCTCGAATCTCGACGCTGCTAGGGCCCAACTTGGGACATAGATTAGTTCTATGCGTGCCCAAACTTGCCGCAAAAAGTGGCCAAAAATTTTCCGGCGCTAAAACGTTGGAGGTGCATTTTTGAGCTCCTTTCGCCTCGCTGAACCCTTTCCTGTACTCAGTTTAGTCAGGAAAATTCGCATTCGAACGCCAGCGCTTTTGTCGAGTTTGCCTGTCCGCAACTGTACCGAAATCACTTCCCGTTTCCTCGTCTGCCTCTCCCGTTTGTTTATCTAAGAGCTCTCAGATCTTGGCTATGCTAGTTTCGAAAATTTTGCGACGGGGTATACCTACTGCTGCACGCGGACACCGTTCATCCACGTCTTGGCCGCTCCCTTCCGCGGTCTACACCAGCCCCACACGCACACACGAGGCGTCGACGTCCAGTACTCCATGCGACTTCACAGAGAAGCAGCGACATGCACTAGATGCTGCTTTGCGCGTGGACCAGGCCGGCGAAATTGCGGCCAACTACATCTACATGGGCCAGCTTGCGGTCCTTGGTCGAGACAGGGTAGCGGGCCCGTTAATCCAAGTGAGCACGGACATTGACAGGCTGTCTCAAGATGCATAAGACTCATGAAACGGCGCAGGATATGTGGGACCAAGAGAAGAAGCACCTGTACGTCATGAATAAACTGCAACTTCAACATCGTGTGCGGCCAACGCTGCTCTGGGAGGTCGCTAAGGTCGCTGGCTTCGGGCTCGGGGCCGTCACCGCTCTCATGAGCAAAGAAGCTGCCATGGCATGCACTGAAGCCGTTGAAACGGTTATTGGCGAGCATTATGACGAGTGCGTTACACATACTATCCCAGAGCGCAGTAAACTGAAAATGCTATCACAGCCAGCTAAAGGAACTGGACAAAGTGAGAACATCAGACCCTAGTATACCTCTGCTCAAAGACATTATTCGGGAGTTCCGAGACGATGAGCTCGAACACTTGGACACAGCCGTGGAGCATCACTCCCAGAGAGCACCGGCGCATGCTCTACTGAGTACAGTTGTCGGCGCGGGTTGCAAGATTGCGATAGAGCTTTGCAAGCGAATATAAAGGGCCGCGTAACGTAATACTGAACCCGTGCAATGTAACATAAAGCAGAGGCGTTGACTGTGGAAAAACGTTTAATACCGATTGCACATTCTCAACTTAAGAGCGTTCTGTTAACGGCTCGCCCCTGCGCTTTGCAGACCACTTGAACTTTGTCTAGAGAGGAGTTACGTGGATGTAGCGTAGGAATAAGACGTGCAACTTACGTCCGTTACTGCACAGGTATACCAGATGAGACCAGGAACTACAACCAGGCCGAGAATTGACTGGACGGTCGTCTTAGGTGTGAAGCGGAAGTGCTTGTAGACATTCTCGCGCTGTATATACAGACATTAATATCAAAGATGACTCTCGAGGAGGGCCGAACTAATAACCATGAGGTTCCACCGCTCGATGGCGGGGTCGTGCTAGAATACGCGGGTCAGTTCGTTGCAATCCGGTGAATGCTGTTCGCTAGATACATACTTTCACTGGTCCTACATCGACACAAAATACATTCTGTGAGTACAGACGACTCAATCGTGCGCACCCACGTAAACGCACCATCGTGCCCGCCAGCCATGGTGAAGTCGGGAAAGAGAGGAAAGTTGGCTCATTTAGCGCCTATCTTCCACTTGACTTCACACCATCACCATGGCTTACAACCGCGAGTGGGACAGAGGCAAGGAGACCTGGCAAAACCAAGATTGGACCGACCACAACGCGCGGGGGAACGTGCGAGAGCGAGACGAGGACTATTACGGCGAGGGAAAACGCAGGAAATACAACGATGGGGTGCGTATTTTGTCACTCTTGCAGGAGCATTGGAGTCAATGAGCACAGGGTCACGGTGCCCCCGCCGCGGGACATGACGATAGCGGATATGAGATGTATACTCAAGGACGAAACCACACGAATATCTGGTCTGACCACGGGAAGAAACGACATGGGCCTAGTGAAGCCAGTCCACACGTAATCTTCCTTGGCTTGGACCCGGATTTTAACGAAGCGGACGTGCGTACATACCTTGAAAATTCTTATCATCTGTGCTCTGATGCTATACAGCTTCAAGCCTATCTCGTCGGAAAGAAATGCACACCTGAGACCGTGACAATCATCCGAGATAGATCAACAGGCACTTACTTGCCCCTTCACTCCTGCATGTGCAAAGTGCATTAACATCTTTCTCTCTGTCGCTCGCATGCGATTTTTTATTTATTCAAGGTCACTCCCGCGGCTTCGGCTTCGCACAGTTTCCAACCGTCGAGCAAGCCCGTGCCTTCGTCGACCCGCTCTTCCCGTTTATTGACCTTCCGCCACCGGCATCGCATGGCGCCACCGCTCGCACCGCCTTTTACAAAGCCCTCGAGGCAGGCCAGCAGCACAACGGTCGCCGCATCAAGATTGACTATTCGCAGAGCGCAAGCCCGGCGGGACGACGGGGCCCGCTGAACACAAACGACGGCACTCGGGACATTGGCAACACCCAGGGCCCCGTGCTGCTCTTCCGCGGGCTGGACCCGCTGTCCGGTCCTCAGGCGATTGCACAGGCGATGAAGCTGTCGTCTGGGCCCGGGAAGGAAGGCGCAAAAGGCATGAAACGCATCGTCCTCATCAAAGACAAAGTCACGATGGCTAGCTGGGGCTTTGCTTTCGTCGAGTTCATTGATGTGCAGGTATGTCATACGTTGTCGTATTATCGAAATAGCATTCAAAGTTATATCACAGTCCGCCGCCGCCGTGCTCGGTGCAACGATGTCTCCACAACTTCACCCCTCTGGCTTCCGGATCTCGGAGCGACCAGTGGCTGCGTCGTTTGCCCATCCTGAATCTTTCCAGCCGATATCTGACTTTGCTATCAGAGATGATGCTTGCATCGCATCTTCACTAAGCCTCGGTGGCGTTGAGGGCACGTGGGTGCGCTATTGGGACGAGAGCTCGGCTATTGCTGTGCTCGAGTTCAAAGTTGACTTGCCGGTGCAGCCTACTCCTGAACAGGCTACAAAAGAGAAGAAAAAAAGGCTCAAAGGTGAGCGGGAAAGTGATCGTTGCTTACATATCCTGATAGACCTGGGTTTAGTCGACAAGCTGGCTGACAGCAAGCCTGCGGAAGCGTCCACTCTCCCGGTCTCAGATAAACCTGTCACACTAAGCTTCAAGGGTGCTCTCGGACAGAAGACCGCTTTGACAACCCCAGCTGCCAGCACGACTACAAAGAAAGCTGCACCCGCTGCACTCGGTTTCTCGTTGAACGATGAGGAGGGTGACGAGGAAGATGACGAGGCAGGGGAGAAGAATGATGCCTCCGCGGACGACAAGGGTCTGTCTTACGCCTTAGGATGCGAGAAAGTGCATTTGTGGATGTGTGCATTGACGTCTCGCTCGATGCAGTTGCTGTTGCGAAGAAGTCGGTCGCGCCAATGGTTGCCAGCAAGAAGGTATGTGTTCCCTCTACTGGCTTGACACAGATATCTTATTTTAAACAGACGGCGAATAATATCACGAAATGGAACCAAGTACAAGAGGAGCTCAAGGATGGCCCGGTTTCCGTCGCTGGCCCATCCACCACAACGGTATGCTTGTCGCTCGATGTGGCTTTTTCCCGATGAACGACGTTCTGGTAGGATGTCGCGGCGCCCTCTTTGGCACCAATAAAGGCCAAGGATAAGTCAACAACACCCGCGCCTGCCGAGGCCGAGTTCGAGTTCTCCGACACAATGGCGTTGACATGCTTGCTCTGCGCGCGGCAGTTCAAGACCTTAGACCAGCTGAAGCGGCACAACAAAGAATCTGAGCTGCACAAGGTATATCACCCCTCTCCGCTGTCTGTAGTCGGACATTGATAGAGTCACCATCCCTAGAAAAACTACAAAGACGCCAGCTTGCGCGAAGTCGCACGTGAGAAGGCTAAAGCCACGCGGGCCAAGGCCGAGCAGCAGCAGCCCAAGTACCGCGACCGCGCCTCGGAGCGGCGCACGATCTACAACCAGCCCGAGATTCCGCTACCCGAGTCCAGCAGCAGCAGCGGCAAGGGCGCGAGCAAGAAGCGGCACGCCGAAGGACCGCCGCCGCCGCCTTCGCCACCTCCGCCTCCGGTGAACCCCGGCGAGGACCAGAACAACGTCGGGAACAAGCTGCTGAAGATGATGGGCTGGACGGAGGGCACCGGCTTGGGCACAGACGGCGAGGGCCGTGTGGAGCCGATGTGAGTTGTTATTTGGTCTTATGTGAGGGGCATTCAGACGCTGACGATGTTATGCAGCCAAACTGCGATTTATGCCCAGGGCGTGGGCCTCGGCGCGAGCAAAGGCAAAGAGATCGGCAAGTACGCTGAGGGGTACACCGGATACGTGCAACAAGCGCAGGAGGCGGTGAGTGCTCTACTTCCATGCGAGCGTTTTGACACACGGAAACTACGGAGACCTGAGAGGACGCGTACTGACCGAGCTTCATGGCGGCACTAGGCACGAGAACGCTACAACAGCTGAAGCACACTACGTGGTTCTTCTGTGAGGATGACTGACGATCTAATACTGTCCTTGCTTCTACGGTTCGTGTCCATATGTATTATTTATTACTCCAGCATGGTCTCCAGTGGCCAGGCATATTAGTCGGATACATATCATCCTGCCGTTAGGGCACAGGTCGACATAACGAGTAATACAGCTACTGCGTAAGGAATAAAAACAAAGAGCTCGTGTCTCAGAAGCGGTGGTATGGGTCGTCGACAGGCTAGAGAGTGGAATGCAAACCGAGAGCTCAGAACAAGACGAAGCCGAGACCGCAGAGAGCCGCGAAGAGGACAGAGGAGAGGGGTGTGAAAGCAGAGCCGGCACCGTTAGATTGGCTGCTGGAGGAGCTGCTGCTAGTAGGAGACGGGGGAGCGGTTGAGGACGCGATGGTCTGCGCGGCGGGCAGAGTCGAGGTCACGACGGGGGCAGTCGAGGACGGCGTAAACGTGGCAGTACCCTCCTCGACCGTGATGTATATTCCCTGGAGGATGTTAGCACATATCTGCTTCGGGAAACACGGATCAAGCACTTACAGCTACGATGGGACCAAGGTTGCTCGAGTTGACATAATCAGTGAGGTTAAAGGTCGAAACGCCGATGTTGGGGGTGTTGAAGCCGTCGGGTGCGGTGAAGTTCTCCGGTTGGGTATAGAGAAGGATGACGTAGCTGTACTACATCAGCCACAAATGCGAATGAGGAAAGGCAAATCGATGTGACTGACCGATGGGCACCGCTACCTTGCGCGGGAGCAGGGCCAGCGTAGTCGGTAATGGCAACGCCAGAGCTGGTGGTCACGTTGAGCGGGTCGGATCCTACAGGAACCAAAGTATTATGAAGGCTGCGCAGAAATCAAAGGTGCAGACGCACCAGTCAGGGTGACACCGTTGACGAGCCAGTGACGCGTCTGTCCCTGGGTCTCGTCAGTGCCGACGGGACCAGCATCCGCCATGACCAGGGTGTAGTTTCCGCTGAGCTGGATAGTTGAGTTGGCCGGGGTGACCGTAAGGTTGGGAGTGGGCGAAACCTCTGTATATCTATCAAAACAATGGCAGACACAGCGAAAACAGCACACGTACGGTCCTGGGTCAACTGCTGGCCTGGAGAGATGGAACCCACGCCAGAGTACGACAAAGCCATGACCGCAACAGGGTCGAAGGTTGTCAGAAGCGAGGGCACGATGCCTGCATTGCTAAAGTGAGCCTCGATAGCTTCAATCCCGAGCTCGGTGTTGTTGGCCTGCGCGGCGACAAGGGCGGCAAGGGCGACGGACACAAACGCGGAGGTGAACTTCATGATTGCAAAGTTACGCAGTACTGCGGATTATAAAAGAATGACAGCCGGTTGCAAGGAGCGACGATGAAGGAGAGAGGAAAGTGAAGGGCGTTGTGCCCGCACATGATGGTGGTTTATATATCCTGCGCCTGGCTTCGAGCTTCGTTCAAGACATGCCAAGCTTTCGAAGCCACGACAAGCGCTCTCCGCGAAAACATACGAAAATATACAGCTTGCATGTCGTAGTTACAGTAGTTGCATGGAAAATTAATCAGTGTGTCTAGCCAAATACCATCTGCCAGCAATGGTCCGCGTCGAAAGAAAGGATCCAGAGATACACGTCGGGAGTAGGAGTGCCTAATACAACAAAATTGCGAGTGTCAGGATAAATCTGAGCGAAAATCAAAGCATGGAGATAATCGTCCGTTGGGTACCCATTAAGCGTCGTCTTGAACCTCTGTCCTGCCTTCGGCCGCCTCTACTGGCTCCTCCGGCGGTGTCTCCGGAGTAGTTTCAGCTTGGGGTTCGGACACAGGCGTAGCCACTACAGATTCAGCCTCGTCTTCCCCGTGTATGCCAATCATAAGTTCAGACACAGAGCCTAGTGACCCTTCGTGCATATGCCCACTGTCCGAGAGGGCATCGCTAGAAGACAATCGAGACGACCCCTCCAAGTCTTCAGAGATGCCACGCATTCTCCTCCGTGATCGCCTGTGCGGCGTGGACGATGACGTCGACGCAGTGGGCGACGCCGGTGCCAGTGCATCGAACCCATCCGACTTGAGGCGCGCGAGCATGTCTCTTGCGATGTCCACAGTGTCGTTGCCGTTTCCTTGTGTGGCGGCCAACAATCCTGCAGCGCTGAGTTCAAGGGGCGCAGCAGGTCGAGCAGTCGGGGTCGGCCGTGTCCTGCGTGCTTTCCTGCCGACGTTATCCCCATTGCGGAGCTTCTCGAGCAGGTCATCCAGGACAGCATTGTTCTCGGTGTCGTCTTGTGCTGCCGCCTCCCTCGCCTTCTCCCGGTGGAGTCTCGCTTCCTCGGAGGCTTGCTTGCGCTTCTCAGCCGCCACCTTCTCTTCGAATAGAGCCAGGTTGTCTGTTTTGGATTTCTACACAAGTGCACGTGAGTACCACACTAACATGCTTGGGATCAGTCATAGTACCTTGTAAGATGTCACGAACGTCTTGAAGATACCATAAAACTCAGACGAGCTCATATTCCGTTCATCTTCACCATAGTACTTGACGACATCATTGAAGGTTGTATCCGCATGATTGACGTCGTCAACCAAGTCATCGACCTGGCTAGTTGCTTTCCGGACGAAGTTCCACATCTGCTTGCCATACCGATCGACCTGCTCAGGATCCGAGAAGTGATCCGTAAGCTCTTGCTTGATGCGTTTGAGACCTTCGCGTAGTTCGGTCAGACTTTTACGGACATCCTGCAAGTTGACTGCGCGACAAATGCGTAAGCGAGGGTCAGAAAAGAGAAGCACAGTGCTGACCTCGATAAGCCTCCGCAGGGGCTGCAAGCTCGTCCAGGAAGTGCTCCATATCCAGGAAATGCTTGGAGACTGTTCGTTCCAGGAAGTGCAGCAGGGTTGTATTGTGCAGCGACTTGGTGTCAACGAGCTTGTTGATACTGCTGACCCTGAAGCCAAAGGCACCTCCCTTCACACCGGTGCCGTTCATGTAATTACCGATGAGCAGGATCAGCTGAAAGAACATCAGCCACGCTCAAAGTAAGAATCAAGCTTGGCTTACGCTGAGCAGCTCCTTAAAATACTTCGCATTCAGCAAAGCAGTGCCAGCCTCGGACAACTTTCGCGCGCTCTAAAAATCGATCAAGCATCAGCACTGTACGATAAACTTGCGAAGCACGACTGACATCGTCCAATAACGCCCACGTCTCGTCGAACTTCCGCCTGTAGAGCATGCCTTCAATACGTGGACCAAGGCGTTCGATCTTGATGAGTTGCACCATGAGCCGATCTGAGGGATGAAGGCCTGCAAGTTCTTCTGGGTCTGCATTTCTGTAGACGTTGAGCTTGCCGACCTGCAGGAAGACAGTTTAGTTTTGGCCGGGATATGTTCACGCGATACGTACCTGCTCAGGATTCGGCAACACCGGCTTTAACTCGCTAAGGAAGACCTCTGTGCAGACTTCTTGGTCGAAATGCTTGATTTTCATGGCAATTTCTTCGGGCTCCAGCTTCTTGACAGTTTGGATGAGGATCTCAACTCGCTTCTTGGTTTGCGGGTCGAGCACACTCTTCAGTTCAGCTCGCTTCTGTTTAGCTGCGGGCGGGTGTCAGTTGCTCAGGCGCTTAATGCAGCGCAAATCGAGCTTACCCATGAGGTTTATAACGAGCTGTTTAGCCTTGAAGTCCTCCTCCATCTCAGTCCAGACCCCGTCCAGTTGGAACTTCTTGATCCATTCGTTCTCCTTTTCGGGCTGCTCGTCGTTGAACACAGTCTTCGTGACCTGCTGCTGCGGCAGCTTGTCCCACTGCAGCTGCTTCAGCTTAACGCTCGGCGTGATCAAAATGTCCTTGCGAATGTTAAGCAGGTTTTGGAAGTTTGCACCGAGTAAAGGAGACTGTCCAGAAGAGCCTGGTTGAGAACCGAAGGGTGACGGTCCGCGTGGTGGGGGAGGTGGCGGCGGCGGCGGCGCGCCGACCATGGCGGTGGGCACGGCCACACGGTGACCTGGAGGTGGAGGAGGCGGAGGCGGAGGAGGCGGAGGAGCGCCGCCCGCAGTAGGAACAGCCATTCGCGTCCCTGGAGGCGGCGGCGGCGGCGGTGGTGGTGGCGGCGGCGGCGGCGCGTCCGCAATGCCTGCAATGCCCAGCCCTGCCATAGGTGGCGGGGGTGGTGGCGGTGGCGGCACGCCATCCGACGAGGCGCCTCCATGTTGTTCTGCCTCTTCTGGAAGTGTCGGTAATGTCTGCGCTGGGGAGTTGTCAGGGCTAGGTTCGGAAGGTGGTCGACCCTTAAGCGTGAGCTGCCTCCGAAGCTCCTCAGCCAGAGACCCTGGCACCGGAGTCCTCGATGTGCGAGACGACGAAGCGGAAGCAACAGAAGTCGCATTTGTCGACGCGACACTCCTAATGCTTCTTGTGGATTGTGAGCGGCGGACACCATCGTAGTTGCCCTCATCACCTTCCGCACCAGAGAGCATACTCTGATCGCTCTGCTCACCATGTTCATCTGCGGGTGCTAGCAGCAGTCCGCCAGACGTAGTGGGAGATGTAGCAAACTCTCCCAGTTGCGAGCGCAGGTGCGGACGTCGAGGCGAGCCGCGTATGCTTCTAGGGCTATATGAAGGTCCATCGCGTGGTGGATACTAGCGCCTTGTGAGCATATGATGAGATAATCAACGATTTCGCCATACGCACTATTTTCACACCTTGAGCAATTTGTTGCTGTATCTGCTCCTGGACGATTGCCTCGTCTGCGTCCATGAACTGTGACGAACGACCATTCTGTGCCTCTGAGGCGCGCTGAGCGTCGGTGACACTTACAGATTTCCCAGATTTGCTGCGCTTCATGTTCGATGCACCGGCACGTTTGCGAAGACTGCCAGCTTTCGTCGGCGTGTCCTCCTCGTCCGCGGTGCCCTCAGAGTCCTCGCTTTGGCCCGCCTGTCCATTAACGCCCTTGGCCTTTCGTCGCCTGTCACGGCCCTCGAGGATGCCGATCGTTTTATCGCGCTGGAGGTGCTTCTCGAGAGTCTCTATGAGCGTCTTGCGGTCCATGCCTCCCGAGTTCTCGATGATATGGTTGACGCCCTTGCCCACTTCCTTCAGCATCCGGAAGAGTTCCATGATCTGCGCCTCCAGCTGCTGGATCTGTTCCTCGTAGTTGAGCTTCTGCGCCTCCATCTGTGCCTGGAGCTTGGCAGTATTATCCCGCGAGACCTGTAGCTTTTGCTCAAGGCGCGAAGTCTTGTCTTTGAGCGTCGATACCAAGCCTTCGCCACCCTGAGCAATTTCCTCCTCCAAAGCCTCCTTCTCTAGCCTCAGCCGCAGGGCGTTCGCCTGAGCTCTGGCAAGCTCGTCCTCAACATTCTGGTACCGATCGGCCTCGTTGAACTGAGCGATGATGCGCTCAACGGAACGACCAAGACGAGCTTCACCACCGCCCAGCTGCTTGTCCATCACGAGGTCTGTGACTGCCCCGTCAACAATTTGGAAGTAGTAGGCCAGGGCGGGCCCTTCCTCCCGGATAAGTAGCAGATGCTGCAACATCGACAACAGGTAGTCACGAGCCTTGCTATCTGCTACTTTGGCCTTCAATGCGTTGAAGACGTCCTCAGGGTTCGCGAGATCCCTCAGGATTTCGTGGTCCATCCGCTCCTTCAGCTTCTGCTCGTCGTCATCGAGGTTCTGCTGCAGCTTATTGAGCTGCTTCTCGATGGCATCGACTGCGAAAGTACGACATTGCCGGACGATGCCTTGCAAGCCTGCCGCTTCCATCATGGCGCGATGGTGAATCCGCATGTCCAAGTCGTCCATTTTCTCGAAAATACCATTGATGAGAAGCAGGTTAGACGTCTAGACGAAGAAGTCAACTTCCTGTGCCCGGAGTAGAAGCGAGATGCGTACGGTGTAATCGTTGAGCGAAGGATCTACACCTCCATGTCGCTTGATCTCCTCACTCGCGCCGACTAGTGTCCCCATCCGCCCACGACCGATAAGCGACTGCTCAAATGACTTGAACCAGAACGTATAGCAGCTCCCGTGTTCATGATTCGATTCGCTAAGGGTATGTAGTGCATCGATGACTTGCTGGTGTGCTTGTCCATCGTTGAAATACACGAGAAAGACTAAGATATCTAGGAGCAATTTCCGTGTCGGTAGATGGGGCGTGTTCAGGGAAGAGGAGATTTGCGTGACAAGCGTGCTATGGTTCAGCGCGTCGTTGGCAGCAAACTAAGTCACTGTATGCATTAGAAATGCATCTTCAATGCACGATACATGCGTACCGGGTGATTGAGGATGTATTTGATAGTCTTCGCAACTTCGTATTCGACCTCTGTATCCTCTCTCCTCCTACAACTTTGTCAACGATATGACAATGCCAGGTGAATGTTTCGTGGCTCACCGTTGCATTTGTTTCCGACTAATATGCATAAGAGTCTGCGCCAGCACAGACGTTCCCTGCAGCTCTACGAAATGCCTGAACCAACTGGACATGCACGTCAAACGAGATGCATGCATTCGCAGAATACTGTCACGTACCTGACTTCCTTCCCTCTAAGAGACACTTGCAACCCCGCTGCCTGCTTTGGTGTAATGGTCCTATCCATGAATTTCTTCATATACCACTCGGGAGTACCTTCAATCAAGAAGGCAGCCTGCCCCGGCTCTGTTTGCCTCTTCGCCTGCTCCTCTCTCTGCTTCTCCTCCTTCCACCGCAGCTGCTCGTCGCTGTACACCATGTGCCATTTCTGATCCACCGTGAGGTTCGGGAGCTCCCCCAACCCGCGCGTCCGCCTTATGTTCTCGAACAACGCCTCGATATCCTCGTCGTGCTCCGGCCGAGGGAAGAAGAAGTCGCTCCCACCATGGCTAACATGGCGATGCAAGTGTGAAGAGAGGGTCGAAAGGTGGCCGTGCGAGTCAAAGGAGCTCAGCGAGGGCGTGTACCGCGAGGAGGACCGCTTCTCGTCCGTACGCGAGGTCGCTATTGTTGGCGCCGCGGACGTGGGCCGGGAGGACGACGACGACGGAGACGAGTCTCCGTTTAATGTGCGCGTCCGGCTCGCAGGGGATGTTGGCGAGGGCTGCGCGAGGTCGGTCGTGGACGACCCGCTTTCGCTCCCGCGGTAGCGGCGTCCGTTCGCCCTGCCCGACGGGCTCTCTGGGTCGTTGTACAGCGTCTGCGAGTCCGACGTCGCGATGGAGCTGTTGGGCGAGCCCGGTCGGCCGAGCGGGCTCGCATCGCGGTAGGCACGCTCGCGGTCCTGGCGGTTCCGCGCCATGGCGTACTTGTTGAGCTCGGTGCCATTCGCAGTAAGAGTCGGGTTCGTCATCGGCGCAGAAATGACCGCCGTAGGGTTCGCACGTAGGCCTTGCGACATGGTGTTGACCGTCATTGGGGACTTCTGTGGGGGCCCTAGCTTGTGGTAGGGCACGGAGCCAGTAAGCTCTTGGTGAGTCGAGGCAGAAGAATTCCTCGCGCGGGGCTTTTTCTTGCCAAAGAACGAGTCCATAGTGGCTGCAGAGAATCTAGATCAAGGCCCTACGTTGGGTGCAAGGGTATAGAGGGTATCTGTAGGATCGGGAGAAGTACTGGAAGTAGCGGCGCACAGGAAGGCGATGAGAACCAGGAATTATTTGAACCTATCGAGCAAGTCAGGACGCGTATACTCTGGTGCTGACGGTCGTCCAAATTTCCAACAGCATTTGCTGTCCCCAAGGGTGTATAAAGGGACTGTCGCCAGCTACAGAGCCCGAAGCAGGTGCAGATCAAGTTCAAGCACGGACTGCACTGGATAGAGACGCGTCGGCGCTTCCGTTATAGGCCAATAACAATCGGTAACAAGCATGTTTACCCGTTTCGCTATCTTTTCTAACAACTTTGTTGTTGGTTCTTGCGAGCGTCGCTGACTTACTTTCAAAGGTCGGTAATCACCGTCTCTAAGCAGCGATCGGTTCTTACGTATGTTCGCACGTCTCGGTTAAACGAATGACGATGTGGGGGAGAATTTCTACATATCCGTAACATCATAACAATACAGGATATAAATAATAGAAGAGGAATTAGGTATTGTTTGTCATCGAATTGTCGCCGAACGCGCCTGGAATAGAAGTGCGCTCTGCTGTAACCGCCGGAGACGGGGCGCTGTCCGATTGTGGAACGGGCGCAGTAAACCAAGAAGCAAAGCCGCGGAAGTTGAGACGAGCCACAGAAGGGGACGTAGAGCTCCGCTGAGGCGCAGGAGGGAGATTCTCTTTAAGAGGCGCAGACACCGAATTCGAGTTCAAAATCTTCGAAGGCGATTTGGAAGTCGAGCTGGACAGAGTTACTTGTAAGTGCGCCACTTCAGCTTGAAAGGCGCCGACCAGAGACTCCGAGTAAGCCAAGCGGTCGTTCAGATCCTCGTTTTCCGCCTTCAACTGAACCATAGCGCTGCGCGTTTTGACAAGCTCCTCCTCGTAGTGATGAGCCTTCTGGACGGAGTCGAGCTGCGCAACAATTCGTTCCACAGAGAGACCAAGACGCTTTTCGCCACCACCAAGCTTCTCGTCCATAACCAAGTCGGCTACCAAGGTACCGATCAACTGGAAGCGATTTACAAAAGTTGCATCGTCTTGGCGTATATATAGGAGGTGTTGCAGGGTAGACAGAAGATAGTCCTGTGCTTTAGAGTCGTGTGTCCGCTCGCGAAGGATGTTGAAGACTTCGTCAATGTTACGAAGGTCGCAGCGGCTGTCCAGAGACATAGATTCTTCCAGGTTCTGTTGATCGTCATCCAAGGTCTGCTGAAAGAGCTCAAGTTGTTTATCGATGCCAGGTATGTTGAAGCCTCGCGCCAGGTCAAGAATAGCGTAAAGACCAGAAGACTCCATGAGAGAACGATGGTGTAGTCGGACGTCGAGATCGTCGATTGCTTGCATAATCCCGTTCATAAGGAGAATGTTGGACATCTGCACGTAAGGTATGGTTGGACGTCACGCAGAATAGGACCTACCAGATACTCCGTCAAGTTCGCTTCTAATGTCGCGCCTGAACGCCTGAAGTCGGGGCTTGCACCAACGGGGGAGCCCAACATCTTGCCGCGGCCGGCGAGAAGGGAGTGGAGCGAAGCGAACCAAAACGCGTAACATCCACCAGACTCGCCGTTGTCCTCACTCAAGGCTTCAAGTCCGCGGATGACCATTTGATAGCCAGTGCCATCGTTCCAGTAAACCAAGAAAATGAGGATGTCCAGGACAAGTCGTCTAGTAGGGAGGTGAGGGATGTTGAGTGCTGAAGTAATGCGCGTGACGATTTCCTGCGGATGCTGCGCCAGCGCGACCCGCGTAGCTGACTAACGAGGTGTCAGTGAGATCACCTGTGAGGAAGACGGGGACAAACCCGGTGATTGAGAATAAACGTGATGCATCGAACGACCTCGAACTCGGCATGGGTGTCCTCCTGACTGCTGCGACGTGAGCTTCGCGTGCCCCTATGCCCGACTCTGCACGTACCGTGGCGAACTCCGTCGGCTCAACTGATGCAGCCGGCAGGCGAGTACAGCCATACCACCCAGCTCTGCGAACTGCTGGACCCAGCTGCGACTCGTTCAGTCAGTAGAATGAGCGCGGGGTATATGAGACATACTCCGGATCCCCACTCTGCAACAGGGCCTGCAGGTCCGCCATCTGTTTCCTCGACGCGTTCTTGTCCTGGATCTTCTTGATGTACCACTGGGGCATGCCTACCGTCTTCTGCTCTGTGGGCCTGGGTCGACCGCCACGCTTAGATGTCTGGGAGACAGGACCACTCAAGGGCTCCGTGGGCGCGACTGCGTTCGCGGAGGCAGACTCGGTCAAGCCGTTCTCCACAGAGGCCGATCCATAGGCAATGAAGTCGTCTGCGGTGAGGCCGTCTTTGCGTGTCTCAGAGGACGCCATGACGCAGGTTCAGAGATGACGGCGAGGCGCGAGTGGTTGGAGTTCGCAACGCGCAGTTGGAGTCTCTCGTGGGCGCTCAAGCGCTCAGACGTCAGCAGGGTGTGTCAACGGGCGCCCGTTAGGGGTCATAAAAGCGCTGTGGCGCGGCGCAGGGGCACCTCGCACATGTCTTTCACGAACCCCCACGCCATATATCACCGCATCATCTTGTAACATACCACCACACTACAACTCTAATGCTCGACAAAATTATCCCAAAGTCCTCCAGCGATCCGATCAAGTGTGGTAAGAAGGAAGTTCAATCGTGGGGTTTTAAACACGTCTTCACTTGGACGGACGGACCGTGAGTCTTACCCCGCACTCCTGTTAGCTTCCGCCCACTGATACGCGAACTCGACCCAGTAACACACACTATAAACCACACACACATAACGGGCTCACGACTCACCTTATCATCAATGGCGAATTCACGATGTGCTATCCGGAAGAGGAACCGGGAAACAAGACGACATTCGGACCCGGTGCACGAGTCGACGTCCCTGCCGGCAAGGTACATGAAGTTTGGGTTGGGGGAAAGGGCTGCACATACGTCATTGGCGAATGTGCCTGATGTCCAGTGGAAGCCATAAACTGCCAAACATGTATCTGTATCCCGCGAACAAGCACACTTGCAGTCGTTCTCATGTACGTGCACTGCAGATACTGCAGTGCTCAGTCAGTGAGCTACTATAAGTAGCGCGCCATTATCACGTCGACGTCCATTAGCTCATCTCCTCCGTGACGACTTCGTCGTGACGGACAGTCATGATGTCCACGACTCCTATAAGACGTGGCGTGACAAAAGTGTGCAAAGATGCATGCTCCAGGTTTAAGGGAACCACAGAAGCTCGACTAAGTATCTAAACAAACCACCACATCCCATCCCTTGACGATGTCGAGAATCGCCCTTCCTTCTTCACGAACGAGAACGCAGGCTTCGGCAGGGGTAGCGCGTCGTTGACCGACTCGACTGACGCGTCCGCTTCCTCCACAAATATAGATTCGTCTCCTTTCTCGATATCTTTCGATGGGGGCTGCAGCGAAGGCGTGTTCAGAGCACTGTTGTTCGGATGCGGCGACGCCACGAGAGTCGGGGATAGCTGCCGCGAGCGCTTTCGCAGCTGCGCTTGCAGGCGTTGGCGGGCAATGAGGGGTTGGATCCACGCGTAGTAGACGGCAGCTGACAGGCCAATACAGAAGGCCAGAGCGAGAGCGCAAACGAAGGCAAGCCCGACTAGGATATACGTGGTTAGCGTCGTGCTAAACAGCTCCAGGGGTGCTCGTTCAGACGTACCTGGGTTGATTCCGGCGGGCATCTTGTGGCGTCGCAGGCGATTGGCGGCCGGGTCTGGTAGGTGAAGCCTACAGCGGTAGTTGGATAACGGGCGTAAGTGTTAGACGAACGTGCGCGGGGCAGCAGAGCAGCATATATGCGTCATTTGAATCGCGACTGCCAGCCGCATTGGATGCTGACGCTGAAGCCAAGCTTCATGAGACCTGCATGGTGAGTGTTGACGTATTGGTGGAAAATTCGGAACGCTTATTCTGTATGCAGTAGATTGATTAATGGCATTTCCAAAGAAGTGAATCGTCAGTTTCAGACTGTCACATTCACGCGAGTCACTTTGCTGGCGGTGCAAAGCAGAGGCTTGCAAGAAGAAGCTGGTGGCAAGCTACAATGATAAATTGCTCGAGGCTGACAAAAAAGCAGCCTTTTGTGATGCAGCCGTGTCGTCCGAAAGGATTCCAGCCTCCGCCGTGTTTAAGGAGCGAGACTCTGCTGGCTACCACCCCTCAGCACATCTTGACCTGCATCCACTACCATCCCCACGCATACACCTACCTAAATCTCCACACACTGCGCACATCATGCCTTTCTGCTGGACCAACGTTCACATGTCCCGTCCCGCTCCTCGCGCGGCCGTCGACCTGATGAGCCTCAAAAACATCGCCGCGCCGACGATCGCTCGCCCCCCGCGTTCGTCGTCGCTGCGCAACATGCAGCAGGCTGCACCTGTCGCACTGCGTCCTGCCATGAAGCTCATCCCACTGTCGGTCGCGGCCCAGCGCGACGACGTCAAGCGCCGCGAGGAAGGCTTCGAGATGCGGCAGCGTGCGCTGCACCTAGCGCTTATGCGGTGCGACATCAAGCCTTAGATTCTTTTCTCTTTTTCCTTATGTTGTAATTGGGTCCCGCCGGCACTCGGTGGACGGCCGAGGAAGTGCACAGCCGACGCCCGAAACTGGGTGCCCGGTCGTGTTCGGAGGAACTTTTCTGGCTTCGTGGATGTCGCCTGCCGCTTTATGCTCTCTCTCTCTCGCCTCGGACTTGTCTCTGTCCGTCTCATCGCTCCTCTGGGGGCTCGAGATGGTATGTCATGCTGACATAAGCTTACCTTACAGGCTGGTCGACCACATTCCACGCGCACAACGACCCAGACTCGGATCGACGGCGGAAGCTCGAGGCACGCGCGATGTTGGCCGCGTCGGCGTGCCCCGAGCTTCTGTGGGGATAGGGTGGGCCCGCCCTTGCCCCCACATGGTGCCAGCCGCCAGGGCCCTTCTGGCGGCTGACATCGTCCTGAGGGATAGGGATGGCCAAGGGCGTGGCGCTCGCCGCCCGCGGTTATCCCGGCGCAGGCTTCTTCGTTAGCCCCTCAGGATTAGTACCCCGCTGGGCATAGACTTACGCGGGGGAAGCCAACATGCGCAGGGCTCGAAGGTAGGTCTTTAGTTTCCTCTGGTGAGAGGTCTTGCTGTCGGGCTGCGTATACATTTCTGGAGTACGATATTAAGCCAATGTGCACGCATTTGCATCAAGAGAAGTACAAGTGTGCACGAGTCCTAATCGGAGGATCGAAACAATTCAAACATCGCCTTCGAGCGAAGCCTAAACGCAGCCTCGAACGGCTCGGGCGCACTGCACATGTTATTGGCCTTGCGCTGCAAGTCCATAAAGAACTATGGGGACGCACCTTAGTAGTCCAGCACAATACTTGCCACTAGGCTCAACTACATTACCGCTTCCATCGACGGCCTTCTCAATCGAATAAACGTGTAAGATGTTAGCAATTGTCAACCACAGAGTGTCCAGGGCGAAGTAGCGTCCGGCGCAGATTCTGCGGCCATGCCCGAAAGCTTCTGTTGGCGCTGAGACCTCTGGATTGAGCTGCCCGTCTGCAGTCAAGAAGCGGGTAGGATCAAACACGTCTGGGTTGGGGTATCGTGATTCGTCGTGGAGAATTGCCCTGAGTATTCTCAGTTTGCATGTGCGTCATGGCACAGCTTCGTGGACGTACCACACATTCGCAATCATAACTGAGCCGGAAGGGATGTAGTATCCTTCATATTCGTCGTCTCCCATTGATTTATGAGGAACACCTAGTAAAACATTAGAAGATTTCTCTGGAGAATGACTATGGCTAAGGCGAGCCTAGTGGTCCCACAGGACGCCATCTGCACACAAGTAAGCGTCGAGAAAAACGAAATTGAAGATTGTATCACACCTCAATGTCTCCCGCATAATGGCTGTAATATATGGAAGAGACGCTCTATCCTCGAGTGATGGCAGCCGGTTGCTCCCTACGATGCGGTCCAACTCAACTTGCACCGTGCGTTGAACATCGGGATAAAGCAACATGGCCAGGATAAACGATGTCAGCGTAATGATCATCTATGATAAACTTCTAATTGAGATGTGACCGCACGCGGAGCACCTGGAATATGCGTACTGTGTCGGAAGCCGCTGATAGAAATTATATTTAGTCAGGATGCGTGTAACGAACACGAGCTGTTAGACGTGATACATACTCGGATATGCCATTCCCGAGACATTCATGATAACGTCTTCCATTTCTCTAGTGTCTTCGCCCTCCTTCAGTCCTTCCAGGAGAGACCTCGTGATGCTTGGACTTGAGTCTCCTCGCCTCTTCCAGAATGCACATGATTAGCCCCTGACAGACTCATTCCAAGGGAAAGATCCTTACGAGAGCGGCCTTGACTTCATTGAAAGGCAGTTCGTACGCCGCATCCACGGTTTTCTTCCACTGCTCTGCTTGACGCTTGAAGCCGGCGCCAGGAAACCAGCTCGGCAGGTATTTCACTAGTGTGCCGTCACGAGTAAGCTCGCGCGAGAATCACTATCAATGGGCCGATGACTCACAGACGGGAATGCTGTCCACTATAGCCAAATTCGCTCAGTGAGTTCGAGGAATGTACGACGGAAATCCTAAAATACCAAGGAAAGATCCCGGCGTGCCTATGGTCGAGAATATTTTGATTGTATCTTCAGCCAACTTGATATACTGATCGTCCGCTGACTGTACTTCTTTGCCGTAGACGATGCTGATAATGGTGGATCCTGTCATCCTATAGGCTCATGAGCAGTGTCGGGAAGCGAAGCTCGATCATGTTTTAACTTACAAACGCAAGTGTGGGACGTAGGCTTCTGGAGATTCATGCAGTAGACGGAGCAGTGTTCGGACTCCTTTCATCATCCGCGGATGGTATTCCTGCAAGGCCTTCGGACCGAAGTGACGATAATGAACCTGGAGATGCTTCTTCCATTTATCTCCGTAGTCGAAGAGCCCCCAATCTCTATCAAATCCAGTCCTAAGATTACGATAAACTAATCAGGCTGGCAACCAGATACAGAGTCGCAGATAATCTTACAACTCGAACATCATGACGGACTGTACCCTTCAGCCACTTGTCAATAACCCGGCATTTGCAAGTGCGCATATTCAGCTCACCTTCCAGAGTACACTTTCGAGCGTTTGTCCAGCAACTCCGTTGCGACTTTAGCGCTATTCAAGACCACTATATGCGTCCCGAGCACTTCGAGATGGAGAATGTCCGAGTCTACGCTTTTGTGAGATTCGAGAACAATCTGCGCTCAAAACGGAGATGAACGCATACTATATTTCTTGGCCCATTCGCTATATATGTGAGGCGATTCTTTACCCTGAGGCATATCGCGGAGGTTTCCGAGGAGAGGAAGTCCTTTTGGACCTGGAGGAAAGCGACGATGCTTGCGCCGACCCAGGAGCAGGAGGGCCAGACAGAAGACGCCCGCATATGCGACATATGTACTCAACATATCTGCTGAGAAAGGGGGTTTACGGTAACGCGACGGTTCAGTCACTTCAAAGTAGCGACTTATAGTAGGCCTGGGAATATATACAGGCTATTCGCTACCTAGTGAATGATGATTCGATGGAAGAGTCCAGGCAAGATTAGGTTTAAAGTTGAAGAGGGCAGCTGATTGTTCTTACCACGGTACCAGCCAATGAATCTTGGACTCTATGGAAGCACGCCATCCTCGCTAAGCGATAAAGTGAGCCAAAAGCTGTTCGTCGGCGTAGATAGGAGCGTAGAATCAGCTGAGAGAGATGATAGTTGTTTGGGAGGCACGGTGGCGCGAAGGTGCGGAGCTTTAACAATTTAACTCCGACCTCGGACATCGGCGAGCCGGCAGCCGACAGAGTACCGTCGGAGACTTTGCAGCTCATACGCGGCGTGATGCTCGCATTCGTGCATGTAGGTTATTTTGGTGTTTATAGCAGTACTCGTGTACGAAGGAAAGATTGAACTTTCTGGCGCGGCGGAGGAATATATGCGCCTAAAAGCTGATAATAACGCGCGTCTATCTTACTCGGGAAATATCAGCAATTGCAACCCCTAACCCGTGTGGAGACACGTACTAGACCAATCCATCTACCGCCTCCAACTTTACGTTGTGGCGTAGCGTAAGGAGGCTGCCATGTTAGTGCTCGTCGAATGACTTTCGTATGTTGTCTTTCGTTTTCCCCGCTTCTCGCTCTCGCACTCCCTGCAGCTGATATGAACCGGAATCACGTCCTCTCTCTGTTCGTGGCAAGCCCATCGCCGGACGTTCAGCGCTTGGCAGCCCCAGTCCTCGCTCGTTCACCTGGCTCACACGTTCCGCAAGCTGTTATCTAACACACAGTTCCCCTCCATCTCGCTCGTGATACGTTAACGTCATGTTGAAGCCTATACTCTCTTTACAGCGTCTGTACTCACGTACGATACTCCACAGGGCTTTCACATGTGCTTGTAAACTCGCATGCATATATATATATATATATACTGGTGCATGAGCTTTGCGCCCAAGAGCGATGTACTATCAGCGTCTTACTACGATGGTACCGACACTCTAGGCTCGATACCAGCCGCCCTGTCATTCGATAGCCATTTCAGCGAACCGACCACCCTCCCATCCTCGGTACGCGCCCCACCAACTACCGAGTAGACTGGTCACGAGTCTAGCCGAGTACTTACTCTTACAGGAATAGTCAACTGATCTCGGACCTCAGGTCAGCTGTCAATGTCAAGAGACTCAGATAGCACCAATCACGAAGCGATGGGAGGCTTGGCCGAAGTGCACGTGAGTCGTGTAAGAGGTGAGCCATTGTCACAGCGCACATATGCATATCGTTAGCCCTGTGGAGGCGCAGTCTAAGCGAGTGAATGTGCCGTTGGCACCCGGACAGTCGTATACATTCGTGCAGCGATTTGTGAGTGTCGCAGACCTGAGAGTGGCACAGATGGAGACAGGGAGAAGAGCTCATTCAGGATCATCGCTAAGATATCCTATTACATATACTCATGTCAGTAGTCTCAGAAACCAGAAAGCTCATGCTCATTCTGCGGGAACGCTTGACAGTCGTATCAGCTCTTCAGCTCCCTCGAACCGCGGTTTAATGTCGGCCTTGAACGGTTTCGGGATACTGCATGTATTGACTACGTGCCAACGCTTCACGATGAAAGATGTAGTGGATACGTACGAGAAGAGACGAGCCGTATATTCGCGCGCGGGCCCGACAACATTGCCCAGTTTGTCGACAGGCTTCGTGATGGTTACCGTGGCAAGAATGTGGGTGACATAGAGGAAGACGGTGGCCTGTGCAAAGTGACGCCCTGGACATATCCTCCTCCCGAAGCCGAACGCCTCGACGGGATCCGGGACGGCTGGATTTAGGGTACTTTCGGGCATGAGGAACCGTTCCGGCCTGAAGGCTTCGGGGTCGGGGTATCGCTTCTCGTCGTGCAGGATGGCCCTGGTGTCGCTGAACAACTGAATAATCTCCGTGACGACGACAAGCATAGTGCGCACCATGCATTACCAATGACAATGGTGCCTGCCGGAATATAATATCCGTCGTACCAATCGTCCGCATTAGACTTATGCACGGCACCTTCTTGGCGATCAGGAGCAGTAAAATGGAAGCAAGAATCAGGTACAGACCTGACGATACCACTGGGTTCCACCTGTCAAAAAATCAGGAGTTGAGGTCCCTGAAAAAGCTGGAGAACAAACCGTAATATTTCTTTGATCACCGCCGCGAGGTATGGTAGCGAATCGCGATCGTCGATCCCAGGAAGTCGGTCTCTGCCGACTACCCGATCTAGCTCGTCCTGCACCTTGCACTGGACCTCTGGATAGAGTAACATGATCATAAAGAAAGTGGTCAGGAAAAAGAGCGTCTACGAGATCCTGTCAGATTATAGACGTATATACTGGTTGCAAACACTGACGGTATCGGACGCGACTGTTAAAGAGTAGCCTGAGTATTAATGTCTCCATGGGGTGACAGCCACCACATGTTGTACCCGTAACACTGATGAGCATCTCTTCCACGTCTGGGTCTTCAAAATTGTCCGGGAACATGGACATGAGATTGGACGCAATACAGGTCTTGACCTTACCGCGTTTCTGATATGCGAATGTCAGCGCAACGCTCGTGCAGACCCTCACCATCTGGTAGAAAGAGACCAAAATACGACTTACGGCAGCAGATTTGACCTCTTGGTATTGTAGCTCGTACATTGCGTCCACCTGGGGTCTCCATACCAACGCTTGGCGCTTGAACCCAGCTCCCGGAAACCAGGTGGGCAGGTGTTTTACTATATATTCGTGTAGGTGGATGCACCTCGCTCGTACTTGATAGCCACGACTTACAAGATAGTATGAGATCGACTGCGGCAGTGAGCAACTGCAGGAGCTTTATGAACTCGGAAAAGAGTCTCACCGAGGTGCCCTCCGCTACCGGCGATCTCCATAAAAATCTCAATGGCCTTTTCAAAGATTTCCAGGCGTTCATCACCTTTCGGATTCATATCCATTCCGTACAAGATGTTCCCCAGTATAGCCCCTGAAGTGCTTGAAGTCGCTCGGTGAATGACCTGCATATCCCATGCGTAAATGTGCACTCACTGTCGAACATGCCCCAAGAAATCATCCGGCGATTCCAGCAGTAGCTGTATCAAGATACGAGCTCCTTTCAAAATCTGGTCATGATACAGGTTTATTGCCTGAGGACGGAAGTGTTGGTGAAAAAGTCGGCGGTGGTTTCGCCAGTTTTCCCCGTAAGGCATCATGGCCCAGTTTCGGTGAAATCCAGTCCTATGTTTGCGGTCAGCCCTCGCTCTCCTTGAAGTAAGCATAGAGACGTCACTACAATTCTTTCATCATCACTGTCTGATGTCTACGGAGGATAAGTTTGATCAGTCGGACGAGCTAACATGACGCATAATACCTGTCCGAGTATATCTGCGAACGTCCGTCGAAAAGATCCTTCGCAGCCTTGGTGCCATTGACCACAACAAAGTGCTGTCCAAGTGCTTTGAAGTGAACGATCTCTGAGCCTTCCATAAAGGACTATCAAAGAGCTGCTCGAAATTGGAGGAATCACGTACTGTATTGGCGACCCCACGCGGCGTACGTTAACCAAGGATAGTCTCGGGGTATGCCGAAAAGATTTCCGATGACGAGAGGTCCCTTCGGGCCAGGGGGGAAGCGATGCTGTTTCTTGGATCCTCTCCCTATGACGAAAAGCCCGACAAGAGCGCAGGCAGTATACAACGCGAGCAATGCTTTGTCGTGCATCGCGCAACGGCGGAACTGGTGTCGCGGAACGTCAGAAGTAGAGATTCAGATCGAGCTGACCGAATGCATGCATATATATCATACGCCAGGCGAACCCGAGGTCACATGAAGCGGCCCAAGGACAATCGGCGTTCCCAGGGTCATACGGCTTTCACGCTAACGAGTGTATGAACGCGTCGCTAAGTGCAGTAGGGAACTACAACTAGACAAGAATGAGCGATACTCGCTGAGCCCCATTATCCAATGAAGCCGTGAACAACATGGCGATCTTACTAGGTAAAAAATTGGCGAATTGAGGTGCAAATGATGCCCCTGCTTCGCCGTGTGAAAGCCTCGTCGATCAAGGTGCGGGATATCTGCCGCAGCCTAGGCTCAAGCAAACTGAAGATAGCACGACTTGTAACATCGAAGTCTGTGGCAAACGCAAGATTAATGAGCCATCACAGCGCGGGCCCTTGAATCGCCGTAAGGTAGGGGTCGCCAGGAACGGGCACTCTTACGTAAGCTCTATCACGTGATCGTGGGAGGCGCAAAATCCGAGGGATTTCGCTTGCCCGTACCAAGTTTAAGGTCGAGGGGAGGCTGAGAAATGTCTCAGCAGGCTGCATTAGTGTATCTATAACCTGGTTTTGATTCTACATTTGCCACTCCATTCAGAGAAGTCACTCGAGGCCAATTCCCAAGGGGCAGAAACTAAGCGCCAGTGGGCAGGCGGGATTTTACCCAATATGGAGCTTGTACGCATCAGCGCTCTCGCGTGGCAGATCACGTGATTAAGGCGCTTGCGCAAAATTCGACCTCTCGCCAACACAAAATCTTGCCAATTTGGCTGGTTTGGCTGAAAAATGTGTTTTCCGCTGAGATCACTTTTTCCCTAATAGCTCAATGAAAACGCCATGTACAAAGATTCTGCTGAATAGGAATTATAGCCAGAGCCTCTTCTGACATTTCCTACTGAGCAGTTTTACCAAAGGAGGAGTGCGCCCGTCGCCATTAAGGCCGTCACTGTCGGCCGACGTCTGCTTACATAAGGGGTGCCCGTTCCTGGTGACCTCTACCTTAACGCGCAGACAGCTGATGGCACTAGAGTATGAGCAATTGATATACGCGATTTGTGCCTGGACCCTGGACTCACGAGACTAGACGCATTTTATGAAATCCACGGCCATCGCGATGCTGGCAGTTCCAACAACACGTGAATGCCTCAGGCTCCGAGAGCTCGGAGCAATGAACAAGAGGCCGTTGCAAGCTTAATCGAGGACCCCTGGGCGAAGTCTTCTGATAGCGTGAGGATGCCACGCATCTGTTGTCCGCATGTATTTCTCTACGCTCGCATTCGTGCATGCAGGATATTCGTGCCGGTGTTTAGAGCAGTACTTGTGTACAGAGGAAAGGTTGAACTTGCTAGTGCGGCGAAAAGAGGCCGCTCAGCGCTCCGCCAGGCCGATGAGCGCCCGATGGTTGCCCCGCATCTCACTCTAGATCTAAGTCGGGGTGTACTAACCAAGGTTTCAAAGTGGTCTATCGTTTTGCAATTGGCTGGAACTACGTCCCCAGCTTTACGTTGTGGCGTAGCACTAATGAGGCTGCTAGTAAGCACGGTAGCGTCCGTGGCATGTTCTTTCATCGTCTTTCGCCTTCCCAGCTTCTCAAACTCGCTATCATTCCCGTCAAACTCGCCATCATTTCCATCAAACTCGCTATCATTTCCATCAAACTCGCTATCGCCCATGTCAAACTCGTTGGGCGGCTATGACAGCAGTGCGCAAGCTTATTACAAAGTGCACCTTTGTGCACGCTGGTGCAAAATGTTGACAATCGCACCGCTAACTCGCATAATATATACTCATCTAGATACCCTTTGGGACACCAACGCGCAAGAAAGTGCGCGTACGTGCACTCCGGCCTGTACGGTAGCGCTGATGCGAGTTCGAGATTTACGCCTCCGCCCAGTTCCAGTTTGGCGACGCTGCACTTTAGGTCGCGCTCGTGCACGCGCGTGCATGTACGTTCATGCCTGTGCATCTGCGTGCATTTTTGGGCACTCTCAGGCAATGTGTTGCATGGGCGCTCACCTCTCAAATGAAAACGAGTTTTTGCATGTTTCTAGTTTACGACATGCTGATTTTTGTCCATGCCCAACCTTCATAGACCTGGCTCACGCATCCCGCAAGCTGTTATCTAGCCGCTTGACGTGTCTGGCAAGCCATTTTGGCCTGGTAACCCTCCTCTTTCGCTCTTGGTACGCCATATCGAAGCTTCTCCTCTTTGTACGGCATCTGGTACTCACGTGCGCCTGTATTCCGCAGGGCTTCCAAACCGGCGTGCGTATATACACTGGTGCTAGAGCATGAGTTTTGCATTTGGGAGCGATGCTGCGTCTTATTACGATGACACCAATACTCGTGTATATTTCTGTCGCTCTGGTTTGCCTTTGGGTACTCGCCTCTCGGAAGCGACAGCGCTATCGGTATCCTCCCGGGCCTAAAGGGCTTCCCATCCTTGGCAATGTTCTTGATATACCAACGGGGTATGGTTGGTTTGCGTACAGAGACTGGGCGCGTCAGTATGGTACGTCCAGTACGCTATATCGGGGAATCAGAATGGTCTCAACACCATCTTCTACCTCTAGACTCCGACATCATTCATCTCCAGGGCCTCGGCATGCACATTGTGGTACTAAACAGTGCCAAAGCCGCTAAAGATTTGTTTGACAAGCGGCACGGTATATATTCGGACAAGTGAGCAGGCAAATTTGTGTGCTCTGTCCAGCATATGGCTGATCGCTGTTCGCAGAGAGTTAACTTCGATGCTGCTCGAGGTGTAAGCGCCTCTCTTGTGAAGACAGAGCTCTGCTAATGTCGGCGCAGCACTGGGCCCTATCGCAACTGGTCAATGATGCAGTACGGGGATTACTGGAGGGATCATCGCCGACTGTTCCACCAGCATTTCCGCCCTCTTGCGGTCCCACAGTATCATCCCAAACGAGCGAAAGCCGTCCACAGGCTGCTACAGCTACTATTGGACTCCCGAACCGGAGATGATTTCGTACATCATGTTCGCTAGTGAGTTCCGATATCCTCTCTCTTTAATTGCTAAGCCTCACCGCCATCGTTCAGTTTTGCAGGTTCATTGATCCTCGATGTCGTTTACGCTTTTGATGTGCGGCCCGACGACCTCCGTCTTGAGATTGTGGAGAAAGCTATGAGGGCAGGCTACGACATCATCAATGCGGGAGTCTTCCTTGGTTCGTCGCGAAATGCTATACTTGTATATTTCGTTGTGCTCAATTTCCCCAGCTGATGTATTTCCGATATGTGCGTTCTAACGTGCCTCTTCACACTTTGAAAGCCACTTATTCCTTCGCTCATCACACAGTGAGGCATGTGCCGGCATGGTTTCCTGGCGCGCGGTTCAAGCGCCAGGCGGCTGAATGGAAGGCACTGGTGGATGACATGTACGAGGTGCCTTACGGTCAGTTCAAGGCGACTATGGTACGTCCCGTTCACCAGAATGCCATCTTGGTGTGTATAAATTGACCTCGGGTTACATATTCGTACTAGAATGAAGGCAGCGCTCAGCAGTGCTTCGCTCTATCTCTACTGTCCGATGCCGACGCGAAAGATATGTCAAGACTTGACGAAATCATTAAATCGCTCACAGGGACAGCGTACGCAGGTGAAATTGGCTCGCTGTGCAGTATACGTGACCCATGCTGATCATATGCATGCAGCTGGCTCGGACACGGTGCGCGGCAAGAAGTTGAAGTTGAGCGCGATACGATCGAGCTAATACCACATTGCAGACAGTCATCGCAGCCATCTCGTTCATCTTCGCCATGGTGTTGAATCCTGACATACAAGCGTTCGTGCAAGAGGAGCTTGATCGGGTCGTCGGTAATGGACGACCAGCCGTCTCTTCCTCGTGTCACAGCTGTGATGCATGAGGCCCTGCGGTACGTGTAACTAGTCTTACCATATCATAGCAGTCTGGCTCACAGGCAAAACAGACGATATCCCCCTCTGCCTCTAGGTTTGCATCCGTCTTACTCCGTGAGCCGACGATTGACAGAGTTTGGCTCCAGCGACTCCCCACCGCGCAATGTTCGACGATGAGTACAATGGCTACCATATCCCTGCAGGCTCAGTAGTCATGGGCAACACATGGTAGGTGCAAATTGTTTAAGCACGGCCTTAATCGACAACAACCGAACAGGGCAATTCTCCATGACGAGGAGACGTACCCCGATCCATACTCGTTCAACCCGAAACGATTCCTGTCTGCAGACGGGATGCTCCGAGACGACGTCCCTCTCCCCACCGAAACTTTCGGCTACGGGCGTAGGATATGTCCTGGTCGTTACTTTGCCATGGACACTATGTTCTTGATCGTGTCGAGCCTTCTAGCTGTCTTCAACATCGAGAAAGCTGTGGACGAGCATGGCAAGGTTATTGAAGTTAAGGAAGGATTTACTAAGCACGTCATCAGGTGAGTGTATTCACCGCCAGTTCATGGCAGCTCAGAGGTCTCACAAAATCTATAGCGCACCGAAGCCTTTCAAAGCTTGTTTCAAACCGCGACATCCGGGGGCGGAAAGTTTAATACGGTCAGCAGTTCTAGCGGACGCGTAGGCTATTTATGTTCGCCAGTGGATAAGCATGTCGGAGCTATCGGGCGTTTCGTTCGTTTTATTTTCTTCTAGCGTAGCGCGGATTCGATCTTTTACACGCTCAGAGAATTTTCCCCGGCTCTGAGCGTGGGTGTCTCTGTATTTATATACTGCGAGTGGTGTACTGACTGCATTGTAAAACGAACCGAGTGTCTGTGTTTTGTGGCCTCAAGCGCACCCGCTTTGCAAATTCGAGTCGGCGGCTCCGCGTATCCACAAACTCGTCGTCAGAGACGAGCTTTCGGTAAGACGCTTCGAGAGGTCTGATTTCAGTACACTCGTCTTAAAATAATGCATACCCTACCGACGCAAGTATCCCCCAGACGCCGCTACGTTGGTGGGCTCGTAATATCCGGTAGAGGGCGATCAGGAACAAGACTGAGCTTACATAAGCTCAGGCTCGCCAAGCTTGCGCGGCAATCTCCGCGTTGTCAAAGCTGCCAGGCACCGTCTCCGTCGACTTCCAGCTCATCTTGTCGCGTTCAGAATCACTCATATCGCGCCGTTTGGCTCTACCGGACTCTCGAGAAAGATTTCTCAGACTCTCGCACGACCCAGCTAACATGTTATGAGAGTATTCGCGTACTTTTCTCTGTTTTTCCGATTCGCCGAGGTACTACCTCTGCAATGCTGCTTCATGTGCCTTGCAGCCCCTATTCCATCGCGCTCACATCCGGCCAGACTTCTCACCTTCGTCTGTGGCTGCCGAATCTCGCCGCTGTTGGACGAGAGCGTTACATGGCGAGTCATATGAATTGTCTAAGCATATGAGACGCCATAACTAAGTTACTGACCTACACAAAATACATGTCAACAATGATATCCAGGCTCCAACGATTCGGGTCGCTCTTGGCACCAAGATTACAGTCTGTCTCTTGGTAAGTGAATCTGGCCACGCCGCGTACAGCCTGTTGCTATAAGCTAACACTCAACGAGAACTACGTCTGGCCCCCATTGCTGTACCATAGGCAAAGCGTCACGAAGACAAGAACGGTTTCCCTGCTGATGCTCGCCTATCCCTATAGTTCAGTCGCGCGGATAGCTTTGCGAAAGCAGCCCTCGACTCAGAGCTTTCGGTGACTACGGCAGGCGCACGACGGATCTGCCTCGATAGGAACTGCCTCGACGCTGGCTCCTGTACTAGTGGCGTCTGACGTCACTTGATACAGATGATTCACACCACTTGTCCGATATTGTTAGTCACGTTCAGGCCAGGATTCAAATTCAAAGTCTGTAAGCCCGTCAAGCCCGGACCTCGGGGGCGACTTCAGGTTTCAAATCGTGAGTCGTCTGACGTGGTTAGCTCAATCTGTCGGCCGTTCGTCTGATGTGGCGATGGCAACTCAAAACATTTGAAATCAGTAAGCTCAGGCCATTGTGCTCATGTGCACATCTCCAACTTTACGCTGTGCGGTGGCGTGGTGTAACGAGGCTGCCATGGCAGCGCCCGTCGCATATTTTTCACGCCTTTCAGCTTACTAATCTCTCGCTCTCACACTCCATAATGTGAAACAGTTTTACGTCTGCTCCCTGTTTGCAAACCCGTCGCTCAACGTTCAGCGCTCCGCCCCGGCCTCCGCTCGCTCATCTGGCCCACACATTCCCTCAAGCTGCTATCTAGCCGCTTCACGCGTCTGGTATCCGTTTTGGCCTAGTAACACTCCTCCATCTCGCCCTTGGCATGTCGGTTTGAATCCTATACTTTCTTTACGGCGTTTGGTGCTCATATGGTTTGCGCCGCAGTGATTTAACACGCGCTTATAAACCCGCCTGCGTATATATACTGCTGATGAAGTATGGTTTTTGCGTCTCACAGCGATGCAGCATCTTGCTACGATGATACCGACATTTGTGTATATTTCTATCGCTCTGGTTACTCTTTGGGCAGTCGCCTTTCGGAAACGACAGCGCTATCGGTATCCTCCTGGCCCTAAAGGGCTTCCAATTATCGGCAATATCCTTGATATACCAATCAAGTTTGGCTGGTTTACATACAGAGATTGGGCGCGTCAGTATGGTGCGTCCAGTACGTTATACTGGTGAAAGTGACTGGCGTTCACCTCTTCTCCTACCCCTAGACTCCGACATCATTCATCTCGAGGGCCTCGGCCTGCACATTGTGGTGCTCAACAGTGCCAAAGCCGCTAAAGATCTGTTTGACAAGCGGCATAATGTATACTCGGACAAGTAAGCAAGCGGATATGCACGTCCTGTCCTGCATATAGCTGATCACTGTTCGCAGAGAGCTATCTTCTATGATGCTTGAAGTGTAAGCACCTACTTTAATGAAGATAATGCTCTGCTGACATCGGCACAGCACTGGGCCCACTCGCAACTGGATAATGATGCCCTACGGTGATTATTGGAGGGAGCATCGCCGACTGTTCCACCAGCATTTCCGCCCTCTCGCACTCCCACAGCATCATCCTAAACAATCGAAGGCCGTTCACAGACTATTACAGCTACTACTAGATTCCCAAGAGGACTTCGTACCGCATGTTCGCTAGTGAGTTACGATATCCTGTCTCTTCCCTTACTTAACCTCACCACTGCCGTCTAGTATGGCAGGATCATTGATTCTTGAGGTCATTTACGCCTTTGACGTCCAGCCCGATGACCCCCGTCTTGCACTCGTGGAGAAAGCTATGAACGCAGGCGACGAGATCGTCAGCGAAGGAGTTTTCCTTGGTTTGTGGCGAAATGCTATACTTTTATATCTTATCGTGCTCATTCTTATGCACGCAGTTGATATCTTTCCGATCTGTACGTCCTAACGTGCCTCTTCACCCCTTGGAAGCCGCTTAATCCTCCTCTCGTCGCATAGTGAGGCGTGTGCCGGTATGGTTTCCTGGCGCGCGTTTCAAGCGTAAAGCAGCCGAATGGAAGGCTCTGGTCGATACCATGTACGAGGTACCTTACAGTTTATTCAAGACTGCGATGGTATGTACCCTTCACCGGAATCCCGCGCTCGCGTGCGTTTAGTGACCTCGGGTTGCATATGCATACCAGAAAGAAGGCAGCGCTCAGCCGTGCTTCGCTCTATCTCTACTGTCCAATGCCGACGCGTCAGATATGTCAAGACTTGACGAAATATTTCTTTCACTCACAGGGACAGCATACTCAGGTGAGATTTGCTCGCTATGCAGTATACGTGATTTATGCTGACTATATGCATGCAGCTGGCGAGGACACGGTGCGTGGCGAGTGGTTAAGCGCGATGCGACTGAACTAACGACACTACAGACAACCATTACAATTACCACGTTCATCCTCGCCATGATCTTGAATCCTGAGATACAAGCATTCGTGCAAGAGGAGCTTGACAAGGTTATCGGCAACGATCGATTACCGGTGATTAACGACCAGCCGTCTCTTCCTCGTGTCACAGCTGTGATGCATGAGGTCTTACGGTACGTGCAACTAGTTGCACCATATCAAATCAGTCTCGCTCACAAGCAGAACAGACAATACCCCGTTCTGCCCCTAGGTTTGCATCTGTTCTACTCCGTGAGCCTATGATTGACAGAGTTTGGCTCCAGCGACTCCCCACCGTGCGATGGCCGATGATGAGTACAATGGTTACCATATTCCTGCAGGTTCGATGGTCATTGGTAACACGTGGTAAGTCCGGATTGTTCAAAGATGACCTTCATCGATAACAAGTAAACAGGGCGATTCTCCACGACGAGGAGACGTACCCCGACCCGCTGACATTCAACCCGAAAAGATTCCTGTCTGAGGACGGAACAACGCTCCGAGACGATGTCCCTCTCCCCACTGAGGCGTTCGGCTATGGACGCAGGATTTGCGCTGGCCGTCACTTCGCCATGGACATGCTCTTCCTAGTTATATCGAACCTTCTCGCCGTCTTCAACATCGAGAAAGCCATAGACGAGAATGGCAAGCCTATCGAGATCAAGGTGGAATTTACTCCGCACGTCTTCAGGTGAGTACATCGACCGCTCGTTCTTCGCAGCTCAGAGGCCTCACGAGATCCACAGCCAACCGAAGCCTTTCAAGGCTCGTTTCAAGCCGCGTCATGCAGGAGCGGAGAATCTGATACGGTCTGCAGCTCAAGTGGACGCGTAGGCTATCTGTCCTTGCCAGGGGATAGGCATGTCGAGGTTATTGGGCGTTTTCATTAGTTGTTTGCTTTTGGCATAGATTAGTCGGCCGCCGCGGCGATTCATCGGCGAGAGTTCAACCTTTCGCGCGCTCAAAGACTTTCCCCAACTCTTAGCGTGAACATCCGCATGTCCTACACGCAAGTAATATACTGGCTGTATTATAGAACGAACTGAGTGTCTATCTTGTAGGTAGATGCATTCTGGAGAATCTCCCGGACTCTGGGAAATGGACTGAGTGCCTGTCCTGTAGCCTCGAGCGCGCTTCGCGAACCGGGCCCCGCGTGTCAGCGAAGTCATCGGAGATGAATTTCTATTAAGGCACTTCGAAACATCTGATTTCAGCACATCCACCTTGAAACAATGCGTGCTGTACGCTAATATCTCCTAGACGCGGGACAAAGAGCTTTGTTTAAAATAATTATTATTGAGCTATCCTATCATCCACGGTGGAGTCAGTCGTCTCCGAAATCGGTAAGTTCACGTCTAGTCTACATAAACGCTCGATGACCGTATCAATTCTTCGGCTCCTTCAAATCGCGGTTTGATGCTGGCCTTGAACGGCTTGGGGACGCTGCACGCATTGGATGTGTCAACGCACTGCGACGGAAGATTGTTTCAGTACGTACTAGAAGAGGCGAGCTATGCATTCGCGCGTGGGCTCGATGATATTTCCCAGCTCGTCAACGGGCTTGGTGATAGTGAACGCGGAAAGGATGTGGGAAATATAGAGAAAGACAGCAGCCTGTGCGAAGTACCGCCCGGGACATATCCGCCTCCCGAAGCCGAACGCTTCGATGGGGTCCGGGACACTTGGGTTCAGGGCGCCCTCGGGCGTAAGGAACCGCTCCGGTTTGAATGCCTCAGGGTCAAGGTATTGTTTCTCGTCATGTAAGATGGCCCTGGCATTAACAATCGATTAGATGGTCCCTGACACTAAAAAGTGCAGTGCGTACCATGCATTACCGATTACAATGGTACCTGCCGGGATATAGTATCCATCATACCAATCGTCAACAATGGACTTGTGTATAGCGCCTTCTAGCTGTCAGGATGAGCTTAACTGAATGACAAAAGCACAGACCTGACGGGACTATCGTATGCCACCTGTAGAATGATTGAGCACAGGCGGCTTGGAGAGAGGTGGAGGGCAAACCGTAGCAGTTCTTTGATCATCGCCGTAATGTACGGCAGCGACTCGCGGTCTGTCATCTCGGGGAGTCGATCTCTGCCGACCACCCGGTCAAGCTCCTCCTGCGCCTTGCGCTGAGCCTCTGGGTGGAGTAACATGGCCAAAACGAAAACAATTATGGTGAAAATCATCTGTAGGGTTCTGTTAGGTTATCGACGTGTATGCAGGCTGCAACACTGACAGTATCAGACGCGACTGGTAGGGGGAAGATTCAGCGTCGGCACAATCATGAGGCGACAAGCCGTTCTCACTATAAGCTGTACCAGTGACACTGATGAGGGTCTCCTTCACGTCCGGATCTTCATGACTGTCCCAGAACTTGGAAATGAGATTGGACGCCACGCAAGGCCTAGCCTTATTGCGTCTCTGAGATACGAATGTCAACGTAATGTTCGGCGACGCCCACACTGGGTGGTGTGGGAAAGTCAAATCATAACCTACGGCCGCAGATTCTACCTCTCGGTACGACATTTCGTACATTCGATCCACTTGCTGTTTCCACAACGATGCCTGACGTTTGAACCCAGCCCCCGGGAACCAGGTGGGCAAGTATTTCACTACATCCCTGCATAAGTTCATACGCTCCACCTGTATCGGGAAGCTACAGCTCACAGGGTGGTAAGAGATCCACTGTAGTACGCGTGAGCAGCTGCAGGGAGCTCCATCTAATTGGGAAATCTCACCAAGATACCCTCCAGCATCTGCAATCTCTGTGAAAACCTCGATGGCTTTATCGACTATTTCTGTGGCTTGATCATCGCTCGGATCTACATCCATTCCATATATGATGTCCAGTACCGTAGCTCCTGATGTGCTTTAAGTTGTCCAGTAAACGGCTGGGATGTCTTCTATGCTCAACCGTACACTCACTGACGAATATGCCTCAGGAAATTGTCCGGTGAGTCCAATAGCAGCTGCACTAAGTCGCGAGCTCCTTTCATCATCTGATTGTGGTACAGGTCTATTGCCTGCGAACGAAAGTATTGATGGAAAAGTCGGCGACGTTCCCGCCAGCCTTCGCCATATGGCATAATAGCAAAGTTTCGATGGAATCCAGTTCTGCATTTACAATCAGCCAGCGTCCTCGTTGATAGAAGCAGAGACATGTCACTACAGTTCGTGCATCATCACTGAGTGATGTCTAAGCAGAAGGAATTTAGCCAAAGGTAGCATATCGTACGAATGGGTATGACACATAGTACCTGTCCGAATATATCTGTGAACGCCCATCGAAAAGAACCTTCGCAACCTTGGTGCTGTTAACCACGACGAAGTGCTGTCCGAGCGCCTCGAAGTGTATAAGTTCGGAACCTTCCACGAAAGATTAATCAGGTGGGGTCATTAATTGTTAATGAAAGAGTCACTCACCATATCGTCGGCCCCATGCAGTGTACGTCAACCAAGGGTAGTCTCGGGGTATGTCAAGTAGATTTCCGACAATGGGAAGTCCTTTCGGGCCGGGCGGAAAGCGACGCGCCTTGGGCCCTCCTAGAATCACGAAGAGCCCAGCTATGAGGCAAGTAGCGCACAGCACGAGAAATGCGCTGTCGTGCATCGCGAAACGGCAGAGAAGACTCCACGGAAAGACGGAAGTGCTGATCAGATAGAGCTTATTCAATCCATATATATGTATGCCACCCGCCAGGTGACACCGGAATCACAACAAGCGGCATAGGGGTTTCCTAAGGGCCGTACAGAAGCGTACAGCCTTCACGCTAAAGAACGAAATGTGTCATCGCGGGGTGTCGCTTGCGTAAGTGCAGCAGGGAATCAATGAGGAACTACGACCGCTTAGCCCCATCGGCCAATATGGCTAGAATGCAAATAATAATCTCACCGGACAATGCCAAGCAAAAAGAGGTATGAGTACGAGTCATTTATGCTCCGCCGTGTGAAAGTCGCATCCTCCAAGCGAGGTTTGAGAGAAGCACAGAGTGAACAAAGCAGTGTAAGATGAGGTGTAGAATGCTGCGACGCGCCGGCAGCTGACAGCATTACTAATTAGTGACAGATGCATGTGGCAGTTTGTACCTGGACCTTCGGAAAGCGATATCAAGAATTAGGCGCATACTATGGACCTATGACCGTCGACAGTTTCCCGATGCGTGAGTATCTTAGAGTCTTGCTGGCATATCTCATCGCTCACGCGTCTCTCAGTAAAGTATGTACCAGCATGGTTTCCGGGGGCCAAGAGTTTCAGTTCGGCGGCCTAGACACGGGAACTTATTAAGTTACACCGGACTAGCCACTCAGAAGCGCCCATGAGTGGCTAAGACACTGAAAAGCCCAAAAAATGGCACGGGCAGGAATCAAACCCACAGCCTGAAAGTAACCACAGCGTGTTATACCACTAAGGCATAAGACCTTACAAACATTGGGTTGGAATTGGCCTATAATACCACTTTTTCACCTTAAAGTCTTAGCCATAACATCAGAATATGCCTTTGTACAATTACATTCCATTGCTTTAATACATAATAATTGGCTAAAATATAGGACTTTGGGCAGCTAAGACACTGATGTGGCTAAGACACCAGCATGGCTAAGACATTGAGACATTGAATATTTGCCATTGATTCTACTTGAGTATAATTCATCTACTCAGGTGTCTGAGCCACACTGGTGTCTTAGCCACACTGGTGCTTTAACCATGCCATTAGAATATACATATGTACAATAAGCAGAATCAATAGCAGATATTTAATATCTCAATGTCTTAGCCATGCTGGTGTCTTAGCCATAACATCAGAATACACCTTTGTACAATTACATTTCATTGCTTTAATACCTAATAATCAGCTAATATGACTTTGGGCAGCTAAGACTAAGGTGGAAAAGTGGTATTATAGGCCAATTCCAACCCAATGTTTGTAAGGTCTTATGCCTTAGTGGTATAACACGCTGTGGTTACTTTCAGGCTGTGGGTTCGATTCCTGCCCGTGCCATTTTTTGGGCTTTTCAGTGTCTTAGCCACTCATGGGCGCTTCTGAGTGGCTAGTCCGGTGTAACTTAATAAGTTCCCGTGTCTAGGCCGCCGAACTGAATCAGCTCCGTCGTTCAGTCCCTGCGAGCGTCTTTTCCATCCTTCCCTGAGCTCTCGGAGCTGTTCGTGTATTATCGCACGCCTACCCTATTCCAAATTGGACGTTTTTGGTGAAGGGCCATCAATAAAGTGGGAAAAAGAGAGACGTGCATGACATCACAAACCGAGGTATACCCCTGCGTGCATTAGCTTGTTGGCCGTGTCCACGGCGTTTTCGACGAGTTCGATGCGGGGGTCGCCAGGCTGTACATCGAAGGCGTACACAACATCGAGAAGTGCAGAGCCTGCTGCGCTGAACAATAGTCACACCGTATAGTAGGAGAGAGGGGGAAAAACTGCACTGGTAATGTTACTCACTAGCGGATGTGCTTCGTGAAATTGCCCGGTGTGTACAGGATCAGCTGCAGCAGCCTGCGGGCGGCTTTCGTTTGCTTGGAGTGGTATTGTGGAACGGCCGATGGGCGGAAATGGTGGTGGAAGAACCGGCGGTGTTCCCTCCAATACTCCCCATATGGAAGCATCACCCAAGAGCGCCGCCAGCCAGATCTAAATTAGCGTTGGCACATTAGCTCACAGTACTGTGACTGGGCGCGTACAATTCCAGCATCATGACGGACTGCTCTCTGCGGGCAATACTTGGTCATCAGCTGAATGTTTCACAGACTCCTCTATGCACTCACTTGTCAGAGTATATATGAGGGCGTCCCTCAAACAGCTCCTTCGCAGCCTTTGCGCTGTTCACCACGCAAATATGCTTGCCGAGAGCCTCAACATGAACGACTTGAGAGCCTATGGCGACGAAGTGAGTAGAGGCTAGCCAGGTGGACGAATCGTAGGTGCTTACCATACTGACGTGACCAATCCCTGAACACGAGCCAGCCATTTCCCGTGGGCACGTCAAAAGCGTTGCCGATGACGGGCAACCCCTTCGGCCCGGGAGGGTACCGATGGCGTGCTCTTTTCCAAAAGGCGAGCATCCACACTGTGACCAGACTGGCCAGAGCATATCCGACAAACGCCAGCGTCAGCATATCTGAGTGGTGCCAAGAGGGTACGCGCGGAGTGTCCGAGCCTAAAGCACACCGTGTGCGCGGGTTTATAGCCGTAGCCAGGGCGCTAGCTGAAGATGACGACATGTGAGTACGAAGAGGATACGTTCAGGAACACATCTTACATAAAAGAAGATACGGGTTCCGCGCCACGCACGTGAGAAATGAGACGTGTCGTTCGAGTTTGTGTGTCGTAGCGCGAGAGTCGTGTGCGGGCATCTCGCTGCATTGAAGACATGGCAAACCCGAGCAAACGTCTTATTCGTTTGCTTCACTGTGGTCCCAGGGCCAAGTCACCGGCCAAGTCTGTCGCCGGCAGAGGATCTCTGTCCCGTCTCCGAGGTTGAACCTTGAGGTAAACGGACACAGTGCCACACGCTAAGCTTATCGGACAAGTCTGAGGAATGTCACCAGTACGAGTAAAGTTTGATGAAAGCGCAGAACCGACTAGCCGTTGTGAGCCTGGTCCTGAAGACGCGGAAAGGGCTGTGAATGTGGCAGCAAGAGATAGATCAAACCCCTCAATAGCGCCCAGCGGCTTGGTGGCGCGGAGGCGGCCGATCCCAGACATCGGAGGACAACGAGCGAATTTACCACACTCGTCGGAGACACTTGGATCTTATCCCGTGGCCAAGCTGCGGGCAGTAAATTACAAGCACTCGCTCAGCCTGCTGTACACGCTCGCAACGATGTACACGACACCAGCGCGGAACAAGTTGAAGTGGGACTAGTGCTCCCGGGAGGCTTGCGTACGCGCTTTGCAGGGGTCGCGCCGCGCATACTACTTCGCCAATGTCATAGAGAATGAAAGTACAGCCTGGGGTAGGCTACGAATCTTCTAGAGCCGCCGCGCGTATCAGACCCTCCACTCCGGGAAAGCGCGGCTTAAAGTGCGCCTTGAAAGGCTTCGGCAAGCTGGAAGGTTGCCTCTAGTAAGCATCACGGCAGCCATGTGGCCAACAGCTGGCAAAAACGCACCTGAGGAACTGGGGGGTAAAGTCTTCCTTGACCTCGATGATGTCTCCGTCCTGGTCCACGGCCCTCTCGACGGTGAACACGGCGAGGATGTGCGCGATCGCCAGGAAGAGCGTGTCGACCGCGAAGTAGCGACCGGGACATATGCGGCGGCCGTAGCCGAACACCTCTCCCGGGAAGGGAACGTCGTCTCGCAGTGTTCCGGCGGCCGAGAGGAAGCGCGTCGGGTTGAACGAGTACGAGTCTGGGTACGTTTCCTCGTCGTGGAGGATCGCCCACGAGTTGCCCATGACAATTGAGCCCGCCGGGATGTGGTAACCGTTGTACTCGTCGTCGGTCATGGCACGGTGTGGGGTCGCTTAAGATCAAAAAAATGTAAGTAGCGGATATGCATGGAGCAATAGATCACGAACCTAAAGGTAATGGAGAGTGCCACCTGCAGATCACCTGGTGAGCAACGCTTCATGTCGTAATGAACAGGCTAAACGTACCGCAAGGCCTCCTGCATAACAGCAGTCACCCGGGGAAGCGACTCTCGGTCCGCCATCTCTGGCAACCGGTCGCGGCCCACGACGCGATCGAGCTCCTCTTGCACGAACGCCTGTTCTTCTGGATGCAGGACCATGGCGAGGAGGAATGTGGTGAGTGCAATGACCGTCTGCGGCGCGGCGTCAGCTGTGAGCTGCACCCGAAAGCTCGAAACGCACCGTGTCCGAACCGGCTGCGTGCGTCCGGTCAGTTACACGAGCTGTGCGATAAGAATGGATGTCTCTCACCGACGTATGCTGTCCCTGTGAGGCTCATAAAAATCTCGTCGAGCTCCGGCGTGTTCGTAGTGTCAGCGTCAGCCTGAGATAGCAGCGCAGCGGTGAAGCACGGCTGAGCTTTGCCCTCTCTCTGTCGGCGCACATCCAAGTCGATGTCGTTGAGACTGCTTGCGAAGAAGGAATGGTGAAGAAGGAGCGTACCATCGCGTCCTTGAACTGGTTATAGGGCGTCTCATACATGGCGTCCACCCACTTCTTGTACCTGGCGGCGTCGCGCTTGAACTGTGCGCCCGGAAACCACGTCGGTATGTGCTTCACTGTGCGACAAACGGAATGTAGGCCCTGTCAGAAGGGCGACGAAGCATGTGGCAAACACGCACGTATTGGGATAATGTCGACTAGAAAACTGCGGTGAGCACGAAGGTGGTAGAGGAGGAACGTCCCGACACGGACCAAGATATACCCCCGCATTGACAATATGGTTAGAGGTGTCCGCGGCCTTTTCCACGAGCTTAAGACGCGGGTCGCCAGGCCGCACGTCGAGGGCGTACACGACATCGAGGATTGAGCTCCCCGACATGCTGAGCGATGGTCATATCAGGGGAAAAGGGCAAGAGACAGCCAGGACGTACTAGCGAATATGCCTGTAAAAGTCGCCTGGAGTGTCCAGAAGCAGAGGCAGCAGCCTCCGGACGGCCTTCGTCTGTTTGGGATGGTACTGCGGGACGGCCATGGGGCGGAAATGCTGGTGGAACAGCCTGCGGTGCTCTCTCCAATAGTCGTCGTACGGGCGCATGACCCAGGCGCGCCGCCATCCGGTCCTGCATCGGCCGTGTCAGCACAGTGTTTTCGCGGTGATAATCCCAGCAGGACGCGTACAGTTCAAGAAGCATGACGGACTGTTCCCTGAAAACGGGCGACGGATCGTCAGCTGAGCGGAATCAAGACCGGCGCGGATAGTACTCGCTTGTCGTTGTAGATGTGAGGGCGCCCGTGGAACAGCTCCTTTGCCGCTTTCGCGCTGTTCACCACGCAGATGTGCTTGCCAAGTGCCTCGACATGGATGACATCGGAGCCTAGGTGGGCGAACAGTGTAAGTACAGCCCGATCCACATCGCAGATGCTCACCGTATTGACGCGCCCAGTCCGTGAATACCAGCCAGCTGTTCTCCAAGGGCACGTTGAAGATGTTGCCGAGAATGGGCAGCCCTTTGGGCCCGGGAGGGTACCGACGGCGTGGTCGGTTCCACAAGGCAACCGCCCATTTGACAGCCAGGCCGGCGAGGAAGTACCCGAGGAGCGTCAGTGTTTTCATAGCCAAGTGCTAGTACTGTTGCTTCGGGGCGTTGCAGTCACTGTGGAAGTGCGACTCGGGTGCACTCGGTATTATACCCACAGGCCAAGCGTGCGAATATATAACCGCCGATTGGAAGAAATTGTAGGGCGTGGACATGATGCTCGGCTGTGAGGGGGAAAACTGAAGATCCACCCGGGCCTCGAAAGAAGAGTGAACAGGGCGTGGAGCATGGAAAATGCCGTAAACCCGCAATTGGCACCTGTCGCGGTGAGGCACGCCGAAAGACACCGCCCTTGAGCGTAGCAGAGCCTCCCGAGGGTTGCTACGACTATTAAGACGTCGCACGTAAGTAATTCATCAGACGGTGCCAAGCGAGTTCGAATGGCCGTCTGCCTCCCATGCGGAGACACCAAGGGTCCTTTCCATATGTCAAAGCTGCCGGAATAGAATCTTCAAAAAATCAATGTGCAGGTGAGACAGAACCGCGCTGCGCTTATCGCATGCGGAACATACCGGGACCGACTGGCGGCGATGGGGTCTCGAAGCGTTGTGGCGCGGCCATAGCCGAGAGCCATCCGATCGCGCGCGGGAAGACGACATGGGCGACGTCAAGAACCAGTGAGCGTGCGACCCCACGGACCGTAGCGGACGGTGAATGGTGCCGCGATGACACATCAGGACTTGTGTAAGCGAACGAATCCAAGAGCTTTGTTTGTCAAATGCCCGACAAGCACAGAACGTCCTACTACAGATCAGTGTCATCATTGACCTCGGACCCCGAAAAACGGTAGCGAGTGCACCCCCCTCTCCCAAGTCGTAGATCTCGGTCAGACTTCCGGCTTTTGACCTTTCCACGATGCCTGAGATTCTCACAGAGAGGGGCCGAAACTTGGAGAAATTTCCACGCCATGGAACCCACGGCGTCATCGCTCCCAATTGACAACACTGCTACTACAGATCTGCCAGAGCAGCCGATCGTACGAGCTCCTCCGCCCCCGAGAACCGCGGCCTGAAGCGCGCCTTGAAAGGCTTCGGCAAGCTGCACGCGCGCACCGCCCACGGTTTTTTTTCCAAGAGACGACGCGCACCTGAGCACCTGCGGGGTGAACCCCTCCTCGACCGCGACAGCCCTGCCGCGCCCGTCCACGGCCCTCTCCACGGTGAACGCCGCGAGCACGTTTCGACACGGCCAGGAACAGCATGTCGAGGACAAAGGGGCGGCCGGGACACGTCCGCCGGCCGAAGCCGAACGCTTCCGCCGGGAACGGGACGTCGGCGCGCAGCAGCGCTGGCCCGTCTGTGGTGAGGAAGCGGGTTGGGTCGAAGCGGTGAGGGTCCGGGTACGTCTCCTCGTCGTGAAGGATCGCCCTGTGTTAAATGGAGGTCGGCTTCGCTCTTGGAATTTTGTCCAGCAGACGACTGTACCATGAGTTGCCTATGACCACAGAGCCCGCTGGGATGTGGCAGCCGTTGTACTCGTCGTCGGTGACAGCGCGGTGTCGAGTTGCTAAAAAGAGATCGATGGCGTCAGGCGATAGTAGGTATCCGAAGCGGAAAGCGGGGACGAACCCAACGGCAAGGGGGGATGCCACCTGTTTTTGTCATCAGAATGAGCGACGGCAGGTTTCCGCGCAGGTTAGGGCGGCACGGACACACCTCAAGACCTCCTGGATCAGTGCAGTCACGCGCGGAAGCGCGTCTTGGTCTGCCATCTCGGGCAGGCGATCGCGGCCGACGACACGGTCGAGCTCCTCCTGGACAAGCACCTGGGCCTCGGGGTGCAGGACCATGGCGTAGATGAACGTGGTGAGCGTCACGACCGTCTGCGGCGCGTCAGAAGTGCTGCACACGCCCACGCATGAGGGAGCCTGCCACGCACCGTGTCCGAGCCAGCCAAATGACACGGCGATCGGGTCAGCGTACGATGCCGTCCTCAGACTGTGCTACAGTGTGGGGGGGGTTTGTGCTCGCCTGCGTAAGCCGTCCCCGTGAGGTTCGTGAAGAACTCGTCGAGCTCCGGTGTGTCCGTCGAGTCGGCGGCCTCGGCGAGCAGCGACCCCGTGAAGCACGGCTGGGCGCGCCCCTCCTTCTAGAAGGCACGGTGGGCTTGGTGTCAGTGGGGCTCTTTCGAGAGTGGAAACATTCCGAGACGTACCAGCGCAGCCTTGAACTGACGGTACGGCATCTCGTACATGCCGTCTACCAGCTTCTTGTACTCGGCGGCGTCACGCTTGAACTGTGCGCCCGGGAACCACGCCGGGACGTGCTTTACTGCAGGGACGAGTGAGCACCAAGCCGACACCTACAGAGCCCGACGACGCGTACAGATTGGGAAAATGTCGACTAGGAGGAGGAGGATGACGATGATGGTGGTGAGCACAGAGCATGTCACGACGTGACGTTTCTTTTGGCCACGAACCGAGATACACGCCTGCGCCCACGAGCTTGCCAAACGTGTTCACGGCGGCTTCTACCAGTTCGATGCGGGGGTCGCCGGGCAGTGCGTCGATGGCGTATGTGACATCGAGAATCGCGACGCCTGCCGCGCTGGAACAGCAAGTCAGACGACGAAGAAAGAAAAGGCGGTGGGGGTGGTGGGGCGACGATGTGCGCAAACTCACTAACGGATGTGCTTCATGAAATCGTCCGGCGTGTCGAGAAGGAGGTGCAGCAGCCTCCGGACCGCCTTTGTCTGCTTGTGGTGGTACTGTGGGACGGCCATGGGACGGAAATGGTGGTGGAAGAGCCTGCGGTACTCTCTCCAGGCGTCTCCGTACGGGCTCAGCGCCCACGCACGATCCCACCCGGACCTGGCGCACCGACGTGTCAGCGTGTGAGCTCGTCGCTTGACGATCGACATGGGCACACATACAGTTCCTGGGCCATGACAGACTGTTCTCTGCGAACAAGTCCGTTGTCAGCCTGTAGTATCCCTTCCATGAAGCGCTCACTTGTCAGAGTATATGTGGGGCCGTCCGTCGAACAGGTCCTTGGCAGCCTTTGCGCTGTTCACGACACAGACGTGCTTGCCGAGGGCCTCGACATGGACGATATCGGAGCCTGCGCACGACGCGCGGTTCGCGTGAGCACACTGAGCGTCCCGGACACCAACCCCCTTGTGTAGAGACGCTTACCGTACCGGTGCGCCCAGTCCCGGAACACGAGCCAGCCGTTCTCGAGGGGCACGTCGAAGATGTTGCCGAGGACAGGCAGGCCTTTCGGCCCGGGAGGGTACCGACGGCGCGGTCGCGTCCAGGCGGCAAACACCACCCAGGCAGCCGCCAAACCAGACAAGGCGCAGCCGAGCACGGCTAGCATGGTTGTCGCGTCGGAGTTCTGGCAGCCTCAGGAAAGGAAAACGTGAGGTTATAACCAAGGTCCGAGGCGCTGTGAGCGACTGCCGACAAAGAAGATGGTACGAGGACCGAGCTGCATGTCGAATAGAAGTGGAGCGTAGACTGATGCTTGCTGAGTGACAGATAAGGAAGTACAGCTGCGACACCGCGGTTCTGCGCATGCGTGAGAATCAGGTCCGGAGGCTTGTCGGCGCCGACAGAAGGCCCATGGAGCTGCCGGAAGCTGTTCGACGCCGCGAGTCAAAGTAAACCCCACCGACGTCACACATACAACGCCGCAGGCTGGTACTGGCCATTGATGGTCTGATGGATCGCGGGAAGAGTCGGGACCGGGCCCGTCTGATGGCGGTCCGACGGCCTCGTGGCGCGGAGATAGCCGCCCCTTGAAAGCTTTAAACCGAATATACAAGCGCTACCGTGACCATGCATGGTACACCGAGTTGGGACGGCCTCCTCCCAGCCAGAATCACACGACAGCGAATGAAGACCAGGGGCGGAGGATTCCGCAGAGTCGGATGCAGAAAGCTCACCCACCTGGACCAGTTTCGCTGTCTCCTCGCCGTCATCGCTCTGCCGCGTGATCTCCATCTTGAGAGAAACGTGGGCGACGACGAGGGACGACTGCAACCAGTCCGCATGGCCTCCCGGAACGACCGTTAGTCGCTGGGGCATCAGTAAAACTACTAGGTGTCTTTTTGAACTTTCAGATACTTATGTCTTTTCTGCTGTACTTTGTATTCCAGGTTCGTTCTTTTTTTGCTGTCTTTTCCAGTACTTTCAGTTCTCCAGATAATTTTCAGTGAATTGATAATCTAGATATACCAAGGCATCCTGATGGAACTCATGAACCGCTGAATGCGTCTTGGTTTCCCCTTGGATGCTGTCAGGCGTCGTGGGCGATGCCACGACGACGACGGACTCTTGCCTGCGCAGCCGGGTCAGTTTGGTAGCCGGACCTGATGGCTATCGATGGGCGAAAACTTCAAAGCTCTCACTCTCTTGCTACCACCATCATCGCCCTCCGCCCTGTCCCTTCGTCACACCCGGCCTCCATATCCTGGCTTAACTCTTCTCCTCAGTCACAGAATGTACCTTGATGATTAGGTAAGCAAATTCAGAGCACTGTTAAGTTTGCCGCCCCCCTCTAGCAACCGACCTACCTTCTCAAAGATCGAAAATGAGCTGCGCCCCGACCAGCCGGGGTTGGGAGCTCAGATTGGATGGGGAGTTGATGTGCAGGTGCGCAGCATGCTTCGCTCTGTTGTCAATCTGGTTGTATTGACATGATCTGCACAAGCTCGCCTTTAGGAATCTCCTAATAGCAGCGGATTCCCGATAGCTGCAAAGATTACGGACCGATGGTGAGCATGTTCTTTGCCGCTATCTCCATCACTCTCGCTATTGACATGCCCATGCTCTGTGCTCAAGTATTACAGGCACAATCTCAAGGACAAAGTCCCTGAAACGCGAACATCTGGTGTGCGTTCCAACTTCTGCATGACCATGTTGGATGACATCCCCAGTGCGACTGAAGTGCCAATAAGAGAGCAAGTGCAACACCGACATGCCGGACCTGGGCCCGAGGTTTTCGGCGATGCCCATGCTCATCATGCCGCTTGGCCCCCGCGCGAGCGCACACACGCAGCAGGTTACGGTGCCGCCGCGCACACATGAGAGCACGCCAGCCAGGCGATGCCCTGCTGAACGCAGGATGTCGTGGTAGTGTGGATCGCCGATTGTGGCGCCAAGCGCGCATGCCGCCGCTCCCGGCAATGGGCACAGTACCGGTGTGACGGTCGACTGCCCGCGTGTGCGCACCACCACGATCACTGTCTGTTGTTAGCTTGAATGTGTATCTAGCACCCGCTGTGTTCATCTAGGATATATATACATATTCTGCTATCTACGTCAATGCGAGTGCGGAGAGGCTGTAACATCCTAGTTTTTTGGCACGTCTTATGGGCGTCTTTTTATGTCTTTTGCTCTTATAAAAGACCAGCTGTAGTTTTACTGATGCTCGTGATTTGGCATTGAGCCATTGCGGGAACAGTGTTGGAGATTCCCTTCTGCACGAAAGCTTTGTACTTTACGTCAGCCTGTCAAATCATATTAGTGGTTGAGGGTCCGGTCCTAAGGACCGGTCGGGACCGGGACTTGGACTGAGACTGGACTGATCAGGACTGGGTATGGTCCAGTCCTACGTCAGTCCAGTCTTGGTCACAGTCCTTGGTCCTAGATGGCGCTGGGTGCTTTTAGGACTGGTCATGACCGGTCAGGACCAGTCACAGACCAATATAAAGTAACAAAAATGCAGCACCCAGAAAGCAGCTTGGCTACTGGTACATGTATATCTTAGTAATTTCTGAACTGCAACCATGCCCTTGTAGGCTTGTCCAAGTACACAGCCAGCTTAAGCACAGATTAATACATTTTTTAAAACTCTTTTTATGATTTATTCAAGTTTGGATGCGGTTACTGCACATAATCAGCTAAAGCCATGACCATGGGAAGATGGAGCCTGAGTGTAGAGATAACAAGGCTCTCAAGGATATGGAGGTTTTATACAAAAATGCTGAGAATGATGAAAGTGGTGCATGATACCCTTCTTCTCTATTTAGAATCCAGCCGTGTGAGCAGAGCATTGTTTTCTTTGCTGAATATAGTAATGTGCAGCCTTGGCTCAAGCTTGCAAGCCCAGCCCAAAAAAGCCTGACCTGAGCCTGGCCTGGCAGTGGGCTCAAGGGCCAGGCTTGAGTCAGTTGGGCAGTCTCTGCTAGTGTGAACTTATCTAAGGCTTTGCAACTTGGCTGGGGCTCAGGCTCAAGGCTCAGCCTTGGGGG